GTCTCGACACCTACCTCGTTGAGCTCACGCAGAACACATATAAACGGGTGCTAGAATAGTTCAAGACCAATGTAAATACCTTTGGTATACTTCTGACACTCAGAGGGGCTTGTCTATAGCCATTATGCCTCTTCAGCCGGATATTCAGCCTTCGGTACTACTGATAACCATTGCATGAGTATACCATTCAGTTAGGACATTTTTACATTACTATAAAGTACACCGAGCGGCAAATCCCAAGGTAATAAGTTGTAAATGGTTGCGTGAAGGCCCGCCGACCGCTGGTGAAAGGCTTCAGCCACCGTCCGCTTAGTCAGCCTCGGGGATCTCGGCGACGACATTTGTGCCAGCCGTCCTATAGTGTTCTCCTCCTCTTGTTCGTTCTGTATCCGGTAATAAATTAAAAATAGATTTGTATTATATAACACTGCACGTGTGCCCTAGTAAAGGAGGAGCGAGAACGCTAAGGACGGATGGTTTAGGAGCCTGCATCAGCGCCGGCTATACAACGGTTGCGCCATGAGTGATCCTTACAAAATTGAACAGGCCAGGTATGAGATATGACGGGCTGACATTGTTGCAGTCCAACGCCGGGTGCACCAGCTCCCAGGTGGCCTTTCGTTTGACAGGAACTCCTTCTCATAGCATATCACACAGATAGCACTATAACCGCTCGCCAGGATCCGTTGGCAAAGTTCGTGGTCGAAGCGTTCACATAGTCAGCACCGGCGGGACTAGAACCCGACAGAAGGATCCACATCCCGCTCAACCTTCCCTTCCGAAAAGTCTATCATGAGAAAAAGACAGAAAAGATGCATTGAAAAGGATAGAGAGCGAGAGGAGTCCAACAAGTAGCAAGAGCTGTAAGTAGGTGGAGACAGGACGCGTGCGGCGGAGGCAATCAGACGTCGTACCCTAATATACCGAGAAGTATGCCTGCGTCTACGGGCCGGATGAAAGAGGCATTACTCATATGCTAGTAGACAGGGCAGATAGACGGGAATTTAGCAACAGCCTCCGGAGGTCTGTTGCTGGACACTCTGGCCGGGTGTGATGGTGGATGACTTGCCGGTTGCCGGGGCGGAAGTAGAGCCCATGCTGTAAGGATGGGAAGCATGTCAGTTGTAAGAGAGGCGCGCATGGATGACAGTGGAACGTACCGGTCCTTAATCTGCTTAGCCATAGTCAAGAACGCCTGTTCGACATTCGTTGCGTTCTTAGCCGATGTCTCAAGGAATGGAATGGACAATTGGTCGGCGAATTCCTGCGTATGGATGAGTCGAAATTACATTCTACTGCGGGTCCAAATGAAGAACATACCTTAGCAACGCTGTACTCCACAACCTTCTTGCTTGTCAAATCTGACTTATTGCCAACCAGCAGCTTGTTTACGCCCTCTGACGCGTAGCGGTCGATTTCTTGCAACCATTGCTTAACATTCGTGAACGTGTCTGATACGACGAATTTGATGAGTTACACTTTCCCATGCCAACTAGGTTGGCCTCACCGTTATCCGTAACATCATATACAACGATGATGCCGTGCGCGCCACGGTAGTATGACGAGGTGATCGTGCGGAAACGCTCCTGACCTGAGGAGCGTTGGTTCTGGGATTAGAATTTGAAGAGAACAGGAATACTTACCAGCCGTGTCCCACTGCACCATGGTTCAGAGAAAGTGTCAATACGTTGTTCAGTCATCCTACGCATAACTCTCATCGCGGACTACAGTGCCAAACCCCGGGATGGCCGGAGGCTGGCACCGCACAGCATAAGCTTGGACACTCCTCAATCCTTCCAGCTCGCACCCCCAAGAAGCATGTGCATATGTGCGCGACATGGAATGAATGAGAATGAAGAACATATGCAACTCACGATTTGGAGTTTCACGGTCTTGCCCTCAAGCTCAATAGTCCGGATCTTGAAGTCGACACCAATAGTACTGATGTAGCTCTCAGTGTACGTGTCGTCGGCAAAACGCAGCAGCAGACATGACTGGAATTGCAAAAACACGCGAGGTGTGGTGATTCAAGAAGGCGCCAGGTCAGCTACCACGTTCAACATCAACACGGCAGCAACAAAAGCGTACTTTGCCGACACCGGAGTCGCCAATCAAGAGGAGCTTGAAGAGATAGTCGTATTCGGAGGTGTGCATGGCGGAAGTCGGGAGGGATGAGAACAAAAGGGGTCTGTCTGCGCTGAAGCACGAGCTGTATGGAAGAAGACAAGCAAGACGGAGGCGGTGATGTGACGCGCGGCTCTGTCCGTTGCACCGGCCGGGTGGCACGAGGCCGCTACCACTCCAGACATACCCCAGCACGGCCACTGCCTATAAGTTCGACGGCGTTGTTTCTGCTATTTCGTCTACGGCGCTGAACTTTGACGGCTGCCCTGTTTTGTCAGGCTCGTGGCATAGTGTGTTTCCCTGTCTCTGAGATATGCCATGTAGTCACGGCATGCCTTGGAACCAGGGGCTCATATCAAGCCAGAGTCGGCGAACATGAATGTAAGATCTCCATGTCCTACGCATGCTCAGCAATACATCTGTAAAGGCGCCAAGACTGAATTGTAGAACCCTATTGGAATCCTGCCTAGTTCAAAGAGCATTGGGAAGTCCCACCACAACTGTCAGCCATACTTGCACAAAAAGTGGTTACGGTTTCAATCTTGAATGCACTTGTCATAGTTGGCGTATCACGGCATCCATCCCGGGCACCATGGGCCCATTCCACTCCTTCATATTCTTCTTATCAATTGTACTCCCCTTGGTTGTCTCTGAGGGCGGTTTCAAGTTACCACTCGTCCGCGTACGCAAAGCTAGGAATCCCCTCGGTCTCATCGGGACCGCTCTCAGCAGCGATGTTTCCATACAAGACAGTCAAGAATAGTGAGGTGATAGTTGAACATAGGAACGCATACGCTGACCTTATTCCAGCGCATATATTGCAAAGATCAAGTACGTCTCCAGTACTCGCAGTCATTTAATAAGTTCACGCAAGACCTAATTCGCAGCATCGGTGGGCATGACTTTCCCGTGCTCCTAGACACAGGCTCGTCGGATCTCGTAAGCTGCCCCTGCCACAAACTCGATGATGTCGCATTGATTCCAAGCAGTGGGTCATCTCCAGCGACTGTACGGCAGCTGATTGCCTGGGTATCGCCACGTACCAGACGACACCGACGCTCTCCCTCACCGATACGCCTTTCAAGCTTGGTTATTTGATGGGCTCGGTGTCTGGGACGGTCGGTTATGAGACCATCACCCTTGGTAACTATCAAATATGCTCGCAAGTGTTCGGTATGTCTCTACATCGCACACAGTCCTCATCCCAACGCTGACGAACAGCAGCCGTGGCGGATCAGGCTACAGACCTCTCCTTATCCGCTACCGGCTACAGTGGTATTTTGGGACTTTCCTTCCCAGCAGCTGCGTCAATATCCACGACCTCGGGTATATCTCTCGTGCAGAACTTATTCTCTGCATTTTATGATGACTCTAAGAAATACTTCGCCTTTAAATTGGGACGAGACGACGATAGGACTGAACCAGATGATTCATCGTTTACCATAGGTCAACTAGACGAAGAGGTGCTTCAGTCTATTGGGCATAACTTAAGTGGTGATATCCAATTCGATGAAATGCCAGTGGTCGCTCGGTCGGATGGCGTCTACGATTACTGGAAGGTACCCTTGCTCTCGCTTACTATCGACTCACAACCGCTCCAACTATCGCCCTCGCGGGTACCCGAAGCGTCCAGCCCACTGGCCGTACTGGACACCGGTACCACTCTCATCCTAGGTCCCACGCTTGACGTGGAGAATTTCTGGGGATCCTTCGGGAACGGTACTACTAGGAAGAACGTCTGGAGCCAATGGGAAGTGCGCTGCGAAAGAGCGGCACGGATTGGATTCCTCCTGGGTAAGGAGGGCCACGAATACGTTGTGGATCCGCAAGATATCAGTTGGTCCGGGAGTAGGTCAGGGGATGGGTGGTGTCTGGGTGGCATCCAAGCCAACGACCAGGTAGGTGCTGCCGGAGCCAGGCATGTCACGGATAGCCCTGACCAATGGTTTACTCCAGGTGAATTCGGCGGATTGGATCCTTGGTGACGTCTTCCTCCGGGTATTTCCATTCTCTTGCATATCCTCGCGTCAACCCTGGACTGACAGGACTACCTCAGAACGTTTATGTCAAACATCAAGTCCCGACAACTTCGCAACCCGCTGTCGTGGGCCTCCTACAAGCGACGAATGCTGATTCTGCGATGGCCCGCTTCAAGGAGCAGCGAGGTCAAGACTCTGCGCCGCCTATCCAAATTCGCTCCGCCGTTCATTATCGCAGGCGGTATAAATTCACACCCATCGTGCTACTCACCATTACTTGGGCCATCGGATTCATTGGAGGGAGCATCGGGAGACTGCTTTTCCAGAGAATAGGGCGCTGCTTGGGCATCCGGCGCAAGTACATGTCGCATAATACTGCAAATCCAGAAGTCCGAGTTTATTCCAGGTAGGTACAAGGGTTTGCATAATGGTGTACAGATGGAGCAGTTACTAGTGATACAGTATATTTCTCTGACAAGTCAGCGGAAATGCGTCAATTGACCTTTCCTGGGTGGCCAGGATACCCCGGTTGACCCTGCGCATATCCAGGATTGTAGCCAGGGGCGAAATTCCCACCTGGGGGTCCTGCCCAGCCTTGAGGAGGGGCTGGGCCGCTGTGATGGTATTGCCCTCCACCGATCGCAGCCGGCTCCCAACTATAAGAGCATCAAATGTGAGCACGCCCATCAAATGAAGATGAGCGAATGATGCCTACCTGGGTTGTTTCGGAACGTTCCACTGGCATATGCTGCACATCCAGATATGCTTCGAACTCATAGGAATCAGTGGTACGAAGCAGAGCTCAAACCACATGCGAGACTTGGCCGCGAATACAGATGCTGTGAACGCGCGCTTTAGCATCATTTGGAAGAAGACACATTACAACATCGTACCATTATGACACCTGGGACAGATGCGAGGGGTCTGGTCGCCCTCCGGCTTGATCTTGGTTGGGCAACCAACTGCGCAGGTCCTCTCAGTACTCAAAACGATTCTTTAGTACTCGAATTGGCGTACACATGATCGGTAAACAGACTACAGACTAGAGTGAGCATGGTTGCGATAAGAAATATGCGACACTGAAACTTACAGAAGAAATCCATGGTTGTCGTCGGGTTGGAAGATGAGTGTACGTGGTCAAGAGAGCCTTGGCCGCGCGGTGCTTTTGCCTTGAGCCAAGAATGCCAGGTGCGGCTGTGGCCTGCGGAGTCGCGATCGTTTACCCCAGTTTATTTACGTAATGGTCTTCCCCGGTGGCATGTCGTCATCGCCCGGCTCGAACAAGCGCTCGGATGTCCCTTGCAAATAAGCTGCTCTGTCGCGTCTTGTCGAGTCCAGAAAATCGCAGAGACATGTTCGGCTTTGGCTCGTCAGAAACTAGCTCAGAGAAACGGCAAGAAAAAGTCGAGAAGAAGGCCGATGAGGTCGTGAAGGACTTCGTAGCTGTGCGTGTAACACTGGCTCAATTTTACCACACTGAGCGTGACCGTCAATTTAGAAAGAACCCAATACCATATATACCTTTGACAGTGAACGCGACGCACCCCAGTCAAAGCTATGTAGAGAGAGTCGGACGAAGGGGAAAGAGTGTATCACAGTGCGTTGGTTTTTGAAGGAACTGAGCTGATGAACGCAACCAACATCTTTCGGTAGGTGCAAATGTACGCAACGAAACTGTTTCAGGCTATGCAGGTGCGTCGCAACAGTGACTTTGTCTACTATTGTCACCTCTGAGCTTGCGCAGGCCAATGGTTTCTACTGCGCATTACCACTTGACCCTACACAAACACATATGGAGTGTAAACCTATGCCCAAAACATAATGGACTCATTGGACATGCTTGTACTCTGTCATTATTGCAACGCAATCCACAGGGATAGTCATGGAAGCATGAAGTTCTTCGGTCATTTGCCACCTCGGGGATAAGCAGAACTTATCTGATGCCAAGAAGACAGCGACAGCCGCTCTAACTTGATTTCACATAATCTATCCCTAGCGCACCAACCTTAGCCTTCTCCAGCTGGGCATCTGCCACCTTCCTTCGCTCCTCAGCAAGCTTCAAGTCGAAGCTCGAGATCTCTAATTCATGTAGTGCGCGTCGCGACGTCCTGTTCAGCTCCGCGTACTCTTTGACCAGGTGCGTGTAACGCTTCTCGTATTGCATAAACTACAATCATAGCCGCCGTCAGTTTTGGCATGGCCAAAGAAAAGCATATGCGCGGGGGCGCAGGAGATCACACACACACCTGAGTCGCCGCCATCTTGAACTTCCCCACCATATCGTGTGGATAGCCTTCTTTAGGTCTGTCTGGTTGCTTCACCAGAGATACACTCTTCTCAGCGGGGCCGGGAACAGTCCGCGGGCTCTGGCTGTGCGCTCCCTCGTGTTTCTGTATCTGAACCTGCTGGCTCGACAGCGATCTCCCAGACCACTCTGGCTTGACAGGTAGGCTCGGCGGAGCGCCCACCTTAGGTGACGATGCCGCCGTGTTTGCAGCGGGGTTCGGCGAAGCAGCACTAGGGGAGTTAATACTAGGCGTCGGTGGTGCCTTTGAGTAGACATTGCTATTCCGTGGCCCGCGGGGAGGCGGGCGAGTCAGGAGGGGACTCGTTGACGTCGATGCGCGTGGGGCCTTTGGCGTCGTAGGCGGAAGGTCATGAACTTTGGTATCGGTTTCTTCTTTGATATCTACCGCCTTTTCTTTTTCTTTGCCCTTGTCTGCCTGCTGTGGCACCGGCGAGAGTACGGATATCTCTGCAGCTTCCACCTTTACAGGAGGGGGGCTGGGGGCGGGCGGTATTGATGTTGGTTCCACTTGCATCTGGTTTTGATCTCCCTTCTGCTCCGATTCCGGTAGTGGATGATCGACGGGCACGACCGTCATCTCTCCATACTTGACGGTGTCGATTTCCACGACAGGCTCTGGCAGTCGATGTTTCGTGTTGGATTCGGCAGCACGGCGCTTGCGTGGCGAGCGAGACCTCGACCTGCTGTTGCGCCTACCCCGACTCGAGCTCCTGCTCCTGCTCCTGCTCCCCCGATTACGCACCCTACTCCGGCTTGGACTTCGACTCCTACTTGGGCTTCGCAAATAACTCCTCGCGCGCTTGCGAGCCCTTCGCTCCGATTCCGAGTCATAGTCACGGTCCCGTTCGCGAGTTTGACGAGTTCTCAAGGGAGCACGCGGGGACTTTGGCTCGACTGTGATGGAATGGCTGCCCAGTTTGATTTGGCCTGGGGAGGGAGGGGAAGCTACACGGCGGGAGCGGTGGGGGGATGGTGAACGGGTGGGACGAGAGTGATGGGACCTGGCTGGCGACAGGGTGCGGCGGTTTGGGGAGCGGGGGGCATAATGGCGGCTGTGTGAGTCTAGCGCAAGTACCTCGGTAAGCAGACGGGAAAAAGCGGGCCTAGCACATTAGGTATTCGAAGTACGCACCTACTCGACGTGGAGGCGACGCGGAAGGCCTCCTCTCCCATCTGCGGTCGGGCTCCCTGGGATACGCCCGATCATCCTCTCTGCGAGGTTCGCGGTCATAACCGCGCCGCTCGTAGGCCTGCGCGGGCTCCCATACGCGGTCGCGGTCCCAGTCCCGCCGCCTATCGTCTTGCCTGTATCTCCCTCTCTCTCTTTCCCGCTCCCACCGGTCCCGTTCCGCCCATTGTCTTTCGTAATCTCTCCCTACGTACCTGTTCCGTTCCCTGCCTCTGTCCCATCCATCCCAGTCTCGTCTGTATGCTTCTCGATACCTGTCATCCTCCCTTCTGCTGTCATATGCCGGCGCAACGTAGGAGTCGGCTGCAAGGGGACGTGCTCGTGGAGGAGGAGAGCGTGCAGGAGGACGGTCGTAGCGCGCGGGGTAGCGGTCGCCGCCAGCTGGCCTGCGGGTTGGTGTTGTGGGTATGGGTGTGGGTGTGGGTGTGGGACTACGATAGGCTGGTCGGCGGTCGAGATCGTCGGGATAGCGGGACCTGGATGATGAGGCGTATTCTGAGCCGAAGGAAGGTTTCGGTGGCAAGCTGGCCATTACTTCCTGCAAACCTGAGGGAAGAGGACTAGAAATGTCAACTAGGGTGACGGTGCTAGGGATATTTCTCAGAAGTGGCTTCTGTATAAGAAGCCCAAATTGCAGCCTGTGGTTGGCGTAGGTGGCAGTAAAGAAAAGGGATGTTTCAATCTCAAGACGCGGTGTGGCTGCCACGCTTCGCTACGCCGAGGGCCACACCTCGCTCTCTTTCCTTATAGGCGCCCGCATGTCGCGAAGATTGTACCCATTGGCATCCCTTGAGCAGATTCAAAATTCTCCGTCAAGGCAGGATGGTATACCCGCTGAGCTCGAGGAGGACCTCCGCGCATATGGGTGCAAGTTAATACACCAGGCAGGAATCTTGCTCAAGCAGTACGTGTTGCACGGACTCTGCCTTTAGGGACTGGCTTGACCATATTCGAGTACAGGAAACAAGTTGCGGTTGCTACGGCTCAGATTCTGTTTCAACGATTCTGGTTCGTAACGTCTATGAAACAGTTTGGCATAGGTGTCCGTGTCTATCCTACCTTGCTCTGCTGCAACTTAAACGAAGGCATTAGGACGTCGGCATGGGTGCGCTCTACCTCGCATCCAAACTCGAAGAATGTCCCCTGCGCATGCGCGACCTCATCAACGTGTATGACCTCCTCCTTCAGCGCGCAGCGCACTCCCTAAAGCCAGAGGGAAAGGAATTCAAGTACACGCCCATGTCGTACTTCGGCAACACATTCTATGACCTGAAGGACGCGCTGGTTGTGGCCGAGATGCAGCTACTCAAGCGGCTTGGTTTTGATGTCCACGTCGTTCTACCGTACGGCACGCTCGTGAATTACATGCGTCTGCTAGACCTCACCGGCCGGGAAGACGCGGTCTCCAGAGCATGGGGTTATCTGAACGATGCGTACGTAGTGTCAGATCTTTTTCATGGTGCATTTTCTCATTCATCTGATTTTGCAAGCCTCCAAACCCCCGTGTACGCATCATACCCCGTTCAGACAATAGTCAGCGCAGCGATCCTCCTCGCTACGCGTCATCTGGGTATCCCGCTCCCATCGACTCCGCCGAATTGTTGGTGGGATCTGTTTGATGCTGAGTGGGAGGACGTATGGGCTGTCTGCGGGTATATCATGCGGCTATACCGCGAGCGCAGTCTGGAGGATCGAAGGCAGGTCATCGGCATGCTTACAAAGAAAGATGTGAGGCGGTGGTTGGAGGAAAATGCCCCTAGTTAGCTGTACACCTGGGGAAGCGGGGGCAGTCGAATGGAGGTGCGTCCGTCTCCGTGCAAGATATCATGTTTCAGTGCGATGTAGGTCTCGATGGAAATACCCTCTGGAATGCAAGGGCGGGACTGTATTCGCCACACCCATGCGCAGGAGTCCTTATACACTACCCAGAGCTCGTCTGACGGTTTGTCAGAGTGGAGCACATCGAATGACGGGGCATTCAGACCAGAGTCAGGGGAAAGTTCCCACTACGCAGTGAAGTTCTGTCTCCATCCTGTTCATCCAAGTGATCTGCTGTCACGATGAGGTTTACGGCAGGTGGCGGACAATACATGTCAGCCTCCGCAGTTTGAGCGATCTAACAGCACGCACGACAAGATGATCATGGACATCTGCTCCAATTCGAGCCGATTCCCACCGAATGCGCCGGTAAGAGACATTTTCTGATTTTTTCGATGATAGTAGCCCTCCGGATGGCTTTTGACACATAACACTGAGGGCCCTCCAAACATTGACATGAGATATCCAAGGTCCGCCGTACGGGTTGGTTGCTACTCCAGGGTCCTCCCGTGCCTCTAGCAACGAGGGGGATGCGGACTGGGGCAATCCGGGGTAAGTCCGAGATTACGCCCCGCTGTACATGTTTGATGGTCGCCTGCTCCCGGGAGCGAGCAGCCCTGCGTATCTGGTGTCGAAACCAAACGAGCCTGGTAATGACCCGAGTACTAGCGAGTGTTCGCCGCAGCTATTGCATGGGACACGAGGGTGTTTCGATATTTCATGTTCATCTCCTTGTCTTCATGGAAGACCCCCCTCCCCCCCCTCTCCCAGAAGTGCTTGCACGCATTTCCATGCTGTCAACCGAGATTAGCATCCCCTTGCAAGGCACCGCTTCCTCATCTGTGTCCATATTGCATCAAGTTGTGCACTATAAGGTATAAATTACCGCTGAGAGCTACATGCAGTAATACCACATTATGTATGCTATCCTCGCAGCAATAGATTATGGGTCAAGAAGGAATAAGTTTAGAGGGAAGAGAAGAAAGGAATAGAAAGAGTCTATCTGTCGTCCACCCGTCCCCTCTCCGTCGAATGCGAGACAGCGACATAGAAGATAAGGATACTACGTTGTACATTGGAGATGTGAAAGATGGGCATAGGAGGGGTACACCAGATGAGCAGCATGGGTGAATAGGTTGGCATAGGTCATGCGCAGAGGAGCTGGTCGGGCATAGGCAGTACAGTGAACAGTCACAGGCCCTCATGCCCGCTTAGCAGCCTAGACGTATAGAGAATACATTCAGTTAACCCCGAAGGATCATGACATGAGGACAGAACAAACCCTCTGGCGAGCGGTGCCGCCCGAAGAGTTGGCCGTCTTCCTCTTGGCCGGTGCCTTAGACTTAGTTACAGTGGTACCCGTAGTCGCCTGGGGTTGCATGGTCAGCGAGCATGGTCATTGATAATTTCCCGCTCGAACCCACCTTCTTGGCAGCTCCCCGCCTGGATGGTGCAGTAGTCTTCTTCTCAACCGGTGGCTTCCTGCCAGCCAATTTCTTCTTGGGCTCAGCCTTCTTAGGAGCAGGAGCAGCCTTAGCTTTGGTAGCAGGTGCGGACTTCGCCGGTGCAGACTTGGCCGCTGTCCTCTTTGTGGTGGCAGACTTCGCAGCGGCACTCTTAGTAGCCGCGGACTTGGTGGTGGTAGTGCTCTTAGTCGTTGTGGCGGGCTTCTTCGCAGTAGTCGTCTTCGCAGTGGTTGTCTTCGCAGTGGCAGCTTTGGGAGCCGGCTTCTTCGCAGGAGCAGCCTTTGCGGTGGACTTGGCAGCGGGTTTAGCGCTCGATTTGGCAGCTGACTTTGCGGCAGGCTTCGCAGGCTTGTTCTAAGCGACATGGTATATAAGCCACGTGACGTCACTTGGAGAGCTTTGACTTACCTCCTTGGTAGCTGAGGTGTCGGTCTTAGTCTTAGGAGCAAGCTTAACCCTTCCAGAGGGCCCTAAGGAATAGTTAACGTCAATCGTTGAAGTACCGATGCACATTGAACGAAGTATTAACCTTTAGGCAAGACGAAGTCCCCCTTATCCACGCCAGTGGCAATTGCCTTACTAAGCTGAGTGTTCTGAGCGTTGCCAATTTCTAGCTTGTACTGCTCCTCGACAAAGCTATGATGGGCGATATGATGTCTATCGACGCCCCCGAATGTATCTTTCAGCTTACCTCTTGATCTGCGGCCGAGAGACGCCCGCCCGAGCATCCTCCGGATGCGCGGCGATACATTCCTGAGAATATTTTTGTAAGCGGTCAGCAAGTGTACATTCGAACAGGAGGATAGCATGCTACTGAGAACGGGGTTTGCAGCGAGGAAGCAGCGGGGCGCCATACACCCATGTACCCCGCGCGGCGTCCCCGTGCCCTGGACCCTACCCCTTTTGGACACACCTCGATAACGACGTCGACGACGCCAAAACCATCGAGATGGGGGAGCCAAAACAACTGGCAGTGCATTGAGAGAGTCAAGAACAACCTACTTTGATCATATCGATCCAAGGGGGGTGAGCGGGGGCGGCCTTAGCGGTCTTCTTCGCAGCGGCGGGCTTCTTAGCAGTCTTGGTGTTCTTCGACGCTGCAGACATGGTGAATACGATTTAGTTGAAAAGGCGGGGGGCCAGAGATAGACTGGGGGCGGATGTGAGCAGTCGGATCTTGAGACTGACGGATGTTGGCGAGGGGAGATGGTGGTTGGGAAGACACTGGAGATTAAAACTCCGAGGCGCGTTCAGTCAACCAACGCGTGTCACGTGAGGTAAACGGGGGAGATATGCATTTTCCCCTTCGCGGGCGTTACATAGAGTAGCAGTCGTCTAAAGAAATGAAATGTGGTAAGGAGGGTACCTGTGGATACCATGGCGAAGAGGGGAAAAAATATTCGCTTCGGTATCTTCAATGCAGTAAGTGTCTTAAAACTCGACTTCTACCAGGCATTCCAGAATCCCCCCCCCCGCTACTGCAAGCCCATAAAATCAAATTAGAGCTTACAGATCAGTTATACAAAACATCCAATATAAAAGTGTTCCAGTTTCTGTGCATTTGGGTTGAACCGGATGGGGTCAAGAGCAGAATCTCGCGCCACCGACGCGTTTCGGTCGATCGGACAGAACGCGTCCGAAGCACGTGTTCATGTTCTCCTTATGTCAGCGATCTGTATGCTTTCATTTGGGCTGCCATTGGCCAGCACATTCCCGTCGCGCCCGTCTGGTACTCGGGCTGCTGTCGGTGTCCAGCTCGATCATGTCTATCACGCCCTCGCTGCAGGCTGCTGCCCGCTCGGCATATAGATTATTATGGAGGGCCTCTGCAGTCACATTTGCCGGTGAGCAAAGTTGTGGTTTTGTTGCTGAGGCGCTTGCATTGACGCCAACCGGATAGGTGATGAACCCATCCTGCAAGGTACACTCACCAGACGCGCTTCGACACGTTGTCGGAGTCTAACATGGACTTTTAAGCATTCAGACACAAAATGAGGACGGAATACGTGCAAGGACGCGCGCAGACGGATCCAAAAGCCTATGAGGAGAAGATCAAGCTTGCGAGTGAGGTCGCTGAGGTCCTCCGGCGAAACTTCGTCCAGGCTCGAAAAGTTGAACATAATGCAGAAACCGATAGCGAAGTCTGGCGTGAGTGAAGGGAAGATATTCGATTATTGACGCAAAGCTAATGTCTCCTCCAGGTGTACGTCTGACCGAGTACTCCGAGCTCGGGGACAACGAGACTATGCTGGGCAAGCCTGAACCGCCAGACCACGTTTTCTCCGATAGGAAAGCACGGAAATGCAGCGAGGCGAGGTCAGTGACTCCTGCAAACTCGCAGTCGCCTGCCGTTAATCCAAGTCCGGGTTAGGAACTGATGTTTTGCCAGTTCGTCTACCTCGGCCGACAGTGGAAGTTCAGGCCCGTCTCAAACTTTATATTACTCCCAACTCAAGAAGGCCCATCGACAGCGCGTAGTTCCCGAGCTTAAAGAAGCAGATTTAGAGGAATCTTTTGTTCGCGGTAAGCTGCTTCCGAACTGTTCTTATGATACCCCAGACTGACGACTGCTTGTAGGCAGCGGGCCCGGTGGCCAATCTATCAATAAAACCCGTAATAATGTTCAGTTATATCATAAACCTAGCGGTATTCGTCTATCTTGTCAAGAAACCCGTTCCCTAGAGCAAAATCGGAAGATAGCTCGTAAGAGATTGCTCGAGAAGGTACGCTCCGTTGTCCTGCCCAGCCTGAGGTCTTGCTCATACTCCCGGTGTGAAGCTGGACGAATACTATAATCCTGGATTGTCGAAGATCGATTTGGGGAAAGCCAAGCAACATGAGCGAGAGCGTAGACGTCGAAAGAAGGCAAAAAAGAAGGCGAAGGAGAAGGCGATGCTGGAGGGCAACGGGGACGATGACGACTGACATGGCCAGACTGTCTCCCTAGGACTAACGTCGTCTTGTCTGTCACTGACACGTCATCGTGGCATTGCGTTGCGTCGACAGACTTTTCACTCTGTTATCAATGAAATTGGATCTCACATTCCTGCAGTAAGAAACGTTCGAGATGAAGCGCTGACTGATGATATATACTCTTACAACATTAAGATCACAGGAAGATAGGCACAATAAGAATATACTGTCACAGAAGATATCTAACCAGAAAGACCCAGACGGAGGAAAGAGGACATGCGATCAAGCAGTCGCCACCTGTGCGTAGCATGGTCAGCTACGGCACTGGAAGCGGAGATGAGGGACATTTACCTTCTTCGAAGCTGGCTTTGTTGATGCCTTGGACGTAGACTTGACTGTCGCAGGCTTCTTGGATGCGGGCTTCGTCGCTGCTTTCTTCGCTGCCGCCTGCAAGCCTTTAGTCATCACCCATCGCCGGCAATAGAAACGCTGCCTACCTTCTTGACCTCCGTCTTTTTGCTCGACGTCTTCTTCGGCGGTGCCGCCTTCGCAGCCGTAGCTTTCTTAGTAGCAGCGGCAGGCTTCTTCGTTGTTGCTGCCTTCTTGGTGGTAGCAGCTTTCGGCGCCGCCACCTTCTTGGCGGGTGCCTTCTCGGCTGCAGGCTTCTTGATCGTCTTTGCAGGCGCAGGCTTCTTGGTCTCCGAGGTGGCTTTCCTCTTCAGCGTCTCCGAGGACGCCTTCTTCTTGGGAGCGTCAGCCGCAGCCTTCTTGGTAGCAGCAGGCTTAGCATTCTGAGCATGCCGCGTTAGTTCACGGAGAGTACTACACAAGCTCGACTCGACGCACCTCCTTAGTGGCATCCTCCGCAGCAGGCTTGTTCTTGGGGGGCAGTTTAACCTTGCCCGAGGGGCCCTTGGGCAACACGAACTCGCCCTTCTCAGCGCCAGACGAGATCGCACGCTTGAGCTGGGCGATGTTCGCAGCGGCGTTCATATCGAGCTTGTACTTCTCCTCCGCAAACTATGGCCACGTTAGATATCGCGAAAGACTACGACAAACGTCAACCAACCTTCTTGATAGTCGAGCGCGAGACACCAGTGCGTGCGTCCTGGCGATTCTCGGCGATGCATTCCTATGGTTGGACGCAGATGAATACATGCCACATTACTCGTGGTCAAGCCACATACCTTGATGATCTCCTTCCACGTAGGGTGGGCGGCCTCAGGCTTAGCAGTAGCCTTAGGTGCAGCCTTCTTGGTGCTCTTTGGCTTTTTGTCAGCCGCCTTGGCGCCTTTCTTAGTAGTAGCCTTGGTAGGCTGCTCGGCCTCTGGCTCAACGGCGGGAGTCTCGGAAGCGAGCTCGCGTTCGACAGAGACAGAACTAGCAGAGTCAGACATGTTGATGCAGGTAGGGGAGGGGCTAGGGTTAGGGCGCAGAGGGCTTAGAGGTTGCAGGGGCAGGGGCGAAAGTTGGGTCAACCACAGGTTCGCAACAACCGCCCTTCTTATCCCGAAACGCGCTGGTCACGTGCAGTAGCCTTGTTGATTCAAACCTTATAATTCAGCACAGCCACTGTGATTTAAGGTTCCGCGTACGCGCTCGACGCGTCCTCTGCGACTAACGCGCGTCATTGTGACGATGTCACAGTTGTGTACTTGTGTGTAAGCCATAATTTCGGTGATTAGGGTGTAGGATGTATATTCTGGACAGCAACAAAGCACAAGACAGAGAATACCAGTCCGTAAGACATAAGCATAGATGAGCAATACACATTTTCCCTCTATATCACCAGTAATAACTGGGTGATCAAGTTCAAACAACAACGACTTTGAATGTGCCGTTGCTCGCCACGCGAGCCCTGGCACCTATATCAACCCACCCGTCCTCGTCGCCATTAACCTGCTCCCAAGAGTCGTCGCCGAGCACGATCTCCTTGCCCACAGACGGGCCTCGCACGAACAGCGACCCCTCGGGGTCCCCGCCGCCTTCGATGACCTCGTCGTTCACCCCGTTCAGCTTCGCTTCGAGGTTGATGCTGGGCGGGCCGGTGTGATACAGCGTCGCGAAAGGACCGGATTCTTTTTTTTCCTCCGCCGTCGGGAAGGACTGCAGATCGAGCGGGTGAGAGGCCAGTACCGGGCCCGGGACTATCGGGTGCGTGTGCGCGTTTACAATAGGAATGGACAAGGCAATCCTAGAAGGAGGGAGCGCTTCGGCATCCAGGGGACCTGCAATGACGGAGCCTTTAGCAGGAAGAGGAAGGATCAGGTCTCGACATCACTCACCACCGCTGACGACGATTCCCCTCAGAGTCCCAGCACCTACACCCATCACGTCCTGCCTCGCCTTCTCAAAGATAATCCTATCCCACAGACTGTCCTTCGTCAGCCACCCCTCACCTAAGCCAGATACCTTATGTCTCCATGCAAGCTGGAACAAAAATGGTGAGGAGCTCTTGGCCTGCGAGAGGATATTCGTGGTCAAAGAATGCAGATGTGAGGGTTTCAGGAAGGCGATCGTGGGGAAGGGAATCGGCAGGAATGAAATCTTGTTCAAGTCGCTGATATCCTGTACATTGGCTACCATTGGAGTATTAGTCTCTGCAGCACTCATCCGGCGAGATACGAACCCTCAGATCCCGTGAATATCTTAGCACTCTCGAGAGTGGCGAAGCTGGTGCCCTCGTATATAGCGGTGTACGCAATAGCTCGCCCGTACGCGGTGTTCATCGAGTGGGCAGACACAATTGTATCCAGGGGTGAGATGGCAGAAGACAGAGGAAGGAGCGTCCGCACAGCAGCGACGCCCGCGGTGAGATTTTGGTGGGTGAGTTGAGCACCGCGGATCTGCCCCGGGCGGGCAGAGTAGAAGGAGATGGTGAACACGTCGTTCGGGTCTAGCAGCGTTCAGTGAACTATAAATGAGTAGTGCCAAAGCAGTGCAACTCACCAGGAGTCGCGCTGATGATTTTCTGCGTTTGCTGACCGGTCTTCTCCACGTCAGCAAACTTGAGTACTCTAACACCTGCAAGCATCTTAGTTCCAGCCAGTCCGTCCTCGCCGACGACGATAATAGTGTGGTGGTTCGTTTCGGCTGAGTCATAGATCAACTCAAGGAGTTGAGGAAGGAAAGATGCGTGGGTGATGATGGCGCTGGGAGGGTGACTCTCCAGGACGGGGGAGAGGAGATCGAGGGACGTGAGGGTGAAGGACGGGATGGAGTGCGACGCCAGGGCGAGGTCGGCGATGAGAAATTCTGTAGAAAGGAAGGGTCATGAATGCGCTTGGTTGAAGATACACAAGACATACCGATGGAGTCGTCAAGAAGCAAAAGGACTTTGGACTCCTTCGGAGTGAGATTTGCGAGACGAATGAGGCCGGTGCCGAAGTTAATGTACCGCTCCCTGAGTTCGGGATTGGTGATCTGTGAGGCATGCAAGGTTGTCAGTGATAGTCCGGACAAGGGTTTCTAGCGGTATCCCAAGCTAGTCTGTGAGAGTTTGACCTACCTTCGTCGACCATAGAGTCCGAGGCGCGTCAAAGTCTGACTTGACCAAGTCCGTAAGTACATTGATTTCCTTCGCCGGCTTCACCGGTAGCTACAGGTCGACGGTCAGCATCTCACACCAGTGAACTTCTGGTGATGACGTACCCGACCCATCATACCGGTACCATAGTTCCTGTATACAGCGCTCTGACCTGGGTTCCTGACTCTCGCGACATCACTCTGTCTGCCGAGTAAAATTGGATGCACGAGCGGCTGAGGCTTGTATAGGTTCGACAGCAGGAAGAGAGATGCTGCGATCAGGCAGAGTAGAATAGTGAGGTCGTCAGTAACCAGGTAGTCCGAGATTTGGAAAGCCATGGCTGAATTCAAGCCGGGTGCGCGTCCCCTGTTGCGGGCGCCAGATTCGCAAGACGCGTAGGAAATAAGCAAGCGTGTAGGACTAGGGCCTTGTTAGCAGACCAGCAGAAGAGATATTCGTCGAGCCTGCCAGCGCAAGAAGAGACTTAGTAGAAGGCTGCTGGGACCAAACGGGGATGAAGGGGCATTGCGACCGTTGTGGACTATGTTCGCTTGATGCCGCGTCGGCTCCGTCGAACCAGCGAGCGCCGGGGTTGGCGCCGGCCTCTTCTTTGCTTCACTTCTCGTAGCGGACTTGCACGTCGGCGTCGTCGTACACTTCATTACTTCGTCTTACGCGACTGCGAAAACCATCGGGAATGACAGTCTGCCAATTCTTGTCTTTCGGCCCCTCTACCGCCATTTTGCATCCGTCTCTCGCGTCTGGATCGCAGGGACCTTATGATGCCATGACGTGTCTCCGTGCTGGTCTGTGCGCACTGCGCAGGCTTCCGTCGACGATCTATGAACACAAGGTTGTCTGGACTATTCAGTGTACATGCGCATCAATGACCCTCGTCCTCGAGTCTTTTACGCCGTTGTCGTCTTATCGGCGTGCCCAGCGCAGCGCGATCCGCTCCGTCTTTGGACCAATCAGCGATCGTCTCAACAACTAAATGTGCGAATCTGTCACGTGACTTAACGGGCCTAGCTTAAGGGTGTCTCGGAACTCCAACCAGTCCAAACCCAACTTGACCCGCTCTCTCATCTCCCCCCGCTTTCCCCTGCTGCCGTGCTCATCCGCCTGATCCAAACTCACTCTAGCTATCTCCCAGTCCCAAACACAATGGCTCCGTCTGTCAGGAGATCTTCTACGACTACTCGTCCCAGGGCTCCTGCTGCCCCTGCGAAGGAGAAGAGGGGAACGGCGACCAAGGCGAAGGCTAGCACCAAGGATGTGAAGGCTGCCCCTGCTCATCCTACCTGGCAGGATATGATCAAGGTGAGCCCCGTTTCGATGGTTATGGGAAACGTTTCGGCGTGCCCGAACATGTGGCAGGGGTGCCTTCACCGCGTGAGGGTACTGGGGGAGGGGGGACTCCGTCCCCGTCGTTGTCCCGTGTTTGGTGCGATTAGACGAACCGAATCCCAATTGAATACTCTCTTTGATGTATAGGAATGCATTGCGGCGCACCCCGAGGAAGCCCGTGCCGGTGTGTCCAGGCCTACCATCAAGAAGGTACGTAATGTCCATTCATTAGTCTCTCCTATTGTGCTTAGGTTTATGGACTGCTCTACGGTTGTGATTAGTTCGTCGAAGACAAGTACAAGATCGACATGAACAACGCCGCTGCCAGTCAGCTTAACCGCGCTATCTCCCATGGCGCCGAGAAAGGTGTCTTCGCCTTACCCAAAGGTATGCCCTTTCTTTTCTACATTGAGTCCTGCCGTTCATCTTTACGTAGGCCTCTCTGGCAAAGTCAAACTCGCTCCAAAGACAAAGGCAGGGGACGCTGCCAAGGAGGTGAGGAGACTCGTCGTTACGGAGTCGGCGTCTATGCTGACTCATCTCCGCATATTCCGTTCCGCACCTCCCTCTGTCCTCGGATATCGTGTTCACATAACAAGAATGCGCAACCTGTAGTCAAGAAGCCTGCTGCTTCCACCAATACGGCGTCTAAGAAGCCCGCCGCTGCCAAATCTGCCGCCACCAAGGCAAAGACGCCTGCGACGAAGAGTGCGAAGAAGCCGCTTGGGAAATCTGCCGGTGCTGCTGCACCAGCGAAGTCCAGTGGCACAACTGCCAAAGGGAGGACTGTCACACCCAAGGCTAAGGAAACGAAGCCGAAGGCTACCGCTACCAAGAAAGCTCCTGCTGCGAAGAAGAGCACCGCAAGCACTGCTGTTGCTAAGAAGAAAGCCCCTTCCGAGGGGACGAAGAAGACTACCACTAAGAGAGGTACTGCAAAGAAGGTATGATATCTGGTGTTCCATAGTCTGTTCGTTATGTGTACTAACGACTCGTGTATTTGTGTAGTCCGTGACTGGCGAGACTAAAGGCAAGACTGCCGCCGCTAAGCCGCGGCCAGCGAAAGCTACTAAGAAATCGGGTGCGGAGGCGAAGCCGGCATCTAAGGTGAAGCCAGCCAGCAAAGCTTTAGCGAAACCTGCTTCTGTGAAAGTGAGAGACTTCGGTGCTGAATGAATATGGCGGGCGTGGCTGATTCTTGTCGGATGTGTCAGGCATAAACGCACTCGTTGGTTTCATCGCGCTGTGATCTATTCTTATTTGCTACCCTGTTGTCTTGACCCTGTCCGGAGGGTTGTATATTCTTCTCTTGCTCCATGTCCGGTTCGCTTATTATCTGTGTCTCGATATTGGTTGTATTCTAGTCCTAGGTATTCTTGATATTATTGTGTAAAATTGCGTTTGGTGGTGGTTGTGTTATATATGATTATGTGTCTGCGAGAGTTGTGTTTACATTGGCTCTTACAACGGAGAAGTCGAAACAGTAAGCCACAATGGCAATGTGGCGTAAACCATCGTAGGGTTAGGGTCACAACAACTCGCCCGAATGCCACAAAGATGTGGCTGAGGTCGTAATTACCTCTCGGCGCTCGACTTCTTTCCTTCGGAGCAGGACTTTAGCCTGCAGTATACCAGCTTGCTCGAGTGGATCTTATGTCTGCGGAATACATCGACGCGACGGTAACCCTGATCCATGAACACATCTCCCGCTTACAGCAACCCATCTCCTCCCTTCCCGCTCTCACTTCACTGTTGTACTCGCCTCTGTCTGCGTTATCCCTTGTCCGAAGGAACTCGAAGATCGAAATCCTTGGGGAGTTCACTCAAGCTCTAGATAATGCCGTTTCTGTCAAGCATATACCTTTGTTGCAGCGAGCCTTACTCGAGCACATCGTCCCGAGGTGGTGGGAAGCACTAGAGGAGGAGGGAAGCTTACATCTTCTGGAGCGCTATTTCTACCCCCTTGGCGATGAGAGCTCTAGGAGAGCGAGGGATGGCGTGGTGAGTGAGCTCGTGTGCTCCGCATACACGACTCTGCTCTCTGTGCCACTGAACGCATATTCCCTGCGGCTGCTCGCGACGCTGGTGGAGAGATGTCCTGTGGATCGCGTGCACCATCTTATATTTGATGCGGGGATAACTGGAGGCCGTGGAGGGAGGGAGAGGAAGTCGGTGCTCTGGGAGGATTTTGTGAGGAACGCGGTTGCTGTACCTGGGAAGGTCGCGAATGCCGTTATGGGAGCAAAAGGCAGAGCGGCGAATGGAACATGGGTGGAGGAATTACCTGAAGGACTGGACTATGGCTCTTACTTCGATAATATTTGCGTTGGGTGTGAGGCCCTGATTGCAGATGCTAGCTCAAGGAAATCGGCCGCCAAGAAAGGTGTGTAAGTCAGCTTCTTCGTCTTCATACTCTACTATCTCTAATAGATGCATCTGCAGATGACCTGAGCTCTATATCATATCTCCTGGCAAAACTAATGACACTCGGCCTATTCCTGCCCACCCAACCGTCTGCACCTTCCCAGCCCTCGTTCTTCCGTAGCACCCTACAGACAATACGAACCCGGATATCCTCCTACCAAGATCAAGCATACTCTCGAACGTGGCAGACTCTTATATTATCGTTACCCTCGTCCCACAACCTCCGCACCTTCCTTACGTCCCTCCTGGGGCACCTCGAACTTAATGTACCTGCTGCCCCTGCCGATAACGGGTACCCTGGGCTGTCTTCGGCACTCGATGCTCGGCTACAGGTCAAGTATGAAGCGTTACTTCTGAGACGAATTGTCGGTGCTCTCGGACGCGCGCAAGACACATCCGAGGAGAAGGATAAATCGGAGCTTTGGGAAAGCATCACAGCTGTCGTACTTGGAGGTAAATTATGGGGCAATTTTGGAGCCAGGGTGGTTGTATGCTGGGTTGCAGGGGCGGGGGAAGGTAATAGCCCAGACACCGAAGGTGAATACTACCGCATATATAATCTAAGCGTGGTATCTGATTGAGCCCTGAATATTGGCGTTGGATTACCGCTTTCATTTCAGCGCTGCAGATCTTCCTTGACAGAGTGACGGAGGTATGGACCACCCCGGAGCATATCAAACACTCCCTTCTCTCATTCCATCGATGTTAGTCAATTTCCCGCATGCCATGTCCTTTCGCTGAACATCTCTCTTGCGCCTTAGATATGACCCTGCTTATGCTTTTGACCCTCTCGCACCTCCCTTCTCCGAGTATCACATCCAGCAATGCGACTCCGGAGGGTACAACACCGCTCTCCGTGTCTTATACCGAGCTGGCATTTTCCCCGCCTTTCATTAAGTCCATCTCGCAGTATATTTCCCACCTTGATAGTGGTGTTCGAGCGTGCGGGATGATAGTCGCCGAGCGTGTGGCTGCAAGGGTGGGTAAAAAGATAGGTTTCGAAATACATAGTCAGGATGGCTGGGTGACAGCAGTGGAGACGCTCTTGGTAGCCAATGATGTGGATGCAGAAGGAGCAGTTTCGGACACCCAGGAGGAAATGGCGGTTCTCATGGAGCAGTATGTGGCCTATCCTGAAGAAATTTCTGCGAAGAAACCGCAGACGCCCGACTCCGACGACGATTCGCTGATCTCGTACTCTTCCTCGCGCTCACGTAGCCCCTCGCCGACTCCTTCCCTCATCTCCGACATCGAGAAAGACCCTACGCTCCTGGGGACTAACAATCGGCCTATCCCCAAACCGGTTTATCTCTTACAGCTCGGAGAGATGCTTAGAGGGGGCACCGGGAAGGGGCTTGGTGGGATAGGAATTATGACTGCGGTAGGCGGGGGTGAAAACGAGGCGAAGGGCGAGACGTGGGAGGAGGCAGCGAGGCTTGAGACAGCGCTGAACTGCGCGGAGGAGCTAATTAGGAAGAGAAGGGGGTTCGGTGCTGAACTGGGTGCGTAGCAGACACATGTCGGATCTTGTGTGAAGCTAACGATTAGCACGTTACCCCAAGAGGAGAACGCTGTAAACCTCGCGTATGCGCTCATCGGTTTACAGAATAACTACGAGCTCGAGGGCTTCAATGTCAAGAGACAGGCGGCGCTGAACGCACTTGTAGCTTGTTGCCCTAGGAAGGCTGCGCCGTGAGTTTACCTGCCATTTACGTCAGTAAATTTCTTCACTCACTCAATGTCCTAGAACGATCATCGAGCAATTCTTCATTAATCAGTACTCCACCGATCAACGCTATGTGATGCTCAACGCACTTGCCATGGGTGCACGCGAGTTAGCATCCTTGAGTATCCCTGCGGAGGCCCCTGTCCAGCCACTCAGTGGTGATCGAGTTTCATTCCCCAGTAAGAGACTACCGCCTTCCTTGCATAGAAAATACCTGGAAGCTGCTGGTCAGGTGACAGGCGATGCCGATCCGGTGCAAAAGATGTTAATGGACATCAGCAAGAATGCCATCGACAAATCGAAGGAACCAGCCGAGGACCAAGTGCCGGAGCTGGTCAGAGAGCGGAGGCTCCGAGTTAGACAATCTGCGAAGGTGGCGGAGGTTAAACCTTCATCGCCTGCCGCAGTGCTGGGCAGAGTGCAGTCTACCTCCGCTCAGTTAACCATCTTCACTGAAGTGGCTGCCGAATTTTTCATATGTCCCCTTATCAACAGATTTTGGCTCTTTCTCCGCGACGAGCAGGCAAGGGAAGAGCGTACGTCTCATCATCAAGACCGGATATGGCAATATCGCGCTGCTGGGACGGGATTAATACTCAACCCGGTTGTGTTATCACATTTCATTGCCACTCTCGCAGTGCTTGTCCATGCCGCGAGGAACGCAAAAGAGTGGCTCGCTGTTATCGCACCTGATGCGTTGGAATTGGCGGTGACGTTGGGTACAAGGCCCATGTCCAAGTTGGAAGACGAGGACGAGGAAGGGAAGAAGGTCAAGCTCGACGTACATGAAGGCCTGACGGACGGGGGCGACTGGAGAAACAAAGAGGCAGCTGTTCTTAGCGTAGCCTTAGAGTTGACGCTGGTTGTGCTCGACGGAGCATTGGATCTCGACGGCGGTCGTACTCTGGGCTTAGAGCACACTGCGCTGCTCCTGGGAGCAGGTGAGTGGGCTGGGAAGGTTTTCGGCCTCCTGGACAAGGGCTTCAAGCTCGGCGGAGGTGGAGGAGTGCAGGAGGTTCGCTTGAGGAGGGCAGCTGCTGGTGTTCTCTTGAAGGTGGACGAACTGACTTCAAAATGGAGAAGATCAATGATCAGTCTGTAGCAGATCTTCCATCTGTATTGGCTTGTGATATGTATGTAAAATCCTTCTCGTGCTTCCACCGTGCAAAATCCCAGAACCTGGTATAAAGGATCCAACCGTACGGGCTTGCTTCTCGGTCCGAGTGCTTCCCAGAAGGCGGTGTTTGGCTTTGGATACGCGTATGGGGCCGTAATTTACGCGAAGCACGTGACCTCTTTAAATGACCGGAGCGCTCGTAACCGCGACTGCCACACTCCGCCGTTTACCTTTACCATCATACTACTCCAGCTTCTCCACTCTCAGACATGGTTACAATGGATATTGAGATGCACTCTCCTACACGGCGGACAAAGGTTCCGAAACGAGCCCGTTCTCCAGGATCACCTGGCCCCTGCAATCGACCCCATGTGCGTGCGATCCACTGCTATGCAAACGCTGCTGGTCTGACACCAGAGATCTACCACTTATTTTACAGAAACGAATCTCTTTAGGACTCGGAGAAGTGCTGCCTGCGCCCTTCGCCAGGCCGTGGCCTCACGCTAACTCACGACAACCCACCGAGGAGTGGGTGATGCAAGCTCGAGCCCTCAGAATCGACAGCCCTGACCTATCTTCCATTCCCATGGGAAGTTCACATGATACGTGTGTCCCTCAGGATACTATCGTGAGAGAGGACGAGACCATGGTGAGTCCCTGTTTTCTTTGGATGGGTCATGCCGGTAACCGGTGGGAATCGCTTGTTGCACAGACACTTGACACGGAAGGAAATCATCTGGTACAACGAAGATCAAGAGCTCCACTGGAAAACTCAGGCCTTCAGCCGACACCAAGCAATCCATACCTTTTGCCACAGAACAGTGATCCCTTGGCATCTCCTGCACCGCAGTACAACCCACTCTCGTCATCGTCAAATATGTCGATGCCACCCAATGCCACCCAATCCATTCCCAATCAGTACACGATTACAGAGCATCAGTGCCTCTCTAGTTTTAGGCTGATGACAGATTTTCCGCGGCCTGAGGCAACACGGGTACCGATATCCAGCATAAATGCAACCCTTGCCAGCAAGAAGCCTCGGTTTTCTATGGGCCCTCGAGCCGACTGCGAAAAATGTCGCCTGGGAATCAAGGGTCACTCGGTCCATCTTGATTAGCTGCCTAACCATCTACGTCTTATCCTTAGCATGTCCACCCAAACCGACGCTGGCCCGCAGAATTCTCCCCAGTCCTGACCTTATGCATCGGCTTGTTGGCTCAGATTGTAATGTTTGTGATTCGCCCAACTTTACTCACCCGCGTAATGCATTCATTGTCATGGCCCGCTCATCTGTTGGGATTCGTCGGGTTGTGACAGCCGCTGCACATGTAACATACAGGAGCATGCATGTCCATGCTACATTCGCCTTTCACGATCCACCGCATAGTTAGTCCAAGTGATATCACTTGGACCGTCTACAATTGACCGGTGAAATCGGTGAGCTGTGCGCTAGGTATGGCTGCGGGATATGCCCTCCTCTGAGACCTCGTCATGGTCTCCTGTTCGTACGCAAATGCGTACCCAATCAGGTTGTATTCACTGTATGCAGTGCCAAGGAACGACAATCCAAAGGGTACGCCGGGTGCGGGATAAAAGGTTGCCGGTCCCGTAGACTGCGCTGTGGTATTGTCCGGATAGAATCCTAAAGGAACTGCGGAGTACGGGGTGTGGGGTGCTTAGTATGAGTGCAATGCACTAAAGAGTGCTTTTCTCACCCGTGATTATAGGGTATCCGGCTATGGCTGTCCGGAGAGGTAAACATGAGACCATTCAGGCAGACTGATCGCTCACCTGCAGGTACAGCCGCATAGCCAGAGGCGGGGAGGACAAGAGCATCCAGATTGTACTTCTGGAGAGCAGCATCTATCCCTCGGGTCCTACCAAGGTCGTGGTCAAAAGCAAGGGCCTGATAGTACGTCGAGTTGAAGTCGTCTGTTGTTTCTGCTTCGATGAGTCTAACACAGATAATTGTAAGCCCTACAATGAATATCCGCCCTTGGGTGCTGTATAACTAACTTACACCGATTGATCTGTATAGTTTGTTGGCTCTTCCAGTTGTGGGTTTGCATCGTTGAAGGCGATAAGGTCCGCAAGGCTGCGAACGCCTGAAGGATTGGTGTATAAAGATTGATACCATGCATTCAGTTGCACCTTGGACACCGATGTTAAATATCATACTGGCTGCCTTCATAGCGGCTCACCTTAAAATCTACGTCCAAGACAAGCGTCTCATTGTTGGATGCAGCTATTTCGTAGGCAGAAGGCAGATCGGCAGGGTCTACGATTACTGCACCCAAATCCCTCAGGGTCTCCAAAGCGGTGGCATAGGCACTCAGGACCGTCTCATCCAAGCCTGAATATGATGGTTCCAAGAACATCGCTCTGGGTACGCCGATTCTAGCTCCTTGGAGGGCGCTAGCGTTCAGTGCAGTCAAGTAATTCGGCACAACGTTTGGTTGCGTCAGAGTGAAGTTATCATTTGGATCAGGTCCGGCAATAACGGAGAGGACAATGGCGGCGTCGGTAGTTGAGCGAGTCAAAGGGCCAACTGTATCCTGATGCTCGGATATGGGGATTACTGCCGCGCTTCAGATACCATGGCATACATTATATCATCAGAGGATTGACTGACCTCCTGCTCGAGATGTCAAGCCCACTGTTGGCTTAACTCCTACTATATTATTCTGGCTAGCAGGACAAGTGATGCTGCCATCCGTCTCCGTTCCGAGGGTGACAGCAGCAAGCCCGATAGATGCAGCGACGCCAGAACCAGATGAAGAACCGCAAGGATCTGCCCCTGGATAGTATGCCCCGGTGGTTTGACCGCCGCAACCGGACCAGCCATTGGCAAGATTACCCCTCATGTAAGCGAATTCTGACAGATTCGCTTTGCCTGCATAAGTGTTCCATGAGCGAGGACGCTCCACATTATAGTACAAGGCCTACCAAGGATGATCGCCCCCGCGGCACGCAAACGCTTGATCACCCCAGCATCTCCGCGAACAATAGAGCCCTGCAGACTGTAGGAACCAGCGGTCGTATTCATTCCCTCTGAAGCTGTAGTCGCTATATTGTCCTTGACGAGAATAGGGATTCCATGTAAGAGACTCCTAGGCCCGAAAAGCCGGCGTTCAGCATCCAGAGCAGCAGCTTCTGCAAGGGCAGAAGGATTCGTCTCGATGACTGCCCTCAAAGAAGGGCCGACGAGATTCACTTCGCGGATTCGTTCGAAGTACGTCTAGGGGATGACTCAGGCCCGCTCATAAGTATCTGCATGTAGTATTACGCACCTTGACAAGATCGATGCTGGTGAAAATACCGCATTCCAGACCCGCTTGCAACTCGGTAACGGACGCATCGTAGAGGTCCGGCAGACCAGAAGTCTGATTCCTTAGAACCGATTCCAGCTTCACACCTCCAGCAAGTACTGCATGACTCTGGCGGACATGCGCTGAGATAGAGATCAACAGACATAGACCGCATCTAAGGACAGACAGCATCGTGCCAGTGCCAGTGCGGATCTGTGTGAGACGGCGCACGACAGGCCTCACCGGTTACTATTCGGTCATGTATTTATTCGAGGTGACATACCGGAACCAAGCCATGAGATAGTGTGAGAGTGGTTCACTCGAGTCTTATCTCTGAGAGTTCTTCAAGAAGCCCAGTCTTCTACAAAAATAATACTATATTGCCCAAGCTGCTCGGGAGTTGAGAAGCGAGAGGTACGAACTTCAGAAGATGCCGACGTGAGTCACACGAGAAGATAGGATAGCATGGCGTTGCAACGAAAGCGGGTACAGGGAGACCGTCGTTTAACGTCCGTCCAGTACGGCTCCCTAAGTATTGCTATATCTCGTCAAGGCTATCCTCGGATATGAATGCGCCGCAGTGCGGTTCACAGTTTCTCGTATATCGGGGCATACGGCACCAATATCAAGCGGAAGAGCCAATTATGTCCGCTATCTGTGTAGCAGGAATGGCAGCAGGGTAGGCCCTCCTTGCTAACCTCGTCTGGGTCTTCTGCTCGTATGCATAGGCATAGCCGATCAGGTTGTATTCGCTGTATGCTGTGCCGAGGAAAGATAACCCAAATGGTGCTCCCGGCGCTGGATAAACAGTGGCCGGGCCCGCACTCTGAGTTGTGGTGTTGTCGGGGTAGAATCCTAGAGGAACTGCAGTATCCTATAAGATGAATGTGCCCAGGTTGGACGATGGGTTACGCACCGGTGACGATGGGATACCCGGCGATGGCTGAATCATGGATACGTCAGATGATGATCTATATCATCGCAGATAATGTCTCACCCGCAGGAGTGGTGGTGTAGCCAGGGGCCGGAAGTACCAGTGCATCAAGGTTGTACTGCTGGAGGGCTGCGTCTATCCCGCGAGTTCTACCCATATCGTAATCTGAGGCAAGCGCCTGATAGTATGTCGCATTAAACCCGGTAGTAGCCTCCGAGTCAATGAGACTATTGATGCGATACGTATATGTTTAACCACCAGATCACCTGAAAGGCAATCACTCACATTGATTGCGATGTGTAACCGGCAGGCTCTTCGAGGCTCGGGTTGGCATTATCAAATGCGATGAGTTGCTCTAAGCTGCGGACACCCGAAGGATTTGTATACAGTGACTGATACCACGCATTGAGTTGAATCTGATGCCACTGATTCAATAAAGTCGATTCGATCAGGTAAATGATTGATTGACCTTGAAGTCAGTATTAAGGACGATCGTCTCATTGTTTGAGGCTGCAATATCATACGCGGAGGGGAGATCTGCAGGGTCGACGATCGTTGCACCAAGACTCTTCAGCGTATCCAACGCCGTCGCATAAGCCGAGAGGACAGTGTCGTCAAGGCCCGAATATGTCGGATCCAAGAACATTGCTCGAGGGACGCCAATCCTGGCCCCCTGCAGTGCATTGACGTTCAAGGCTCTCGTGTATTGAGGTACACGGTTGGGTTGAGCAAGAGTGAAATTGTCATTCGGATCCGGGCCAGCAATGATGGAAAGAACTATGGCCGCATCGGAGATAGAGCGAGTCAAAGGGCCGACTGTGTCCTGATGTTCCGAGATTGGTATCACTGATCACGGTACCTTAAGACAACAGCTGATGGCAATAAAAGTCGAGTATGCATACCTCCTGCTCGGGAAGTCAAGCCGACAGTGGGCTTTATCCCAGCCAGATTGTTTTGACTCGCCGGGCATGTAATACTTCCATCGGTTTCAGTGCCCAAGGTAACAGCAGCAAGTCCGATTGAAGCTGCAACACCGGACCCAGAGGAAGAACCACAAGGATCTTGTCCAGGGTAGTACGCTGCTGTACATTGACCTCCGCGACCGGACCAACCAGAGGCGAGATCTCCCCGATAATGAGCAAATTCAGACAGATTAGCTTTGCCTATGAGGAGACGGTCAAGCTCTCGACTCTGCTGGGATACTTCAGAGGTACTAGCCCAATATTATGGCACCAGCGGCTCTTAATCTTTTTACGACACCAGCATCCCCGGGAACGATGGATCCCAGGAGACTGTATGACCCGGCGGTGGTATTCATACCTACGAAAATTTAAAAGCTTATAACAGTCCTGAGGCAGATATTACCTTCACTTGCAGTCGTAGCAATGTTATCCTTCACCAATACAGGTATGCCATGAAGAAGACTGCGTGGACCAAAGAGTTGACGTTCCGCGTCAAGGGCCGCAGCCTCGGCTAAAGCAGAAGGGTTGGTCTCGATGACCGCTCGAAGAGCAGGTCCCTGCAGGTTGACTTCACTGATTCGCGCAAAATATGCCTGAAGGTGTGATAAGATACATCTCTACTTTCCAAAGTGAGCTGGGGCTCTTCACCTTGACGAGGTCCACGCTCGTGAATTCTCCGGCGTTCAGACCAGCTTGAAGCTCGGTAACAGTAGCCTCATAGAGGTCGGGAAATGCTGCACCCCTTCTGGTCAGCGAACTTGTAATCTCCGTCCGGACGTGCAGCCCAGAGGTGCATTGCACGATTATCAACAGGACAAGGAGTGCTCGGGTCCAGTACATCACTGTGGCTAGCAGGTACATCCTGGAGGCTGAGCTCTGCTGGGAACGCGGGAGGTAAGATCGAGTACCGCACCTGGGGTCCAGAAGAGACCTGAAAAGATATTTAACACTGAAGGACTGAGAGCACACCTCATGGTTGTTGCCCACGACCATCAGAAATAGACGGAAGAACTTCCCCAAGACATTGACGTTATCTTGCCATTATTGCACAGGACGAGGCGGATATACGTTGTTGTTCCCCGCGCATGTACAACGGAGTATTAACGGATGATTTCTTGTGGTAATGAAGTTATCAAGAGTACAGTGTACAGTGCGAATTGCCGCCGGCGAACGTAAAGCGGATACTGATAAGATACCGCGCAGTTCGAGCTGAGCGCCGTTGTGCGGATGATGCCTGTTCCAGCACCGCGAGACATCGGACCAATGGCGTACAAGCGTTGACAAACCAAAGCCAGTATGGTAGATAAGCGAACTAAAACAGAATAGACGCCAACTGTTTTTGCTATCGCCATTACGAGCCAATGACATCCGCTAGCTGAGTACTCGGGATCGCTGCACTATATGCTCTCCGAGCGAGCCTGGCCATCGTCTTCTGTTCGTACGCGTACGCGTACCCTATGAGATTGTACTCGCTGTATGCGGTCCCTAGGAAGGACAAACCGAACGGAACGCCAGGTGCCGGATATACCGTATTTGGTCCTGCACTCTCTGTCGTGGTATTGTCGGGATAAAAGCCAAGAGGAACTAGCGCGATGCAAGGTCTCAGTATCAAACGTCCAGAATATGTCCGGTTTACATACCCGTCACTATGGGATAACCCGCTATGGCTGCACGGGCCATGCTCAGAATATGGTCGAGAGAACGGAAGCAAGCACATACCTGCGGGAGTCGTGGTTCGTCCATTGGCAGGGAGAACCAAGGCGTCAAGGTCATACTGTTGCAGAGCTGCGTCGATACCATTCGTGCGTCCCAATTCGTAATCATAAGCGAGGGCTTGATAGAAAGTTGCATTGCGTCCAGTCGTGGCCTCGGCTGCGATGAGACTACAAAAGGCTAAGACTTCACGGTGGATGCCGAAGAGAGACGACGTACGTAGATTGCGAGGTATAACCGGCGGGTTCCTCTAGAGCGGGATTTGCATCATTGAAGGCTATCAAGTCCGCGAGACTCCGCACGCCTGAGGGATTTGTGTACAATGATTGGTACCACGCGTCGATTTGTATCTATTGCACGACCCGACTCAGACAACATTGATGCTGGAGGATGCCTAACCTACCTTGAAGTCAACTGCATTGACTATACTCTCATTATGCGACGCGGCAATTTCATATGCTGAGGGTAGACTCGCCGGGTCCACGATAGTGGCACCGAGACTTTTCAGCGTATCTAACGCCGTTTCGAATGCAGAAAGCACAGTGCCATCGAGCCCCGAGTAAGCCGGTTCAAGGAACATGGCACGAGGCACGCCTATTCTCGCACCCTGTAGCGCGTTCGTGCGGAGAGCCCTTGCGTACTGCGGCACGCGGAAAGGCTGAGCCAGCGTGAAATTGTCATTCGGGTCCGGTCCCGCGATGATTGACAAGACAATCGCTGCATCAGAAACAGAGCGTGTCAAAGGGCCAACAGTATCTTGATGCTCGGAGATAGGTATTACTGTATCGAAAGCAGGGATCCGTGAATGCTTCAATAAATCAAGGAGCTGAACGACATACCCCCCGCTCTGGATGTTAAGCCGACGGTGGGCTTGATGCCAGCTATGTTGTTGTGACTCGCCGGGCAGGTGATGCTGCCATCAGTCTCTGTGCCGAGGGTGACTGCAGCTAGACCAATTGAAGCGGCTACACCTGATCCCGCGGAAGACCCACACGGGTCCGATCCTGGATAGTATGCCGAAGTGCACTGTCCTCCACGACCTGACCAGCCAGATGCAAGATTCCCTCGGTAATGCGCAAACTCCGAGAGATTCGCTTTGCCTAACAGAAGAAATGTTTGAGATAAGCTCGTACAACATGCAATGGTCTCGGATCCTACCAAGTATAATCGCGCCAGCTGCTCGCAGCCGCTTTACAACTCCGGCATCGCCCGGCACAATGGACCCTAACATGCTGTATGACCCGGCCGTGGTGTTCATACCTTCTGATGCAGTGGTCGCTATATTGTCCTTAACCAAAACTGGTATGCCATGCAGCAAGCTTCGGGGACCGAGGAGTTGTCTTTCAGCATCAAGGGCAGCAGCTTCAGCTAGCGCAGATGGATTTGTTTCAATCACGGCCCGCAGAGCAGGGCCAGCCAAATTGACTTCGCCTATTCTTGCAAAGTAGGCCTAAGACACGATTCATTTCAATCACATAATCTCGTCAAGAGGATCATATGCGGACCTTGACAAGATCGACACTTGTGAACTCTCCTGAGTTCAAGCCCGCTTGCAGTTCCGTGACGCTGGCCTCGTAGAGATCAGGCAATGCGCCCTCACGCTTCGTGAGCGTCGGCTTGACTTCTCTTCCCCGAGCAGTGGCACCTGGAATGCGCACCAAGACCTGAAGCGCGAGCCCAAGACTGAGCCAGAGCATCAAGATTGGGGAAACCATCTTGCACGGGTGATGCAGGGTGCGGTCCCAGCAGCGGCTGCAGCAGACTACTTACCGCCATATAAAACCACAGTCCCTTGGCACTATCGGCCCATACACCGCATGAGTCTGAACACACTGAACACAAGGAAGCAGAGATAGGCTGGGAAGGGCCCAAAAATATAGTTCTTATCTTTCGGCGCAGGCCAGAAGCAGGCGTAAATTTGCGAGCCTTCAGAACATGCCGTAGTCAGTAATAAACAGGACGGTGCAAGAGTACATTTCTTGAGCAACTTGGAATGCCGCAGACGGCAAGTAAGAGATGTGCGGCAGGAGCGTTGCAGATAAGATAAGATGCGGTAGGAAAACAATCAGGGAAGCCTCACGGGTAACAGCAGAAGGCCAGGGTTAGGTCAGAGCTGAGTAAGCCGATGTTCAGGCCTGACAGGAACAGACCAGTGGGTTCGATATAGGCGCTGCACGGAAACACCTGATAGCAACAAAGCAGGCCGGGCCAAAGTGCAACATCTGCAGTAGCACGCTAGTACAGTTCCAGGGTGGCGCAACCGGTCCGCTCTGGCGATATGGGTGGTAGAGTGGAGAATCCCTGGCTTCGCGCCCGGAACTCCGATGGACTCTAGCCTGGAGCCAAATAGCAAGCGCTACTCTCCACGCGAGCTGATTGCGTATACTCAGTCCTCCAGTGCCCGAAGAGAGCGTGGATCTACATAAGTCATGAGATGGCCTTGGGAGAGTGACGTGAAGACTGTAGCGCATACACTCGGATATGACGGATCGCGTTCATCCTTGATGAAAATAGGAACAGGAAGCCTCCGGGTGGGCAGTCAGATGTCCTGATGCAAGCTGGAGTAATATCGCAAGTCCATCATGATTCGGTACACTGTCTCCAGCAGAGCTGGGTAACTGCGGCCAGCTCGGAGTCCTCTAGAGTAGACAGTGGACGAGTTGCGATTACGATAGGTATGGTCGGAGCTACTTGAGTAGCCGTCGACACGCTGAACATGACCCCATGGAGGTGGGGTTACGATTGAAGCAATTAGGGTTGGCATATCCGTGGTCAGCGCTACCGCATCTTACGCCATCGATACCGTTGGACTTGGCTCGTGTTTCCAGGACGAATGAATAGACTGCGCAACATAGCCACCCATACGGATCTTGAAGAGGTAGAATCGCGGCGTCTGCCACCCTGTGACGTCTGAGTAGGATAATCCCACCGGATTGTTGAGAGTATTGGCAGGATATGGGAAAGATCTACCAAGCTTCGGTGTGGGAGTCAGTGCGACAGAGACAGTGACGTGAACTGTAAAGGCATCTTGACACCGAAGTCCCTTCGTGTTCGTCAAGTATATCGAATAGGACGTAGAAGTTGCCGGGATATCACGACAGAGAGCTGCGAGGCGCAGTGCATATCGCTGCTTGGCTCAGACTGCAGCGCGCGGCGTACGGAGGGGCAATCTGTTCGCAATCGCCAGTCAAGTACTTTGACGATGGTCACGACTCTTCAGGAGATGAAAAGGCGTTCTTGCAATCGCTGAGTGGGCCCGGATTTCGGATCTTGGTCGAAGATCATGCATGGCTATTGCGTATTCGGTGGGGATGAAATCGTAAGGTATGTCCGACAGATCTCAGATAGGATATGCAACGCCCATGACACAACGGCAGGCGTGCAGAAAACGCAACTCACCCATTTCAAGGCGACACGTCAGCGGTTGCGCAAGGACCGGAAGTAGACAGGGTAAATTGGGAACGCTGGGAGACGTTCAGTATGCCTTGGACGTGAATTACCCCGCGTTCTCCGTCCATCGTTCCGTCCCTTATTGACATCTCCGATCCGAACGATTGGCGTGGTACGGCAGACCATGCGAACGAAAGCAAGCGGTCGTGCTCGGATTGATACTGCTGATGCTCTCAGGAGGGAAGATAGGAGCATACCCGGGTGTCACGAGAGTTGAGCTGGGGACGCCTGTTAGGCACCCCCGCAAAGGAAGCGATCCTATTCCAATTACCCCGGACGAAGCCTTGTTGAGTGCTGTAAAGCTTGACATAAATGGCGAGGATCCGAGGGAGGCAGTTTCGTCAGACACGCCTTCTTGTACATAAGTGAGTCCATAAGGGTATTCAGTCTGCAAAACTTGGCTCGACAAGCTTGAATACGAGTGGATGACTTTCCGTAAGCATTTAGAGTCGTTTTCTATCCTAGATTCGACTCGAAATGCATCAGCCGAGATGCCGCCTTGTCACGCTCGCCAATTTTGATGGTGGTCGTCGAGTTGAAGCTGTCTGCAAACTTTATTTTGTCAAGGGGGTCCGACCCCCCTCTTCAGACTCGCGCTCGCCTCTAAAGGCTCGCTTAGCCTCGGTTAACGTTCGCGTATCATGCCATTATATACCAGTGCCTTCCGTGTTTAGCCACTTTCCTTCCTTACATAGTAAGCCGCCATCAATAGCGTGACTGAGGGCTTGTGGCGTTACGGATAGGAGAAACACCTCTATCCTGTCTATCGGCCGTGCGAATGACCGTGACAAGGCACTGTGATGGCGTTTAGGACGGCGAAATCTAGGATTTTTCCTTACGGAAAGTCATCCAGTATAAGTCTTGGTCGCCCACGGTCGTCATAATATCTTGCGCTCATGCGATACCGGTCGATTTGATCCAACGCATACGCCGACGAAAGAAAAAAAAATAAGTCGGTATGGTACCAGAGCAATACCAGGTCACAAGGCAGGGAGTCGATCAGCGTTCAATAGAGCAGAATCACCGGCCTTCAAAGCAGTTCTGCCCGTTTCGGGAAGGTGGAGTCCAGAGGTGTTGATGCCGTCCACGTGTTTCTTCAACGCCGTGCCTTCTCGGCTAGTCGCGTACAGAGTCTGTTGTCCCGAGTTTGATCTCGTTTCGTTCGGACAGTCCGGTCCCTTGCGCCCCTGCTCTTGACCACTGATCGCCTGCGACCCATGACCTCTTGAATCACGCCCGTGCCTGCGTACAGCGTCCGCCGCCTTCACTAGGATGGATCGTCTTCACGTACTCCGTTGTTAGAGGCAATCCGAGACCCTTGACTTTGAGAGCGAATGCCGTTACTGTACCATCGGTGAGTCCTTTGACCGCGTTTCAATTGACTGAACTGCTTACCTGGCCGCTGCATATTGTCCTCAAACTCTATAGGACTGAATCCAAAACCAACTCGAAACCTTGAAGGCATTTGTATTTTACCGCCTCCGAGTCCGCAGTGCTCTGTCGGCCGACTTGAAGCAGTGTCGGATACTGCATGTGTTCGCGAAGGCAGTGAGAACGGTTAGGTCTTTGCACATGTCACCTGCTCTCCTGCTTTGCCTCGCCAAGGCGCGGACCGACTGGACGAGCGGACCACGGCCAGAGTCGGGATTTCATATCGGTGGCCCGAGGGTGTCAAACTTCGACGGGCTACACACTCGGACGTAAGAAACAATCAGTGCTGAAATAGTAAGTGGTCCCAATGAGACGGGCTGGACAATAATCCTATTCTACTCTATCTTGTCCGTTTTCCGACGAAGCTCTATTTCCTGATTACCCGTTCCTGGTGGACCTGTTCCGTGCCAGACGCTCGCATCCCCATATGCTCCGTCGAGCTATGAATGCCTGCGATCCTAGATCACGGAATATTGAGTGCCTGATACGTTGTCTGGAAATATGCATGTCTCATGATTTCACCCAGTGCGCAATGAGTGCGGGTACCAGCGGGGAAAGGCCGGACCGCCAGATGTGTAAGCTGGACCCATATATCTCGCTGGGAACATTGAAAGAAGAGTCCGGACAGCATCAGGCCACGTTGACTGCTGTTTCTCCTATCTATCAAGACGGGCTTCCTTCATCTTCCTTGCAGTAACCTAAATAGAAGACTACAGCGCCCATGCCGGATCTTGTGCGTTGAAGCTTATCCTCTTGCGCCTAAGAAGCCGTGGCTTGCGAGCCTGTGACTTCGGGGGTGTAGGAGCATTTGGGACTTGTGATGTTCGGGGCATCGTATCTTGTATACACTTCAGCTCCACTAGTGCGTGCTTCTCACTATTTCCTCTTCCGGGGGCAGATCTACGTGCTGGTGGCGAACAAGTGGATTGAGATTTGATTGCAACCCTTTACGTTGTGCGGAGCGTGGCAATTGTTTTCCTACGATGCCAGACGAGCAGCAAGTCATCTGCCACAAGTCGGCTTCCCGGTATGCTGTTTCTACCCTCGGTTACAGGGTAGCACGATCGCGGGGCGCTGATTTCCTTCTATACCTTATGTAACGATCTATGGCGGGGAAGGGACCAGTAAAATGTCAAGAAAGACATGCGGAGAAGGGGTGCAACATTCCGAGGTCCTCCGTTGGACTGCTGTAATTAGGTTTCATGCTAGACACCCTGAATTCGTCAGAACCGCGGCTGTTTCCCGGAACAATCATTCTTGAGCGGGAGGTCGCGAAACTATAAGAGGTGATACAAAATGTACTGCTATAGCCAGATCCTATAGCCCTGACCGGCACCGGAGCCATACAAAAGGCCGACCTTACCTGCACTTCTGTCTCACCTCCTCGACAAGTCCCCCGCCTGCCCACCATGTCGCACCCCGTCCTCGCCTCCTTCGACCCCTTCGCTGTCCACCCATTCACCAGCAACAAGGGTCTCGCCCCCAAGCCACCGCAGCCGTCGGGCTACCCTGCCCCCATCCCGACGCCGTCGATGCTCGTCCCATCAGCAGCAGCACCCGTGTCGCCCTCCTCGTCGCCCCCCTCGTCCCAGACCACAGTCCACGCGCCCAGACCGCGCCGCGCCAATAGCCCCGGGTCATCTGGCTCGTCCACCCTGCGCCAGCAGCCCATCTTCGTCCCGTTCCGTCCGGAGCGTTCATCACCAGACCTAGGAGACATACTCCTCAAGAAAAAACCCGTGCATGGCTTTAGCTTCGGCTCGGAGCCGTCGACGCCGCCAACGATGTCGATGAAGAGCAGTGACGCAAAGGCGAAGCACTGAGTCGGGCGCATGTGATTCCCTTGGTATACCCGCGCGATGACATCGTGAGTTCCAGTCTCTTCCGTTCTTATCGTCTCCATAGATGTTGATCCAGTCTTGTCCTTTCAGAGCCATCGCCACCACTTAATGACGGAAATGAAGTCGAAGAAGCAAGAAGATCGTCTATGCTCCAAATTGGAGCAAGCTTATGTCGCAAGAGTGCGGGGCGACGCGGGGATCCGGAGAGATGGATGTCAAAATGAACTCAGTCCGCTGAGTGTTCAGAAGTGGCAAAAACTGTACTTGTATGGCATGTCGGATTCACATTCTTGGGACTTTTTTGCATGATGCATCGTATACCTTATCCTCACTGTTTTGCTGTTCCCACATCCCCGTCTTCATGTTCTGCTTACCATTCCCCGATAGCGTACGCACCTTAACACTGTACCATCACCTTCTATCGCCCTAATCATAATATGTATATGCCTACGTCAGGCCTGCCTCGACCTCCTCGACCACCGGCACTGCCTTGTGATAGCGTGTATACGCGCTGCTATTGCGAAGAGAACATATACTTGCTTGCAGCAAACTTTGAAGGACGTAACGATGTTAAAGATAGATGGGAAACGTTCGTGATTTTCATCTCGAATCCAAGGAAGACGGTGCGCACTGAATACATCCTGAGAGCGCGTCTCGCCAAGCCCTAACGCCCTGCAATCTCATAGGTAGCGCTGTGGAACCAGACTGCTCGCGAGGGAATAGTGGTATGGGACTACCACGTCATTCTCGTCCTTCGGCCTCGTCCTGCCAAGATAGATCGTATGGATCGGAGCCACGATGAAGAGGATGCTGCATCATGGGTTTATGATTTCGATACGCAGCTCCCCAGACCATGCACAGCGAAAGGCATGGACTCTCGTGTTCCACAAGGATGAGACCCTAAAGCGCACGTTAGACTATATCGCAGGAACATTCCCTTCGGGCGACGAGCTCCCCACAGAATACCAAAGGTACGAGAACACCATGGAATGTTTGACTTAGTGCATGCCATATCTGATCGAACGACCCGATCCAGTCTCTTCCGAGTCATACCTGCCCAAACGTACCTAGATAATTTTGCGTCCGACCGCTCGCACATGGTAAGTAGACTTTCCCCCACCCCCGCAAGCATCAGCTTCCCCGCCTGAGAAGTTCTCAGTATCTCATCTGCATGCATTTCAACAGCTCCGAGTTCAGCTCGGCGATGATCATGATCAGGGCTATGACACCTTGCAAGAATCCAGCGGACATGACGGGGACGCAGGTCCAGACCGTGATTTGGAATATGAGAACGCTCGAAGGCCATTAGCCGAAGCTCTGCCACAATATGTCTCCCCTCCGCCGGAATATGCCCCTATATGCGGTCCGCTCGCAAAGCAGAAGGGCCTGAAGACTAATCTGATGGACTCCTTTGTCCGCATGAGCATAGAGAACGTACCCGACGACCATGGAGATGATGCCCGAAGAGCAGAGACATACGGTTCAGTACTTGGTGTACGGGACTTCGTGAGGTGGTGTGAAAGCAGGTGAGAACCGTCGAAGATGGATCGCGCAACATGCAGCCACCGGGCAGGCCGCAGCGGCGTACGACCGTAACGTAGGCTGGGAAGCTAGAGGAATGGCAAGGAAAGAGTGTGGTCGAATAGGTGCCTGGCAGAGGACATGTGATGACGTCGAAGCTTCGGACTTGCGCACTGTTCCGAGGCGGCTTCCCGTACCTGCGCATGCAGTAGTCTAGCATTACCGGAGCGATGAGGGTCCGTGAATCATGCGAGACGCGATGACGTCCAGCGGGATACGTGCAGAACATGGGCCGGTATGGGCTGGTACGGACCGGGATGGACAAGGAAGGCACAATATCTGGAACCTCTGGAATAAATCGGCGGAACCATGGTCCTTTATCGGGATTTGAGGTTTCTCTGGGACGGGTCCTATGTGCATGAGCGCGTCGACATCCCGGAACAAAGCCACACAGGATGAATGGTAATGTAATATTATTAGGTGATCAGGTCTATACAACCGCGGGTTAAGGTATAATGATAAGGCGGAGAGCACCTAGACTGAAATGACATTTCAGGTCGTGAAAGAAGGCGGAGGTAGGAATAAACGCACGTATAGGGACGCTGAACGCCCGAGGGGCTTCCTGCTCGATACGCGCGTCCGTTTCATCATCTGTATCGTCTTGGTAATCCACGTCGTTTATTTTGCCTGTCGTACAACCCACACCCTAGTAAAAGGCACTTACCGCTGCTATATGAGCTCCCTTCCTCATCTTCTATGCTTGAGAGGTCCCTTAAGTCGTGATCCTCACGCAACAACCTCAAGGTTTGTATGACATCTAAAAGGTCCTGCTCCACTCTATCTTGTGCATCGGCTCGGAATTCCTCTAGTTTCTCAGCTATAAGGGTGAGTAAAGGGTCGCTCCTGTACAGCAGAAAGTCTCGGAACCAGTCCTGTGACACGGGGTGTCGCGGACTGGGCATCCAGAGACCCCAGCGGTGGCGGCGCCAGGCAACATTGGCTGAGAACCAGGATCATTACTTGACAACCCTGACTTCAGGTTCACCGTACTCACTGGTGAATGAGCACATGGTCAGCGTTGGGCAGGCTTTGCCCAGGTCGTTTGCGAGCCGGTAGTCCTCGTTCATAGTGTCGAGGGTCGGCTCGTCGTCCAAGTCGTGGCCGACGTGAGCAAGCGAAATACCCTGCAGCCGCTTGAACCCGGGAAGCACGTCTTTCAGAGTGTCGACAAACGCCTGGAACGTCATGACTCTAACCACGGGCTTCGCGCAAAATGCAACAGGCCGCGTACCTCATATGCACCATCAGGAGATATCTGGATGAATGCATTATTTACAACGTGGAAGAACTGAATTTCGCGTAAATGTGTCGCGACTGAATGCAGGATATCGGAAGACCAGAATCGAAGTGATGTAGTGAAGGCTACGATTGGCTTCGGCGAGCGTGCCAATGCTTGCAAAACATCATCCATATGGGCGGCATCTGCTCTCTCCCATAAGATGTTAACATACTCGACCGGAGAAGTTGGGACAATGACCGGGAACGTCGAACTGCGCGATGTCAAAGTGGACAGCGCCGGCAAGGTGATGGGGGTGAGTGCAGGTGGGACTACATGGTACGAAGGATCAAGAGCGATGCGTAGGTGCCTTATGCTGGGATGGCGACGCAAGAAAGCAACAGCTTCCGGATCAAGATTCAGATAGGCAAATGTCTCCAGGTCAGGGAAGGCGCACTTCCGCAGCAGAAGACCGTACTCGTGACGCTCGCTGGAGATAGCAAGGGACGTAACATTCGAGCAACGGCACAGAGCATTCTGTAAAAGATCATAGAAAGATTTGAAGCGCATATTTGGGCCCCTGTGACCACAAAAGATAAAACATGCTTACATATGGGAGACGATCTTCAGAGCACTCACATCGAGGTTACAGACAGCCTCTTGACAGACTGTGCGGCGAGAGGACTGCTTATAAGTGATCTGCATGCTTTGACCAAGACATCAGGCGACTTGAGATCCAAGTTACGATACACGCGACGCGTCGAGACGGCGTTTAACAGCTTGGACACTTGGGCGAGAGCCAAGCAGTCGCTAAGATGCGTTTCCTCTATTACGCCCTGGACGAGCTCCACAGGCAGGTCGCCAAATCCTGCGCCTATCCAGCCCATGGCCGAAGACCTGTCCGCCGTCCGCGAAGCGGGAGACAAAGCTGTAGACGGAGAAGGTGGTGAGCGTATACGGCAACTGTGACGGCAGCTTTCGAACCTGCGTGACCTTTGGCGCCTCTCCAATTGTCGCCCGACTTCATTTCCCCGCACTTGTTCCAGTCCATGCCATCCTCACAAAATTACTTGTAATACCTAGTGCTTTCTCTAGTACATCATGAACACCGCTCTCTCGCCCCAGCCGTCCGCGCCGCCGTCCGTCAATGGCCACGCCGGCCTCGCCAACGGACCATATCACGATTCAAACGGAGACTCCGCGGGTTCCACGTCCTTTGACACCCAGCCTATGAATGGGTATTCACAACAGTGCGTGTCTGGTAGTCTTGTCGGATGGGCAGCTGTGCGCTGTGCGAGGAGACGCTCATCGGGGATATGACAGAAATCCCTTCCAAGCACACAACGATGAAATAATACGGCACCTATACCATTCCGGGTTCCAATCTGGCGTGCGTGTTCTGCTTCACAAATCACCATGCGACGCATACTGACGATCTTTTCCTCTAGAACTATGCCGACACGTTCCTAGTCGGTATACTGAGATAGACTTCTGTATCAAATCTGACTCGAGTTTTCTTCAGCACGTTGGCGGGCATGTCTACCGACTACACGCCATTATACTATCAAGATCACCCTACTTGGCGCATCTCATGTCGACATCACCTCAGACAACTCCACACGCAATCTACGTTAATCTAGAACACGAGCCTGAAGTGACTCAAGAGGTGAGCCACACGCCCTTAGGCCCGTTGAAATCTCTTGAGACGGTCATTGACATTCCTGCTGCTCAGGGTTTCGCGATAGGTGTGAAAGAGCCGCAGACAGTCATAAATCCTGATCGTACTTACATGCTCTCGTCTAGCTCTCGGCTACCTCTATTCTTCTGTTTCCCTCGATCTAATTCGACCAGAAAACGCGCGGGGTGTCCTTGCCGCCGGTTGCTTACTCGGGGGTATGGACGACCTTTGCTCATATGCCTACGAGGTCTGTCGACAATCCATCACCGTTGACACCATAAACGACTGGGTCAGTTTCGTCGACACTATGCCTTCACCCTCGGTGTCTGGCGTGTCCACACCTGTGGACATACCTCCTCCCGCCTCAATATTCGGACTGTACGCGCAGAGGTTACGTGAAGACGTCTTCAACTTCCTTGTCGTAACCCTGCCGAACACTCTTGGCATCAGTGCCACAAGCTCGCCCACCCAAGCGGACCAGAGCAAGACGGGCCGGGATACACTGCTGCACATATTCTCCCGTGTCCCCTTTGATCTGTTCAAGGCTGCTGTCGAAGCTCCGCAATTCCAGATTGGTGAGACGGTCCTGGCAAAATCGGAGCAAGGATCACACTGACATGGTAATTGTGGCCTAGGATCCGACCAAGCGAGATTTAAGTTCGCTAAAGAAGCCATTGATCTGAGGAAACGGGGTGTTGCTCGTGGATCCGGAGCAGAAGAGACGGTAGTTCTTGCTTTCGGGGCCAGCCCTGCGGGTGGAAGTACAGTTCACGTCACCCGGAAAATGCGCAAGCGCCCCCTCTGGAAGGTGAACTCCCCATCTTGAAGGGCGGTCGGGATATGCTGGGTTGCGTTCGTCTATATCGTTTGTTGTCTGTTGCTACACATTGCAATTGAACAAGGCGCTCATGTGCAAGGACTGGATGAACAAATTTCCCCACGTGGTGCGGAACCGAGAGGACGGCTGGGAAGTTACAAGGTCAGATAAGGTTCTGTCTACAACATGGCTTTTAGCACCGGAAAATGCCTGTTTTTACCTTTACGACAGCTGAACGCCTTCGCGATCAGCAGTGGTATGTGTTCGTCTACCGTCCAGCGTAATGTGGCCTTGGGCACTTGAACGCTCTTTCTCTGCGCCACATACACTATCATTATCAGTGCTTCTTAACAGGGTGCCCTTGTAAGCGCTCATCGATATCTGTTGCTTCCCAGGCGTGCACGAGCTAGCCCCAATCACGGGAGCGAGGCATCCTGCCGCAGAGGCCGTTACATATCAAGGACATGTTAGAGTTCGCCCATGTTTGCTTATACATGAACTGTCTTTACTGTCTATGATGTCTCAGCCTGTCTACAAGCTGTATTTTACCGGACGCGATGACCCACGGAACGGGTGTATCGTGATCGGTGAGGATACGAAACCCATATTCTTTCGTTTCGACACCCCAGACATCTTCATGGGCAATGCGCGTACAGCAGTATGTGATTCTGTGGAAATTTCCCTCCGAGCTGCAGCAGTCAATTGTTTGCGTAGGTCACCAAGGGGAACGGGGATATGGTCGCTTTCTTCGAATGGACGGGAACAAGCCATCCTGGTTCAGCCACCATCATCGGCGACCGTCAGATCCCTATGGGGCGCCTTGTTATGACCAATTTACCGTTTACGCCGCCGTAAGCACCACCCATGCACGTCCTACCTATCTGGCTGAACCCCTCTGTCGTGTACAGTGGGTCGCGAGTATTTGAATCAAGCCGTGGTGGACGGTACGCTTGGAGAAAGCCCGGCAATGGCTCAAACGCCTACGATGTACGTCGAGACCCAGTTATGTACCCTCGCAATTGACCTACGAAATGCCACAAGTTGTTAGCTCTCCACCCACAGCCGGAGGTCCAGCCTGTACCCATTGGGATTTACCGGCGCTTTGTTCAGTGGACGCCGATAGGTCCCTCATATGCTTACATGCAATACACATTCGACGACGACGTCCTATTGCTCGACTCATTGCTTGCACTGTCATTGAACCGCTGGCTTGATCTCCAGGGATTATGATAATTTATTACTGACATTCTCTATGTTTCGTTAGTCCCAGACATTACACGTTTAAGTAATATACCAATGTATCCCGGTTGTCCCTGCGGACTGCATAACGTTGTACTAGACACAGGGTAGATGGAGGCAAGATCTCCGTGAAGATGACCAAAAATAAAGTCAGCAGAGTAAATGATCACGAACTGTGTCCCATCGAGCCAAGCATCTGCTCCAATCTAGCCTCCACGGACAAACTTGTCTCAGCCTCGGAATGATCGTGCCCACGAGATGCGAAATTGAACGAGCCGGCATCCAAACCTTCAGACAGGTTCTCGATCAAACGCCCAATCTGCGCCGGAGAACTGTAGAAAACCTAGCAGTATATGAGCATATGACCCAAATGGACGAAGTTGCGAAGAGCTTACTTTAGTCTCTGGACGGTTTTGAGCGAGCGGGGATTTCTTATGAGAAAGGTAGGACGTGTTGCTACCCTTGGAAGATTTCCTTCCGTGCTCTTTGAAGAACACTTGCATTCCGTCCTGACTTGAGTCATGTAGAGAGTATTCTGACAGGAAGCTCGCTCGACTGGCGTATATCGACTCGCCATCATCGTCACGTAAGCCATTCACGATCGACCTGACGTTCCCATCGTAAGAAATCCAAAAGATGTAGTCTTATATCAAGGTAACAAACCATATGGTCTCTCCATTTGCCATCTCCACTACTTCGATGGCGGGAGGTGGCTCAGTAGTCGACGGTCGTTCAGAATCAACTCCGGGTAATGTATCCCTCTCATGCGAACCCGCAGCCTGGGCTAAGGGGGCTTTACCCTCACTCGCGTACATATCATACCTGGAAGAAACTTCAGTGGTGAAATGTAACATCGTATTTATCACAACCTACAAAGAGTCATAGGCAGAGCTTGACTTCTCCAATGGCGCGGCAAAGCTGGACAGCGGCACTTGAAGATTGCCATCAGGTCTCGTCGCCGAACCGGTCGAAGGTAGCTGAGGTACAGGAGGAGATGCTTCGTTAGAGAACCGTCGGGTCGCCGGAGACTTTGGTGGCGGCGGCGTCGGGGCGCGGTCATGAACCGAACGATTTGATTGCGCTGAGGTAGTGCTGGTGGGCCGCTGTCGTTTCGAAGTCTTGCGTGTCAAGAGGCTCCAGTCAATCGCAGAGGCTCTAGTATCGGACGGCATGATGATGGTTCTTCGTACGATGGCATTGGCTGGCAGCTTCTCCTCGGCGTCTCTGCGCTGCGTCTCATTGTCCTTGGCCTCAGTACGATTTCGCAAAGACAGCTTTCGTGCTACGTTCTCAGCGGGCCGAGCGAAGAAACTGTCTAGACTGGGTCTGCCATCGGATTGCATCGGGGAGCGCGCTCTATCCCAAGTCGAAGGCTTCTGACTACGGATGCTCTGAGCGTGAGAAGTGTTTCTGGTTATCCTGGACGTCGAAGGACGTGACGATGTAGAAGTAGAACGGACAAGTAGATCGCTCAGCGCCTCCTGATCTAGGCCCAAGTTAGAGGCAGCATCGAAGAGCTGCTTCAAAGCCTTCTCATCTTGATCTGACGGCGTTGCCGCCATCATCGAAGAGTTCGACTGATCTGTCGCACCTGACGGAGTGAGTTTGGAGGGCGAATCATGGTCTAATGAAGGCACGGTCGGGAATTCTGTATGATGAGCCGGAGCCGAATATATTTGAGCAGCAGTATTGCGCTCGCCGGGGGGGAGCGTGACGGAAGATGCGCCTGCCGAGGTATACGCAACCGGACCCGACCTTTCTTGTTCGGGCAAGAAGTCGGCGTTGCGCGGTTTACGCCACCGCGATATCAGTCCTCTGAATCCGGGTGCTGATGCAGGAGGACTAGGCAACGTCACTTTGACGTTAGGGGCATCTACAGCACTCAGTGGCAGCTGCATGCTCGGTACTTCGTGCTGAAGAGCTTGATCATCTCGAGCAGGCGGCGATTGGTTGGGCTTGAGATCCAGAGGGAATGGTGTGACTTCCTCGCCATTTAGTGCCGGCGGTCTCTGTCGGAATGTACCGCGTATCCTGCGTATCCGTTGTCCAATCTTGGATGTATTCGCAGCTTGTGCGTGGCCCGCAACGGGTGATGGACTAGGGAGGGGAATGGCATCCACACTTGTGGAAGCCATAACCAGCTGAGGGGAAGAAATCTGGTTTGGATTGATGCGTTTTCGAGACTCGCGCAATTTGGAGTTGGAGGGTATCTTACGCAAAGCCGCGGTTGCTTCCTCGGCTCGCCGCTGTACATCCTTGGCCAGCTCTACAGGATCCACAAGTAAAGGACTTTTTGGAGATAGCGGAGTGACAACAGCACGTGATTCAGATTCAGCCTGTGCCACCATGTCGATAACGGACGTCGGTGTGGTATCATCGACTGAAATGACATCAGGAGTAGCGATAGATGGACCTAGTGAAGCGGCGGGAACCTCGGCGTCAAGATACGAAGGCGCAAGAACAGCTGCGCTCGAGAACTCGTCACGTTCCTGCGAACCAAATAGGACATCATCAAGATCTTTTCTGCGTCGACGAGGACTAGACGGAGAAGACGGCTCGAGCAGCGGCGAAGACTCTGCCTTGGGTTCTTCTCTTGGACTCTCAGCTTTGTCGTGATCAGCCGCGTTCAACCGGGGCGACTGTATACTATCGATGACAGAGTTGAGAAGAGCATTCGCTTTCGCAAAATTGTCTGGATTGGACGAGCGAGGCGATTGGTTCGTTGGAGGGGGTGCTTGTGGGGCAGGACTGGTGGCCTAAGGGCAACGCAGAGTTAATGTTAACTAAACTGCTACTAAGTGCGATAGAGGAACTTACCCTAGGTTCCGCAGCGTGGAGTGAATGCGAGGTAGACGGCCTTCGCCGTCTCAATGAAGGCGGCCTGCTCTCTGGCGTCGTCGTCTTAAAGAAAGCAGCTCTCACTAACTTATCCTGGATCGCGGCAAAGTCAGCCTTGGTCAAGCCAGCATAGCGGCGTATAATATCCTCCGGATCCCAGTCGTCGTCCGCGTTATTCCCTAGAGCCGCAGAATCGGTGTTGGTACTGTCTAACTCATGCCACGGAGGTTGCTCGGGGTCGAGATCCTTGAAGAGGCCGTAGACACGATCTTGCTTGCCTTCCTCGTCCCATGAATGATAGCTCGAACCTGCTGATTCAAGGGACGAGTGTGAAGAATTCGCAATTGGTGAGAACACGAGGCCATTAGGCGAGAAGGGAGAGGAAGGTTGACTTCGTCCGACAGACCGAACCCCACCATTGCGATACACGACGTCGTGATCGGCGCCCGCACCCGGCGTAGGAGATCGAGCACTGTTTTGAGTGGGCGTAGGAGAACGTACTGGGCGACTCGCCATCAAAATGGGGGAACCTAGATCACCGGCGATGGAAGAAGGTGGTCTATTGACATCTAGGGGTGACGTGCCATCAAAGCGCGACATGATACTCGTATTGCCATTGTCAAGCAGAGGAGAATCAGGGAGAGCGGGCGACCGAAGAGATCGACTAGTGGACTTCGATCTCTCGAGGTTACCATGGATGTCGGTGTTGGTATCTGTGCCACTCATAACACTGTCAGATCTACTATGTCCAGATATGCTGCCATTTGCCCCGTTGGCTCGGGGCACACTGGAAATCGAAGAGCTCGATGCCGTATTCCAACGAATATTTGATGGAGTACCAGGGCGCGACGACGGTGCATTTCGCTGATAGGAGTTACCTAAGAAAGGCGAAGCCGGTCTCCTACTTTGCGCGGCGTCACCGTTGGTAGCCTGCTGGCCAAACGAGTCTTCGCCCTTCCTTACCCTATCCTCAGGAGTGAACCGTCCATTTATGCTCCTAGCTGTAAACAAGGACGTCCCTCCGAGCGGAGAACCTACCCGATGGGGCCGAGTGGATGCGCTCGAATCCCTCCTTACAATTCCTGTGGAGAAGTTGGACGACATGCCAGTTGGCGCTCGCTCGACATATCCTGACTGCAACGGCGAAGTTGCACGGGGAGTCGTGGAATGTGACCGACCCTGGTCATCTGAGTCCAGTCCTGTATCGCGAGGGGTCATAGGCCGTGGCATCCCAGGGACATAACCAGGGAGCCTCGGAGATGTTGCTCCTGTCCGTGAATAAAGAGAAGGAGAACCACGCTGGGACTCAAAGTCCAAGGGAGCAACAGCCTTGTCGGAAGAAACAGCAGTCGCTGGCGCTTCTCTGGAGGAGTGAGACAGATGACGAACATGCTCGGACTGATGTGGTCAAGCACAGCGGACACGTGGGTTACGGCTACAAAAATGATGCAGCGTTGGAAACTCACCTTGCTAGGGCTAGAGCCTTTTTCTAAGACTGCGGACGGGGCAACCGGGGTGCGGGGCATTACAATCTCGTCTTCAGCTTCTTCCTCCATCTCGCGTATAACATCCTCTAGAGCGATAGACATATGGACAAGCTCAACAGGAGAGAACGCTCTGGAAGGTCGCCGTTCTGACGCAGTCGACCCTTGGGATGAAGCTGAGCTCTCCTCCGTGGACGTACCCGGATTCAATGTAACAGAACGAGCAAGTGGCGTCTTCTCATTAGGGCTGGAAGTAACAGAAGTGGACGCTGACGCGGTGCCTCTGTTCTCTGGAGTTACCGGCCTTAAGCTGTCGGAGTACAACGAGCCCTGGCCCTCGCCCCTCCATCCAGAGGATATATTCCCACTGCCAGATGTGTCTGTTGCCGTCGCAGAAACTGCACTGCGACCGCTGCCTATGCTCCGCTGGGAAGATACGCTTCGGCGGTATCCATAATCTCTAAGACGAGAAGAGCCGAAGATATTGTTGCTATATCTCTTGCCAGGTCGCCCGCTAGAATGCGGGGAAGACGGGGAGTACTGTACAGAGCCGGAATTCATGGTGGTTGTGGAACGCATGGATTGCCTGCCGTCTCCAAGGTCAGATGAGGCTTCAGCCATAGAGTCAGCAGAGCTATTCGCATCTCGCGTAGAAGACGAGCCATATTTGATGCGCAACCTGAGGGTCTCTAATATCATATCCTCTTGCTCCTCGGTGAGCTGGTTTTCGGCGCCTCTCGCCCTGTGTTCAGCGATGCGACTGCGTAACTCGTCCAATGACAAGGGATTCCCAGAAGATGTCCTCAGGAGAGAAAACCGTCGAGTGAGACTTCAATCAAAGTCAGTGCGTGAACTCTGGTATCTTAAAGGGCGTATAACTCTTACTCGGGCAGGATGAGAGACGTTCGGAAATCGCTTTCAGGAGGTAAGCCAGGCAAGGTGATACCCTCTGACTGCTCAGAAGGCGCCTGAGATTGGTATGACACCTGTGACAGAGCCCTCAGGGACTCTGGAACCTGGCTGCGTTTCACGTCCGACCTCTTCCTATAAGGTAGTCGCGCAGATGGTAAAAGGAGTAGTCGGTGTCGGATTATAATGCCGACAATAATCAGTGACTTATGTTACTTGAACGAACTCGCGTATCACGCACCGGAAGCGATTCATCCTGTCACTTCCTTTCCCTGTTTCCCCGGATATGGGTTCAGCGTCCTCACCGACAACACGTTTATCGCAGCGCCTTGTGCTGGAAAAGTCACGCCAGGGTAGAGAGGAGTTTCGATAAGATTCCGAGTGCGACGAGAGACAACGTGGTGTACACGAGTTGGCGTCCCAGGACCGAAGAAGATCAAATCCTATTATGTATAGACCGAGCCTTTGGCAGTCGCTGGCTATTATTTTCTGATTAGAATCTCGAGTCCGAGAGGAAATGGGTATACAGAGTAACGAGAGGATGTAGCTGGGTCGGTCAAGTGGTCGCCAGTCTTCGTGCAGGTGCAGGTGCAGCCGCCTATGATGATCACGGTCTCAACAAGCTTGCGTGAAATACAGGCACAAATACGGCCCTACTAGTTTCCTTTCCTGGTACACCCTTATGTACCTTGAGATTATTTGGTGGCGAGCTTGGCCTCAACTGGTACTGTGTCTACAAATTTTCTACTGTCCTTGAAACATGACCTAACGTCTGTCGCCTAGGACCTTATCCTAGAAACCGACAGAGAAATGAGCTTCATCCTATCTTGCTTCAAGCGCAGGAGATACACTGGCCAATTCACAGAACAAGGCAACCGCAACGAATTGTGGCTCCCCGCTCTAGTCTGTCTAGGCCTAGGCTCAGGCTATCTGTTTCCAAAATGCGCACACAGTGGCCTCAAATCCGACATGTCTAGATCTCCGTGTGCATGTGCATGAACTGATTTGCAGGTAGTCGTCACCTCAGTCTCCCTCAGACTTAGGGTTCAGGAATATTTATACCCCAAAGTCCATCCACACTCTGGTTGAAAACGTACTATAACGCGGAGCAAGTCTAACGTCTTACGGGACCGAGTACCGACCTTCTGGCGATTCTTCCCCGGGATTATTGCAGTCTCGAACTTGTGCTTGAAGGGAGGCGCGGTCTTGCCACGCGAAGTTCGATAGCAAAATCACTGGGTCGTACTGTCTGTGCACCGCTCGTCCTTGCGCAATTATCTCCTAGACCTGGTGGCACTGAGAAGCGGCATCCGAGCCGTGGATGGCCGTCACACACGATTTTATATCGGCGATTCTGTCGTGATAAGCTCTCTGCAGCATGGCTCAAGCTATTTTTTCGTGGACAATTAACGGCCCCTACCTGTCCTTTGCTGAGATTTACCCGGTAGTTGCCTACCAGGATGCGCACTCACGCTGTCCTTGCCCATTCTTATGAAGCGCCCTCTGGGAACCAGTGGTAGAACGAACGTTCGTTCAAGCTCTTGAGTATTCAGTTAGTCCGCCCATCACTCTTTCAGTAGGACACCCAAATACGCGTCTTCAGCCCAAGCATTGCGGCCGATGACTTGTCCTAAAGCTTCTTCGTGAGTTACCACTGCCTAATGTTGCGCCTTGTATTTGCAATGGTTGTCATAACAAGCAGGTCATAGGAGCCCTGCTGCAGTATATTACGCTCCAGATGGTCCTATGGTTCTGCAAGTTAATTCTTAACTAGACGGCTGGCCTGCCTGGCTGTCCACGCCACCCGTCATCATTTGTAGGCAAACTCGTTGCTCTCTCTCGGCCCATCTCACTGTTCTGGGCACAAAGATGGTATTTGGGGTGCTGCTCACGGCTATCCACCTGGAGCAAAATCCACCAGCCCCTTGCAGATCGTCTCACACGACCGAGGCCCCCGCCCAAGTTTACTTGAAAGGGCCATGGTACCTCCCTTCTTCACACGCAACACCGCAATCTCGTGTTGTCATCCATCTCTGTTTATGACAGAAACCCAGACATTTTCTTGCGACGGTCCGGCGAAAAGACGGCATCGTATGATCTCTCTAGATCCCATGCACATTCTCGAGCGTATATGCCATTTTCGGCTTGTTTCGGCCTACCAAAGATTTTGGCACGATCTCAGCGAGCAACAACCTGCATCTAAAGGCGCACTTCTCCCGCCGCCTCCGCTTCTCGTCATTTCCCCGGACTCCGAAAATCGATGATGAAATAATGCCGAAATGAATTCACGAAAACCCGAGATTCGAATGCGCACCGCGCGTCATTGATGGCTGCTAACATGAGGCTCGTACCGTTGTCTGATAGGCTACGAGGACCTAAACACACGGTGTGTCTAGACTTTACGACACAAGAGCTGCTCCTATTGGTCGTGAAAGCGTCTGCTCCAGGGCGAGTTCATTGTCCGATCAGGTAGGCTGAAAGGCGGGTAACTGACAAACTGTACCTCGATGAGTCTTGCTATCCCTGACATCGTGAAGTAACATGAGTACATCTCGTCATGCCTATTACTTATGGCAAAGCTTTGATATTAAGGCGCGCTGCAGAGCTCTAGGCCCAGCGCGAAGTGGTAACCTTTATCGAGCAGCAGCTCATTGCGAGACGTCCCGGGAATGGTCCTGTTCCAGATTATCGGCGCACGAGGCAGCCTCGCCCTAGCTTTGAAATGTTTAGCGGCTGGCGTCTAGACGGACTCAGTTTTGTTTTTGAGGTTTGAACCTACCTACATTACCATCTCACGCATGCCCGTAAGACCGAGAGAGCGGCTTCCCATGGGTAGCTGACTGAGACCTACTTGCAGTAGACGGCCGTTATGTCGTCTCCTGCAAGAGGGTGGGGTCGCCCCGAAGAGATTCCATGCAAAATTTTATCCCTTAATGATATGCCGGATCATACAATATACAGCTCATTGATACTTCTTCTCTGTTCCTTCCTGACCATCCACATAGGAAGTAACTAAGTCGCATACCTAGAAGTGGACAGTTGAATGAATGCCTGATGTCAATAGTGCAGGGGGGGCGTACTTCTTAGTCCACTCTTTCGCAGTCTCGAGGAACTTCGGCTTCTCATTCTTGAGTTGCTACATACAGCTCATTAGGCGCGCGGACGATCTGGTGAGAAGGGCGCGTTGTACTTACAGCAGCGACGTCGGGCTCGAATGGATCATCAGGGCTCGGGTTGTTCAGCTTCTCCTGTACAACGGAGAGGACTGATATCACGGAGACGTTATCAAAGACAGTCTAGGACAGAGCGCCGAGGGGACGTGCCTGTGGACATTGTGATCGCAGGCTTCCACTGCAAGGCGGTAAGTGTTAGTGGTATACGTCTAGCCGTGTTCATCCAAACAGAAAAGGGAAACGGTGGCTCATGCTCGGCCACTTGGATGTTCACCACGTATAAGTTGACACCCAGGCTCGGGTCTGGTCACGGAAAACGAAGTGAGGACGCGTATAGATGAATGCGCACCTCATCACGCAGGATAGGCACGCATATATGCCCTTCATCGTTAATTCCGGGGTGATACACCTTTGTCAAGAATGTTACCTAAGTGTTAATAGACGTAAACAAGCGGCGATTATAGGTAATGTGCAGTCACGCGGGTGAGAAGGGGAGGAGAGATACCGCTTACAGTCGGCGGTTTGAAAGGAAAAGTAGGAGGGATCACAACTTTGAAGCGGAACGTGCCGCCTTTGTAGGGGCTATCGGGCTGGGCGTATGGAGAACACCAGGATCAACACATGGGTCCGAGGGCAGTCACGAGACAGGACGCACAGAAGCCTTGATCGCACAGTTCCATTCGAAGAGGTTGTCCTCCTTTGGCTCAACTGTAAGATCCTAAAGTCAAGTATCAACACGTTAGAGAAGGCCTGGAATGGGGCGACAGATCTCTCGGAGATTGTAGCAGGAACGAGGATAGACCTTGATCGGCTTGTTATTCAGGTCCGTCAATTCCTGGACGACTAGTCAGAATTGCCAAAGTAAGATACAAAACAAGTGACCTTCTGTATGCGTCTGCGTGGACGAATTAGACGACAAACGCGAGCATGGCAAGAACGCGTACCTGAGGGCGGTCATGGTGGCGGTCGACAGTGCGAGGTGCGCGTGGCCAGATACGGGATGTGATCTGGTGTTAGGGTTAGGGGTACCGTTGGCACGGGTGGCTTCATTTACCTTTGCCACCGGTTGAAGTCTCAGTCTGCCATGTTCGCCGGATCCTCGCCCAAACGCGACGAGTCGCCGCTCCCCCCGCCGCAGCCCGCGCCCGCCAACCCGCGCAAGCGCAAGCAGGCCGTCCACAACGCGTCCACGCCCGACCTCGCCGGGACCGCCCCCGCCGACGGCGCCAAACCGGACACCCACGCCGTCCTCTCCTCGCGCCACGCCCTCGCCAACCGCCCGCGCCTCTCCATCTCCCGCCACCCCATCCTCACCCCCTTCGCCGACATCGATGGCCACGTCTACAACAGCACCGACTGCCCCGCCTACAACCACCTCGGCTTCCGCTATATCCCTGCAGGCATCTCTCCGCCTGGCTCCATCCTTCCCTGCACCACCATCGAGTCCGCGCCCACACACTTCCGCGTCTCATGGGAGGACCGCTCGCAGGCCATCAAGGTCACCCAGGACGGCTTAGGATTGCTCGGTGACAAGGGCTACCGCAGCGCCCGCTGTAACGCGCCCCTTCGCGAGGGCAAGTGGTACATGGAAGTCAAGATCGACTGTGGCGGCGGCACGAAGCCGCCCGGCAGCACCCGCCACCAGGGCGCGCACGTCCGCCTGGGCTGGGGCCGCCGCGAGGCGCCCATCAACGCGCCAGTGGGCTTGGACGGGTACTCCTACGCCGTGCGCGACCTCACTGGTGACAAAGTGCACTTAAGCCGTCCTCGGCCGTACGGTCGGCCCTTTGGCACAGGGGACGTAATCGGTATGTACATCTCCCTCCCCCCGCGGCGCAAGCCCGACCCGAAAGACCCGATGGACCCCGCGCACATCAAGCGCGAGCGGATCGCCATCGAGGTCAAGGGCCAAGAGTACTTCGAGAGTCTCGAGTACGCCGTCTCGAAGGAAATGATGGCCCTCATGGACGGCAAGACCTCGGCGAACACGACTGCCGATGCCGACCCCAACGCCTCCTCGAACCCCACCAGCTCAATCCCCTCGAATCACCCTACCTCCCCGTCCAAGAAATCCGCTACAGTCAAGAACCTCCCCTCGCACCCGGGATCCAAATCAAAGGCACCCAGCGCAACCCCTGGGCCCTCGTCGAAACAAACCCAGCCGCCGCCCCTCCGCCCACTCCCAACCCTCGGTCCTTCCTCGCGCATCGCGTTCTTCGTGAACGGCGAATGCCAGGGTACCGCCTTCCAGGACCTCCTCTCTTACCTCCCGCTCAAGCCGCACCAGGAGAAGGGCAAGAAGAAACGCGAGAAGGACAGGGAACGCGAGCGCGAAGGCGGGCCGAAGGTGCACTGGGAGAACACGTTCGACGACGGCACGACCGGCTACTACCCCATGATATCTCTATTCAACGACGCGCGCGTGCGTATCAACCCCGGTCCAAATTTCGACTTTGAACCGCCGCCGGATATCGACGCGTTGCTCACTGGCGCGGGGGACGGTAAGTGCGGGAGGCTCAAGTGGCGGCCCGTTTGTGAGCGGTACGCGGAGTTCATGCAGGAGCAGTGGGAGCTGGACAAGCTCGAGGAGGAGGCTGCGAAGCTCGAGTGGGAGCGCCGACAGATGGAGCCTGAGCAGACCGACAGAGACCGAGCAGCGGACAAGAAGCCCCCGAAGAAGAAGGCGAAGACGGCTGCGGCTGGGACGAAGAAGAAGAAAGCAGAACGAGGTGGGTCGGCGATGGTCGACACGAAGGAGCGGGGCAGCTCAGTAGCAGCGGACACGAAAGACCGGGGCTCCTCCGTCTTCATCGAACGCGGGGAGCGAGGGAGCTCCGTGGTCGAGTCCGAATCTGTCTCCGTGCCCGCGACGCCGCGCCCTGGGTCGGCCATGGACGTCGAGGACGACAGATTCGCGCCGAGCCCGTTTACGGCTTTCCCGACTTTCCCGCCGTCGATGAATGCGGACTCCATGCTGCCTGCTTCGTCGTCCTTTCCGTCGATGGGCACGATGCCTTCTGCATCCTCGTACAATGGTATTGGACTGGGTTTACCGGCGCTTGCAAAGCGCGAAGAGGAGGAAGAGGAAGAGGAGACGATCCCCCTTATGGGTCCGGGGATGCCCTATGGACAACCTCCGAGACATCGGACTACTACAATATGGGCACAAAAGGAGGAAGAGGAAGAACTGCCCAGGAGTAGTCCTCCAACCTACTAAGTTCCACGTTGTACTATTATTATTGCTGCCTTGTAGCCTTAGCGTTCACTTGCGAAGCTCCCATTGTGACCCACTTCTCCGGGCCAGACTTCGACCATCGTTGGCATAAGGATTAGAAATGTGCTTGGTAGTGTACAAATGCAATCCGCCTAGTGATAGATGAAGAGGGAATAGTCAATGAGCGGGGTATATCAGAGATACAAGGAATGTAAAGAATTAGGTATCGATGAACGAACGACAAGATGGACAAAAGATATAAATTACGCTAGAAAAAATAGCACTCTGCGCGAAGTAGAGGAAGGGAGGGCACGTCAAACGGCAAACGGTGGAGAGAGGGTTGCCAGGCACTCAGGAGTTCCAGCGAGGTGGTGGAGCACGTACTTGGTACCTGTAGCGATCAATTTGAGAAGAGTGAGAGATGATCCAGCAGTGCCACGTACGGGACGGTTGTCCCGATGCCCTTTTCCTTCTCGACACAAATATCGAACACAAGATCGCCGCTGGCCTGGTCCCATCGTACACCGCACCAGTTTCTCCTGCCCATGATGTACTTATTTTTTAGTGGGGTACCGTTCGTATCTTTTTGGAAGATTGGCATCTACGAGCTTCGGTCAGCTCTGACGTCGAACGACGATTGAAAGTCCATACCATGGTCTCGTCAGTGTGACAGTAGTGCATGGTTCGGTGGACTTTGGTTGCAAGTGTGGCGACCATCGTGATCACTCCCGCCGGAGGCCTATCAACTCATGTCAGCGACACTTACGCCGCTTGTTATCCCACGAACACTTACGGCGTGTTCACGATAGCGCTGGTCACAACATTAATCATGTACCTGTGGTCCACTGGAGGAGGCACCGCCTTGCCCTTCTTACCGGCAAAAGTCATGAACATGCCAACCGCTGCACAGTGCACATCACCCGATAGGAATGATACCCGCACATGTCTCTGCAACGCGAAATCCTGCAGCTGCTGGATGAACATGTTCCGTTCTTTCTTGTGGCTCGTGGCAGTCCAATGATCATTCTGCATAGCCTTTGAGCGGAGGGCAGACTTATTCGCAGAGGTCATCACATACCAGATCATCAAGGAGCTCGGCCTCGGCGTTGAATTTATTGACAAAACCGGTCAAGCCCATAGACCCATTTCTACCCAAGGCAACGAGGGGATTGAATTTCGACTCGAGCATAGTCTCCATGAACACCATTCTGGGATACGCGATAGGAATCCCTGCAATACTAGATTATGAACATATGCTCGAGAAGAATGGAAATTGCACGTACCGATCTGCACGACTACATGCTCCACATGGGCGGGTATTTGCCACAGCCTCTGCATAACCTTCTGGTACTCCAGAGGGCTGCATACTTGGTCTTTCCGACGCTCCGCACTAACGACGACCCTGATGAGCAGCACTGGAGGCATACAGCTAGATACTTACCGGCAGTCCAAAAGTAACATCCACACATTAGGTCCCATGTATGATAAGAATGAATGCGACGGGTATGGAACATAGGGACCGGGTCCACCGATGATCAAGGACTTGTTCACATGCTTACCCAGACCGTCATCGAGCCCGTCCACCTCAGCTGTCCAAGGATTATCAGAACACCCTCAGTCTATATCGGGATCCGGCGTACGGTTGATGAAGCACTGGAACAATAAAAAGAAGAAATATCCGCGAGACCCGATTCTGTTGGCGGTGGTCAGAGACGACGGATATTCCATAGCTGACCCGTACACGCCACCTTCTGAAAACTGGTGACAACTGTAGATCGTCGGGATCTGCAGCCCGTTAGGGGAGGGGAACAATCCTCGCATAATTCTCACTTACAGCTTCCGAAACCATCAATCTGTGGATTCCAAATATGAAGCTAGCGTGCAACAGAGTAATGCCACAACGCTCACCAAGTCTAGAAGGCAATACGCATATCAGACGGTTGATCACTAACCTATAGTGAGGGTACGCACCATGATCATCTATTGATGGTGAGGTTATTCAGCATACTGAGGGCCTGGATGTACAGGATATGTCCATACCGCACATATTCATCATCGGACTTCACGGTGTCAGCCTATATATAGACATCCGTATGCGACAGACATACATGGAGGAATTAGCCCTGGCAAAGGCACCGCTCCTGAAGCTTTGACAGTAGTGATTGAAATAGAAACGATCTATAGCGAGAACAATTTCCTCGCTTAAGGGGTATTGCTTCTTAGCTTCTGGCTTGGTTAGTGTCACCCATCCTTGCAGTTCAGGCTCTCGCGTGAGTCTGTCCAAAAGAATTGATATATCAACATGCTGACACATTCGAAAACGGACATACCCATCGCAGTACAGCTGGTCACCCCCGCCGACTAGAGCGTGGAACGGCTCTTCCTGGTGCTTCGATAGCAGGTCAACCCAGACGGGGTCATAACCGCTCTGAAATCCAGGCCCACGGAAATTATCGGGGTTCACGCCAGCACTGAAGCCATTGCACTGCCGTGTATGTTAACTGATACAATCCCGCTTCTTTACTTACAGCGAGGCGTACCGAATACGTGGCCCAGCGCATATTTTGACCGATCCCAGGCACCCAGAAGTCCATCTCCTGGCCATTGTTTATATAATACTTGATCCGCATTTCGTGTGGCCCCAGTGGTATCTGGATAAGAAACCTCCAAAACGTGAAAGTCCTATCCGTATCCCAGAGGTCAACGGAGTTTCGTAGGCTAACAGTCCGCGGACCCACCCTCCATTGCCGGCATATACCCATATTTCGTGTCCAGGAACATCCTCCTTTCGATAGTTAGGGCCATGGCTGGACGCGCCGTCAATCTCACCGTCTGCACCCACGAAAACAGAGTGCGGATCGGCGGGGTGCGGAGGGAGGTCAAAGGACATCACGTTACGCCGATGACCCCTGTGGAAGACGGGCGGTGCATCAGGATCCCACTCGTACGACAAGTTGGGATGCGGCTCGTATTCGGAGCCAGCATCGGCAGCTAAGCAGGGTAAGCATGCTACACGCTGCAGGCGCGTAGAACGCCAACTCACTGACTATGAGAGCCGCGCCGTGCCATACGCCTTGCGCGTCCACCGTGTCATAACGCAACAGAGGTCCGACCATGAACTGCAAATGCGGTTCCATGCGCGCACCCTTGAGGCTGCGCGACCTTTCGACTGCACTCAGGTGCGTGAGGTGACTGGGATCCAAGTACGAAGGTTGGCTGCTCGTCTGCGTCTGCGTCCCGAAGTAGTCATTATCTTTTGGAGGGACCGCTGGGGGTAGCGGAGAAGGAGGTGCAGCGAATCCGCCGATGAACCGCTCGTCCATCGGCATGACTTGCTCGACTGGCTGAAATCGTCCATCGGGCCCTCTGAAGATCTGTCGGCGTGCATCCTGGGACACATAGCGTTTGTCAGCGCCCGCCTTTCACATTTCTGACATTTGCTCTGACCTTTTGGGCACTGTGCCGAGCGCGCCATCCTGGATCGTCCATAATTTATCAGATTAGATATGTCAGAGTATTCGGATATTGATGGCAGTAAATGAGAGACAACTGGACAACGAAATGCAAGGCAGCCGCAGTGACAGCAAGCGTTCAAGAAAGGGCTGTACGCTGCACAAGCTCCCGACGGCGAGAGTCCTCTCGGCAACATATCCGAGGTCACAGCGCGAAGTCACAAGTGACAATAATGTTCAAAATTACCTTATTTAGGCTTTAACATTGATCGGATCCACGTGGCGTTCGCGGGGTCTTCGCAGCGCACCGAGGAACGCGTCGGTGACACTACCTGACGCAAAGGCAAGAAATCTTCTAGACATAGAACTTGACATTACGAGCAAACATAAATACTGCGGGGGAATATGGTATCAATCAGTGTGATATAGGTATAATATTTGTCCGTGTAGAAATACGGAGACACATCCATCATCCGTCCCCAGGTATACCACGCCGAAGAGATCCCCGTTTCCCCCGCACTAATATTGCGTAAGAGAGCAACTCCAATTACGAGGTCGCCATTGCGGCAGCCATGATGAGACCACCGAGATTGACGAGCGCGATATTGAACTGCTCCAGGTTCTCAGGGTCCGACTCCGACGCGGTCGGGAACGTCTCGGCAGCTGAGGAGGTTGAAGACGGGGTGGCGCTGCTCGAGCTACTCGCGACAGAGCTGCTGGAGGAAGAAGTGCTGCTCCAGGTGGAGGAAGTCGAGGTCGGGGTCCATGTGGTGGAAGTGGACGTAGTGCTGGGCGGGGGACTCCAGGTAGATGTGGATGACCATGAAGAAGTCGTAGGAGATGGCGAAGGGCTTGGACTAGGTTTGGGATCCCCAGAGCCGAACTGCCATGACCCGTAGATCTCACCCGCATCCTCGCTCGCGAAGTACTTGAATAGTCCTTCGGAGAAGTCTAAGGCGCCATAGGGACAACCCATGCACTGGATGGAGAAAGGTATGAGCCAATTGCCAGAAAGATGATGCATCTTGCAAAACAGAACGAAACCGACCTCGTCTGCTATGGTAGCTGTGGTAGTCTTCCCGTTAGCGGTGATGGTGACCTGCTCGCCACAGTGGGAACCGCCGTCGTATTGCTGAATAGTCGCTTTCAGTACCAATTCCTTCTACACCAGACATGCAACTTACAGGCGCATTAAGAGCAACAATCTGAATATTGTCGCGTCAGATCATGAAGGCCATGACAGATTGGGCTTCCACGTACAAAATCACCAGGTTGATTATAATTTCCGCACGCGCCCAATCCATCCGCGTAGTACGTGAATCTAGCGTTGTCGAACCGCTTCTCGAACTGGAACGTGTGTATCTCTCGCGTCTCCCGATCATCTAATCTGCTCCGACCGGTGTGATGCCTCTTGCTGAGCTGGGCATGAGATGAATCGGCAGAGACGACGCCGAAGGAGAAAGAGAGTGCCAAGAGGGATGAGAATGCAACACAGGAACGCATGGTGGATTATGGGCTTTTGGGATAGCGAAGGAACGAGAGAGAATCTACTTGCAGAACGTGGATGACAGCGAGGGGACTATAAAAAGAGCGACTATGAGACGTGAATGCAAACCAGAAGGGAGCACGGGCAAGGGAAAGAGAAACTGAAGGTCCAGGCTGCCATATATAAACCGGCTCAGGGCCAATTAACAGTTGGCTGACGTGCTTACGTAAGCCAGACATGGGCGTTGCGATGACAAATAACGTCACCGTTCCCCCAGATCCCCCGCCGATCCCCGCCAAAAAGTCTAATGCCGCACAACCAGCACTCGGACGGGCTCGAAGTATGCGCCAGTACGCGCCAATAGAGCCATTATCCCCAAGGTCGAGCAGAGATTATTGTTCACAGAGATTGACAACAGTGTTGCTTCATGTCTTTGTTCGCAATGAAGCGAACGTACCGGGAACTGAGGAAGGACCCCCGGATTTATCATCCCGCCACGGCAGTATTCCACGAGGTCACCTTCGCTGAATCCGTTTCTCAAATGCACGGCGGGCGCCCGGTGTGGGCTCGAACTCATCGCATTTATTACGCCCACGTCTGCGTGGGCGGCCAACACGACGGGTACGAATGGCAGACTGTCAGATGTGAACAATCCATAGGACTACGGGCACGTCTTTCTATTTCATACAATAGCCGCTGAGTAATCTAGTCGAGCTTTACTTTTGTCGGTGGTGCAACGAAAGTCGCCTGGGTAAGAAAAACTAATAAGCACAGGCTCGCGAAGTGGTCTTGGATCACTCACAGATATGAACTTCAGCACTTCATCGATGAGGATAACCGGTGCGCTGATGTAAAGCACTGCTTTCCATTCTGCCCAGTTGAGAGGTGTAATCGCAAAGATAGCCTGTGATACAAGGCCTAGTCAGATATGCCACCGGCACAGACGAGCAAAATTCACGTACCGTGAAGAATGGTATGTACAGAATTGCGAAATGCAAGGCCATACTCAAGCATATTGCACCGACGAGGTACATGTTCTTCCAAATTGGGAGCCGAAGTAGACTCTCATTCTCGGAAAGCGAGTTCATGGCATTGAACATTTCGATGGTCACGAGGATGGAAAGACTCATGGTCGTTGCCCGGTGAGCCATCTCATTCGTGAACATGTCGCAGCCAATCTCGGGGAAGAGCTTGGAGCATTGATGGAAGTGGGTCTGGAACGAATAGTTGAGCGCGCATGACGAGGGAATTGCAAGTGAGAGTCTTACCAGCTGGAAATACGAAATCTGGGGCCCTCCGGAGTAGAACAGGAACCACCAGGCGTACCCGAATACGGTAGCGCAACCGACGTAGATACCAATGACCATGTATCGGAAGAATAACCAGGGCCCTACAAGCGGCTCCTGGCTATTCCTTGGCGGCATTCTCATGATCGAATGATCAGGAGGATTGAATCCAAGGGCTGTAGCGGGCAGGCTGTCTGTTACAAGATTCACCCAGAGCAGTTGCACAGGGATGAGAGCTTCTGGCATGCCCAGCAAGACCGTCAAGAATATACTGACGACCTCGCCAATATTAGAGGATACTAGAAAATATCAGCATTTGATACTCGTGAAGGAGGTATGCGCCACATACTGAGGTATCGAATAAATTGCTTCGTATTGTTATAGATTAGACGGCCCTCTTCTACAGCCTTCTCTATCGTTGCGAAATTCGAGTCGGCCAGGACCATGTCGGCAGCCAGCTTTGCAACATCTGTACCGCTGCCCATGGCAACACCAATGTCCGCCTTCTTCAAGGCAGGCGCGTCATTGACACCGTCTCCAGTCTGAAGTTCTGAGTTAGTGCACATTGACATCTCCTGTGAGGAAAGCAGGCTTACCATTGCCACCACTAAGCCTAGGCTTTGCAGCAGATCCACAAGTTGACTCTTGTGGCCAGGTTCCGTTCGACTGAACAAGCCTGCTCTCTGTACGGCAGCCAACTTCGCCTCAGGAGACAACCCATCGAACTCCCTCCCGGTGTAACTCTTCCCAGTCAAATCCTCGTTAGGCCCGAATATCCCAATCTGCCTGCAAATACTTTCGGCAGTGCCCTTATTATCACCAGTGATACAGACAACGCGAATTCCAGCAGCCTTGCACTTTGCGATGGCCAACTTTACTTCCGGCCGAGGAGGATCCAGCATACCGACCACGGAGACGAACGTGAGGTTCTGCTCAAAGCGCGCGTAGTCGCTGGTGCTCTGAGACTGATAGTGGGCCACATCGATATCCTGCACATCCGCAAATGCAAGGGCAAGTGTTCGCAGTCCATCCGCGCCGTACGAGGCAGTCTGTTCGAGAATCCTAGAGCGAAGTTGGGAGGTCAAAGGTACTTTGGCGCCACCGGCAATGAGAACAGTGGTGCAACGGTCGAGGACGGATTCAGGGGCGCCTTTGACGAAGAGTGCACCGGAGGAACCTAAGCGAACTAGCACCGACATCATCTTGCGGTCCCGAGAGAACTCGAACGTGAGCAGCCTTGGGATAGCCCGTTCGTAGAAGTCGTTGATTGCACTTGCGCGCACAATGGGTGACAGTCCCGTCAGCGACTTGTAGAGTTCTGTGTCAGGACATGGAAGCTTCTCCACCAGGACCTTCAATGCGGCCTCTGTAGGTTCACCAACATTGCTATAAGAGTTCTTCTCCTGTGATTTTGTCAGACAGTGGACTCTGACGTTCGACAGTAAAAACTTACGGGATGATACACGATCTTTGAATCATTGCAGACCGCACTGATCTCCGCCAAACGTTGGACAGGCTCTGAACGAAGTTCAGCAGACGACCCTTTGCCATCAGCAGACTTAACCGACCCAATAGGTGCGAATGTTGTGCCTTCGACGTCGAACTGGTTAAGGGACCCGGACTCCCCGCTGACAACAAAGAACTGAAGGCATCGTCAGGATCTTTTCAGACAACCAATCCGAACGCCCTAACCTTGGACACACTCATTTGGTTTGTGGTCAGTGTACCCGTCTTGTCCGAACAGATGACGTTTGTACAACCAAGGGTCTCGACACTAGGCAAGTTCCTAACAATCGCATTCTTCTGTGCCATCTTCTTTGTTCCCAAAGCCAAACAAGCAGTGATGACAGCGGCCAAACCCTCCGGGATCGCAGCGACAGCAAGGGCAACAGCAATCTTGAAGTAATAGATTGCGCCCTTCAGGAATCCGTGATGGGCGGGGTCCCAGAAGTTGCGGAAGTTCACCAACCAGACCAGGATACAGATGATGGAGATGACCTTGGCAAGCATGTCACCGAAATCGTCGAGTTTACGCTTCAGAGGTGTCTTCTCGCTGATCTGGGAAGAGATCGACTTGTGGATGTCCCCGATGGCCGTACGCTGGCCAGTGTAAACCACGATAGCTTTGGCGCTGCCATTGACTACAGTGGTCCCCTGTATACGCGTTAAAAAATAACGAAGTAGAACGGAGAGTAACACTCACAGCGAACAAGATATTCGTCATATCCTGCTTCACTGCTCCGGCATCTGCAACAACATCGGTAGACTTGTGTACGCTAACACTCTCTCCAGTGAGAATGGCCTGGTCCACGCGGAAACTACTGGAGGAGATGGAGTGAAGTCTGCAGTCCGCTGGCACCTTGTCCCCCACGGCCACACTAATGATGTCTCCAGGAACAAGCTCAGAGGCATGAATCTTGATGAGTTGGCCACCCCGTAAGACCTTGGCTTCATCGGGAGAGTACTCTTTCAAAGCCTGGACAAGGCTGAGTCAACATGAACGCAAAGAGGGTACGTTCCGTACGTACGTCAATTGCCTTCTCAGCTTTGGTCTCCTGAATTACTCCGACCGTCGCGTTAGCCACCAGGATTAGCAGAATAACAAGAGGTTCCACAAAAGCCCCGCCAAACGTAGCATCCTCTGAGTCGTCCAACAGAGCAAGCACAAACGAGATGATGGCAGAGGCGAGCAGGATAAGGACAAGCTGGTCCTTGAATTGCTCCAGGATCAATTCCCATAGCGGAGTAGGAGGATCTTCGGGTAGCTCTGAGACCGGACAGTCGGTTAGGTCAAGATGAAGTCTATGTCAATCGGACTGACCGTTACTGCCATATACCTCCCTGTGCTTAGCTGCTTGCTCATTTGTAAGGCCAGACACGGGGTCAGTATTGAAATGCGCTAAGATTGCCTCTGGTGGTTGCGTCCAAGGCGCGTCCATCGCAGTACAATAGTCCTTGGTCGGACCAGGAGGTTGCTACAAAGAGGCGAAGTCCAGTTCTGTAAGCCGTCCAAAAAACCGATTGCTAGAATATGACCGGGCCGTGGGGAAGGGTGACGTGGCGTTCAGTAACGCACGTTTCGGACATAAAATCAAGCAACCATCTCGCACAGCGTCGAAACTCATGAAAGCCGCCAGGAACGTTCAAGGCAATGGACATGAATGTATTGACCTGCAATGGAGCGAAACAGGCATACGATACACTCGTTACACGCATTATGCAGTTGGTACAAGACGCTGGAAATCACGCTATCGGGTACCACGCGTCGTCGGCAATTTCCTTTTGAGTTTGTGCAAGCCAAGTCCAACAGGAAACCGTCAGGGACGAGAGAACTGATCGCGTTTTCTCGCAGACAGAATCAGTTGTCTGCTCTGCAGATGGAATTTGTCCAGGGCCTGAGTGTCTGAGGGCTTTTGGCTGGCTTGGTATCCAAAGGGACTGAATCACGGGCAAGGTCTCGCGCGGGGCCCTCCGGAGACAGCGTACGTCACGGAGATCCCGACGTCTCCGGGTCGCAGGACTGCCTCTGACTCCGCGCACGCCGCTGGGACTCCTCACGCGACCATTCACGACGATTGAAGTCTCCTGCTGCCAGAGCTTGCACTCAGCTTTCAATGGGCAACACCGGCTCGTCCGCGGGGCGTGGCCAGCACGACGAGACCGTCGATTTTGGCTATCTCGTTCCGCAGGGCGTGTACACCGGGCCTAGGGACTGGAACCACGCCATCGTCACGCAGCTCATTGTCGACAGGAAGCTCGCGCCTTTCTACAGGCCCTTAGAGGACTACGACGAGAGCTGGGACGACGAGACCCTGCTCGCGCATCGTAAGGAGCTTCCAGATAGCGACTCCGCTCAGGCGGACACGCCGACACGCGCGGAGAGTATTGCAGGCTCCACCCATTCGAAGCTCGGTCATCATAAACGCCCGAGTGCTGCCAAGGAACCGCAACGCTTCTCAGAGGGTGCCATCTACAGAGGGGCTGTGGAATGTCCCATTTGTTTCCTGGTATGTGTGTCTTCTGCCCTACTACTGTCCATTGCGTTATACCCTCAATTATACACAAGTATTACCCTCCGAACATCAACTATTCCCGGTGCTGCGAGCAAGCGATTTGTACAGAGTGCTTCGTACAGATCAAGCGAGCGGACCCTACGCCTACACATCTTGTCTCTGAACCTGCAGCATGTCCATACTGCATGCAAGAGAACTTCGGCGTCGTCTATACGCCGCCTTCGTGGCGCGCAGGCATTGGTAGTGAGGGATCGGTATGTAAATTGAGTACGCTGGCTTGAAATTGTGCTCATTAACAACCGCGTTACGGGCCGTCTTGTTTTTCTCTCACCGCATCATTACAGACGCCGCCATCATGGCCTGATTCCGCTGGTGGCTCCTCCCAGCCGACTTCGCCAATGCCGCCTACCATGAAACGCAGGCGAAAGAGCTTTGGCGCCGACAGTCCTGATGTCGTCACAACGGGTTGGTCACGGTCCCCTGGTTTCCTCATTCACCTTCGTTTACATCTGGTTAGACCAAATCCGACCCGACTGGGAAGCTAAGTTGGCGGCTGTCCGCGCAGCAGTTGCCCGACGAGCCAATAGACGTATCATCATGAGACAAGTGGGGGACCGCCTCATACCTGTTGGTATTACCAGCGGGCGTATCCATCCTCTGCCCGAAGGCGAGCAAGGCGAGGCAGAGGGCAGTACAGAAGGTAGAGGTAGTAGGCGCTCCCGGCGACGACAGCAGAATCCGGATCTTAACCAGTTCTTGGGCTCGATTCCCATCGGTGGGCAGGATTTGGAAGAGGTAATTCGCATTCCAATTCCCATACCCGCTTGGTGAAGTTGGTTAGTATACTTACTTTCGCGTTCGTAGCTTATGGTTATGGAGGCTATGCGACTTTCCTTGCTCGAACACGAGGAACAGCAGAGGAAACAAAGGGAAGAGGAAGAACGGAGGCAGGCTCAGGCCGGGGAAAGCAGCTCACAAGCTGAACAGAATTCCACCGAGGCTGCTATTCCCTCGCCTGCAGATCCGGAGACGGTACAGAGTACACCGGCAACCGCTCTAACACCTGCGCCTTCCTCGTCACTCGATCCGGGTCCCACTGACCGGTCTGCAACTCCATCAGGCTTAGAGGCCGGCGTGGCGTCTACCTCCAGCCGACCGTCCCCTGTGCCAAGTAACCACAGTGGAGACATCTCGACACCTGCTGTGGGCCCCTCGGGAGATTCTGCCATGCTCGACGCTGTCCTAAAGGCCGGCACGAGCGCCACCGCAACTAACGACGTCGGGCCCCACGACTCCACGAATAGAGCTCTGCCGCCTTTACCGAATGGCTCTACCGATACCGCTGATGAGCCAGAAGCACCGCCTAGCATCCCCCATACGGCTTCCTTCGCCTCATCTCTTGCACCCGGAGAAACCCCGGGACGCGCAGAGTCGTATGATGTGCTTCCCTCTTCACCCGATGAGGAGTCCAGTGCGGCCGAGCCATTGTTGGCGTCTCCGTCTCCTCAGCCACCTTCAGCTGTGCAGGAGCCCAGCCACTAGCATCGGCGCAAATATGCGAGGTTCTCACTGGGATGGGTCCATTACGAAGCCACGCACGCACGATGTCCTGTGCTGCCGGAATTAAGCTACAATGGAGTTAGATAGGAAGAACTCAGAGTGGGGGCGAAGAGTGTGCCCAGGTAATATGGTATGTCGGTGTATTGTCCGTTATCGCTAATTCCGGCGCGTCCTACCTGCAAAGCTGCTGCTTTGAACGTCTTGTATACATAGATTCATATCATCTCCCAGTTTTGTACATGTTTTCGGCACCGCATCGACAAGGACAATCAGCGCTGCTTTTTCCACGACTTCCGCTCTTCTCCCCTCTGTTCGTCTCCGCACGTTTTGTCTCCTTCTCCCCGCTCTGTGCAATATAATTGGGTGCTAGAGAGAATTCGAGGAAGGGCATATCCTCGTACGTGCAAATTCGAATTATGGCAGGACGGGCTGGAGAGTTTCAGTGGCGCTAGAGTTTTTTCGGCCTGCGGTGCGTATTGAACGCGAACTTCGGAAGGGGCGTGGCTGCTATAGAAGAAGCCCGCTGAGGTTATTCGTAGCTAATCTCTGAGGGTCGGGGAGACTCAAGATACCGGTCCTGGAGCTATTATCAATGCTGTGGTCTGACTTATGAATGTCTTGTACTGCTCAAGGTAAGACCCAATTAGAGCTTCTCTGGCCATATGCATGGTAGGAAGGGAAGCAGCAAATATGGGTGTGCTTGGTAGCTTACGCACTTCCGTCCCGGCCGATCGTATGGCCTCTTAGTCACTCCGGACAAAGCACGACGTCCTTCGCCGGGTGCTCTTCTGCAAGCGCTCGTGCTGTAATGAGGCTCGATCCAAGAATTTGCGCGTTCTTCCATGAAGAAAATGGCATTACCAAGCATGCCTTGGCGAGGCTCTTCCATACGTCTTGGTCGCCGCTGTAAGTACGAGAGGATCTGCGGGCCGTCTGGATACATCGGGATAGCGGGTGTACTGGCGGGTGAAGACCGGGATGCCCGCGAGGCTTCGACGCTGTTCTCATGCATATGGCTTGTAAGCGTACCATGGTCGAGGCATGCGGCGACAAGAGATACCTGGGGAATAAAAGAGGATCGGTGTGACGGTGACATACCGCGAATATCGGAAGAACATCCCACAATTCTGAGAAGAATATGCCGGTATTCATGGGGATTTGCAAACATAAACCAGAGACGAACTCTCGGAGTGGCGCGATCGTGGCTGGGAGAGCGTGGGGTCCCGAGAGCATCGTGCTGCACCCCGAGCATGTCGCAACATGGTGTCAGAGACATATGCCCCCGCCAACCTTTCGAACCATCCAGATTACAGATTAGCAGTGAATTACCAGTACAACAGAATAGCATAAGAGCAGCAAGATATCCACAAGAACGCTCCATGCAGCAGCATCATTTTCGTGTTGGGGGGTCCGCCCAGACCGGCTTGTCTGCGTCATCCGACTGTGAAAGCGACCAAATGTCATATTCCAAATGAATTCCTTCCAGAGAAACTGCCGCGCACCTGAGCGTCTAACTGTCGCTTCGTGGCCTCCTCCCTTGCCAGCCTCGCCGCCCGGTTGGCGTCGACTTTACGTCTCAAATCAGGAGACATAGCCTGCGATTAATGCGGAGAAGCAGATGATCAGCACGACACACCCCCAAGACATGATAAGTGACCCTCTGTGAAACAGATGGCACTAGTCACATCCAGACGTGATAGACTACTCACAGCGTACGTCTGTTCGGGCGTCGGCACAGTAGCTATTAGAACATCCCAAGTGGCAGTTCCCAACAACCGAACAGAAAACCAGGATTCATGTAGATCATGACCAGCAGAAGAAACAGCAAAGAATAGGTCAGTATAGGCTTTGACCATCAAAGCACGTCAAGCCGCACCCTTCATCAGCGCATAGCCCACACCAAACACTTCTCAACGGAGAATATATCCACATTTGTGCACGTCCGAGGAGGTAGTGTATAGCATGTTCAGGCGAGAGATAGCGACAGAACAAGCCGACGGTGAACATTCAGGCAAAGGTCGGATGTGAATGAGTGGACTTGCTCGCTCGATCATCATTCCAAGTACTCACGTCCAGCGGTCATGACCGTCACTTGGAACCACGGAAACTTGCCAGACATCGTGAACTTGCAAATTAGCGGTAGAAACCAGAGACCGGGTCGGTTGTAGGAGGAGACAAGCAGCTGTGTCGAATGTCAGACCTCCTAAGGCAAATGAAAGAGATTTTTGCAATGACGCACTGGCAGGGTGAGCCGGCGGCACTTGGGCGGACTGTCTTGTAGCGCTTGCGGCGAGACTCAGAGGTGTAGGCAAGGCTGAAGGTGCAAGTATTACATTATTCTATGCATTGCGGCCAGTATGACAGACATCTAAGGCTATAGAATAACAAACTGTAACAGAGAACGAACAAATAGATATATAAATGCATTCGTGTGTGGTATGATGTGTGGGTTGGCTTGCAGGATGGAGAGATTGCTGGACAGTATGCAATGCAAGTAGTAGGGAACAAAATCGACGAAGAGAGAAACCAAAAAGACATGCATGCACCCCTCACGCCCTCCCGATGCCCACCGCATTCAAAATCGCCCGCTTCGCATTCCGCCCAAAGCCCAGCATATCCGCGCTGCTCCTCCTGCTGCGATTCTCGATCCTCGCCAGCTCCTCCTCCCACTCCCTTTCCTTCCGCTCGCGCTCCCTGTCCGCGCGCGCGCCCTCGCTCTCCAGCGACGCCGCGCCCACGCTCCGCGTGTGGAACGTGTCCCGGTCCGGCAGCCCAGGCGTGTAGAACGCGCCCCTGCTGCCGATGATGCCCACACCGCCCGCGGCAAAGTCCGCTGAGCCTTGCGAGCGGTCGCGGGGACCGGCACTGGTATGCGGCCTCCGACTCGTTTTCCGCTTCCCGATGGGTGACGGCTTTGGAGGCGGCGGCGCAGGCAAGGGCGGGGCGGCATGGTGCATTGACGAAGTGGCCGAAGTCGCAGACGACGAGACGGACGAGGACTTCCACCGCCCCGTGTCCCTCCCCGACGAGGGACTCGTCCCCTCCCCCCCAGAACTGCTCGAATAACTCCTCGACGCCGAGCCCGACCCGCTCACAGTCGCACTGGCGCTCTCGCTCCTCCCAATGCCCGCGGCCCGGCCCTTCCCGTCCTTCCCCCTTGGAATCGCAACGCCCCCCATCTCCTCCGCGTCCTTGTCCCGCTCGTCCCGCTGGTGCCGCCGCGGGCTCTTGCTCTTGCTCTTCGGCTTCACCTGGCTCTCCGTGTACTTGCTCAGCGCGAGGTGCCGCTGCGCCTCGTTTGTGGACACAACGAGCACCTCCGGCTGCATCTGCAGGTCCACCGTGTCCGTGCCGTGCGCGCTCTGGATCGTCGCGCGCACCTTGACGAAGAACCGCACCTGCCCCGCGAAGCCCCGCATACTCTCGCCCAGCGCCCACCGGCTGTTGCTCTTGGGTGCCGGCCACTGGAACGTGACCGTCTTGCTGAAGATGCTCAGCCCTGGCTCGGGTAGTCGCGTGAGGTGTGTAGAGGTTGCGGAGGTGATCTGGCTGGTGTGCACGTGGGACTTGACGCCGTTGACGTCTGAGATGCTGCTGAGGGAAGGGCGATGGACCGTAGAGACGGACCCACGATGGGGCGATGGAGAAGTAGGGGAGGGGGATATCGGTGATGCTGGAGAGGGGAGCAGACCGGGGCTCGCAGGTTGACGTAGTATTGCGGTATTGATGGTGATGGTAGAATCGGAACCAGAGGACGAGGTGCCCGTGGTCGAGGGTGCGTAAGCGTTGGGCGGAGAGAGGAGGGGGGTGACTGTATCCATTGTCGCTGCAGATGCGGACGAACTGTATGAAGCCGGGTATGCGGTGTTGGTGATGGAGGCGGAAGTCGGTGTCAGTGATGTCGTGGACGAGGATGCAGAAGCGGTCGAAGGCGTGGGTGGACGGGGTCCCAAGCCATCGGGACTGGCTGCTGACTTGGTTTGACTGCCTGGCACTCCGAACGGGGCGGTACTTTCGATCTCTCGTACCTCTACCCTCCTCTCAATCGCGACGTCAACGCTTTTGACCGTCACGCCCTCATCCACCCCCACCCACACCGCGACGCTGGCAAGGTCCAGTGGGCCGATTGCGTTCCGCGGAGCTTCGATGGCATAGCGGATGGGGCCGGTTTTTAATTTTGACGGCGGGGCTTGATGGCTGTCTAGGAGGGGATGTGATGTTGATGGCGAGGGTGATGACGGTGACGGGGGCGACGAGAGCGTGGGCGTCAGTAGTGGGGGCAGCGAGCGAGACGAGACGAGTGGTGGGGGGACGTCGTATCGAATAAGAGGAAGTTCGACAAACTTGACCTGTCGGGCGCCAATACCCGCGATGGGGATGTGGTTGAGAACTGCGGGGGCGTGAGCGAGCTGGAATGCGAGAGCTGGGGCGACGTACCAGCCTCTACCTTCCAGAAGACGCGATAGTCTGTGAAATGGACAGTGCTCGGGCCGCCGACGGTGGGCGGGAGGGTGATGCGGAAGGGGAACTCGGCGTCGCCGATGCTCGCGTAGTCGTGGTCGTCGGGTTTGCGCCAGAGGTCGAGTGCGTGGTCGACGAGGAGGTGGGAGGAGAGGACGGTGAGGCGGCCGAGGCGGAGCTCGTAGCAGCGGACGGCGACGGTGAGGGACTTTGCGGGGAGGAGCTTGCCGTCCTCGTCGAGCCTGGTGCGGACGACTGGGAGGGGTGAGCCTGGGCTGGGGCTGGGACGGACGGGAGGCTGGGACTTACTGCCTTCTACTCTGAGCGGGGTGAGGCCGAGGTAGCCATGGTAGGGAAAGTATTTGGAGGAGAGGTTGGCCTTGGGCGAGTACAGGACGAGGTGGACCATTGGGCGGGGAACGGACGGCGACTGATGCGAATGGCCATGGTGATATATTTTATCGAAATCGTTATTTTGTCGAGAAGAACTGCAGTGACACAGAAGCCGTCACCGCCGTCACTCCACGCTTCGACGCCTGATCAGATCCATGAGAACGTCCAGGCGACTGGGAGGTTCGCCCGCCGAACGCGTTCGCGAATGTGTTCGGCGAATGTCTGGGCACGTGAGGGGATGCCACGCCACCTGAGCCTAGGGAATCGCCACACCGCAACTGTTATTGAGCGAGAAAGGCAATGGCGGCTATGCTTTCAATCCATAAAATACAGTTTGTTATGCACATATTATTGTACCATACCAGGGATATTGATGACGTGAATAGAGTAATTTCCATGAATTTCAAGTTGTCCATGCCCAATGACTAATTATATGTATACAGGGCATCTGTGGAGGCATCACATTTCCAATGCAATGCCAGTAGTATTGACCATGGAAACCATTAGGGGGAGGGCACGGAAGGGGCTTCAGTACACTAGTGGGTTCGTGTGACCCCAATTGGACAGACAGCTTCGATTAATCACCACACTTTTTTACAATTACCCAGCAATTTCATCTCACAGACTGATACAATAAACTTACAAGTTAAAACCCTCAGGCTATGCAGATTTTATCATAAGCAAGAGGGGTACGCGTCTGTGGCCGGTGGACAGAGCCACAGAATCGACGTGCACCGTGGTGTGGTTCTCACGTTCGCATTTGCAGTTCGCGAACGCGTTCGGCGGTGTGACCTCCCAGTGGGGTCGACTTTCTGAGATCCATCGAGCCGTCACGCGTCACATCCTCTCTCAGTCCAACTGCCACCATGCCCTCGTCGCTCTATGTGCCCGTCCTCGTGGCGGGCATGCTCATCACGGTGGGCGGACAGCTCAGGCATTAAATCATTGCTAACAATACCCAGGGCTCGAGCAACTCGCTGTGGACAAAGTTCCAGGTGCGTCGTCCCTCCCCCTCCCCGCAGATCCCCCACCGCTCACCCGCCAAGCAGGACATGCAATGCGTCGAGAACTGCAGCGACCCGAACCCGCAGAACCAGATGCACTTTGAGCAGCCCGTCTGGCAGTCGCTGCAGATGTTCCGTCAGTATCTTCGTCTGGTCACGTACAAGCTCTCGCTCATCCGCCTTCGCACGCCTCCCACGTCACCTCCGCTGTAGTCGGCGAGATGCTCTGTTTGTGCTCTTCCTTGCCTATTCCTGCCACGCCTCGCGCTGACCTTCCGTGCCCCACCCTCCTGCCTAATCCGTCCGTCTGCTTCTCCAGGCTTTCTTCCCGTCATCTATGCTTCGCTGGCGTCTAGACTGCGCAGACCGCACATCGCGCTTCCCGGCGAGTCCGAGCCCCCGTCTGTACCCGCGCGCGACTCGCCCGAGGACGGCGACGAGCCTGCCCCCAAGCCAGCGATTGCACCCATGCGCCCGCTCTCGGGATCCGCCGTGCTGCTCTTCTGGCTCCCGGCGGCGTGCGATCTCACCGGCACCACGGTCCGTGTCTGTCCATTCCTTCTTCCCTCGCCGTCCGGCCCATGTGCTTCCTCCACGAGGCGCACTCGGACCCGAGGCTTTGTCCTTTGTTTTCTGCGCTTCTGACTTTGAAAAGCCGCCGCTGACATGAACTTTGTCCTCCGTCGTATCTCCGCCTTGTTCATTGAATACGTTTATCCTATCTGGATCTGCGCACCCGTCACGGTCACCCCGGCACTAATCTCCCCGTTCTCCGCAACCCAATCCTATCTCCCATCTCGATGCCTCTGCCATGTCTCTCGGTCCCGAATCCCCCGACCATACCCCCTCGTCCATATGCTCCTCCTCGCCTTCCGTGATGTAATTCCCCGACTTAGCTCATGAACGTAGGCCTCTTGTACACCCCGGTCTCTATATACCAGATGACCCGAGGCGCCCTCGTCCTCTTCGTCGGCGTCCTCTCCGTCATATTCCTCAGGCGCAGGCTATTCCTGTACCAGTACGTCTCCGCCTCGTGTCTGCCACTCTGCCTCTTCTTACGCCGGCCCCGCAGATGGCTCTCCCTCGTGACGGTCATGATCGGTATCTGCCTCGTCGGCTTGGCCGGGTCCATGATCAAGGACTCTCTTCGACAGAACCCCGACTCGCTGGCTGCCCGCGATGCTGAGCCGATCGACAAGCCCGAACCCACCACCGTCTTCGTGGGCGTGCTCTTTATCTTGTTCGCCCAGATATTGTAAGCATCCTCGCACGCTTCTGTTCTCTTCTCGAAGCTGACCGGCTCATAGCACGGCCACCCAGTTCGTCGTCGAAGAGAAGATCCTCGGCCACTACACCGTCCCCCCGCTGCTCGCCGTCGGCTACGAGGGCTTCTTCGGCTTCATCTCCATCCTCATCCTCCTCCCCATCATCGCCCTCTTCCGCCCGTCCGCCCCGCCGCCCACCCTCACCTCCGTACTCGCCGAGTCGCCCTACGCGCGCTGGTTCGACCTCCGGACGGGCTGGACCGAGATCGTGTCCACCCCCGCGGTGCTCTGGAGCTCGATCGCCATCGCGCTGAGCATCGCGTTCTTCAACTTTTTCGGGCTCAGCGTGACGCGGCATGTGAGCGCGACCGTGCGCAGCCTCACGGACACGTGCAGGACGCTCACCATCTGGATCGTGAGCCTCGGGCTGGGGTGGGAGAAGCTCGTGTGGCCGGTCAGCTTGTTGCAGGTCCTCGGGTTCAGTCTTTTGGTTTTCGGAACGGTCAGTAATATTTGTTTGGGCCTGCACGAGATGTGAATGCTGACTGCGGTTGTAGTTTATGTTCAACTCGATTATCCGTCCGCCCAAGTTCCTCTTGCCACGCTCCTCGGACGCGGCCCTCACCAGCATGCCGACTATCGTCGTCAGCGTTGCTGGGGACGAGGCGGAGGAAAGGCTCGCCCTTCTTGCCGGCGATGCAGAGCACGGCGAAGCTAGAGGTTAATGGTAGCTATAGCTACGCCGGACTTCGAGCGAAAATGCGTTCAGGATTTCATTGTCATCGTGTACATATATCAACCCTTGCATCTTGCATTTTGCAACAGTAATTTGCACCCTCTATTCCATTAATCTTCCCGTCGTGAAGCTTGAAGTAGATTAATTTACCCGCACCTCGTCTATTTCTACCAGGTTCTTACAGACTTTCTTTCCTGCGTCACCGTCACGCCCCCTCTCCCCTCCCACATGCAGACCACCACACACGCCCACCCCGATCCTGTCACCGCCCTCGATCAGCGTCCGCATCCTTGTCCTTCCTGTACACGTCACACTAGCAAGCCACATCGCATGGAAGCAGAACACACTAGGCTTCAGCCTCCTGCCTAATGGGCGCACAATCGCCGGGTGGGGTGGCAGGTTTAAATTGAAGGTCCGTGAAGTCGGAGACGAATGCCAAACAGGGAGGGCGATAGCGGTACCGAGCGCGATGATGTCCGCCGGAGATCGGCCACGTTTTGGGCGACCGCGAACTTGGGTGGTCACTCATTGATTGTGGCTGATTGGGTGTCGAGAGGTGAGTCTGTGTATTGTGTCTCTACCAGACAATAGATTGCGAAAACACGTTGTATATACGAGACACTTGAGCTTGTAAGGAAGTAGCGGGCTTGTTCAGCGAAACCACGGGTTCGATTCTGGCAACGCGAAGCGGGTTCTTCGAGTTCTCGCAATTGAGACTCAAGCACACATTTAAATTTGACATACGTAGCACATCGGATCCGAAACAGAACATACTCAAAGCTCTCAAGCATGGGCTTGGAATTCAAAGAGATACCGAGAAGGTGCTGTATATACTCCGCTTTGTCATCGAGAACCTGACGCGAACGTCACATGTACCAGTGTCGTCGATGGTGCACAAACTTCCGATCTCAATTACAGAAGGCCTCGCGATGTTTATCCGTCCTGTTGACGGTTCGAATATCTGCACAGCCAAGGCGAGATAGATACGCGCAATCACAGCCATGATCATCATGAAGGAGCAGCAGTGGGCGGGACCGAGGACCATGGGAACACCCGATTGTTAGTGTGGAATTGAGATCTGAGAATGCCTACTCCAGGCAGTCGTCGGACCCGGATCCAGACTACACAACTGAAGGAAACTGTGTTTCATGGTACGGGAGCAAAATGTGATCCGGGAACAGTTGATTTATTGGACACTGACGAGCAAAAATATTGGGCTCCCACCGTTTGCCCATCGCACATGACGCCCGAGAATATTTGCTAGTGTGGACCTTAGAAGTGTGACGCTCGGGTTGGGAGTTTGGTGGCCGACGGATCGATATGAAGCCGAACAATATGACGCTGGAGCACATTACCGTGAGGAACGAGGCACCCAGCTAGATGGCTTGAACGGGGACAAAGGATGGGTGTAAGTCTTGATGTCAATGCAACAGTACTCGGGACCGAGAGTGCCTCTCCTCCGGGGCCGCCAGTCTATATTCCGCAGTCACCCGTAAATAGAGTGAGTAAAGAAGTCGGTTGAGTTCGCTGGAGCTTAACTTGAGTATCGCATGTGACCATGAATGGGTATGGTGCCAGTCCGACATACCGCGCAACGTTGTCCGGTAATAGGAGTTAGAGTTACCTGTGTGTTTGTGAGAGGGAGAAATAAACGTACCGCAACATCCGATATAAAGTCATTGCGTATTCCACTCCAATAGTGCGTCGGCGGCTTTAGCTGCCCGGGCCTACGTCCGTCTGTGAGTATGAATAGGTGCTTCCCGTCGGAGCGGCCTTTGTCCAAATACAAGGTAGGTACTTCTCATGAAAGGTCCGGAGATCAAACTACCGGAGCTGTGAAAGTAGTTGACATGCAACTTCGACGAAGGGATAGGAGGCGGGGCCAGAGCAGGCATAGATTCAGTAGGCAACTGCGAGTGAGGTTGTTTATTAGTAGAAGGCCTACACGCTGCCAAGTTAAAGCCTTTACCTGCGTCGGAACCAACATAGATAACTAAGACAGCGCTTCTTTCGCTTGGCAAGCGGATGCAAAGACTACCCCGCTCGGAGAGTCCGCTCAGAGATCCTCTGGAGATGAGAGTGCAAAGTATACGATTTCAGATCCATAGGCGCATGCAAACGCAGGCCTGGGGTGCTGCGGATCGGCCGTGGTGTCTGCAAATATAAGTGTCCAAGGATACGCATCTTCATGCGCAAAACGTGTTTACCACGAGGGCATGCATATCTCACCGCGGGTGCAATTTAGACACACCTTTAGAGACTGAGGGAATACAGCCTGAGACAGCTAATACTTGGTATAAGTTATCATAACCAGCCGGGCGGAAGGAGTTATGCTCGGTTGCCGGATTCGAGGCGCGAAGCGTATTTTCAAGCGCCTCGGATACGAAGAAGGGAGTCAGGCGGCCAGGCCAGTGCATTCGTACTCTCGGTAGACTCTATTAGAAATGGAAGCCGGACGTAAGGTTAGCGCTTGGTGGAAGCTATTATTCTTCGACTGACCTCGAAGAAGCTGCAATATCACGAGGAAGCAGAAAGTTCATGAAATTCAAGTTCCGGGTCTCGCACAGTTCGAGGGAATAAACTAACTAACTTACTTACCGGCTACACGGGACGATCCAAGCATGCCACCATCCGAAGAGGACGAGCATAAGCGACCTTGCGCAACCACGCACGTACAGCGACCCCTAAAGATTCTGCACGTTGTGCACGATGCATGCATCTACGTCAGCTGAGCAACTGAAAGGCGACCATCACACAGATGCGATAGACAAGGTAAGGTCAGAATGTCACCAGATATTCGGTAAATATTCGCAGACCTTGCTGCTGGGTATATGTGACGACGATCCGAAAAGACAGAATTCCAACGACCTTCTACGTAACTTACGAGTCACGACAGATACACTTGATATACCCAGCTACTGCTGCCCCCCGCATTACTGTGTAAAGTTAAGAACTCAAGAAAGTCAAGTAACAGACCGAGTCGGAAGAACAGGTCCTGGTAAGCACATAATCCAAGAAAAGGGTTAGCAGGTGAGAAAGAGCAACGATGGGACAAAATGGCGATTTTCCATCATGCTCAGGGACGCACCGGAGTTGGAGCGTTCGCCAGAGGGATGTCCAATGTTGACGGTTCAACCCAATACTGCCCTTGATGGTCAGAGTCATTCGAAGGAAGAATGTACGGAGGATATGTTATCACGGCAATCAGTGTTCGTTAAGCAACGGAGATGAATTACCACAGAGATGAATTACCACAGAGTCTTGACAGCTTGCCTCCGAAATACACATAGGTTATGAAGCTATTGGTTGCCAACGACCACAACTTCACCTCAGGGGAGTCGTGAAGCCCGGTAGCTCAGTGCGAGGCACAGAGCATATGTTCCCTTAGCTGGCTAGCAATGAATGCGTCCGAACGCATTCTTATAAACACATGCAGGGGGGATATGCAGTCTTGCTGACGGTCTTCACACCGGGAGGTATAGCAGGGTCCCTCTCATCCGTGTTAGATAAGGAGTATAGACCCCCAATCGTGATATGCTACCGCCAGCTTCATATGATCTTGCTTGACAGGAACTCGAGGGGAGGCACCAGCTCATTCTAACTCGAACTTATGCCGAGGGCCTCTGGATCTGCCGTGACGAACGTGAGCGAGCGGTAGAGGATACGAAGGTGGCAGTGCTGGTGTTGACTTCGGATTGGCTCATTCTCTCTCGGGCCCTCCTTTCAGACGTCCAACCAGAGTTGCGAGACGATCCAGGAGGTGGGCTGCGCGCGGACTCGGATTGATACCGCTTGCTTTCAGAGGCCACCCAGTATGTACGGACAGTACTCTGCCCCATGTCGACTCATGTCCATAGTTAGACAACAGTCATCTGGTCTATGCTTCTAGTTTCTCAGCCTTGTGGGTCCCTAGCAAAAATTAGATACATAAACAGCAGTCATTGATGTCTATTCATTGATCGTGATTTACGCTTTACATAGGCTCGTCGAATCTGCGTCCCTCGTAAGCTCAACCGTCCAAGTGGGTCATCGATTGATCTTGAACTGACTCTTCGCAACACAGATGACATCGCCTTCATACGGAAATGAAATCCCGGTTGAACCAAACTCTCTGTACATCTGCCTGAATCAAATACTATCGCCAGGCTTTCACTGGTCGCTCTACGTGACAGATGCCAAAGGAGCTGCAGTGCGATACGAATGGGCCGAGGTCCAGGGACGTGCCTCGACGAGCGACCCATTAGAAGCTTTCTTCTACACACCTACCCATCCTGTGATGGAGATAACCAGGGACCTCAGTTGCAACCTGGCCTTCATCAAGATCTCTGCGTATACTGCACCTGCGAACCCTACCATCCAATACTATGTTTCGATGTTCCACGATATTTTCCCAACCAGCTTTTCAAACGTCAAGCGGAATCGCGACCATGGCATTTCATGCCGCACTTGGCTGATGGCCGCACTGGAGAGGATGCGAACCGCGGGTGTAATCAATCTCAGCGCCAGCGAGGTCGCTGGTCTCGAAGCACGGGTCATTGCTATCGGACAGAAGGCAGAGGAAGAAGCTGCTAAGGGCGATTTTACGACTGTGCTCACGGCTCTATGATCACAGTGGAAGTCTGAAGCTGAAGCGCTGGAGTCCGACGCAGTGAATTCGTGTCACAGTCGACAGATTCCAGTTGTCAGTATTGTATTTGCTATTTCCGATGCAAGCTGAGATATGCTCTGCGGGAACTGCGTTCTGTGGTCCCCGCTGGTAGACATGTTTCCAGCTACCACGGCATTAGTACATAGATAAAGCTGAGGAACCGGGGCAATATACCAGAAAGTTCCTACTTTCACGCAACTTTCACGCGAAAGACATTGGGATGACTGAAGAGTGTATACAGTGAAAGCTGAGTGTGGCACGAGCGGAGCCTAATGGAATAAATTGTGAAGTCGAACATACCTGAGCGGTCCCCGGGCCGGGAGCCTCCGGAGTCGGAGCCTTTCGAAGGGTATGTCGCCGGCAACGCGCGATACACGCCTGCGGTAGCAGTCAATCTCTGTCCTCAAAGTATCCCACTCAAACAATTCTCGGAAGGCCTCAGCCACGCGCAATCAGATATCACATTGCTCAAAATGTCTGGTGGCCTCAATTCTTTGGCCACGATCATAAAGCGGTCAGCTTCTTTCTCCCTATTCCGTCCCCTTCACTGCAGAATCCGTGACCGACCTCCCGAAATGTCTATCTCAGGCTCGAGGCTGCGACGTCGCGTTTGGAGGATCTCGCTGCTGCGCAGGGCGTGCCGGGCTCCAGGCAGGACGATATACGAGATGAACCGGGACCATATAGCAGGAGCAGCACCCCTGCACCGTCTAACGTCCCTGTTCCTACGCCGCCTCCTCATAGTTCCGCCATGGCTGAAGAACCGCAAAGTATCACGGCGTATGATCAAGTGATCATCAATGGGAAGCTCAAAGCATTCCTCGAATTGACTCGGTCGTTTGCTGGGGAGTCAGTGGTCGAGCAGGTACGTAATAGTTAGTCTTACAGCACGCCCCAGACCTGAGATGAACAACCGGTGGTACATCAGGTTGCTCTCGTAGAGAAGATGTTCAAGGATCTACGGGAGGTCATCTTGGCCGCTAGCGCTTGCAAGAAACCCGATCAGCAGGCCTTCGGCGAGCTGCTGGGCCCTTTGCAGGGGGATATTGAAGCCATCACCAGGCTGAAGGAGGCTAATCGCAAGGACAGGGAATGGTTTAACCATCTATCCACTGTCGCAGAGGGTGCGCCCTGTGTGGGATGGGTGACGGTCGTAAGCCTGGTCAATGTCGATGTGAATGTTCCCCGGGCTGAGTAGTATGATCCCAGGAACCCAAACCCGGTCCATATGTTAAGGACATCCTGGATTCGACGATGTTCTACGGAAACAGAGTCATCAAGGAGTTCAAGGAAAAGTGCGTCGGATAATGTCTTACGCGTACTCTACTTACATCTGTGCTGCCAGGGATCCTAAGCACGCGGAATGGGTGCGAGCATACTCAGGTCTCATCGAGGAACTCCGGCAGTATATCGTGGACTACCACACGACGGGGTTGACATGGAATCACCAGGTTAGGCACTGCTAATCCCGACCTGGGGTGCGCTCGACAGTACTTATTCTTATTTCAGGGCATAACGGTACAACAGTATAAAGCGTCCGCGCCCGCATCTGCACCCTCAGGCGCCCCTGCCCCACCACCTCCGCCTCCACCTCCAGCTGCCCCCGCTCCGCCACCGCCGCCACCAGCCACAAATGGCGCATCATCTGGCGGTGGTCTCGGAGCGGTATTCGCAGACCTGAACCGGGGTGAGGAGGTCACCAAGGGTTTGCGCAAGGTAGACAAGAGCGAGATGACACACAAGAACCCCGCGTTAAGGGCTGGCGGCGTCGTTCCTGCCAGCACGACCCCGGCCGCTACGCGTAAGTCAACTGTCTCTCTATCCCTTGTTAGTATTCATCTTTCGGTACAGCCAAGAAGCCACTGAAGCCCACGAAGCCATCAGCCCTGCAAGGGAAGAAGCCAGCCAAGTTCGCGCTGGAGGGTAACAAGTGGATGATTGTAAGTGGGCTTCACCGACGTATGATCTGGTTCTCACCATGCCCCAGGAGTACCAAGAGAACGAGAGTGCTTTGACCGTAGACAACACGGAAATCAGCCACACTGTCAACTTGTTTGGATGCAAGAACACGACAGTACAAATTAAAGGCAAAGTCAACGCCGTCACCATGGGTACGCTCTACAGCGCTTTCCTGCGATCTGTTGCGCTAATCATAGGTCAACAGTCAACTGCACGAAGACGTCCGTTCTGGTGGAGAACGTCATCTCCTCAGTGTCTGTGACGAAGTCACCGTCCTTCGCCATCCAGATCACGGGCAAAGCGCCGACTATTCAGTTGGACTCTACGGATTCCGGTCAGATATACATATCCAAGGACTGTCTGGACGTGGAGATCACCACGGCGAAGTGCAGCGCCATCAACGTCAACGTCCCGGTAGAGGGCGAGGAGGAAGGTGTGTTCGGCGAGCAGCCGATCCCGGAAATGCTGAAGACGACTGTCAAGGATGGGAAGCTGGTCACGACTGTCGTAGAGCACGTTGGCTGATGAGCGGTGTGCTGGTTATACCCCGTGTCAAGTACTCTACTGATGCTTTTATTACAATGGACCGTGGTTGGGTGGACTGAATCGTCACTGTCGGGGGTTCCCATACCTCCCATTAGGCGTGGAAAGAGCGTCCTCATGTCAGTTGGCGGATGTCCATCACCTGAGTGCACGACGGGCAATGAACACCGAGATGGAAGTGCTGCTCGCGCAAGCACCATTACGCATCGCAGCTCGGTTGGGTTGGGGCGTAAATGGTCCAACTAACCCTATCATTCAAACGATGGTAGAGGTTTTCATGAAGCACAACATATAGCAGCAACTTGAAGAGGACAGCCGCCACCAACTGTGGCTGTCAAGAGCGCCGGCCGCCAATGGCCGACAGACGAGACAATCATGGAAGATTTTCCCGGCACCGGCCGGCCATCCGGGACCCTAGAAGCAGCCCGCTTGGCGTTGGTATGGTGGTTGCAACGGTAAAAGCAGGTCTCCTAAAACCCTTGTCGTCCCCCCTTGCTCGTCCCATTCTCGTTTCTCATTTTTGCGGCTCTTCAGCCAGCAGCCACTCGCTCGAACGACGCTCACTACTTATATATTGTTGACGATACCTTGAACAATGCGGTCCTCAGCGATTTTTGGATTGTCTCTGCTTTCCGTGCTCCTGCCTTTCACCCAGGCAGCCCACGGAAGCCAACGTCGGCACAACGCCGTCGCTCACCGTGCTCGGGGCGATGTGCAGGTCCACAAGCGCACCGACAATGCTCGGTTCACGTACTATGCGGTCGGACTGTGAGGCGCATTGTCTCTGGGCGGGGAATGCGCTGGCTGACTTTGATGCTAGGGGTGCTTGCGGTCAGACCAACGTCCCCAGTGACTTCGTAAGTGACTACGCCCGATATGGATTATAGCTAGCCTAATTCCTCGGCGTAGATCGTAGCTCTGAACAGTCCCGTAAGTACACGATCGTGTTTGTCCCCGAGAACCGCATCGTCTAGTACTGCCCCTTGGAGTTGCATAACTAACTGGTAAATTACAGATGTACGGTGATGGCTATCCGGGCCCTAACTGCTTCAAGAGCATCACCATCACTGCCAACGGCAAGACGACGCAGGCCACCATTATGGACGAGGTATATGCTGTTTAACTCGGTATGGCCCTATTTACTGAACTCTATGCAGTGCCCCGGATGTCCCTACGGAGGCTTGGACTTCTCCGAAGGTCTCTTCAAGTTCTTCGCTGACGAGTCTGTCGGTGTCCTGTACGGTTCTTGGTGGTACAACGACGGCTCCGGTGGAGGAGGAAACAACCAGCCCACCACTTCCTCAAGCCAGTGGACTCCCCCCACGTCCACTTGGGAGCCCCCCTCCAGCACTTGGACGCCTCCCACCACCTCTTGGACCCCTACGTCCACCTGGACGCCTCCCAGCAGCACCTGGTCGCCCCCGTCTTCTAGCAGCACCTGGAGCTCGTCCTCCAGTTCATCCTGGTCTTCGTCCAGCTCGTCTTGGAGCTCTAGCTCCAGCTCCAGCTCCAGCTCGTACACTCCTTCCTCGACCAGCAGCACCGTTGCTGCTACGCCGACTGTTTCCTCTACTCGTTCCGACCCTGAGAACATCAACGGCTTGAACCAAGTTATCATTGGCATTGGCGGAATGATCGTTGCTGGCGCCCAGGCTTAAGCGGGGGCGGAGCAAGGATTGAGCCTGGAGATTTTTGGCCGTTCATGCCCGTTTGCAATTATATATACCCTGCAGTTACTTCTCGCATTTATTCAACCCCTCCCCCCCGCACGCTATTCTTCTTGCATGCCTTGGCACATAGTATTGGACACCGTCGTGGAAGGCTCTCATCAAAATTAGGACCCAACCTTATTTTATTCCCTTTCCACCTACGTATTACTGGCAGCAGGTTGTAGTAGACCCACTGGGGAGTGTTTGAGGCACGGATCTTTTTGTTTACTTAGTGCTTTCTGTAATGAAAGTGCGTGTTGGGATTCTGGGAATGTAATGTTTCTGTCTACTATTGCTATCAACACGCTAAAGACCGTCTTGGGTTCACAATTCAACGTCCGTGGAGGGATACGCAAGGAATTGGTTATGTCAAGCAGAATACAAGAGGGTACAGGGCAGTTTATGATTACACAGGCTTGATTCGTGGTATGGACAACTGAAAAAGCAGGACAATGGAGGATACATCGTCGGCAGATCTGTCAGACTTGACAGCAGAGATAATTAGCACTTCGCATAGCAACGAATCAAATGCGGAGAATGAAGGGAGAGCATACTGACGCGCCTCGGAAGGGCGTCTCAAGAGCAGGCGAGCGGAATACTCAGAACGCTTGAACCAAAAGCACGTTCAGCCCCATCTGCTTCACGACCTGTCTCGGAACCCTCTTGTCCTTATGTCTCAACTCGAGCATTAGGGAGCGCTTGTTGGGGTGCATGGCCTGCCGGAGCGCGGCCTGGCCTTGCTCACGCATGGTCATGTAGTCCCTGATGTTGAGGAAGACGGTGGACTTGATGAAGGCCTTGGCCTGTCTCAGCGACCGGGGAAGGTCGGGGAGGGTCCAGAAGGAAGAAGGAGCGGACGGCGCATATGAACTTGAATAGAGACCAAGCTCGATGATTAACGCTTGCATTAAGATAAGTTTGTCACACGAATTCGGGTTGGAGAGGAAACTGCAATGAATGTCAATAAATGGCATCGGAGTGGGTAACGGCTGCTACGCACCGGTTGATGTATTTCCTCGCTTCGTCGTACGCTGGCACCAAAGCGTTGTCGTCCCCTTTCTCGGAGACATCGTCGACGATGCCACGCTCCCCGAGCCCCGCTGGCTCGTTCTCCTTTGCTTTCGGAGCCTGGCGTTTCTGGGCTGGTTTGCTGGCCTTCTTCTTCTTGGTAGGACTAACTTGGTTGACGACGGGCGACAGAGGTGCGGCCTCTGACTCGGAGGCGGTGGTGTTCGCCGAACCCGTCCGGCGCTTCCTCCTACGCCTCTTCTGCGAGGGAGAAGCCGAAGTCACAGACGCCGCTTGGCTGGCGATGCTCGCAGCAGGCCGTGCCAGGCGGGCATGGCCCTGGGAGACGACGTCCGAGCCGATCTCGCTGAACGAGAGGCCAGACAGAGCAAGCGACAAATCCTGCTCGGAGTCCGATGATGAGAGTGTGGGCGACTGCAGAGCGCTCCCTGTGATATAAGACCAGTTGGCCTCGGAGCCTGGCGATCGGACCATATCCCGCCTCTGGGACAGGACGAAGGCCTCGGGGCTCCATACTATCTCGTCCGATGCAGCATCGTCAACGACTGATGGGGGGGAAGAGACGACGTCGAACGAGGAGAGGGAGGTGTCCGACGTCACTGTGTTCGTGCGGGTGATTCGTGCAGCCATGCTCAAAGGCTAGCAGGGGAGAGAAATGAATGAATGTCCGTTACTACGCCCCCCGCCCTATATTAGACTGCGGTATATTTCTGGGAGATATGATGGCTTCCACTCACAAAGGTCGACGATCAGTCAGGAATGGATGGAATAGATTGTCGCTCCCAGCCAGCAGCAGGCTTCACGGGAACTGCGCGCGGGCGTGGACGCAGGATTCGCAAGGACCACTTGGCAGGCCGCTGCAGCTGCGCTTGGATCGTCGTCGGAGACGCTGGCCTGGCAGTCCTCGAGACCGTCGCTGACGAACCCGAGGCAGTCTGCTGAGTGTGTCGAGCTTATACGCACGGCAGCCTCATGCCCAGAAGGCGGCGAATACAAGTAGAAACGATTGCCCGCAGTAAGGGCTGTACTCATGCCTGTCGCCAAGCGCCGGTTTAGGCCGCCGGGCATCCGGCATGGCGGTATTTCTGACCGCGTTGCGCCGAATAACGAGCGCCTGCTCCTGCAGAAGAGGGGGGAGAATCTGCACATGGCTGCGATAGACGATACGTATAGACAGGCGTGTATCAAAACAGGACAGGCGATCAGCATATCCTCCAGTACACTATGCTGTTTCCGTATCCTGCCACAGCACGTTGCTCGACGTCCACTCCGCGCTTCCACAACTTGCCCGAAAGGTCTTTGACGTCCGCCTTGCTCTTCGCTAGGATGAACCGGCTCCCGTCAGGCCTCAGCAACGTGGTGGGGACGGCGAGGCTCGAGCGCTTCCCGTTCCCGAGCTGATAGTCGTAGTTTGCGCCCCAGACCATCACGTCCCTGCCGCTGCCACCGGGGCCGTTTTCCGTGTCGAGTGTAAGGACTACATGGCCCGTCGGAGAAATCGAGATGCTATGAGGCACTATGGGCTGGAGGTTTTCCGTCTTCTCGCTGACTATAATGAGATTTCATTAAGTATCACGGAGGAAGAGTTCCGTGTCACTCACATTCCAGAAGGCCGCTGACGTTCTTTGCACGCGCCGGCTCGACCTGAGCATTTCTGTACAGAGCATTACCAAGCCCACCCCATTGTCCATTACCGCACGCGAGGACGTCGACAGTCTGCATCGCCGATCCATCGGTACGCTCGACGGTAAATAGGGTCAGGTCACCACCTTCGAACTCCGTTCAGCAATGCTTCGATAATGAGATATGAGGGAGGCATATTCTACCTGCAGAAATGCTAGTACATCTAGTGCTCACGTCCTTGGGGGCAGAACGCCATAAGGCAATCTCGGTTGGCTTCGTGATCGTGTCTAATGTCACGTCTCTACCCAAACCGATTTGGCTAGAGAGAGGGTCAGCACCGACAGTTGCACCACATAATCCGAGCACGTAGACATACCCATACTCGTTTGCACCCCATCCAAGGACCCTGCCATTGGCGGTCTTCACGAAACTGCTCCGCTTCCCGGCAGCGATCTGGTCAACATCGATGCCCCGCAGCGCAGGCACTTCGAACAACTTATCACAAAAGCGTATATGCCGGTCGTCCACAGCGTCCAAGTTAGACGACTGCGTCCGCGCGGCCGCAGGCCGGCTCAGGGGCGACGATTTGGAGAACGGATCTGCCAAGGACTTGGGGATCAGCTCGACAGGGAGGCGGGAGGGGTTGGCGGGGTCGGAGGAGTAGTCCGGGACGTCGAAGGTGCGCACGCCGAGTTGGCCGTGCGAGTTGGCGTTCTTGGTAACTGGGTGCGAGAAGACGCGGCCAGAGGAGGTGAGGGCCAGGAGGTGGTCAGCACCGGCTGAGATTGAGATAAATCTGTACATATAACCGGTTAATATGAACGCATATATGCTGAAGCAACATAGCATACTTTTCTCTGCGGGACAGAGTCTCATTAGGCGTGAGTTCGGCGTAATGCTGAGGGTCATCCTGCCCGCCGAGCCATCCGCCGAGAGACAACCAGGAGGAGCTACTAGATGGCTCGGAACTTGCTAATGACTCCTGGGCTGCTGCGTGCGAGGACAAGACATAGACTTCTCCAGAGGCAGACAGAGCAAAGACACGAGAGTCCGTCAGCTGCAGTTGAACGATGTCCTGGAAGAGATGGTACGCCTCTTAAGTACTCAAGGTTAGTATGACGGCTATGGAACTGCTCACCTTGCCTTGCAAAGTCTGTTTCGGAGCCCATTCCTGGGACCTGGGGTCAGACGGACCTGCTCCGAAGAAGCCGTCGCCCCACTGGTAGACATCGCCACGAGCATCCACGCAAGCGGCATGTTGTTCATGTAAAGCCAAGTCTCTCAGTGCGACATTCTGCAGCCACTTGACCGGCGTCGGCATACGGACAGAATCTATCTTGGGGGTTTCCGGAGAGATCACGTTTGTTCTTCGGAATTCAGCCAAAGGAGTACAGGTGGATGAAATGACCACTCACTTGTTCGAGCCCCAAGTGAACGAATTCAGCGTTCCGTCCGGGCCCACGTTCGGTACCGACAGTGCCGCCAGCTTTGCCTGATCCAAAGGGCTCGTCGAATCCAGTGCTGCAGAAGCGTCAAGGTAAAGAGCGTCATGGTTAATATACCAGAGGGTCCCTGCACCAAGTGCAAATGATGCTCCTAGCAGAGCGGTCTTGGGCGCCTTGGAGAGTTGACGGGCTGACTGCGCTACTGTTGAGGTGCCATACTGCCTAGACACCAAGGAAGTTGCTTTTGCGACGCGTAATGAGTTCCGAAACATGACCCGAGACGAAAGTGAGATTGAACAGGAATGCGGGGTACAGGAGAGCTCAGCCTCCCGAAATTACAGATTCCAGTCCGCGACGAGTCTGATAGATAGCCAGTCAAATAATTCTCCCCAAGACGCTGTTGCAGACCGGATTACCAGCAGAGAGCCTAATCGTAGAGTATACAAAACGCGTCGAGCAAGAGGACTTGCAGGAACATATTTCTCGAGCAGGAGGCGTGACATTCACGTGCCGGTCAAATGACGCGCGCCAATGGCCGAGTGCGCGTTACCCACAGCGTCACGGTCCTGCAGCCAGAGCATACATTTACCATGGGCGCTGCATCGTCGAAAGCTGCCCGAAAGCTACCCAAGGAAAGGCCGACATGGGCAGGAGCAAGAGCACCTGCCCCCAGTGATCCTCTCCAGCCCCAGCCGCGCGACCGTTCGCAGAATGTGAGCAAGACTCTTGCGAGCGAGACCAAGGACGAAGGTGCGTGCACTGTAATCGCATCCAAGGGAGTAATATTGAACGTTAGGGTCCTAGAGATAACGAGGGACGCGATTGACCCCCAGTTCATGGCCAATTTGAGCCGACTTGGCGCCGTCCGCGTCGACCACCACATGCAAACCGTCCGAACCGTGAGTGGATTGAATCCTACTCTCAGATACTTCAGACGTGACAACCGTCAGGCGGACAGCATCAACCGAGGCTTCCAGTCTAGACAACAATCCGACGCCCAAGCCGCTTCCTCGCAGCCCGTGCGCAACCGGCTCCTCGCGCCTGCACTCAGTGCTCTGCTGGAGGAGCGTAAGCACGTCACGTCTCGGCAAGACCTGGAGAAATTGGCTACTCAGTACGCCGTGGACGTCGACAAGCTGGATCGATTGGCTCGGTATGTCAATAGCCCAAGTATAGATGAGACAACCAGGACCAGAGTATTAGAGAACGACGAGGAGCGGATCACGGTTAAGGTCAGTACTATGTTCCTTTCGCTAGGGCATGCTCACATCTCTACAGGCAACCTGGATTGAGCCGCGGATACAAGGATCATGAGGACTGCTGCAACAAGAACTCGTGTCTCCCGTTGTCTGTTTTAGTCGTCGATTCCGCGGACCTTACATCCCTATCTTCTCTCGTAGGAAACATCACGCAGCTGCACGAAAAGTAAAAGCAATCCCATAATGTTCCCTAATACAGACTGAATGTCCCTAGCCTACTCTGTATGCATTTACTTACAAGCGGCGTCACCACCGTTTGGGTCTATAATTCAAGACATGCGTTACAGCCTCCCGTACTTGTACAATTGTCTCGACCACCGACTCTGCCGAACGGAAACAGAAAAAAGGGGAATAGGAAAATCTTGCAAGCCGGTCCAGCATCATCAGCAGCGACGACCCATCTTCGCTCTTCGCCGCCACCAGAGATGAACGAATGTGATGAAAGATCTTGCTCTCTTTTGCGCCAGGAGGGTTGGGGGTATAGATAGCGTTGAGCGACCGCGGAAGTAACCCAATAGCAATATTCAAGTGAGATTGGAGATGGAGGCCTATGGACAGTAATTGGTGTTGAGATCGTTCCACGTGTAGGAGGTCGTGACAGCGTCGTAGCGAAGGTCGTTTACGCGTGGTAGGTTCCCATGTTCGCGGGGTTCTGTTGATACACTTGATACATGTAAGACTGGTAGAGTTGAGGAGACATAGATTGAGGGGGCATCCCATTGTAGGCGGGCTGCGCCATCCCTAGCATGTTTCCGGCCTGCGCGAGACTGGGCGACTGAGCACCGAAAGGCACAGAAGACACGGGGCTCGGCGACATAGACGGCATACCACCATTCCGACGAGTTCCATTTCGCGGGCTGCTAACATCGGGGGAGCGCAAGGCGAAGGGATTGAATGGATCAGATGAAGGCGAGAACGCGGAGTTGGGCTGAGATTGACGACCACGACTCGAGTTCTGGTAGGAGGGGTCGATCTGCAGCTGCGGAGGACCCGACTGAGGGTTCTGTCCTCCCATCTGCAGAGCAGCCATCATGGACGCCAGACCCTGATCAGTGGATGGGTAGCCCGAAGGGAGACCTGGCATAGCAAAGTTGTTCTGAGGGGTGATCTTCTTGTTCGATGGAGGCATGTTGTTGTTGTAGGTGGGCTGGAAGTTAGGGATGGGCAGTCCAACTTCCTCAATCAGCCTGCGGTATGCCTGCGTCGCAATAACCTTCAACTCGAGCAGGACTCGCTTAGTCGCCTCGATATACTTCGGCCTCTCGGATTGGTCGATGAACGGACTGGTCAGGACTTTATGAACGACAGCAACACCGTTTACCTGATCACCCAACACATCCGTCAGAACGTGGTCGTTGGGAGAACAGAACAGGGCATCGACGATCTGGCGCGAAGCATTCGGTTCCACCTTCTGGTTGATGATACGCAAAACGGTAAGGGACGCCAACTTGTGAGTGCAAAGGTGAGACAGATGCGGCGTGAACCGAGGTGCCAGAAGGTTGTAACGCGAGGGGAAGCCGGACGTGTCAAGCAGCCACGTGAGGAGCAACGCTCCATTAGGATTTGTCGCCAGCGGGATGGAGTTCAGCACGATGGCAGTGGCAACACGACGTTGCTGGCTAAGCGAAATATGAGAGCTTTCGAGGCAAGCCCTCATACTGCGAGCTCCGAAGCGACCTTGAGCAACCTCCCACAAACGGTCCACCATTCCATCGAATATGAACTCGTTGGCCGGAGGGCCAAACCGGAGGCAACACCTGGTATCCCAGTCAGAATCTGTGCTGGACAGACACAGTTGGCACAACTTACTGAACCACATAGTTCCCAAACTGATCGAGCAACAGCGGCGGACCGTAGGGTCTCAGGTTTTGACAGATAAGATTGACCTCCTCCGGAGTCTGCACGCATTCAATGATTTTCTGGGCCGCCCATGTACCATTTTTGTGGATGCCGATCATTGCGAGGTGAGGGGCGATCCTCTCCAGCATAGCCATCCTAGGACCAGCAGAGCACTTCTCGAATAATTTTTGCACAACCTAAAGAGATAAAGAGCCAATGATGAGCATGTGTCCTATAGCACAAGGACATAGCCGTACTGTGTTTCCCAGCCAGTCGGACGCAAGATCCACTATTTCACCGTCCAGGAAATCCGCAGCCACCTGATCAATCTCTTCAACACTGATGGTGTTGGAATCCATCCTCTTGCGCAGCTCCCTAAGCTTGGAAGCGTCCCAGCGGCGATGCTGGGGCCTTTCGGAAACGAGAGGGATGGTAGTGTAATACATTGTGGGAGGCCGGAATTCTGCGAAAAGGTCTAAACTCCAGATGCAGATTTAATCGAGGGAACGCAACTCACCCGCAAGAGCCTGAATGTCAGCTTCAGCGTCGGCCGCACCGCCGCTCAGCTCCCTCATAACCATCTGCTGCTCCGTCACTGAGGGCGACCAACCAGCAGGCTTCGGCGTGCCATCATTGACGTATGCAGCATTGTGCGCTCCCGAGCTGATCAGACTCAGGAGTAGGTTGGATCGATAGTTCTCCAGTGATCCGCTAAGTACTTGCTGGTCCGTAGGGATGGTCGAAGCGCCCTTCACCCCGCGCAAAGCGTGGATCGTAGCACCAACGCTCATGTCACCAACACCCTGTACATTCAATCCTGCAGCATCGTCCTGGCCAGCAGTGCCTTCTTGACCGTTCTTAACAGGTACCTTGGCGAAGCCGATGCGGATGGCACCGACGTCGCTGCCAAGCACATCACGGCCATTGAGAGCTTTCCTCGCCCTAACTGCATCATCAAGGCGCTCGAAATTGACTAACAGAGAGCGTCAAAAGAAAGCTCTGCAAAGATCAAAAGCACTCACTGAAGCCGCAATTTTTATGGGTCAATACTCTGGCCGATTCGATAGGCCCGAAAGGACTGAAGACACTGAGAATGGTAGCAGGGGTCGTAGTGGAGGGGATTGAGCCAATCCAGAGCGCCCTAGTGGGCGTCGACTGCAACTGGGCATCCATGCCTGCCAACCCAGCATTGTTAGAGGTGCTCTTGGATGCGGTTGTACCAGTAGGGGTAGTTGCGGTGCTGCTGACGTTCGTGCCCTTCGCGGGGGCGACAGGGGCGCTGTCGGCTTTTCCAAATCCTATGCGTACAGTCTGTCCGTTGGGCATCCCGATATTGCCACCCAAGCGGTTGAGTACGTCTTCTTTCGCGCGAATCGCATCACCCATGTCAACGAAATTGACAAAGCCACATTCCTACAATGCAAATGAGAATATGAAAGCGGAAACTGTCAATATTCTCACCTTTTCCGGGAGCAACCTCAGACTCTCAATGGCACCGTATGGAGCGAATACATGGATCAGTTGCTCTGCAGTGACAGAGCTGTCCAGGTTCCCGATCCACAACGAGCGCGTCGGCGTCTGGATCTGAGTAGACGAGTTCTCTGACTTGGGCGACACCGCGCGTCCTTGATTGTTGGGAGCAAGAAGGTAAGGCGACGCACGGCTTCCGACAACGTCTCCATTCGGGAAGTGCACGGTCGGAGAGACACCAGAACGGGGGGTCGTCGCCTTGTCAGACTTGAGGATACCCCCGGGGAGACCGTAACCAAGATTGGCATTCTGGTTGAGAGCCTCGTTCGCATACGGAGACTGCTGCGCATCGGCGATGGTGGCACGCCGCTGGAGGCTCCGAACGGGGTCATCCAGCGTCCCAACAGAGATGGCCCGTGGCCTGGCAGACTGGTTCAACAAATGATCAGACTGCCTGAAGCCTCTTGCAACCATGTCGGACGGGAAGTAATCGCTCTCCCCCATGGTATCTCTGTAGGAATCAACGCGAGCGCGGCCATAGTTGTCGTACTCATCCAACAGCTCCTCTTCTTCCTCTGCGTTGGGTGTCGAGAGCAGTGAAGTTCCAAGGGTACCCCTCAAGCGATAGGGGTTCGACACGGTACTTGCACGGACGCGAGAGGGACCGAGGTTACCGGTGATAGCAGCCTGGGCTTGGGTGCGCAATTCCGACATGGTGGCTGCCGGAGGCCGACCTTCATCTAATCCAAGATAATCCAAGGTATGCACGTCAAAGTCATCGGCTCCTGAATCCACCGAGCCGACAGAGCGCAACTCATCAAGCACGGGAAAGCCACTGCCACCGCCGCTGTTGTTGGGCAGCCAGGACGATCCAAAGATGGACGAGCCGAAGGCATTGGAAAGGCCACTGGACGGCAGCGTGAGGGAGCCCGACCTGAGACGACTGTTGCGCTCTGTAGCGAGCGTGGAGGCAGGGACCGAGGAGGCAACAGAGGCAGCATGTCGTAAATTAGGTCTCACCGGCGTGCCGTTACCCGCGGATTCGTTGCGCTGCTCCATGAACGACTCCGTCGAGGGAGCATTGCTGCCCAACGAGTTGGAAGCGGCAGCAAAGCGTTGAGCGGCAAGCGACACGTTGGAAGGTAAGGTTCCCGCCCTTGCCCTCCTAAAACCGGCCGGATAATTAGTTGGAGGCAGGGTGGAGTTGTCCACCGACGCTGAGCCAGGGGAGCCAGCGTCATTAGGAGGGGAACCGCCAGAAGCTAGGGCGCGCAGCGCAGGAGGTCTGTATCTCGCTGAAGCACCGCCCACTGCCCCCTCAGCCTGAAGTTCCCTCGCTCTGCAGGCTCTATCAGAAGACAATCCCATGGATGCACCAGAATAACTCACCGTTTAGCGTACGCAGCAGAAGGGGCCGGAGGAGGGGTCTTCCCAGAAGAAGCCCTGGGAGAAAAGTTGTTGTCCGGAGCAGCGAGAGAGGACATTAGAGCCTTTAACGAAAAACGATTAGGTATTACGAATGTGCTGTTGCGGACGCCTGCCCGTTGCCAGAGTTAGCGATCGTCGAGAGAGTGGGAGACAGCCCGGTGGATGCGTCCTAGAGCAGCGACGTGTGGTAACTACGAGGAAGATAGGTGGTCGTTATTAGGTGCCGTCTAGCCCGGATTTTGGAGGTAAGGAACAGAATTTTCAGGGCGAATATGAACAAACGTCGCCCGAACTACTAAGGTAGAGGTAGCCCCCAGAAAATAGTACTACTAAGAGGGAGAAGGTGGTCAAGAGGAGAGACGTCTCTGCCAGGTCTGCGACTTTCCAACTCCGCCCCTTATACTGTTGGCGCTGGGCTTCGAATTCTCAACCCCTCTTTGAACCCGCTCTTGCTCTGCGCCCATCAGCTTACATTTGATTCTATCTTTACATTCCAATCGCGCTGCAGCGACCAGCACTATCCCCGAGGCTGCTGGCCATCTGACCTCGCCCGAGTATATCCTCGACGTCGCGGTCTCTGGTGGGAGTCCACAGACGGCCCCGAGGACGGGCGTGCACTCTTCGGGGGATGCAGTTTTATGCCGAAAATACGGCACAATGACCCTCGACGTAATGATGCAAGTGAGGTGGCGGAGGCCGGAGGACCCGTTCTGCCATCAGCGCTCGCCGAGGCCTTGTAGATCCCGTCCGCTTACCGCCGAAGCCCTGCAGAATACAAGTAGCCTACATACGTACTGTACAGTGGCTTCATTTATTCGTAATAACGTATCATACAGCGACTAAACAGCTTCGAAAGTACTTTCTGAGGGGAGAAACGAACCGAGACCCAAGAATAATATTACGACCGCCCGCAACAAGACGCGGGCGGGAGGCAGCGGACTCGTCAATCATCGAGGCGAAGAACCAACAAAAGGAGTTCTGTGCGAGGAAACGAGTAACTGATACAAATCTAGACGGTTGAAGACGAAGGTCATAAGTGATTCGAACAGAGACGAGTGAGAAAACACGAATACAGTGAGAAACGATAGGCTAACCGAGTAGGGATTTCGTAAGTTAGACATTCTGAATTATGAAAGCGAACCACGGGACGCCCTCTTGCTCGACCGCGTCCGAGAGCGGGCTGCGATGGCATTTGCAACTCGCTTGGAGCGCCGAAGCGGTCGCTGTTGGCGGCGGGCGGGCTTCTCCTCCTCAGCAGGCTCGGACTCTGCACGCTCCTCGTCTTGATCCACCTCGGGAACGTCCTTCGCCGAGGCGCCATCATCCCAATCAGGGGCGGCACACAAGGTATGGAACATCTCTTGCTCAGTCGGGCTGAGGGGAGTCTCGGCCAGACCAGCGTCTTCCTGGAGAAGAGGACCACTGGCGGTGAGCAGCATGTACGGCGTGTGAACCGCCATAAGGTGGTCTTCAATCTTCCACTCATGACTCTCCTCCATATCCCACGGATTCGAATCAAATGGATCCTTCGACGACGACGTCTGTAATCGAAGTTCCAGGGTGGAGCGGAAGTGCGGGCCGAAATGATTAAGTAGGCGCCGATTAGGGTTCGATTTGTGGAAGTCATGCAGAGCCTTTGGGAAGCGCTCATACAAGACGTCCGAAAGGAATATATCGAGCGGGGCGCCAGGCAAGGGATGCTCGCGAATGAAGCTCTGGGCAGAAGCCAGAGGGACCCATGTGCCGAGAATAATGGGCGACCCACGGCTGATCACCATGGCATTAGGTATTAATTTCGTAGCGGGGAGAGGAGCACCGATGTGCTTTGCGATAGGCGACAAATTGACGAAATCCGTGTCGATTCGTCGTAGTAGTGATGATATGCCGAGCGTCATTTGATAAACGGAGATGCCTGCCAACGCAACAGTCAATATATTTGCTTCGGGAGTATTTTCGGGCAACGTACCCTCAACTTCAGTAGCCCAAACGGGAGGGTTGCATGGTTCACATGTGCGCACCACAACAACTTGAGGCTGTACTGGCTCACTCTGCTGTTTGATATCCGCCTTGAGGGGGACGATGCGAGCAGCCGGGCTCTTCAAGGGCTCCGGTGAAGTATCAGTGCGAACAGATGCGGACAACGAGGGTGATCTCGAGGAATGACTATCATCCTCAGCCTCAATCGCCATAGCAGCATGCTCAACCACGGGATGCGGCGACGTGGCTGCAGGAGACTGCTGAGCTTCGGCTTCGGGAGAGTCGGAAAAGTTGTCTTCAGGTAGCGGAGACACGGATGCTTTCACCGTAACGTCACCAGATTCCTCGCTATCCTTAGCGTGATATTTGCCTCGATCCCATTCATCGTCCTCGAAGTCTCGTGGATGAACGGAATCAGGGCCCAAGAGCTCTGCATCCGCCCAAGACAACTCAGTCGATCGCCGCAGAGCAGCATAGTTCTCGACAGCAATAGGAGACAGGGCAGATAGCGGGGTCAGAGGAGACGCGCAGTTGAAATCATCTTCATGCTCGACTGCAGATGTCGCAGGCGAAACTCGACCAAAATACTCCTCTTCCTCCTGCTTGATACGGATAGCATCCTCCAGGCAAGGCGAACTGGGATCCCAACTAGGGCTTCCCTGTTGGTCCCAGTCCCAGAAATTCAGTGCCTCCAGTTTGACGGGCGGCACTTCATAATCTGTGATACCTGCGGACTCGGCAGCCGCTTGGGTTATGATTTTCACAATCCTATCCGCATTGTCGAGATGCTCCCATGCGTCGAGCATGCCTCCGACGTCCGTGGGCTCCTGCTTGACAACAACGCCTTCGAGGTGGTCAAGAACGGAGCGGACAGACGGGGATCGAGGACCCGGACTACGAGCGTCCGTGTCGGGATCTTCTTCGTCTTCAAGATCCCATTCCATGTCATCGTCATAGTCCCAGCGATTCCCCGTCATGCTGGTGTGGAAATCTTCGTCCTCTTCTGAGTCGGGCGGTGGCGATGCATCACTGTTGGCGACAGAAGGTGAACGTCGGTAGTCCATGTCATAAGAAGCGCATGGATGACTGTAGCGAGGCGTCGCAGCTGGCAGAGGCTGCATAGACCATTCCTCTTCTGGCTCCTCGTCTGACTCAAGTTCGTCGTCATCAGAGGAATCCACAGACATTTCTTCGTCGTCGTCATCATCCTCTGCCGACTCCGATTCTGACTCTTTCGACAAGTCGATGACACTCTGGGTTGGCTCTGGTGAGCGACTTTCAGCAGGCGCAGGGGTAGGTGCAGACGTGGACGGAGCAGCAGAGGACTCGGGCGATGAGGATACGAGACTAGGCCTAAGGCGCAGAGTCAGTTTGATTTTGGGAGGCCTTCGTTCTTCTTCATCACTCGAAGATTCCGAATCCGACGCTCTCTTGCTTGCGCATGAACGGAGCGGCCTCTTACGTTTCTGTCCACACTGAGCAGCTCTCCTAGCCCTGTCTCGCTCTCGTTTCTTCTCCCGTGCGTCTCTCGGCTGCTGGTCCACTTTCCCATTCTCGTTGTACTCGCAAATTCGAATACCCGCCCTCGCGAAAGGGCATGGGGCACCAGCCGCTTTACTCAAGTACCACACCATAGTACCCTTCCGGAAGTTTGTAACCCTCTTGTCCAGTGGACCTGGGCAATGGGCACCGCCGGAACGGGAGTGGAGTGCTTCCACGAGGTCGTCGTCAGAAGGCGTACCTGAGAGAGGGTGACGAAGGAGAAGGGGATGATCTTGCTGCGCCTCGCAACGTTGCATGTGAGCACGGATGTAAGTCGTGATAGCCTGTCCGGCTGCGGACGCACTGCAGGCCATGAGTCAGGTATGACGCGGTGGGTTAGGGTCAAGCACTCACTTCTGGCAGCTCAGTCCAAAGCGAAGGGTCATTTCAGCAAGGTCCTTAATTGTCATCGCACGATTATCCTAGGGGCGGGAGATGTCCGGAAGTATGAAGGGCGCAAGTTAACAATAGACCAAGATGACATCAGGAATGTAGGACACGCACAACGGAGAGGAAGCAGCGGCCAATAGCAATGAATACTTTACTGTTCAAATCATCTGGGTGTAGCATAACGTGAGGCGGAGGAAAGGCAGGCATATCAGGCTTGGGTGAATCATGTGGCATAGGCTTGGACTTTGGGCCGGCTGTCGGAGCAGGGCGTATCCTCCGGGGTGGCGGGGGCGGATCTGGGGACTGCCTGAGACGAGCCGAGGGTCGCATAATGGAATTGGACCGGGTTCGAGTGCCATACTGGTGCGACGCAGCCGAAGAGTGGTGGTTGTCAACCGCGTCGCGTTGGGAGGGGGAGGGGGCGGGCATAGCGGCCATGTTTCATAGGCACATGAACGAGACGAGCGTTGAAGAGAGCGTCGACCAGCGAGATGAAGGGCGAGGGGCTGCAGAACGTGCGGGACAGCGACGGCGGACAAAGGGGAGAGGGCAACAAGGGGACGGAGAAGAGGCGAGTGGGAGAGGAACGAAGATAGAAACGAGTTTTCAAAGGCAGACGATCTGGTGCCTCGGCTTCGCGCGCCTAAAATGACGTTCCCAGCCTTCCGTTGATGCTCCTTATCTGCTTACGTCAGCCCCATATCAACCTGCCAGCGCATCACTTTCGCTAAAAATGCGCTAAGCCTGTCTCGAACTCGGCGCCGACGCGACTGAGCGTCGCAGCTGCCAGCGTGGAGGGCCTGGAGAGGGGACGCGACGGCGAAAGACCTCCACAGAGTTCTGTGCCACACACGCGTCTCCTGCTCGCAATTTTCCGGTTCATCCAAGTAAAGCCTGCCTGATGCCCGGATGGCATCATATGAGGCATCATAAAGAATCACGGCCCTATTTCTTGTGAGACATGCAGCAGGCTAAACGCGTCTGAAAGCCGCTTACATTTCTGTCCTCCTTTGCCCATTTCGAGCCCTCTATGGGCCGCGTTCTCGAGCGAATCCCCCACCAGATCTGCCCTGCTGAACAATTTTCCGCCATCCTGCTTCGCAGCCCTCCGTGGCGTCAGGGAAACCAACGTAAATCGAGCTGAGCAAATGCCGTACCGGTTAGGAAGTTTCCGGGCGGAGGGAACCTCCACTTCATAACCACGTGTCCGCGAGGATCCAATAAAGCTGTACACTGCGGACGAGAAGGGGTTTGTCAGTCCTTGGGCCTTTGTCCAAACAATAGACTCACCACATAATGCGCAGTCTGCTATTATGCACCCTGTCTCGCAGGATTCGCGGACAGCAGTCCTGCCACCGGCCAAGAATATCCATAACGCAAGCACCCGGACTTTCCTCGAGTCACAAATCGTGCAACACGCTCCACTCGTGGTATCTTGTCCAGCACGCCGCGGCCGAGCGTCACTAGTGCGTCCAGTGACCTCAGGATACGATCGACATAGGATGTGATCGTGGGTGTTTATCGCCATTCAACGAACTGCCGTGCGATATCACTAGCACTCTCGGAGTCGGAGCGACTCGATGGGCATCGACTCTATGGGAGAGACATGGCCGGTGTGCATGATCGGGCCAATACTCAAAGAACGTGGAGCATCCTTTCACGCGAAACCGAACCTGTTGGGACGGTCACATTTCCATTTGACACTCTCCTCCATGACGACCTTTGCAAGCAACGTACCTGCACCATCCTATCTTTTCTCTCCTTCGTTTCTCGTGATATCTTGGATATTCAGGATTTTTTGCGAAAGCCTAGGACGGCAGGAAATCGATCAACGAGAACGAGCTGCAGCTAGATCCGCCACAATCGTCTTGCTCGATTGAAACGGCTGGATAAAGCCTTTGTCCTTGCTAAGTCGACCTCCTGAGATTCTACGAGTGCAAGTAGCCGGCGCTGAGAGAAGAGAGAGGGTGCCGAGCTGTACGTCGTGGACGAACTGTGAGCAAGCTCTCGAGGACGTCGGAATGTACAGGTCGCACGTGGCCTCCACGGACCGTCACGGTAATCAGGACGGTGGACCAACTTGCAAGGTCTATCAGCCACAGACAGGACTTCATGGTCACATCGATTAGCCTTGGCTGTTCCAGGAGTAGGATTACAGGTGTTCAGACTGTCCTACGTATTGGACCTAAGGGCATAGAATCTGGTCGAGACTTCTTCATATGAAGTCGGAGGCGTCGCCAATACTATGTGAGGAAGGATAGAGGAAGTACAGGCCCAGACAACTTATGTCACTACTGGAACGTCGTTCCTGCCTACTCAAGGCTCTCATCGTCGCTGTCGGGTTCACGGCCTCTCGCCTCCCGGACTGCGTCCTCCAGCTCCTCCAGATCCCATCCAATCATAGCTTTCTCCATATGCAGCAGTTCTACTCGGTTGCCGAGGTCCTTCAGGACGTCATCACTAACATGCCAATCAGCCCGCAGCCTGGAACGCAGGGACGCAGCTCCTCCTCACCTTGCATAAGCCTGCACCCATGTACAGAAATCATCCACCCATATTTTGCTGTAGACATAGTAGACGTCGTGATGGTCCAGTATGTGCTTCATCTCAAGCAAGCATCTCGTCACGACTCGTTTGCCCCCTGATAGGAAGGACGCGACGTCTGAGCGACACGCTTCTGCCAGAGCCCAAGACCGGTACAGGGGAAAGGCAAGGGACCGGCGGTACAATGCAGCAAAAGTCGTCGCTAACATTGCGTCTGCAAAGTATGGCGAATGGACATCCGCTGGTGGCTCAGCTGGGGTGGCGCAGTAAGGAGGTGGATCGAGCGCGGAGAAGGCAGGCGTGAGCGAGCAAATTGTCCAGGCGCTCTCAGGCGTCGGGTCGTGCTGCGTCGTACGTGATTCATAGGCATAGCTGAACAATAGCGTCAGCAGAGTCAAATACAGACATTGAGTCTGAGCCTCTGTCGCCAGATCTATGGGTAAGGTGAGCACAGGCAGGTTACTTTGGACATCGGAGATGCGCTCACACTCTTTCCGAGGCAGACGGAGCATCATAAGCTGTTCATCATCGGAGTAAGAAAAGGATTCATCCGGAAGAGCTGTGTGCGGGTGCTTCCATGCAATGAGCTCCTGGATGTAATCGTCTTCGGCGTAATCGGCTCTGACAGGGTAGGTTAAGGGACATAAGCGAGGCGAATTGACGCGAGGCCTACATATAGTGTTCTTCATCCCACTTCTCCTCCTCGTGCTTGATGCGGCGCCTTCGACGTTCGTGGGGGAGACACGTCTCGGCATCTCCGCCCAATTCATTGACTTCGTTCTCAGTATGCTCGACATGCACGAAGTAGCCAGAGTACATGTTCAGGAACCCGTAAGGCCTTTTTGTAGACGTCTCGAGCGGCGGAAGCGGCTCCGGGACCGTCTGAGGGAGATGCCAATCATTTTCGGCAGCTAGACGACCTGTCAACAATGGCCGGCTGCCTTGTGATCAGTGCTTACCTTTCAATATTTCTTTTTGCTCTAAACTCAGCGCGTGAGTCTTCTCCAGAAGCTCGTTGTCTTCGGGATCCTCGGCTCCGTCGGAGCTCAGAACCTCGATGGTCGGGGCGGGCCTCTGAACCTTGCTCGCAGGAGGAGCTAGGAGCTTCGCAAGGAGATCGAGGTCCTTGAATTCCTCTCCCTTCACCTCCTTTGTCAATGTTATAGTCAAACGCCCGGTGCTCGGGTTATACTCCGCAGAAGAGTGCTCGTCCTCTACGACACGGCCGGGGAAGTTGAGACGCAGGAAGTACGGATTCACGTGGACGGTTAATAGCGTATCTTCGACGTGGGTCTCTAGTTCCGCGGCCTACTTAATTAGCAAGGCAGTTCAGCCCTGATATCGAGCATACATGAAATTGCTGAAACATACCCGAATTGAGGGGCAATGAATTGAGACCACCACCAACGCATCTGTTTGCGAACAGGAAAAACGGGGAGTGATCATATCGCTGATCCGGTCGGTATTTGCTTGTTACGAGCGAGATGCGCAATGCAGTGAACTCGACAGATATCAAGACGCCGGACACTGACTGCAAACAAGCAAGTGAGAATCGCGCAAGCAGATCTGACTTGGGATCTGACTCAGTCGACCGGTCGCGGCAAAGTGCATCTGTCGCATCCCAAAGATGCATCACATCTACCGTTTGCTGCACAGGGTCAGGCTTAAAAGGCGGCGTGTAGGCCAGGGCTAAGGTATCTCTGTCATGGATACTTCAGTGAGTTTTTGCAGCACTGGCTTGGGACGTTGCTGACTATGTCTATAGAAATTGCCGGCGTACCCTTCTCTGGAAACAGTGGAAAGACTCATTATCAAGGAGAAGCAGGGGAACTGTGTACCCGTCTACGTCGAACTACCTGCCGACCTTCTGACGCCATGCATCGCATATCTGCGTATAGCGAAAGACTCGAAATACAGTTTTCTGCTAGAGTCCGTGATCGCAGGCGAGAACATTGCACGCTATAGTTTCATTGGTGCAGGTGAGTGCGTATGATCATATTCATAATCTGATGCTCTAAAGTTGCTTGAATGCAGACCCACTCAAGGTAATCAAGACTGGACCCAACGAGGATATCAAGGGGGACTCTATGGTCGCATTGCAAAAGGAACTCCAGAGCTACAAGTATGTCAAACTCCCGGAAGTCCCATCGTTCACTGGGGGAGCAATCGGCTACATTGCGTACGACTGCATACAACACTTTGAACCCAAAACCGCGCGAGTGTTGACCGATCCATTGAATATCCCCGAGACGGTGTTCATGCTGGTCGACACCCTACTAATTTATGACCATCTATTCCAAAACCTCAAAGTAGTCGCCCACGTTTTTAGTCCGGGTGACGCAGGGGCGATGAACCTGGCCTTTACGTATCAGACTGCAGTTGCGAAGATACGGAGGCTGGCCAAAACGGTGCTCACCCAGGGGACACCCGAAGTCCCTCAGGGACCAATTACCCTCGGTGGAGAAGGTGTCTCGAACGTCGGGAAGGAGGGGTATGAACGTTTTGTCACCAACTTGAAGAAGCATATTGTGGCAGGAGATATCATCCAAGCAGTCCCTTCCCAGCGGCTCGCGCGCCCGACGGCGTTACATCCCTTCAATGCGTACCGGAAGCTACGGCAGGTCAATCCGAGTCCTTATATGTTTTACTTGGACTGTGGGGATCTGCAAATTGTTGGAGCTAGTCCTGAGACGCTATGCAAGGTGGAGAAGAACAAGGTATACAATCATGCGATTGCGGGTACCAGCAAGCGGGGTAAGACTGCTGAAGGTGAGAATCATTGCACTTACCATTGCGTTTTGAAACCCACGTAACATCTACGGACGTGTCGTTATTCAACAGAGGACGAGAAGTTAGGGGCTGAGCTCCTCGCTTCGGAGAAGGACAGGGCGGAACACATAATGCTTGTCGATTTGGCCCGAAACGATGTAAATCGCGTCTGCGATCCGAAGACGGTGAAGGTCGACCATTTGATGCGACTGGAGAAGTTCAGCCATGTCATCCACTTGACGTCTCAAGTCTCTGGAATGCTCCGCGAGGGCTTGACGCGGTATGCACTATGCTCCGTGCTTGCGGAGGCCGCTCACTGATACAAAAAAATACAGGTTCGACGCTTTCCGGTCAATATTTCCCGCAGGGACAGTTTCTGGCGCACCGAAGATCAAAGCCATTGAGCTCATCTATGCGCAGGAACAAGAACGCCGCGGTGTCTACGCTGGTGCAGTCGGACACTTTGACTTTGCGGAGGACGAAATGGACACTTGTATCGCAATTCGGACCATGCTCTTCAAGGACGGCGTCGCATACCTCCAAGCCGGAGGGGGCATCGTATTCGATAGCATCGAAGAGGATGAATACACGGAGACCATCAATAAACTGAAGGGTAACGTGAGAGCCTTGGAGGAAGCCGAAAGTGCGTCCAACAGCGACTCGCTGCCCGATAATCACTGACAGGAGCTATTCTTGCAGAGTACTGGCATGATATTCAGCTTGCGCAGAGCAGTCAAACGTCATGACAGGAAGTTGTAGTCATTATGTACGCTATAGCAGATAGTAAAAGCAACCTGTTCAGAACCGTGGTGATCTCTGGGAATTTTGGAAACGTTTCTTCTCCCTCTCCTCCTTGTTAAGGAGAACTCCCTCCCTGCCAGCAACGCTGAGAACCCCCACAATCAACTCCGCCGTCCGTGTGCTCTCGTCGTTAGCCGGGATCGGGTACATAACGATTCGAGGGTCGACATTAGAGTCGACGATCCCAATTGTTGGGACATGTTCGATAGCACATTCTCGGATAGCGTGCATATTTGCGATCGGGTTCAGGAAGACCACCAGGTCGGGCGTCACTCGATCCCGCAGCACGTTAGAGCCGAACATGTGCACCTTGTTCGTCAGTGTCCCTGGCAGCCATTTCTCCCCGACGTAATAGCCTTGGTCTTCCAACCTCTCAGCCGCTTTCCGGACTGCAGCGCGCAAGTCTGGACGCGTACCAACGAACACGACAGTGCCGTCCCCTACTGTTATCGACCGGACGAGGTTCGCTGCGCGCCGTAGAAGGGGTAGAGTCTGGTCGAGATCGATGATGGTAATACCTGCTCGTACTCCATAGGCATACGGGATGAAGTTGGGGTTCATCAGGGTCTTAGAGTGCCCGAAGTGAGCGCCAGAAGCGACGAGGGCTGAAAGTGTGAGCTGGGACGGCGCGACTGGTCGGTGCAGGGAGTGATGAGGTTGGAACGTGTTATCTCTAGTCTGTGTCGAGCCATACTGAGACATTTCTTCGTCTAATACAAGGCCAGTCAGCTTTACAGTTACTCGCGCAAGAGGTTACATAGCGTACAGAGTGCTGTACGGGCTACTCTCTGCGCCTGGAACTTCACCCAGTCTTCCGGAGTTTCCAGCGGAACCTCCTTGGTATTGAGGGCATCTTGGGCACTGACCGAGCGTGCAAATATCCTTGACGATATCCGCGGCTTCACATATTTCGAGGACCTGGCGGCGGCCAGCCACGGCCTTGCGATGGATGATGGACTTGCCATAGAGCGGGCAAGGAGTGGCTGTGCCAAAAATGGACGCGTGCAGGTGCTTACATCAGCTATCAATCGAATTTTTCTGGTCTTCGCAGACGCCGTCCTCTTCACCCCACCATCTCCGGCTTGCTTTTCCGTTTCCCTCTCTTCCTACTTTACCTTCCCGTACATAAAAATGGAGGACGTCTATGAAGGCGCTGTTGGCATCGACCTCGGCACGACTTACTCGTGAGTTTTTGCCCGCAATTGGTCTGGATTCTGTGCTGAGCTCCGGACGAAGATGTGTCGGTGTCTGGCAAAACGACCGTGTCGAAATCATTGCCAACGACCGTGAGTAGTTCCCAGTTTTTATTGGTTTCTTTCCTGACTGATCATGTTCTTTTTGCAGAGGGTAACCGCACAACACCTTCATATGTCGCTTTCTCCAGCGAGGAACGTCTGATTGGTGATGCCGCAAAGAACCAGGCCGCCATGAACCCCCGCAACACCGTCTTCGATGCCAAGCGTCTCATCGGTCGGAGATACGAGTAAGTGGGAGCGTGAATATACCGGTCTCTACGCCCATTGATCACGGTTGCAGTGATCCTGACGTGAAGAAGGATATGACGCACTGGCCTTTCGAGGTCGTCGAAAAGGACGGATCGCCCTTGATCAAAGTCCAATACCTCAATGAGGAGAAGACCTTCACCCCTCAGGAGATCTCCGCCATGGTACTGACGAAAATGAAGGAGATTTCGGAGGCTAAGCTTGGCAAGACCGTGAAGAAGGCTGTCGTTACGTGAGTATAACATCTCTCCCGGCCCTGTGCTGCGCATCTCATATGTTTCTGCCCAGTGTTCCCGCCTATTTCAACGATTCTCAGCGGTTAGCTACCAAGGATGCGGGCGCTATTGCCGGTCTCGACGTCCTTCGTATCATCAATGAGCCCACCGCCGCCGCCATCGCGTACGGTTTGGACCAGAAGGACAAGAAGGAGAGGAATGTCCTGATCTTCGATCTGGGTGGTGGAACCTTCGATGTCTCGCTACTCAACATCTCCGGTGGGGTGTTCGCCGTCAAGGCTACTGCCGGTGACACTCACTTGGGTGGTGAGGACTTCGATAACGCGCTTCTGGAGCACTTCAAGAAGGAATTCCAACGGAAAACTAACTTCGACATTTCGGAGGATCCTCGTGCTCTGAGGCGGCTGAAGAGCGCATGCGAGCGTGCCAAGCGCACTTTATCTAGCGTCACCCAGACTACTGTCGAAGTTGACTCTCTTTATCAGGTTCGTGACAAACTTATGTGTTCACGATCTGAGGCTGACTCTTTATCCTAGGGCGAAGATTTCTCTGCGAACATCACCCGTGCTCGTTTCGAGGAGATCAACGCAGCAATGTTCAAGCAGACTTTGGAGCCAGTCGAGCGTGTCCTCAAGGATGCCAAGATTCCGCGGGAGAAGGTCGATGACATCGTCCTTGTTGGTGGTTCTACGCGTATCCCGAAGATCCAGTCTATGGTTTCGGAATACTTCGGCGGCCGCCAACTCAACAAGTCCATCAACCCCGATGAGGCTGTTGCCTATGGCGCTGCTGTCCAGGCTGCCGTGCTAACAGGCCAGACGTCAGACAAGACTGCTGACCTCTTGCTCCTAGATGTCGCCCCTCTGTCGCTCGGCGTTGCCATGCAGGGCGATGTCTTCGGTGTGGTTGTGCCCCGTAACACTCCAATCCCGACGAACAAGTCGAGAACCTTCACAACTGTCGAGGATAACCAGACTACCGTGACTTTCCCTGTGTATGTGTGTCCTTCTTAATGGTGGTATTATTCAACTTAATTTCTCTCAGTTACGAGGGTGAACGGATGCAGTGCCGTGATAACCGTCTGCTCGGTGAATTCGAGCTCACTGGCATTCCTCCGATGCCCCGTGGGCAGGCCGAGCTTGTCACGACTTTCGAGGTCGACGCCAACGGTCTCCTGAAGGTTTCTGCCATGGACCGCACATCCGGCCGCAAGGCTTCGATCAGTAAGTCCTTCCTTTCAGGCCACTTGCGATAGAGTACTTACCTTCCTGTTATCAGCCATCTCCAACTCCGTTGGCCGTCTGTCATCAGTAGAGATCGAGCAGATGATCAAAGATGCTGAGCAGTTCAAGCAGGCAGACAAAGACTTCTCTGCCCGGCATGAGGCGAAGTCCGACCTTGAAGCCTACATCCACCAAGTGGAGAACACGATCACCTCTCCTGAGATCGGCATGAAGCTGAAGCGGGGTGCTAAGGCCCAGGTCGAGTCTGAGCTGGCCAAGGCCCTCGAGAAGCTTGAGATCGAGGACTCGACTGCGGACGAGTTGAGGAAGGCGCAGCTGGGCATCAAGCGCGCATTACAGAAGGCTACCGCTGGTATCCGGTGATCTTTCCGGTGGAAGCTGGGGTATCGCTGTCACTATACTTTCCTTGTATCCATTCATGTGCTTTTGCTGTTAAAATGAAGCATCACCCGCTTTGTTTGAGATGCGCCCTGTAATATCGTCATGACCAACCTCGGTGTACCGTCAGAATTTTATTTCCTTTGGCTGCACTGCATCGCAACCGCGGGCACACTAATCGACATCATTGGCAATCATAATGTAAGTACGAGACGCGCGCGGAGGGTGGGTCATGAAAGGGCTTTGTGGATGCGTAGGGCTACCTCCAAAATCCACAACTCCTCATCTGCGCCGTCGCATAACGCCTTGTCAGCTTCGGCAAAGACGAGAGCACATCGAGCTTTCTGCCGGGCAGTTATAGTTGGGTGTAAAATGACGAGGTCGTGTAACTAAATGCGAATCATTAGTCCTCCTGCATCTACTGCCCGTCTGCACTTACCTGTGAGAGCAACTGTGAGGCAGAATATCCTTCTCGGACTACTTCTTTCACTTTCTTCCGTATGGCATCAAAGTTGGACTTGCTACCTGAGCCAGGTGAAGGATCAATGTCCATGTCGTTCGTGCCCTCAACGCCTAGTGTCGCTACAAAGTCATTAATCACTACGTCTGGCACTACCCCAGCGATCTCCTGTATGTCGCGGGCAGTGATAGGTGTCGGCGGAACCGTTGAAGATGATAAACGGGACGCTGACTGAAGATATGTTATTGACCGACGTAAGTCACCTTGGGAGGTGTTGATGAGAGCGGATATGACATCGGGCGACGCATCGACGTGCTCGCAAGTCGCAATATGGGATAGTCGGCTGGATGTCGAACCGGGGTCAAGGGGTTTGAAGCGGAATTTCGAGCAGCGGGAGGCTAATGGCTCGATGATTCGGGTCACATAATTGCAAACCAGGCAGAAACGGGTTATTCGTGCATAAGTCTCCATTATGCGTCGAAGGGCAGCCTGGGCATCTTGGGTCATTGAGTCCGCCTCGTCCAGAATAATGATCTTGTATGGGGGGCAGGGATAAGTCTTGCCATCCGAGGAGACAGCTTGTGCACGGGGAGTTTGGCGAGCGAAGTCTTTGATCTTCTCCCTTACAATGGATATTCCTCGTTCATCAGACGCATTCAGTTCTAGGACGCGCGTTCGGAAGTTGTCGGGCCTTCCTCGGCGATCAGATAGGTTATGTTATTAACTTAAAGACTTACCCAAACAGTTGCCTCGCAAGAGCGAGGATAGTAGAAGTTTTGCCGTTCCCCGGAGGCCCATAGAAGAGCATGTGTGGCAACTAGTATCGGTGCAAGGTTCAAGTTAGCTTTTGCTAATTCCGTAATAGAGACAGGAACATGCATTTGTAGACAGTAGGGATTTCTGTAAGACCGCTACAGTATGTTCTTGCGATGTAACATCGTCGATCGTTTTCGGCCGGCTGGAGGCCTAGTTTCCAGATGCCGTGAACAAAATATACCACGATACTCACTATTTCTCGACCCAGGGTTGAAGCTGTGAATCAGCCGCTTGCTTCTGCGCTTTGCTTTGCCTGGGTGCTTGAGGCTGAAAGAATTTATCCATGAGTTCGGTCGGTGTGCCGAAGGATGTGAGCAAGTCGCGATGCAGCGCGGCGTGCGTCTATGAAGCGCGTCCAGTCACAGGTAGTCACATCACGGACGCGTCTTCGCACATTTCGCAGACCGCTGACGCCAGGACACGTCCGCTCTCTCCGTCTCCACCACCCCATATTTATGGAAGTCGCGAATAAAGTCATGACAGACGCGGACGTCAACACCAGTGCGAAGGCGACAGCGTCGCCGCCTCTGGCTGAGCTCAAGAATGGCAAGATCTTTTTCAAGCAGAAATGCGTATCATTAGAGAAGTTGTCGGAGACCATGCAAGGTGAGGCTCATCAACGAGTCTCTCTATCTGCTTACGCATACTCTGCTCCTGTGGCACCCCTCTTCAGAAATTGTGAGCTTCCGGAATATGCTGCAACGACGCATCCAGGACCAGGAGCCTCCTCTCGACTCGATGCCGACTGAGCATAAGCCCTTGTTAGGAAAGCTGATCCACGAAAGGTTCGTCCTTTATCTCCGGTATTCACGAGTGTTGCTATCGCTTCAGCTATGTCCTGTAGCGACAAGACGCTCCCAGCGCTGTGCAAGCACGTGCAGCGACAGCTGCTCGCAGAAGACGACGACATCAACAGAAGTCCGCCCGATGCCGTACTCCCATTGGCTGTTTTAGAGAAAGAAATCAAGTCTATTGCAGAAAGGAAGAATTATGGCTTGGACAGCTCTGCAGACGGCGTCAAAGTTCCTGCTTCGTTGTGCGTGTGGCGATGGGAGCTTGACAGGCAGTTCTGGGACTGGTTACCGAAATCTGCAAGGGAGAGAGCAGAGACGAGGTATCAAGAAAGACTCGATGTGAGTATTGCTTGCCACCGAAGATTGATATATCCGTATTACTAGCTCGAATACTTACATGCCTGCCACTTACAGGCGAAGGCGAGATTAGCTTCACTCTTCGACTCTTTACCAGATAAAGAGAGGGAGGCTCTGCTGAGTATAAGGGGACCGGGTAGGCCGCCGAAACACAAGGAGAAGGAACCTACGAAGGATAATGCTACGCGACCACAAGGGCAAGAGGTCCCGGATAGTGTTCCTGTCGTTCAAAGTGCGCAACGAGTGAGCGCTGTTCAACGAGGTCCTATGTAGTTCATAACCTGATGTTTGCCCAGGACGAGCAAACACCCGAGAGCTCAGCTACACCGACGAAGTGCGTCGGGCGTGCGAAGAAGGACCTCTCCCCTGAGACGGCTGCGGCGGTATGTAGCTGCACATATTCACCGCAACCCAGCCATTCACCTGACTCCTGCAGGAGAAAGAAAAGCTAGAGAAAAAAGCTGCCAAAGCCGAGAAGGAAAGGAAGGAGAAAGAGGCCGAGGCGAAATCCAAATCCGCGTTTGTCAGCTTCTTCACCAAGGGCAAGACCCCTTCGTTGAACAGTCACGTCTCACCACGAAAGGAAGCGAAGGACAACAAGGCAGAGTCGAGTGCTTCAGCAAGTCAATCCGATTTCGAGCGCCTCTTCCGGCCGTTCGCTTTGAAAAAGGGAGCAGAGCTTGCACCCGACAATTGGTTTAAGCAAGCGAAGAACGGGCGACTTGTACGGAATGGAAGGCTTTCAGGCGAGGTCATCATTATCGACGGCGACGAAGGCGATCCGGACCAAGATGTGGCCATGCATGACGTTCAACCTACCGACAAGGAATTGAGTTCTCAGAGCAGTCGAGGTTAGTATGGGATGCGGTTCTCCCAGGTGGCACTGTATTGAAGCCCATCTAGAACGTTTATCTTCACTTCTGGCACAACTACCCCCCTCAGCCAACCCAGCCCTACTTCAGCGACCTCGTTGGACTACCGCTCATCTGAAGACGCATTCTCAGTATTCGGTCCGCGATATTATGTCGCAGCTGAGCGAAGCTGAAGTCGCCGGCGATGAGTCTCGCGTTCGCGAGCTTTTGGATCTGCTTCGCTCTCGGTCTAAAATACCTGCCAGAGTCCTGTGCTTCGCTGACAATGCCCGTCCAGGCTACTTTGGCACCTTCACCCGAACGTCACGTATCATCGGGCCAAGGTGCCCATTCGCTCGAGACGCCATAACCCATGACTACAACTATGATAGCGGTGAAGAATGGGAAGAAGAAGGTGAGGGTGAAGAAGTGGACGAGGGCAGTGACGAGGAAAAGGAAGACGCTGCTACCGAGGATGCGGACTCTGATCTCGACGGTTGGCTAGTGGACGACGACGAAGTGGGGGATCCGGGCACACCGATCGAAGATAGAGAAGGTTCCCCGGGCTTCTTCCCTCCGTTACCAGTACAAGATAAGAAAAGAAAATCCGCCGTCTCTGAAGCGCGGCCAAAGGTGGAGAAGAGACGCAAGGTCGTCGTCCCATTGGTGCCATTCACCAAGGGGCCCTGTTGGGAGCATGTCATTGGCAAATGCGATTATGAGCCCTTCGAGCCGTATAGGATTAGTCTCTTCAATGGTAGGACGGGAGTTTACTATTTCTCCAAGCCGTACCCATTGACCCATATCCTACAGACACTCCCTACCCGATAGATCCTTTCACTTTCGTCTCGGCACCTCCTACCGCTGTGAAGGCTCCTGCTCCCGCTACGGACGGAGTTTTCCTGGTTCCTCCTGTACCCAGTACAAGTCATACGCAGGCCGCCCTGGCTGAAGCTCCTCGCTCAACCCAGCCAAAGGCGGCCGTAGGACCAAGTAATGTTACGAAGAGAGCGTCAATAACAGCACCAAGAACCTGCTTCCCAGAAGATCAATTACCAGCTCTTCTGGCCAAGATCCGTTCTTCGCCAACATCCAATCTTACTGTTCTCGTGGAGATAATCTACTCGAGTCTGCAAGAGCAAGGTGTGAAGGTTAGAAAGAATGCTGTTGAGACGAAGGTACGCGAAGTGAGTGAAAAATGCAAATTGAGGAAAGTGTGGGTTGTGAAAGGGGAGTCCCAGGAAGCTGCAGTGAGTTGATCATGCCACTAAATGGACACGATACTTATCGCTATTGTCATTCTAGTCTGTTTTCCCCCTCCAATGAGACTGTTGACCCTCACAATGTTGTTACATATCATACATCTGCGCGGCCTTGTCTACGGGTCCGAGTTTGTGTTCGAGGTGCTAGTGCGGATATCCTGATGTATTATATTATACACCATTTCCATTACATATTGGATCGTACCAGTTACAGATAACTTAGCATATTGATACATTCCAGAGAGACTAGTGCAAGGGAATGCCGCATACAGCGACTATGAAACCACCAACTCCCACAACATATCGGCGAATTCATGGTCGGGCTTGGTACCGTCAAATTGTATACAGTGGACGTCGCCAGATCGCGATCCTACGCTCAAACGTCAGCTCGGAGACCAAGAAATATGCACACGCGAGTACTAACGGATGAGCATTTTCACAACGTTTCCATAATCGTCCACGATAGGCTCGAAGCCAATGCCTTTGAATATAGCCAAACGTAGTCTGAATGATCAAGTTGGATGAATCTCTCCGAGGACTCAGACGGAACGCTTACGCTGTGCCGTCAAGTTCATTTTCATGCTCCGTCGCAGGGTCAGATTCCTCCAATATCTTGGTCTCCTCCTTCAGTTCTGCGAGTTCAGCTTCCTTGTACGCAAGTGAGCTCTCAGCGTCATTAATAGCCTTCCCTAGGGATACTTTCGTTTCTTCCAAGTGGCTGATATTGGCTGCGTGCTGCTGAGGTGTGGGTTTAGACTTCGGACGCGTCGAAGATGTGCGCGCTGCGTCAAGAAGCTTGGCCAGTGCTGTGCGCGTGAGGATAAGATGAGGCCCAAGTAAGAACGCCGTTAGAGACGCGCACGAACACTTCAAATGGGAATGTGCTTGATCCAACTCTTTCTTCCTCGCGGCTTCCGTCATCGCCATTCTTTGCTCTGCCGCATAGATAGTCATGAAGTCCTCTTCGGGATTCATATTGGTAACCATCTTCCTGATCTCGAGACTGGCGGATGATCAGGAGATTATGCACAAGCGTAGTAGGTAAGAGCGTACATTGCTTCCCGCAGGTCAATACTCGACATAATGGTATATCCTGCGGGTTATGTATGACAAGGAGGCACAACTTCAGGCTTCCGGCGCTGGCCTGACTCCGAGGTACGAAATTGAGTCGCGTCGGAATTGACGCGCGGAGTCACAGATCACGTGCGGGGTGACCGTGTTTCCCCTGGAACTTTCATTGGTGGCCACTATGTAGAATCAAATATCCCTGGCTGAAGAGCCATAGCACCTTGATCACTTGTGCAACTACTAGCTCTAGATCGTGTATGTATGATATCTGTCAAGCCTGGGGCCTGTCATTGATCGCTCATCGTCAACAACAGCATACAGTACAACCGCTGGCTCACTTGAGGCCTATACAATAGTAACTACTAATACACAGCGTGAATAAGAATACGTGCCTCCAGATCACATCCTTGGGCATGCATGAGTAGTCCGCTTGAGTACAATTTTAGCCGTTCACATCCACACTGTCATCAACCTCGACCACGACCTTGCCCTTGGCCCTGCCAGTCTTAAGCTTCTCGTATGCCTTCAGAGCGTCCTGGAAGGAGAAGACAGAGTCGATCAGGGGTCTGACCTTCCCTGCAGATGTAGCTTAGCTGAGCGTATACGACCTGGCCACCAGACCCGCAACAAACCTTCAGAAACCATCTGAGCGATTGCGTCCAGGTCTTGTTTCTTGGGATTCATGCTAACCACGCGCCACTTGCGCTTCGTCCCACCCAACCACCGAGGCCGCAGGAACACCTCCCACATCATCTTCGCTGTGGTCTTCATCTCCCTGGCATTGAGGGCCTTGGGCTGTGGACCGGTGGACACGTAGATGCCATCGGCAGTGGTATATGCTGGACTCTTCGTGTACAAGGAGGGTTCCAGAAGTCCTACGGCATCGAAGATAACATGAAATTTGGGCGAAGGAGGGTTCTCGGACAATTGCGATTCTAAAGGTGCCTTAGTGTAGTCAAGAAACTAATGCAGGCGTCAGCGCCATGCAAGCAATATGTAAACAATGAACAGTACGAAAATGGCTCAGAATGTGGTACCAGGGTTTCCCTGCTACCTGACGAGCACGTACCTCGTCTGCACCGAGTCCCCTGACGAATTCCTCGTTCTTTGCGCTAGCGGTAGCAGTAACTTTGCACCCTTTGGCTTTCGCCATTTGAATAGCGAAGGCTCCGACAGCAGAACTGCCTCCGTTTACGAGAAGGCACTGTTCAGACTCGAGATGTGCGATGTCGAAGAGAGCCTGATAAGCTGTCAAAGCTGCTAAGGGTATACCTGCAACATCCACCGCCGATAGATTTTCCGGCTTTAGAACCAGATTGCAGGCCGGGACCCGTGTGTACTGAGAGAGTGCACCCAGGCGCGTCTTTAGGTTGAGTTCTGCGGTGCGTCTGAGTAAAGGGTGTTCGGTCGCAGCTGGTAATAGAGGGCAGGACTTACGAACGTGTATGATGCCGTAAACGTTATCCCCGTTAGAGAAGGCAGGGTCGTTCGACTCGACTACGACTCCAGCTAGGTCATGCTCTGGTACGTACGGCTTCCTCGCTATAAAGCCGGGGGCCAATTGCATGATCTTGAAACCTCTGAAGGACGCGTTCAATGGCGAACGCGAAAAACTTAATGAGGACTTACACAGGATTCAAAGCAGCTGCCCGAACCTTTACGAGGACCTCGCCTTCAGCGAGCTTCGAAGGAACTGGCACATCCGAGGCTAATACCAGTGCCTCAGAGGGCTTGCCACGCTTAACTACATGCCAGGCCCTTTGTTTCGAGGGGATTTCTGAGACGCCTCTATCTTGAGGTCTGCCTGTGTCTATACCAGACATGTTAATGGGAATTGGCAAGAAACAAAGCCGATAGTTAGTATTAGTAGTCCCATCATGACGTTGTGAGAATCCCATGGCAAGCTCAGTTACGCCACCAAAATGGGCAGAGCGTGAGAGGAGATCACGTGCCAGCACAGCAAGGTCACGCCGCGCCCTCTGCCCAACAGCCACAAGTCCTCACTCTATAAGCAACTGCAACATTCCCTCCGACATCCTCTCTATCGACTCACAACACGAGACGGCGTTCTATAACGGGTGTTAAGCGATGGATGTAAGTGCACGTTATGTGTATTGTCCGTTCTGCATCGATCGTGACCTCTTCTCCGCTTTGCGTATGCGCAGGTCCTTCTCGATTTTGGGAGGGAGTTCGATGTGGACCTCATGGACAGGGTGACGATGGCCCTCTACACGGGTCAGGGACAGGAGGTATGCACAATACTTTGAGACAAGTGCTTCTCGACTAACCGGATCATATCTGTCATACAGCAACAAATGGCTCAACAAGTCCTCACCCAGTTCCAGGAACATCCCGATGCTTGGACAAGAGTACCCGATATCCTCGAGCGCTCATCATTCCCGCAAACGAAAGTCAGTGGCTCTTTGCCTGTCCACCGCTGGTGTTACTAACTATTCGTATCGCAGTATATCGGCCTGCAGATTTTGGAGAAGCTGATTAATACACGGTGGAAATCTCTTCCGGAAGGGCAGCGACAGGGTCAGTGTTTCCTATACCGCTCTAGTCACAACTAATCGGTCCGTAGGTATCCGAAATTTCGTGGTCGGAATTACGGTGAAGGTGGCATCCGATGAAGCAACCATGCGGAGGGAGAAGACGTATATTAATAAGTTGAACCTTGCGCTTGTCCAGGTAACAACATCTAACTCCCAAAGGCATCGAATCTGATCCAGGTTCTAGATCTTGAAGCAAGAATGGCCACACAATTGGCCGACATTCATACCTGAATTAGTGGAGTCGTCCAAGACAAATCTGTCGCTTTGCGAGAACAACATGATCATTCTGAAGCTCCTCTCGGAGGAGGTTTTCGACTACTCTGCAGATGCCATGACGCAGAACAAAATCAAGATGCTGAAGAATCAGATGTGCGGAGAGTTCTCTGAAATCTTCAAACTCTGCCAGGAAATCTTGGAGGAGGCACAGAAGACGTCCCTAATCAAAGCGACTTTAGAGACCCTGCTGCGGTTTCTCAACTGGATACCTCTCGGTTACATCTTCGAAACGACGATCATTGACTTACTGCTCAATCGGGTGCGTACATTGTTTTTTTCTTGTTTCCTTCTATTGAAGTTTCTTCGCACAGTTCCTTGAGACGCCAGAATTCCGCAATGTTACTCTCAAATGCCTTGCGGAGATCGCGGGTCTGAACGTCGGACCCGAGTACGACCCCAAATTTGCCATCCTATTCGCCATGGTCATGACTGCCGTTAATCGTATGATTCCCCCATCCACGAATATTGCGCAAGCGTACGCCAATGCGGGAGACTCCGGCCAGGAACTCGTGCTTAATCTTGCCCTTTTCCTTTGCAACTTCCTTTCCAACCATCTCCGTGCTGTTGAATCAGATGCGAACCGCGACGTACTGCTCAATGCACATATGTATCTGGTCAAGATTAGTCAGGTGGATGAGCGCGAGATATTCAAGATCTGCTTAGAATATTGGCTGAAGCTAGTCGCGGAGCTGTACGAGGAGATTCAAAGCCTACCGATTGGTGACAGCGGGCTACTGATGGGACTGAGCCTGGGTGGCGGGGCCAGCGCCCAGAGTATGTTGAATGGGATGGCGTTACGGAAGAATATCTACTCGGATGTTCTCAGCAATCTGAGGTTAGTTGTCATAGAGAGGATGGTGAAACCGGAGGAGGTGAGCAGTTGTTCATACTCATGTTACCCTTCGACTTCTGACCGCGGACGCTGCATAGGTTCTTATTGTCGAGAACGACGAAGGCGAGATCGTTCGTGAATTCATGAAGGAGAGCGACACAATCGTCTTGTACAAGTCGATGAGAGAACTTCTGGTTTATCTGACTCACTTGGATGTGGTGGATACAGAGACCATCTTGACAGAGAAGCTCGCCAAGCAGGTTGACGGTTCAGAATGGTCGTGGAACAATCTCAATACCTTGTGCTGGGCCATCGGTTCGATTTCTGGCGCAATGAGTGCGTCATTCTCAGGTTTATATAGTTGGACGCCCAGATGACTCACCTTCTTTGCAGACGAGGAGACTGAGAAACGATTCCTTGTGACTGTTATAAAAGACCTGCTAGGCTTGTGCGAGATCAAGCGCGGTAAAGACAACAAGGCAGTAGTCGCGTCCGACATCATGTACATCGTTGGCCAGTATCCTCGATTCCTCAAGGCACATTGGAAGTTCCTGAAGACTGTCGTCAACAAACTTTTCGAGTTTATGCACGAGACGCACGAGGGTGAGCTATGATTTCCTATCCCCCTCCTTTCATGACTTCCCTGGACAATATATTTGCCAGCCTCTTGTTGTTGTCCTGGATCAGCTAATAAGACTAATCGCATCGCTGGTGTATAGGCGTGCAGGATATGGCTTGCGACACATTTATCAAAATCGCTCAGAAGTGTAGAAGGCATTTCGTGATGCAGCAATCCGGTGAACAGGAGCCTTTCGTCGATGAAATCCTACGATTGCTGCACCGGATTACTGTGGACCTTTCGCCGCAGCAGGTAGGCAGTTCCCTAAGCTCAGTCAGTGTCGGTCTATAATTTTTTCTAGGTCCATACCTTCTACGAGGCAGTGGGTTATATGATCTCGGCACAGCCAAATAAGCCACAGCAAGAGAAGCTTATCGCTAAGTTGATGGAATTGCCAAACAACGCTGTAAGTTCTGTACTATCCTGCCCTGCGCCGCGGGCTGACGTCTTCGGTGCGCAGTGGGATTCTCTCATGGCCCAGGCTGCACAAAATATCGACGTCCTCGGGAATATGGACAACATCAAGATTCTGGCCAATGTTCTAAAGACTAATACAGCTGCATGCACGTCTATCGGAAGCTTCTATTTGCCTCAGATAGGTCGTATTTTCTTAGATATGCTCGGTCTCTATAAGGCCGTGAGTAGCATTATCAGTGAGACTGTCGCTCGGGAAGGTGCGTGCCACCTTGTTTAACTTCGTAGAACCACGTAAACTGATGACGTTGTTTTATCAGGAGTCATCGCTACAAAGACTCCGAAAGTGCGACAACTCAGGACCGTGAAGAAGGAAATCCTGAAGCTACTTGAGACATATATCAAGAAAGCGGAAGATCTTGAAGCTGTCAATAACAACTTCATACCTCCGGTGCTGGATGCAATCTTGGGCGATTATAATCGCAATGTCCCCGCAGCGAGGGACGCTGAAGTGTTGAACGTCATGGCCACGATTACTAGTCGCCTTGGGGTAAGGTTCGCACGTCGTAGGCAAAGAACTCAATCACTGACATCGTGTATCATTTCCCACAGCCCTTGCTCACGCCTCAAGTTCCTGCTATTCTGGATGCAGTCTTCGAGCCGACGCTGAACATGATCAACCAAGACTTCGCGGAGTTCCCCGAGCACAGAGTCGGCTTCTTCAAGCTCCTAAGAGCCATCAACCTCAACTGTTTCCCAGGTAAGCTGTGGTCTGGGAATATGCTGGGTAGGACGAGTTTGACGCAATGGACCTAGCCCTTTTGACCATCCCGCCAAATCAATTCAAGCTGTTCATGGACAGTATTATCTGGGCCATCAAGCACACCATGCGGGATATCGCAGATACCGGTTTGAACTGTATGTGCTACCAACATACGTCACTTGGTCTATGCTGACATAGTCGGCGACACCAGTATGCTTGGAAGTCATCAACAACTTCGCCAGCGCGGATCCGGCTGTTGCAAACGCTTTCTTCCAACAATACTTCCTCAGCATTGTTCAGGATATCTTCTTTGTGCTGACGGATGCCGACCACAAGAGTGGATTCAAGCTTCAGAGCTTGCTACTGGCGCGATTATTCCAGCTTGTGGAGACGAATCAGATTCAGGCGCCTTTGTTTGACCCGTCTCAGGTGCCAAACCCAAATATCACGAATGCGATATACTTGCGGGAATACACAGCAAATCTGCTGAGAAATGCTTTCCCTCACGTGTCGACGTGAGTATCCCGAACGCCACATTGGACTGACGGGCACTAACATGCTGCAATAGGGCACAAGTCGAACAATTCGTCATCGGTTTGGGAGAATATCACAACGACATCAACCGCTTCAAGCTCTCTTTACGGGACTTCCTCATCCAACTGAAAGAGTTTTCCGCCGGCGACAACGCCGACCTCTTCTTGGAAGAGAAGGAAGCCGAAGCTCAGAGGAAGGCGGAGGCGGAGCGTGAGGCAGCAATGCGCATCCCTGGCATGCTCAAACCGTCGCAAATAGAAGACAAGGATGAAGACATTTAATCGGGAGTAGAGGTGTAAGGTGTATTTCGAACTACGTGTGTTTTTAGGTCCCTTTGCATGCTTCCCCAGTCAAGATCATTGTCAATCCCCCTTGTTTCCCCTCTTCCCCCTGCCTCGGCTTTTCTATTGTCGCTGTGCTATATCGTGTCATCCATCTGCATATCTTAGTGTACAGTAGCCTACAGTTAGGAACAAAAGAATGTATCACTGTCACGAAATCTCAAGTATATATTTTCTGTAGCTCTGAATCGAACTCTCATGGTATCTTAAGGTTTGTGCCACAAGTGGCTCATCGTAGATCGTGATCCGGGAGAGATTGCAGATATCGTGATCCTGACCTCTCACGTCCTCGCGTTTCTTACGAGCCTACCGTCATGTTCAAAAAGTAGCTTGTCTCCTTTCGCTATGGGTCGGCTGACTCGCTAAATGTCTCCGAGGAAGGTTTCAGCCCTCCACTGACATTTCTGGGCAAACCGCCGTCAAATCGTCGGTTCAAAGGTCTCTCAGAGCCGGCCTGCTCAGCCAGTGGAAGATCGATCCCGACACGCTCGAATCGATCTGGCCAAAGAAAGAGAACATTACGCTTGTCAAATGGTCAGTTTGAGGGACTTGTCTGGAGAGGGACAGATGAGAGGAATCGCTATTCATCTATAATCAGTAGAGACCACATTTCTATCTACGCGTTGAACGGGGAACCCCTTTTCTTCCAGCATTTTGACGGTCCACTTTACCCAACGCTAAGGCTACTTCACAAGTGTACGTCTGTACTCTTACGTCCGGTACGGCTGATAACGGTCATGGTAGACCCCTTCATTCTCCCCGTGGTTCGCGTTGATCGGGGTGCAATCCGATTCTTGCTCGCCGGAGCCCATATGATGTGCCCAGGTTTCACGTCAAAAGGCGGTTGGCTTCCGCCTCCTGAGGAAGCTCTGCCTGCAGGCGTCGCGGTGGCAATCCATGCTGAAGGGAAAGAACATGCAATTGGGATCGGCATCACCAAATTGAGCACGGAGGACATCAAGAAAGTAAACAAGGGGGTTGGAGTAGAAGTGGTCACGCATCTGGGAGATGACTTGTGGGCTCTACAGAAGGTGTAGTCATTGTGAACGTGCTGTGTACTAATCAAAGAGCGACAACTTGTGTATGATTACGTGTTTCCAAACGTGCCAGGATCCTTCGAGTGTATTGTCGAAGATAAGGCCACGATGCCAGGGTTGTATCCCAAGCTCTACTCACGCTATGTAGACGCAAGATAAGCCGCGTACTACGAAGAGTAAACAATCCATTCCTCGTGGCGTTCGCTGTTTCTGACTGAGGTCGCACTCCTCGAGTTCGATCTTTCCGGTGAGTTGTTCTGAAACCTTGTAGCAAGCTAAGTCTAGAGATAACCGCCGGGTTCCTACTATAGACGCAGTATGCCTGTCTCAACTCAGTGAGCAATATAGCAGTGGCGACCCTTCGACAGGGCGCTCCTCAGCCTATCCTCGCGATAACAGAAGTGAACGTCTGTGTGTACGTCAAAAATTACGTTCCCCCCATCGTGGAGAGGTTCGCTCGTTCAACATGCACCGAGTGCTATCGTGGGACTGCATGGAGGTCGCCTGCCAGCCATCGGACGATCTAAGGAACCCACAGCTCCCCGTCTGGTTCGCATCCTTTGGTGAAATTTGAGCCTCTTCAGCGATTCGCAGACATACTGTAAGGGGTGTGTTATGATTGTTCCGTCCGTGGGGCCTATGGAATAATAATTCACGGACCACGATTTCTTCGCGGTCAGTGCCTATTCTGGAGAACCGACCTGGCGTTCTAGCATTTTCATTGGTTGCCGTCTATTCGAAGCTAATCTCTTTTAACTTTGGATTTGGCCGAGATGGTCACCGGATTACTGTCATGCTCCGTGGTCCTACAGGCTCCTTTTACAGTATCCGCCACGGAAGGGCTGGGCATTGCCGGTGTACAGTATGCATAGACTCTTTATTGCTATGTCGAGCCTGTGCTCATCAGTTGATTTTCCAAATACAGGTCGACGTTGTATCCACATCGAAATCCTCCCATGGCCTGGAAGTATTCCGATTGACACAGTCCTATCTCGGCGGAGCAGGCCGGGAAGGTCGGACAGTGAACGAGCTTGCATAGTCGACGGATCACCCTGAGATTGCCGTAAGTTCAACCCTTGATACAGGCCTTCCTTGCGCACCCTGAGGTTATGAGTCCCCTTTCAGGATGTCCAATGACCGGTTTGCGCGCGGCGCCACCAGACTGCTCCAAGGATCGAGTGACGACTGCTGGCTCCATTCACGTTGGGTATGGCGGGGAAGCGCAGACCCACCGCCAGGCCGTAAGCTATTGCGCGACCTTCTAGCGCAACATACGTTAGCAGTCCCGCCATCCTTCCGAGTCCGCCCACGGCGTTCCAGAGTGGTCTTTCCCATGCCATGCCACCACGCTATGATGTGCGGTTGCGTCCCAACGGGGCACAGCGGCGACTGGCCTGATTTCCTTACGGGACGGTTACGAATCGGTTCGATAGGTTCCATCCTCTTCTTGGAGCGCGGCGTGACCCTTCGGGACGCCTCGTGTCGCGTTTGTCTCAGATCAACTACGACCGTTGCGCACTGCAGTTCACTTCTTATCATCGTCTAGGGGTCGTCGACTCTTACTCAATTCATTGGGTTACCCGAGGTCGTCGTCCAGGCACTACACTGCATTCCCATACACGACCTTACCAGCACATACAGCTCGGCTGGAGATGGTGATGCAGGCACCCAAGCGGGACAGAACAGATTCCGCCTCTCATGATAGCACTGCGTGAAAATGATGAACAGTATCTGTATATATTGCACTCGCACGGCCACAAATGCCGTGCTCGGGCAACACCGGAACTGACTCTATATCGGCCTACTCGGCCGAACCTAAGTTACATGGCGAGTACCAACGGTGACATAGCTAAGGGGTGATAAGATATGTACGAGACGGGGATCAAAACATGAACAAGAACAACAAATGAAACCACATACGATGCAGAGACTGAAAAACCAAATAAAATAGTACAGTACGGAATTACTATGAAGAGTAACAACTAGAGGGGATGAGTTGCTAGCACTCTTGCATGGGGACAAATGCTGGTGATGAATGTACATGGTCGTCTGAGAAGGACGGGGGATCGAGCTCAAAGGGATAAAAGTAAGAATCGTCCGTGTCGATATACACTTGGGGACGACGACCAGGTCGCGTGGGCTCGTGGGGGAGGGGAATGGAGGCTGGGTCAATAAGGGAGGAAGTCGAGCGCGCAAAGGGAGTAGTGGGGGAATCTGACTCGTCGTCCGAGGTGTCTTCGATGGCGTCGGGGACCGAGAGGTCGTCGAAGTCGTCCGCATACGGCAGAGGGTCCGAAAGAGGGCACATATCGAGAGCAGCATGGAAATCGGAGTCGAGCTGACACTGTCGGACGAGAGGCGGATGAAATGGTGGGTAAGGATTCGGGGGATAATATACAGACGAGTAGCACGAGTGTGGGCTGAAAAGATCGTCGGAGGATGAAGACGGTGAGGGTGGAGGAGTGAAAGACCCGTCGTCCTCGGGAGAAACGGAGATTTGCATTGAGGGGTCACCACCTTCCTCGTCCTCATCGCCCAGGGTTTCTAAAAGCGAGTCCAACCACTGGGCCTCTGAAGAAGGGGTCTCCGCCTCCCTGGTGTCAGCGAACACGCCAGCGTCAGGAAAGACGAACATGTCCTCTTCCTCCGCCAAAGAATCCTCTTCCTCCTCTTCACCGTCACGTCTATGTCCATCGTTTGAGGGAGAGATGTCGGTTGATACTACAGGAACAGCAGGCGAACGCGAGCGAACGATAGAGTTTTTGAGGAGCACCCAACGGTGCAAGCTGCAATTGTCTTTGGCGCCGGCCCCAACTACAGAATGTAGCTTGGAGCGGGCCATGGTGAATAGGCTGGACGAGTCCGTTGTACCGATCGAAAACATGGATAACGATGAGAGCGAGAGCTTTTGGGCAGACACGACGATGTCTGACCAGCCATTTCAGCGAATGGGGCGAAGACAGCAGGAACGAGAACATACGAAGAGGATTGAGCGCTGTTACCGCTGTATACGATATACGTTCAAGGGCTCGAACAAGCTGGTACCGTTCTTGGTAGCACGGCTGAATTTGCTGGTCATGCTTGTCTCTAGCACCCGTCAATAGTGGGCGACGGGGTGGATACAAGACAGAGAGAGGGGGAGGGAGGAAAGAAACACAAAGTCAGACTTAGGCGGACATGGCGGACGAGAGCAGTGGCAAAGGGGCCGTAAGCGAACGGTGGCCAGAGAGGCTGTGAGCCTTATATAGGGCAGCGTCACCGTCTCAATGACTCAAATCCAATTTAATTCGTGCTTCTTTGCGAGCCAGCCCGTCGGCTCAGTTGGCCGACTTTTCGGCTCGTTGCGGGGCAGACCGGGTCCATTTATCCCGATTGGGTGGTTCGAGGACCAGTTCGGTGCCATCACCGGCCGGGGACAGCCCGTGACTGGGCGGTAAACGCGAATGACCGTGTTTCTGACGCCAGGGCCCTCTCGACGCCAACGGCCTTCTACACGCTTCTGCCAACCCTGAATTCACCTAGTCTTGCGCTTGTTTCACACCATCGTTGCGCTGCAGTCGGAGATAGTTGCAATGTCTGTACAATTGATTGTCATATGTCGCCAGCCCGTGCAAACAATAGCACGCAATCACCCCTCGTCCATCTCCTCGTCCGCCTCCTCGTCGCGCACAGTCGTAATCAGCTTCTGTATCCTTTCGATGTTCTTCGGTGACACGTCGCGTGCCGCAGCGAGTAATTGTGCAGACTTCCGCTCGTTTCCCATCAGGCGATACACCTTAGCCAGCTGGAAGATTACATTCGACTCATCCGGCGTCGCGTCCCGCAGATGCTCCAGATCTTCCACTGCAAGCTGTTCGCATTTAAAGTCAGCACCAGCCCAGACCCCACCCAAAATAGTCAAACCCTCCCCTATCTTATGGAAGGGAAGCCCGATTGACTCACCTTATATCTTTTCTTTGCGATATAGATCTTGGCTCGACGATAACGAGCGAGTGCGTTTTCGGGCGAAGTTCGCACAGCTTGTTCGTACATGGCAAGTGCTTCCTCCCGGTCCCCGCGTCGTTCAAGAACCTGTTATTTCACGTAAGTGACATTGTTCAGCTTAGATTAATGGGAATTCATGTAAATCATCCGTTGACTCACCATCGCCACGCACCCCATCAGAACAGCATTGTTAGGATGGATTTCCAACGCCTTGCGGTAATGATACTCTGCTATACGCAGCTTGCTCTTCTTTTGGTAACATACGCCCAAACCATACCTAAAATCACCCATCGCGGATCAGTACCAATTCCTCGTGGCGACGGGGATGAAAATAGAAAAGGCAAGTGGACCATCGCATAAGGTGGAACACGCACCAAGCGTTGTAATTCCGCGGATCCACACGCAAAGCAGACTGGAAGAAGTTCACTGATTTATCCAAATCATCGTCCAGCAGCTCGTGTCCGCTAAGGATGAAGGCATACGCGCACGAGGGGTCGAGTTGTACCGCCCGCCGGAAACATGTCAAAGCCTGGGACTTCTCTTTCTGCAGGGAGAAACAGTTGCCCACTGCTATCCATGCCTCGGGAGACCGCGGGTCCGTGGCAAGCAACTCTTGAGCAAGGTAAGATAGTCGGACCTCGCGCTGAAGGTGCCATAGAAGTGTAGAATATACCTCCATGTCCCAAACGCGGTATGGCTCTAGTTGACGGACGATGGCAAATGAACGCTCGGCCTGTTAGGGCGATATGTGAGGTCACTTGCTACAACCGCGTAAAGGGTGTGATTGCACTCACTGGTGCATATTCTGTGAGCTCGTAATGGCACTTGCCTACCATAACCATCACAGATCCTGAGCGCTGGTGCACATGAGGCAGCTTCTCTATCTCCTGCAAACACGTCGCCGTGTCGTGCAAGGCCAGAGCCCTTTGCGCACTTGCAATTAGACGCATGAGGTTATAGATGTACTCGTCTGCTTGTTCTATATCGAAGGCTTCCTGCGCAGCCTGTTCATCGACTGCTGCCCAAGGACTTGGTGCTGGGGAGATATCCGACTTAGGGGACCGAGCAATTGAAGGTGGTGAATTTGAGTAAGCAGGCTCTGTGGGACCCGTATCTTCAGTCATTTCAGACTCTGTTGATCGCGTACGAGTATGCGCTTGCCGCCGCCGACTCATGGAACCCTACGCGAAGTCGTAAGATAGTGGGAGGCTCAGTCACAGCGGATGCAAGCGGTCTTATACTATGTTGTAAAAAAATATTCAGACTCACTTTTGCGGCATGCGTTGATTTATTCGACGAACCGCTCAGTAGCCTTGTGCTTCGTCTGGTACCGACCGAAGGTTCCCGATCGCTCTTCAGAGCGCCAGAAGCATTTCTTGTGGATGTGGTCTTAGACTGGGAAGTACGGCCGGAAGATGAGAAGAAGTTAGATAGCATGAGGGCCGGGCGTGCGCGTGCCTTTTTCGAGCGGTCGTCTCCTGCTGTTGAACTCGGCTTCAACGACTTTGCCTCATCACCCGCTCGCTGTCGTGTAGTGGCCCTCAACCTTTTCTGCACAGGCCCAGACTCATCGGCGGATGATAAGGGGCGCGCAAGGGGAGGGTGGCTGTCTTCGGGAGGACGTAGACGATTTGGTTCATCGTGCACCATGGAGTTCTCTACGAGATTGAAGGTGTCATTAGGTCCTCTGTATAGTTAATTAGTTAACGAGGTTCCTCGTACACTGAGGAGGGCTACTGACACTGATTCATGATGTCCAGTACGCGGATCTAGTCTAAAAGGCTGTGGGTGACGAAAGAGATTTCCGACGTTGAGATTGCCCGCATGTGCGGTATCAGGAGTGAAGAAGCCAGCACCCGTAGCTATTGGGACAATCTTAGATTGTAGGTCGTCCGAAGGTATTGGAGGAACTTTCTTCACGGGCAAGGGCCTCTCCGGAAATAACTCTTTTATCTCAGGTACAGAACCTTGCAGCGTCATTCAGTGTCTCATTAAGTTCTCCGAGCTATTTGGGCATACCTAGGGCACATAGCCCTTCAAAGGCCTCCCATAGTAAGGGATTGAGGGCGAGAGCTCGTCGGAAACTGGGTCCAGCTAGGTCACGGAGATTCCCCTTCAGAGCCATACTCCCTGCTCGACAGTGCATGATAGCCTCGTCGGGGAAGATGCGTGCCTCACGACTGGAAGACGACACTTCATACACTTAGGCTGACGAACTCGGGACGGGGAATAGACGTAACTCACAAGATGAGTTATATATCGGGTCGCTCAGACTCTCCTGCAATGCTTCCCGGGCCATTCTGTGCCGCCCCAGGACCGTACAGCACCTGTATTTTATCTCCGAACATCCACCACATCGTCCATCGGGTGGCGCGTTGACGAGGTGTAATGCGGAGTGAGGTTGACCAAGTCGAAGGAGAGTAGTGGCATACAGATGAAGGGCGGCGTGATTATTGACATCCACTGAGTAGTACCGCTCAGCATAGAACGCAGCAGACCGGTGAAGGTCAGAATCGAGACATGACCATATCAAAGTCTCGAAGCGGCGCTGCAGGGCAAGTAAGAAGGATGGTGTAGTGTCGTATTGCATGGGGACAGCCTAAGGTCCTGGGGGTAGCATGAATTGGCGTAAAAAGCGAGAGCACGGCCCAGTGATGGATTCTGCTGCCCAGGACGCGAACAGTAGCGCCAAATTCAACGACAAAGAGCGGGTTCTTAGGAGAGAGCACGAGTGTGGCCAGTGGGCGACTAAACAAACCGCGCCTCCCGGTCACGTGACTCGCGACGTGTGTACATGTCACTTTCCTTACCATCACTACGCAGCGGATATACCGAGGACGACTGAACCAGAAGCCCTCTGTTAATTATACCTTCGCTGATCGCCGTAGCCAAAGGTACGAGGCAAAGACATCAGTATAGACCACGCGTCTAAGACCGAAAACCCAAATTTCCACACTTGATTAGCTCTCACTTGCGGACACACCACCTGCTTAGCCCTGTGCGATAGAAGCACGCGAGTTATGATTTATCTGTCTTGCTTTATGCGTACACTTCGACCTCCTTAGATCCCTACCACGGCTTAATGACCGTGACCATCGTCCTCCGGCTTAGGTTCTGGAAGAAAAGCATCAATCAGCGCCTGGCACCCTGTTGAGAACGATCCGTACACACCTGGCACACATTGTATAGCATCGTCGATACGAAGGAGTGACACTGCAGCCTCGAAAGCGGACTTCAAGCTGCGGACCTTGCTCATGGTAGGCTCAAGGACCCCCGCAGCCACATTGTCCCGGACATCGCCGTTCAACAAGTCCAAGCCGTATCGCAGCAAGACCTTCTTCGGATCACCGACAGGGGCATTCTGAGCTGCATTATGGTATGCTCGCAATTTCGCGATAAGGTCCGTTGAGTCCTTGGCGGCGTTGACTGCGAGTGTTTTGGGGATGGATAGAAGCGCGCCGGCAAACTCAGCGATAGCCAATTGCTCGCGGGAACCCTAGAACATGCCTTAAGCCTTGGGTTGATGCGACATAGAGCAACTACATACCAGGGTTGTGGCAAAGTTTTCCAGATAAATGCTCAGAGCAGTCTCGACGGCACCACCGCCGGGTACCACAGAGCCGCTCTCTAAGGTGCGCTTGATAACTGAAAGCGTATCATGTAGTGCCCGCTCCATTTCATCCAGCATATAATCATTTGCTCCCCTCAACACAATGGAAGCCGAGCTGACAACCTTCGTGCCCTTCACCAAGATCAGCTCGTCGTCCGAAATACGCTCCTGGACGACCTCTTCTGCTGTACCGAGGTAACTGGGTTCAAAGGTCTCTTCACCTTCCAGGTTAGCTAGACTGGAGACAAGGGTGCCACCGGTCGCTTTGGCAATGCGCCGGAGATCCTCTTTTCTACAACGACGGACAGCCATTGCGCCTGCCTCCACGAACTCCTTCAGGCAGAGGTCATCGATACCCTTCGTCGTCAGGATAACATTAGCCCCGGCAGCAAGGATTTTGCGAATACGCTCCAGCGTTATATCAGACTCCCTAAAGACAAGGTAAGAACATGATGGATGCTACGTGCTCGGCTACTGCGTACCTTTTCCGGATCTCCTCCAGCTGATTGGGATCGTCCACCAGAATCTGCACGCCCAGCTGCATGCGAGCCTTCTGTAGATTAATATCCAAGCAGGCGATCTTCGCGTTTGTTATCCTTTTCTTCATCGCTGTCAATGATAACTTAGACTTCAACTTTCGCACGACCGGTCAACGCGAATACCTTGACTGGCTACCGTGCAGTTGAGTGCGTAACCCTTGACGAACAAGGACTCCCTTGCGCTGCGGCCATGAGCCTTCAGGACGTTAACGGCCTTGACGGGATATTTGATGTCACCACGACTATTGATTGTCTTCACTGCCAACATGGCATCAACAGCCATGGGAGCAAAGAGGTCATCATCTCTGAGGCAAATAGGCATGCAGTCAATTACTGCAGGAGAGGGCTCCAAACGGCATAATCGGTTCGAGATGGGACGCTCACCCTCCGATAATCTTACTCGCCATACTCGTCTTTGCGACGTTGATCAGTGCTTCCCTGCCTAACGCGTCGACCTTGACGCTTAGCTGATCCTGTAAGAACTTGCACGCTTCTCTGCAAGCCAGACGATAACCAGTGATGATGGTCGTCGGGTGTATTTTCTGCTTCACAAGCTCATTCGCACGACGCAAGAGCTCCGCGCCAATGATGACCACGGACGTAGTCCCGTCTCCCACCTCCTTGTCCTGCTTCTGTGAAAGATCAACAAATATCCGTCCAGCAGGGTGCTCTACTTGTAGGAGAGATAAGATGGTCGCGCCGTCGTTGGAAATTGTTACTTCCTGCCATAGCTCTCGTTACTTCATGGTCAATGAATTTCATGGGGAAAAGGACGCACGCCAATGTTGTCCACGAGCATCTTATCCAAGCCCAAGGGTCCTAAGGAGCTCTTCACTACATTCGCGATCGTCTGAGCAGCGAGTACTATCGTTCGCAACACGCGTAAGTCCTCGCATATGGGGATTGACACCGATGCAGGACTTGCCATTTTGATCTCGGATGTCCTGTCCAGATACCCTGTCGCCTCCAAGGAAGGCACCCGCCCTGGGATCCCGTTGAAACATATTGGACCGCGTTTGAAGAACACGAGTTACTCTGGAAAAACAAGTGTGCGGTGAGGAAGCCCTCAGTCCCGAGATCGCGAAGAATCTTTGACCTGCGTCCCCCGTGTGACCTACAGACGCGTTACCGTGATCCGTGACGGTCCTTTCTGCTCTCACATCGCACTGATTGAGATCGAGTCCTAGCCAGGAGCCTCCTTTATGGCAGCATTAACGCCTCTCGACTATCATATGAAGACGAAGCGACTTTGTTCTGGCTATCTGCGCGAACTGGGTCCGCATGCTGCTGCTGCAAATTGAAGAGGGTGTCTGATGCTCTAACATTTTCCCTCGGGCTTCACGGGCGTTGCTTTCTCACTAGCGTCTCATTGAGTCACATTGACGACTTATCGTAAGCAGGAACTTGGTATGAATACAGGAAGAGGGGCTGTTGCGTGAGCATACAAGACCGTATGTGCGTCTGGAGTTCACACATCCAATTCTAGAGGAATGCCTCGTCTGCGACAAGGAGTCCTCCAACAGGGATTGCGACATTCAAATAGTCGAACTTCGGCGTGCATTGTACAGTTTCGCCGTCGATTATAGACTCGTTCACAAAGGTATTCTCGGTTGACTTACATGGACTGGTCAGTATCGCGAGCACCGATTGCTTTGAGATTAGGACTCACCGTACTCATTCGGTCCTCACTGTGCGTCACAGGTAGCTCGTCTTCCAAGAATAACAGCTGCCGCGTCCATTCATATTGTGGTGGTCTGACGTCGTATACGGCCGTCAACTCCGCGGGTATTGATGTGCGTAGCGGCAAGTCCTGTGAAGAAAGTCCTGTCTCTGCCAATGTGCCCACTGGCACGACGATCATCTCTGCCTGGAAGGGGAAAGCGTATCTGGTCGTGGACGGCGTTACATGGGGACTATGGGCTGCGACTGCGTGAAGTTGAAGCTGTTCTTGATTCAAGCTGTCGTGCAGTATATCATCTGGAGTTCTCCTCGCATAACTGGCGTGGTCGCCCAAAGAACCAAGTCCTAGCGTCGATGGTCCAATCTGGTAGTCACTCCCACCACTCTCGAGCGGCGAGCGCGAGCATAGACACTGTGCCTGCAGTTCTCAACCGACGCCATATAACCTGCTTTCCTCGATTACTCACCGGCATGCTATCTGACTGCATGGTTGAAATGCCTGAATATCCGACGTTCTCATTCTGCCGCCGCTCTTCCCTGACGTCCTCCCTCGTCCCTGCTAGTCTGGAGGAACTTGCGAAGGCCTGAGCAGGCTCACAGACCTCGCATCTTGCTTTCCTGCGAAATAACGCTGTAATTTTGAGTGCTCTGGTCATGGTGGTATTTGCTGATGTTGCGGTAGATACGGATCGCACCCCAAGCCTGGCTTCATATATGCAGTGCGGATTGTCTGAAAGTATCCACTCCCCTCTGTTGATCGAACTGGACGGCATCGCGGACCTTTTCGGTCCAGACCGCTACGCTGCTAAGCTTCCGTCTTTCAATTCAGTCTTGAAAATATCATTCCCTTTCGGGCACCCCGCAGCGTCTGCGATCCAGTCGAAACTGTGACATACCTCCTGCCGAGAATGATGGCAATGCATGATATCGATGAGCTAGAGCGATGTCCATAAGCGATGGACATCGACGACGACGTATGTCCTCAGACCACATGCCAGCGGTTGCGGAACCATTTTCTTATACTGTATACTGATCATCTGCTGCTGGCCACCCTACGGTCCTCGCAGAATGTCCATTAAGGGCGGGCAGCGGGTCCAAGGTACATATTAGTCGAACTTATTTTGGCCAGGTATTATGTGTTTTGTTGTTATTGTAATTTCGCACATTTGCGCCTGTACCGATTTCTTATTCCATTATTTGAGAGCTGCCGAGAGTATTGAGCAGCCTGCGGTAGGTGTGCCACAGCCACAGGTCGGACGGAGCTACGTCACCGGCCCAAAGACTGCCATATTAGGGTTGCATCGGTTATGCGGTGATCAATATTGGACGGTGAAGTGTGGCAATTCTTTAGCTTGAACTTGTACTGTGACTTCAGTCGGCATACTAAAGAGGACATACGCTGCTTTCCACCCTTGACAGAATACTATGTCTGCGACAGGGTCCCCTCTGAATGCTGTGAGCGATGACGGGACTGCCGATTGCTCACTTGTATTGAATATTTACGCGGGCGCCAGGCTCATGAACACGCAGAAAACGCGCATAACTACACCACGCAGGGTCTCCTCATACCCGCTGCAGAGGAGCATTATGCTGCGGCGCAGGGGTTTCTGACATGTATAGAGCAGTCGAACGATGAAAATGTTCAGTCTACTCATGTCTAGTCGTGGTGTTGGAAGTGACACTCAACTGTGGCACACTTAGACGAAACGGACGTTGCGGATGCTGTACAACGACCATTGCAAGGCTGGAAAGGAGCTGCAGAGGAGGATCGCCAAATTACGTGAAGAGGGTAAAGATCCGGCCCAACCACAAAAACCATTGCCTTCACGATCTGCTGTTCCTTCCATCCCCAGGTCGACTGCGTCACCACCACCTCACTCACATCCTCGGATGTCGGACTCGCAGGCTACCGTCGACGAATCGTTTATGGTTTTAGGTCAACGGGTGAGTGACTACTCGTTAAACTTTAGTATCCTGGCCCATCTGACTTTTGGAAGTCTGATCCAGGAGACGCATTCAATCAATTCTGGAAAATCATGGAGGGCATGTTGGATAATCTATCACAACCAGCGGCCTTCGCTGCGGCGCCTTTGGGTCCTTCTGCGGCTGGCGCTCAGTCAAGGAGAGGTTTAGGCCGTGAAGGGAGCTCGAGTAGTGACACCGATTTCGAGGACTCTAAGGCTAGCAGGATCTCGCGCAAGTTTGGCAGTGGTGTTACAAGATTTCCACCGAAGCCGATCATGGAATCGACTGTGATTGATCTTCGACAGGAGCTGGAAGAAGTGCACGCTGATGACCGTAAGTTACCTTCGGGCGTCTAAAGGCTGGTTCTGAGATCAATCGGTTTCATTAGTGGATGAATTAAGTGAATCCTTTTGCCTTATCCCGTCGAGCAAGGAGCCGTCTACGGTCACTACCCTTAAGCAAGAGAATGCTAGTCTTAAAGCAGAGGTGGAAGAAATGCAGCAAAGGCTTGCCAGCACCGAAAAGATGCTCAAATCGCGGATGGAACAAGACCAACGCTTACGGGATAGTATTGTCTTAGCACGGAACCAGGTGCCACCTCAGTTCCTCCGATCCTATCAACTGGCATTCATCTGTCGGCTTGTAGGCACAGCGAGCTATGGGAGCTTCTCATGTCTTACAGAGGGGCAACCCGCTCGTGTCGGATCTGAGTGCCCTTAACCTGAACGCTCCCCCGGTCCCACCGATGCCTGGCGCTCTGAACCTTGGCCCAACCGGTCGAGACCGAGAGGCCCAACTCTTGCGTCGAGTACGAGAGTTGGAGGAGGAGGCTCGGCTGTTACGTGCCGAGAATGAGAAACAGGTCAGTTCTGACTTAACGCTGCTCTAGCTGCAGAGTTATCTTTGCTGACTTAAATATTCAAATTCTGTAGAAAGCATTGATAGTGAAGTTCCGTGAACGTTGGGAGAAGTTGAAGGAGTCCGCTAAGCGCAAGAAGAATGCGAAGGCTGCCGCGGAATCGGAGGCTACAGCTATTCGTGATCGGATAGAGGAAGAGCCAGAAGCTGAGCAAGAACAGGATGAACAGATGAACAAGCAGTCTTCGTGACTGAGGATTCCATATGCTGTTGTCTCACTTTTCCGCTGGAACTAACACCTTTGTATTGATATGCTGTCCTCTTTGATGTAGCTTATATTCCACAAAATAATCCTGCCTGGGATGCATTGACACTTGGCAAATCTGCCTTGCGTTGCCGTAACCTCCGCGAACTGCACCTAATATGCTAATCACAAACCGAAGTCACAAGGTACAAGACGTGATCCTGTCGTGATCCATGTCAGGTCAAGGCTGGGGAGGTGAGACACGCATGAAGGAAGAGAAAACGCGAGAATATCCCTTGAACTTAGGAATACACAAAAATACAACGTGATACACTTCTGTTTCATCTCTACGCAAACAATCCGAAGTCTACGATGCGCAATGTTTGCACAGCACGATCGAAATCTCCTTTCGCAGCCGTGAATCCTTCTTCTCCCACAGCTCCCTGGTCAACTGCCCGCACAGGTACATTACAGGTCAGCAGGAGATCCACATTCTTGTCCTTGACACGGTAAAGCGCCAGTAAAATCCGAACTTCGTCCGGTACCGTCTGATTGAACTTCTTGACACTTTGCGTGCCGTACAGTACGACCGGTGATGGTGTATTATCCCCGCGGTCGTTAGGTATTATGCCAACGTCATGCACGGTGCTGCTCTCGGCGTCATTGTCGTGCGCCAGAGAGGCGAAATGTAACCTGTATGTATCAACGTCCATCAATATACATCTCGGGCGAGATCCGTCGTATAGTCGACTTACCTGGCGGCATCTGCGAAGTTCTCGGCTTCTACTCTTTGCAGCACATCGACGATGATGCTGACACTCGAATCAGGATAGAGGAATACTTCCTGGGTATCCGGCACTTCGCGTAGATCACTGCGGGCACACTTGTGAGACAACGGCCTCTACACGCGGAACGGGTACGCACGACGCATCGATAACGCTACTTGGAAGAGTTACTGTAATGGCGCCGCCGAAGAGCTGCCTAACGGAGGATGTCATGCTTGTTTCCACTGACACGGATGCACTAGAAAGCGGAGCAACGATGGATAAAGTCCTATTTCGCGTCTCCGTTTACTGAGGCAAACAAACTCAGACCAGCGAGGCCAAAGCGAGGCTCATATTGGCACAATCGACTAGAACCTCGGTACTTCTATGACCAGGGCCGCCCCCTATGACTAGGAATATTAATATGGGGTAACCCAATCCAGCACCAGTCAGTGGCGGAGACACGGGAGTCAGAAAGACGCTCGGGTACGACCGCTACACACTGCTATCGCTACTACCTCCGAGTCACGAAACTCGCAACCGGTACTTTACACGTTCAATTCAGTACGCTTTGAAGATTCTAGTATCCTCTCGAAAGCCCTCCACGACCTCGATAAGGCCCCAGAACTCGGGTTTCGTCGATACCACTTTGCAGGAGAAGCATTCGACTCTGCTGACAGTGCTGTTGCTAGCGCTTCAGGCACCTCCTAGGTTGGAATACGCTCTATATGGGTGACCAATAGCCTCTCCAACGAGTAATGCGAAGCTCTATTTTCTACAACCGCACTCACTGGCCGGATGCTCTTAGGGTCGTACTGTCTATGAATATGAATCATGCTCGAATGGAGTTTCCAATTCTCTGGGTTCGTGGAAAGGTTCCCTCCGCTCGGTCTTCTCTTCTGCTGCCGCCCCGAGGCGAGAGCTTGCTTCTCCGGGCTGCGTGTTTCATATCTCACTGCTATGAGTCTCACGCTTGGGGCGTCCGTCCCACTCGAGGTCGATCCAGTATCCCCAGTCATGGCTGTATATTAGTAGACAGTGTCTATGCTCTCTGATATGGCCGGCAGGATGCAGATTTTAAATGTCGAAAACCTCTGCTGACAGTAGGCATCGAGCCTCTGCCTTTCCTGTTGGCTTAGATGAATTCTCATGAAAGGTCTGGACATTCCCCTTGTGATTTATCGGGACTGGCGGACCGCCCTACCACTTCAGTCAATGTTCATTTCCTCTTCCACGTAGCATCAGTCCCTCTCACCCAGGCTCGCGGCAGGAACCCGACCGCCACACGGATCACGTCCGCTATCGCGATATCTCGGCCTCATTAATCCCATCCATGGTGGCATTTAATATATTTTGTTGAGCGGAAGCCTCTACATATTATCAGCCGTTTTGCTTTGGTGTGGGACACCGTGAGGGATGATGTTGTCACCGCAGAGCATCCTCTCAGCAGGCCTGTTAGCTGTTAGTCGTGCGTATTCCGCTTCATTATTTGATGCCTGAAGACTCACGCCGCTCTGAGCCACATTTGAAGAACGGCAGGCTGTAGATTCACAAAGTTTATTGAAGCCTTCTCCTGTCCCTCATTGGCCTGAGGTGGTTATTCTAGACATGAGATCGACTGTGACCAACTGCAGCAATTGCGTCAAGGAAAGTCGATATTCGATTTTCTCCCATACGTCCCAGGCATGAGCGCAGTGTTCCTTAACTGTGCGAGACGGTGGGTACGAAGTCATCGACAAGCCCACCCACGCCATGAAGGCGATATAGAACGTGTGATTCTATAATCCCGGCTATCTGGTTTGCGGGCACTCCGTGAGAGTACCGACGAATCCTCCGTTGGAATGGAGTGATGGGCTGTTACGTTACAGGTAGAGAGTCTCCTGCAAATCAGCATCAAGAGGGGCTTCTTTGGTAGGTTCAAGTAGGTTCTTTTGACAATGCCCCGCTGAGGCTCCGGTTGCTGTGGTACGGCTAACATTCGGGATTCCTCTGTAGTCACACTCGCGTCCGAGTGCCCCTCCTAGGTATTTGGTAGATTCATTTGTTCGCAGAGGCGTAGCCGCGAGTCTAGGGTCAGCGCCTCGACGCATTTCTGGACTGTGGTGCATAGCACTCGTCGCACTTCTCGCAAGACCGATGATTGATAGCTACGAAAATATAGAACCAGACTGCTCGGTTATGTTGGAGCCGGTCTGCGGTCCTGCGAGTGCCCCTCCGGCAACCCGTTATCCCCTCCTCAATTGGTCGAAAAAGCTTTCACCTTCCTCCATGCATTCGTCAGTCGTTCCCATGGTGTCCTATCCCATAATCTGTCATTTTGACGCATCTTCCAGCGTATAAAAGCGGGTCGAGTCATCGACGTGGAGATTCAGGTCACCACCTCGCGGCGAGCATTGCGGTCGGACTAAGACACTCACTCAGCAGTCCAGTGTTCTTTTTTCTACCCCCGCACCATGTCGTCCTCGCCGCTCCCTACTGTCGCTGCTCCCCCGTATGACGATGCAGAGAAGGGCACTCTTGATGTCCAAGTCGTGAAGCCTGCGCATGTGACCTTACCTCTGCAGGATTCCGCGGATGAAAAGAAGGGTGACCTTGCCGTCACAACAACTGTGGTACCAGTAGTCAAGAAGGAGGCCCCAGCCACACCTCCCGCCAAGAAGCCAGCCAAGAAACCCATTTCGAAGTGGATCTTGTTCGTGCTGTGGTACAACACCTACAGGTAGCCCAGCTCTTCGAACTTATACAGGCAGAATCTTACTTATAGTTTCTAGGAAATTATTTACGATCTGCTTCGGTCTGAACATGATCGCATTTGGCTTCACTATCGCCGGCTACTGGCCATACGCGCAGCGGTATACTGGTGCCCTGATCGTGGGTAACCTGCAAATGACTTGCTTAATGCGCAACGAACTGTTCGGGCGTGCTCTGTATCTATTCGTCAACACATGTTTCGCCAAGGTAAGGACTTTCCAGATCTTGCCGAGCCAGTACTCATAGAGCGCAGTGGTCACCGTTGTGGTGGAGACTCGGGTGCACATCAGTCCTTCAGGTATGCTTGTGCTTTCATCCCTTACTACCACATTCTCAAAGGAGCAAATCAGCATCTAGGAGGTATTCACAGCGGTTGCGGCATAGCTGGATTCTTCTGGCTGGTCTACCGGACCGTCATTGTATTCAAAGACCACGCGGTTATGCACAACGCTATCTTGTCCTTCGGTGTCATAACTTCTTCGATCATCCTGTTGGCGTGCGTGAGCGCGTTCCCGATTGTACGTAACACACATCACAAGTGAGTTTTGTTTCGCTTTGCCATAATTCATCCCTCTAACGTCCCACGCCAGTGTCTTCGAGCGCCATCATCGATTCTCAGGCTGGGCAGGACTGTTTTCGACTTGTCAGTATTTGATTAATGCGCTCTATCGCTGCACGGCTAATCTTGGATTTACTCCAGGGATTTTTGTGATCCTTGGGGATCTTTGGAACACCCAGACTCAGACTTGGAACCTGAGCGGCGTGCATTTGGTTCGGCAGCAGGACTTCTGGTATGTCGTCCTCATGTCGACATTGTGAGTGTCAGGTTTCCCTGCACGTTTGCACCGTGAGTAACTCGCTTTACAATAGCATTGCCATCCCTTGGATCTGCACTCGCAAGGTCGAGGTTGAGATTGAGCTTGTGAGTTCTCACCACACCAGCACAATCCGAGACCATTAACGGCCATGACAGCCCTCCCCCAAGGTAGCGGTTCTCCGGTTCAAGCGGGGCATGCAGCAGGGTCTGTTAGCTCGGATCAGCAGATCTGCTGTGATGGAGTACCACGCTTTCGGAATCATCTCGTCAGTAACGCCTCAAGCGTATTAGCCTTGACTCGCGACTAATCCGCACCTGAACAGGGAGGGGACCCATGCGAAATACCACTATCTCATTTGCGGTGTACAGGGTGACTTCACGCGTGGTCTCGTCAACAACCCGCTGCGAACTATTTGGACACGCGAGCTGAAGGTAGACCAGCTATCCACTGTCCTATATTTTGGGCACTGACGCTTAGATTCGCAGTTCGCAGGTGTATCCAATACTTCGACTCTGTACAGACGAGGGTATGGGATCCCGTCCATTGGATCAAAGTTGCCATTTTATTGATGATCTTGCCCCTAGAATCCGGGTCTGTACCGGTACTGGACTGGGCGCTGCCCTTTCGACCTGTCTACAAAGCCCCTACTGGTACGGATCCAGTACTTACTCTGTATCTCAGCTCCCCTAACGTCTTGAGTAGGTACCTGATCTGGATCGGCTCTGACCAGGAGAAGACGTTCGGTCCCACCATCTCTGGACTCATCCACAGGCACTTGGGACCGGAACGCTATTGTCTCTGGGACTCCAAGCAGAGAGGTTGGTCTACACATGCTTTGCCCATGGGCGGTTCCTGACGGTCACTTTCCAGGCGGTCGTCCCGACGTGATGAAGCTCGTCAAGGAGGCCTACGTCACATGGCAGGCCGAGGTGATCTTCATCACGTCCAACTGGCAGGGCAACCAGGAGATCATGGCGGGCTGCAAGGAGGCGGGTATCCCCGCGTTCGGGACTCTCTGGGATTTCGTGAGTACCCGCGGTCAAACCATGCATTCTGTTACTCAGGCTCACGATACCGGCAGTGATTGCGCACTGGCGGACACTTGCGTTTCCTCGAAGAATATGGATGGCCTTGGCGCTCGATGCCCGACGCCATCCCGTCAATGTATTGTTATCCTACACCGTATTTTGCCAAATTTATAGCAGTATATAGAGACCGTTCTATGATGTTGTCATTTCGTGTGGGCTGGTGGTGAATAAATGGTAACTTCTCGTTGATTTCCCGTGGACCGCTGCAACGCTCCCACACAGTGGTGACTTCGAGTGAGAAACGAAGCACGGCAATTCGGGCATAGTTCGAAGGTACCGACGGGAATACGAAGACGGGGCACTAGGGTGCTTCTTACTTCTTACCGGCCTGTGAATCCACCAATGAACGAACGCTGGCAGCGATAAGCTCTCGTGCCCTACAAGTTTGCCTCTATCCCCGCAAGGGAGAATAGTCTCTGCGCTCTGACAGTGTGGCAAGAGTTGCGCGAAATATGAGATGAGCTGCAATAGAGAATAAACGATCCGTACTAATAATACACGGGAAATGGGTACGCTGGCGCGACACTCATGAGAGGTACTCCTCAAGGATCTCCCCCGGTTTCCCCATCCACTGCCAACGCCGGTCAGCGTGGATGTAAGTATTGGGTTCAAGGCGCACGCCCCTCCTCGCTAATTCCGAGACAATGCGAGCGATATTTCGAGTGTCCTTGCAGACGGTATTTTATTCAGCATCCCGTACCCATAAGGTTTCGAACAACAAGAGAGACGTACATCAATGCCACTATGTTGACGTCCTACGAATGAACCGAGATTCAGAAAGCGCAGCTGGGAGGTTAAATTCAGAGACAGGCGCCTCGGGAACGTGTAAGTCTAGCATAGGCCCTCGGTCAGCATCGTGGGGCGCGGATGCACAACTGGGCTTAACGGACCTTGGCGCTCTTCCCAGAGCTCTTGCGGCCTTCGTGGTAAGCGATGCGTGAAACGATCTTGCGAACGTCCATGACGTCGCCTATTATCCAGTCTGGAAGAGGGACCTAACAGAGTTATCGTCCAATGGCACAATGTCCTTCTGTATTGCCAGTGAAAAGACTAACTTTAGAGATGAAACACTGCTTAATTACGAAGTCCCGGATATCGAATGGTCCGTCCGTACACCAGCAGAACCGGACGAGGCGTTCACCGGTGTCCGGGTGTAGGAGGCCATTATCCGATAGGAACTTCGAGAACATGACCATGACTTCCGGGAATGTAGGAGCCTTGTCCACTTGTTTCTGTGCACGTGTTGACCACGGTCAGTCTTGAATGGCGCTCGGGGACTGGCCTGTACACTGACCTGAGTGATGCCTGTCAGATCCGTACAAAACTGGCTCAGGGTTGGCCTCCAGGTGGGCTTGACGAAACTACGGAATTCGGCTACGGTTTCAAGCTGGTTAGCGGTTCCGTCTGGCGCCTTGTCTTTCCACCGCATAAGACAGACCGGCCATTCCTGCCGATATAAATAAATAAGCCGTGGAAATATTCGGACAACAATATGTGGCACGGACTATGATCTCATTGGGCCATTGGAAATCAGACCCTTGTACACAGGTGGCCTCGACGTCCAGAACGAGGAATGCGTCGTAAGGCTGCTTGATGCGGACGGATTCCGGCTGGACAGAGACCGTGGGTGCTGCCGGCTCGGGGACCACGATACCGCTGACAGGGACTTTCTCGGCAGCGGGGAGCACGGGTACACTTTCGTGAATTACAGCCAGCTTTGCAGAGGAAACGTCGGGAGTCCTCTGCGGCATTGGGGCCGGGGGAGCATGGGAGGGTCCTGCCTGGCGCAGGGATTGTCGGGAGGGGATCCATCTGGGAAGCACGAGGATCGCAACTGCACACGAGCCGAGCAGCGCGAGGACCCGAATATCCGTAATAAACGTCGGCAGTCTTCCGGGCCAGGACGCCTCGTTCATATTTGAAGAAATATTCGAGGTATTTGGTTGAATGTGAAGGCGATAGCGGGAGAGCGCTAGGAAGGGCACGTTATCATGGCCTGGCAGGACAGGCTAAGGTTCGGCCAAGGTCGTCTAAATTTGAGCGCCTTCCTGCCATAGCCTGCGATGTGGCGGTGCAAACACGTGGCCGCTGCTTCCCGAGTCCAGAAAATGCCTTTTTCGGATCTCTTCTTTCCGTCGAATCTCTTCAGATTCCTGTGCCACTCGAGGACTGGCGACATCATGCAGTTCGGAGACGACTTGGCAGACGACTTTGTTCTCGACGACACCGTTGCGCTTTCAGGAGAAGAGGATGGGGACGACGATCTCGTCACTTCCCAGAGTGGCGAGGAGGGAGGGGATGTGGCAGAAAGCTCGAATACAGATCTAGCGGCCATAGAGAAGAAGAGAAAGCGCAGAGCAAAGGAGAAGGAACGAAAGGCAAAGGTGGGGACTATGCCTCATGATGTTAGACCGCCCTCACCCTTGGTTGCATATATGCGCAGAAAAGAAAGACTGCCGAGTCGGCCCAGTACATCGAGCCAGTCTCTGTGGCCGTACAACCGCCTGTGCAGCTCGCAGAATATCTCTCGTCCATGCAAGCCAAGACGTTCTCCAAACTTTCCGGGATTGAGTTAGGAGACTTGCAGATTCCTGGTGGGTTTTCCAACTTCAGGTATGCCTGCGGCCAGCTGATATTAACCACTCAGGCAGAGCATTGTATCGCAGATACTACGGCATGGATAGGTCCGAGATCCTTGGATCAGCTAGTTGAATTTATTGTCAAGAGTAAGTGGTCTGATATCGGAGTAAGTCAGGGAGTCTGAACAGTTCCCCCAGTGTGTCCCGAATTGCGAGTTCAACTCTCGACAAGACCTAAGCACAATGGGGCACCATTCATGATATTCGTCGCCGCGGCTGCTCTGCGGGTTGCGGACGCCACCCGCATACTCAAGACAAAGACGCTCCGCGGAGAGAAAGGGGGAGATGTGGCGAAGTTATTCGCAAGGCATTTTAAGCTAGAGGAGCACATCAAGTATCTCAGACGGACGAAGCTCGGTGCTGCAGCGGGTACACCTGGCCGCCTTGGCAAACTGTTAGAGGCCGGTAAGCCCTTGAATACAGGAAAATTGGCATGACCATTGACATATATTTCCTTACTTCCCCCAGACGCTCTCTCAACCTCCAATCTCACGCATATCATTCTGGACGTGAGCTATCGCGATGCCAAAAAGCGCTCCCTGCTGGATATTCCGGAAACAAGAGACGAGGTGTTCAAGCAGTTCCTTGCCTCACCGAAGATCCTGCAAGGGATGAAGTCGGGCAAGGTGAAGCTCGTGCTCTTCTAATTAAGCGACCGGGGACTACCGTGCTTTGTAGCACCGTTATATCAATGCAGGAATGATTAATGGAGATGTTATGCCAGATACAATACAGCTGTACAAATAGGAATGGTCTATGATCAGAAACCCTTGGGGTTCACCCGGTGGGTGATCTGCATAAGAATGAGTGCGTGCCAGGAAACGGGAGCCTCGTAAACGCACCCGCGTGAATTTTGGCACTTTATGAATGCCTTTACGGTACCCTCTGGAATGAGGTGAGAATACGGTGTACTTGTCCCTCGGTGCCATCTCGTGCTCCTTGGGTAGCTGGAGTGCCTCCGTCTGCTGCAGTATTAGAGGGGGGACCCACGACACTTCCAACTAACTCACCAGGGCGTTACACTGTACCCCACTCGCCCTAACGGCCTCGATGACAGAGTCCACCTTTTTCAGCCTGTCCCTCTGGTTCGCCTTCCGTGTCCGGGACAGCCTCCAGGGCACTTTCCTACCGCACCATGCAGCGACCGCGCAGTCTCAGCATTACGCAATGAACTCACCACAGAAGGCCACCTTGGCTGACTGGCGAGGCCCTGAAAGCACCGAACATAGCAGAGACGAGGGAACAAGGCTGCAGACAAGTGATCGACCCGACTCGCGAACAAGAAAATCCCAATACAGCTGCTTACGTAAAGCACCTTTCCTTCTTCTCCTCCGTCACTCGCACTGCACCGACCGAGGAGTACGCGACGATGGCTGTAGAGACACAGACGATGCCGGCCGCGAACGGCCACCTTGGTAACGGCGACGTAGAGATGGGCGGGCTGAAGGACAGCGTGGTGCGCTTTGCGAGCGGTATGATCCTCCCCCCTCCGGAGATAAAATGTAAGTACTATGTCGCGCTTTCCGGAAGGTGTTCTCATACGCATGCGTGTCATTTGCAGCGGTTATTGACAGGACCGCCGCGTTTGTTGCGCGCTCTGCGAACCCCCCTCAGTTTGAGGACAAAATCCGGGAAAACCAGCGTAATGACCCCAAGTTCTCGTTTCTCAATCCCATGGACCCATACCATGCTTATTACAGAAATCGAATGGAGAAGGTCCAGAGGGGGGAGGAGGACGAGGCGCCCGCGGCCGCTGCTGAAGACAAGCCGGCCGAGAAGGCGGAGGAGAAGGTCGTCGACCTGGGTGAGGAGCCACCGCAGCCCGAGTTCATACTCGACTTGCCGAACGTCACTGCCATCGATCTGTGAGTGCGGGCTTTCTGAGATCTGGTGGGGTTAATCGTCGTTTTGCATACAGAGATATCATGAAGTTGACGGCGCTCTTTACGGCTCGTCGTGGACGCAACTTCCTCGCTGCCTTGTCCGCTCGCGAAGGTCGGAACTATCAATTTGACTTCCTCCGACCTACGCATTCTCTGTTCGGGTACTTCAATCGGCTCGTAGAGCAGTACACTAAGGTGCTCTATCCAACGAAGGAGACCGTGGACAGCATCTCCGCCCGTGCTCAGGATGGAGCCAAGTGGAGGATGCTCGAGCAGGCAAAACGCTACGCAAAGTGGGAGCAGAATAAACGGGAGAAAGAGAAGAAGCGAGAGGATGACCAGGAGGCTGAAAGGAGTGCGTCCTAGCACCTCCGTGCATATCACATCACTGACATTTATATATAACGTAGTTGCTTTTGCCGAGATTGATTGGCATGACTACGCCATTGTGCAGACCATAGAGTTCACAGCGGCCGACGCTAATGCGGAGCTGCCGCCGCCCATGAGCGTCCAGGAGGTCGAGAGCATGACTCTCGCGCAGAAGAGGATGGCTGCGATGATCATGGAGACGACCGCGGAGGATGTCGAAGCGCACCGCGCCAGACAGGCCGCGGCCGAGGCTGAAGCAGCCGCGGCAGTGGGCCAAGCAGGCGCCGGTGCGGCTGGGGACGAAGACGCGATGCAAATGGACGAGAGTGACGACGAGGACGAGGAGATCCGGGTGAGGAAGAAACGAGAGGAAGAGGAAAGACGCAGGGAGGAGGAGCGTGCTAGGGCTATTCAGGCCAGCTCACTGGAGGCGGGCGCACCTATGAAGATCAGAACCGACTATGTCCCCAAAGGTAAGTAAGAATATCTCTTCTCATTTGGTCCGAGCTGACGTTTGGTCGTAGTTGGTGCCAAGGGCAAGCAGCAGACCACCACTACATGTTCCATTTGCGGGCAGCAAATCCCGGTCGATGAGCTGCAAGAGCACATGCGTATTGAGCTCCTGGATCCTCGATGGAAGGAACAGCGTAACGCTCTCGAAGCTCGCAAGGCGCAAGCCTCGGAACTGCAGAAGGGTGCCAACGTCGCCGCGTCGATCAAGAACCTGGCACGCACGCGGCCGGATATCTTTGGTGCGGAAGAGGACGAGGAGCGGCGGAAGAGGGAGGAAGAGGAGGAGAGGCAGCGGCGGCGCGCGAGGGAGAAGGTTGTCTGGGACGGTCACACTGCCTCCAAGGCCAGCACGCAAGACAAGTTCTCGACAAATGTCAATTTCGAGGAGCAGATCGCGGCTATCTACCGGGCCAAGGGTCTTGGACCGTGCGTGCTGCTTTGTCTTGTGTAATCACTATGTACTGACGCCCGCGTAGGCAAGAAGCTGGTGCTATCGGGCCTGGTATTGGACCTGCAGCAGCCCCGCCACCGCCCATGGCCGGGCTGCCCCCCGCGCCGGTGCCCATGCCAGCACCACCGCAGCAAGCCCCCGGTGGCGGCCCTGCCCCCGCGGCTTACACCGCGGCGACGATATCCTCAGGCCCTCAACCGGCGTCCCTGACCCCGGCGCCTGCGGCACCTGTCATGCTCCCCCCGCTGCACTACCAGGGTCTCGGCGCGCAGCAGCCATTTGGGTTCTCGCCTCCGCCGCCCCCGATGGGGATGGCGATGTCGCCACAGGCCGGGATGGTGCGTACCGCGGACCAGATGGAGGGCGGGGCGCCGGACGATGTGCCGCCTGCGAAGAGACAGCGGGTGGCCAAGTTGCCTGGTGGGGCGCTCTACCCCGAGGCAGACTGGCTCGCCATGCATCCTGTAAGGAAGTGATTGACGGTGGGGAACGCTTTGCTGATCATGCTCCTTATTCTTTTTCTTCTAGTATCCCATTTCATTGCAAGTGCAGCTGCCGAACGACCCGTCGAAGCCTGAGTGGAAGTTGGACGGGACGGTGATTACGATTCCCGAGCTGCCACTCAGTCTGCTGGTGTCGACGCTGCGTGACCGGATTCTGCAGCACACGGGGAGTAGTGTGGGGGCGTCGAAGATTCGGTTGTCGCATGCTGGGAAGATGTTGACGAACCAGAATACACTGGCGAGCTACAACCTGGAGGACGAGGACCTCGTGATTTTGAGCGTTAGGGATGTCAAGAAGAAGTGAGGGAGGGTTGTCGGTGTGTTCGGTGTATGTTATTCTCAGTGTGCTCTGTTCTCCAATATCAATCTTCCGGGACGTGCGTAAATGAGATAGGCGGCAACGTGTTACATGATACATTGGCATGGGTCAAGGATATACAGCGAGAATAACCCTTGCTACAATACATGAATGTCAAAGGTACTGTACAAGTAAGTGAAACAACTGCTTGCTTCGGGAGTATAAGTTAGGTGATGCGCGGTGATTTACAGTGTCCGATTTCCCCCAATAACCCTTGAATGATGAAAGTCTTGTCGATGATGCTCCCCTGCTCTGCTAATGTGCTTCGGGCTGGCGTCGCGAGGGTGAATGCTGCGAGCGCCAGTGGACGAGCGGCGGAGATGTGGCGGATATCTTGCGGGTGGGCGTGCAAGGCCTGCCCGAGCGCTCTGCCCTGCAGGCGATGCTGCAACTGCTCCCGTTCCTGTCCTTGTCCGCTGCGGTGGTGCCGAGCGCCCTCGAGTCGCCCTTTTTCGGGAGATCGCCCCTGGCATCGCAGGTGCCGACGATGGAGAGGGGGACGGTGTCGCCGAGCCAGTCCTCGTCGCGCTGGCTGGGTATATGCGCGGGGGCGTGGACTTTGCAGAAGGAGCTTGCGGCGTGGAGGTGGGGGGAAGCGATGAGTGACGGGGGGACGGGCACGTTCACGGGCTGGGAGACGCAGAGGCTGGATTTCCGCTTGTGGCGGTTGTTTGTGGGGCGCGGGGTGGTGGGGGAGGCGAGCGCGGAGGAGGACGGCGATGACGAGAGCATGGATGCGTGGGGGTGGCAGCAGTCCAGCGCTGGGCTTTTCAACGGACGCGCGAACGCGGAAGAAGCACAGAGGACAGCCCGCGGGCCAAAGTCAGTAAATGACCAAGTTCGCGGATCGGGGCGCGGTTGCGTGCCGGCGTGCCGCCGACATACAAGCGCGATCGAGGCACTTGTCGATCACCTCCTCCAGTCCTCCAGTCCGCTCCATTGCGATCAACTCGCCCGCCAATTCACTCGTGCGTCCCGTGACCCGCTCTATATCTCATACATACAGCGCTATCTAACAGACTAGCACGGCTATCTACTACACAATGTCAACTATCCAGCTCCCCTGACGCGCAATCTAGAAAACCCTCCTACAAATTAGCGCAAAGACTAGAATCAGCAGCACGCATATCGCGGTATCGAGAACCAGCGGTGGTCTGGGGGCACTGCTGCGCTGACCAGTCCGCGTTGAGTCACGGATATCAGCCCCCGATAGCCCCGCCGACGTCGATCCTGACGACCTCGCCGACTCGGCTGACGACGACTCGCTCTGCGACGTCCTCGAGCACACTGTACTGTCCGTAGATAGAGAAATCCCCGTCGCTTGGGGTGTCTGTGGTATTGAGGGGGAGGGGGTCGACGACGTGGGACCTTCCTGGGCCACCGGGCCCACTTGGGACGCAGCCGGCGGTACTGGGCAAGGTTCATCATTCGTGTTATTGTCCGTGTTATTAGACACTGCGCAGTCCGCAGCGGGCGGGTCCGGCAACGACTCCAAGTTGGACCGGTTGCACCTGGGGCACACCCAGGCTCGCGACCTATCGTACGTACGATTCAAGTCAATCAATAGCCCTGGCGAGATGATATAAATTATACAAATCTCACAGTGCTGCCAAGCGCTTGCGTTCTGCTGGGGGATATTCCAACGAGCCTACACCAACTGCGGCCTGACCTTTGAGCGGAAAGAAACCCTGCAGTCCGACAATAGCTGCAGGGGCGTTCAGTCCATGACCACCGACAGCACCAATCTGGGCCACCCACCTGTTCTCACTCCCCAAGCAGGCTGCCATAACTCCTCATGATCTACACAAATGTCAGGGGCTGTCACTAGCACGCCACTCGATCACTCACAATTCGTAAAGCTTATGCAGATCTACAGACCGGGGTACTCGATAAGCTTCGACGTCACGCCATAAATGCCCAAAAGCATAGAACGTTCTGCGCACCTTCGTGTTCAGCTCGAACCGCCCGCTCGGGGTGAGCATCATGATTGACGGCGGGCGGAAGGGGTACTCGGGCGGGAGAAGGATGCGGAAGTGGTATAGCCCGCCTTCGAACTCGGTCCCCGGCGGCCCGCGCAGCGTGCAGTGCCATTCCTGTTGGCCCTTGCTGTTAGCATGAGGTACCGCTGCAGATGGGACAGGATATACGCACGAAGATGTCGTCCTAGCGAAGTGGGAAGAGGTTCTTGTTATCTCCCGCCGGTGACATTGGGATAAGGGACGTGCAGACGAACCTCGAGCGGGGCGGCGGAGTAGTCGGTAGAGGGATCGTTGGCTAGCTCACGGGCTTCCTGCATAATCCTCTTGACGGCTATAGGGTGTGCATTCGGTCAATGCTTGCATGCTACTACCTCGGACAATGGAAGGACGCACCAGAGTTGTTCCTATTGAATGTAGCCATCCTACAGATTGAGCCGACTGCAGTCCGCAGCTTGTAAAGAAGGTGATAGGAGATACAAGAAAGGTCGCCAGAGTCTTGAGCGAGAATGAGCACCTGAGCGTTAGTTGGTAACTCTCACCTCAGCAGCAGCCACCAGACGTGGAAGTATGAAAGACGTGGGAAACCTGGTTCGGCACACCCCGACCAGGCCGTCATCTTTTCGGACTTGTGAGTGCAGTCTCAGCTTGCTGTCTCGAGCCCTCTGGCCAGATGATTGTCAAGAAGCTCAAGGTTCGGCCGCGGAAGAGTAAGCAGCAGTGCTATGTGTTGTTTACGATATTCGCAAATGAACATGCTCTCGGTTGACAGACCCGCCGACGAACCTATGCGCTCCTGAGCTGGCTACGCTGCTGGGCTGCTGGGCCGCCTCGAACGACTATGGCTCGACGGAGAAGTGCAGAGAGGTGTCTCAGGCGTTATACGAGTGCATGCGGAACGCGGTATGTTTTCCGTAATTATGTGTGGACTCTATTCGGTTCCATCCCCTTCGCGTCCTGCCTGTGCACTGCAATTTGTTTTGCATTGCTGGGCACCATATGCGTTCATTTTTTTGACGTCTTCCACGACTTTCTCCCATGACGCCTTTGCTGACGTTCGCCGCCTCACCGCAGCCCATGAAAGGCAAGCAACATAGACCCACGATCAACTACCACCTCGCCCGGCTCGGCAAGAACTTGAAATAGACTCGACTCGCCGGTAGCACCATCAAAAGCCTTTGGGGACGCTCGCGCTGCACCGGACGTCCGGTGGGGGAGGGGGGGGGGTTGCTATTATCATATTGCAGCGTCGAGGAGGGCAGGCCGTGGATATCGTACCATGCTGTAGTAAGAGAAACTATTGCTCTACGCACTGCCCACGCTGTATTTATGATGCTGCTTTCCTATATACAGCATCTACTCTATCGCGTCTCTGGCGCAGTAATGATCACTACCTATACAGCCCAGCCGGACGGCGCGTGTATTTTCCTCTCAAATTTTCAGAGATTTGACGGCGCTGTTCATGGCGCTGTTCTGGATTGTGAGCCATTCGGAATATAAGCTGGTATCTTTGATATTCTCCCCGCGCCACTTGTCTCGCATGTCTAGCTATGCTTCAGCATGCAAAGTATTCGGAATCGGTTCTATTTCCGGCGTCTGAAATGGGCGTCTACGTCGCCCAAATTAGCATCCGTAGTGCCTGGAGGCTGGACGAGTGAGAACGCCGTTCTCTCTGTTTGCTTCTCTCCATCCGCTCAACGACGGGCCCCCGCAGATCCATCCCATCCTGTGCGCTCGTTGCAATGACGAACCACGAGGATGTCGCTATATTCTGGGACTATGGTTCGTCGTCCTTACATCCTTTCTCTGTTCCGTGATTGATGCGCCCCCGCAATTACCCTGACCCGCCGACGTCGCATTGCAAACGCTGTCTCGCCTGAGCTAGAGAACTGTCGTCCCCCGTCAAGTGCTGCTGGCCATGAAACGGTGAATGGCATCCGTGGGATGGCGCATGAATTCGGAATTGTCACCACCTGGAAGGCGTACCTTGATCTGTCCGACCCGGCACCCGCACGTTCGCCCAACATCAGGTCGGAACTACAGTCCTCGGGCGTTTCGCTCGTCGACTGCCCGCGCAACGGGCGGAAGGACGTCGCCGACAAGATGATGATCGGTGCGTGAGTCCTCGTTACCCCCGGCAGTGTATTGCTTCGTGGTGCTCAGGATTGACTTGCATGTTAGTGGACATGGTGACATACGCGCTGGACAAGCCGCAGCCCGGGACCATAATCCTGATCTCGGGCGACAGGGACTTTGCATACGCAGTGTCGGTGCTGCGCATGCGCAAGTGGGCCGTCGTGGTCGTTATGCCCCAGGTCAACGGACACGACAGTATGAGATACACCGCCTCGGTCGTTCTCGACTGGGGTGCCTGTGTGACCGTGAAGTCAGACAAGCCCCGGCAGTCGAGGGCGCCTCCGGCCAGGCCCCGGTCGTTGACGGACTCCACCTTTACGGGCTCAACCTTAATCAAGTCTGACAGACGAACGGATGCGCCTCTTGAGAGACTTGGTCCTACTGGAGACGCACCCATCACATCATGTCTTGTCCGTGAAGAAATGGAGAGTTGCATTACAACACTTTCCAGATTCGCGCCTCGATTGCGGGAATTATCACAACCCCTGGCTTATGCGGGGTGTACCTCGAGTCATACTGCTTCAATCATGCAGTCCAAGGATGCGCAACCCTCGGACTCATGTAATTCCGTAGCCGCCGGGGAGGAAGTGCCAGCCCATACAAAGACTTTCGCAAACAAATCTGTCGAAACTACCCGGCGGCTCTTTGAAACTTTGGGCGTGCAAACGCCTGAGAGTTTTCGATATGACCTTGTGCGCAATTCCGAATGGATGTCGACACCCATGGTAGAGCGGGATGATGGCATCGGTGATTGCACGCCATCAAGTGGCGGCTTCTCTCCCCGTGCAGATTCAGACTTCGCTCGCATCGAGGACAGCCCGCGGTCTCGAGCGAATTACATGAGTTGGCTTGACGGGTATGAGGAAGAGGTCGCACCATCACAGACGGTGACGGCAGTTCCGTCGTCACCCAGTTGTAAAGTCACATTCGTGGGCTGGTCATCTGACGACGAACACACTCAGGATTCTCTAGATCGACGGGAAACCCCCCAGTCAAGCGAAGGATTGACTGCCACGAAGGACATGCTGACAATCGCTGCAGATTACTGTGGCAACCGACGTGCGGAAAGTGGTCCATCGACACCCCTCAGTGTGGTACCTCAGCGCCCCCTTTTTGTGTCGAAACCATTCCAAGGACCACTCATCGGCTCATTATCAGCACCAGTCTCGCCAACAAGGGAGAGCCCATTGCCGCGCTGTATTCTGACAGTAGATGCAGAGAAATCTGCCCCTCCGCCTCCGCGAGCTCCGGATGACATACCACTAAGCACCAAATCTGATGATCACATAGGTACGCAGAACCCGTATTCATCGAAGGTTCTGGAGGAGGATTGACAATCCGACGTCTATCTATTAGCCCATTCTGCGACGTCCCCTCCCAAGGATCTACGCGACAGTGATGCTGATCTACCCCGTGCGAATGTCCAGGTGCAAGAGGAGGCTACTGTACCTGCTCGGTTCAAACCTTTGGTTGACCTTCTGCAGAAATTGGAGCTGTCTGGGCACAGGCGCCCCACGCTAGCTATGGTGGGTGAGCAAATGAAGAACAAGAGTGCTGTGTACCTGGCGGCTGGTGTTGGTAGGCTGAAGGACTATGTTAACTTAGCACATCAGGCTGGGATTGTCGACGCAGGGGGTCCGTCAAAAGGTGGTGAGTGGGTGGGATTGCCCGCGGCCAAGAGGGGCCCCGAGTCGGCATCATCAGCCGTAGGGATGATGGCTCCGTTGTCACCTGGCGGTAAAGCCGTATCTGTGAGGTTGGCGTTTGGAGGAGGGACCAAATCTGATGACTACACGGGTAAGCGGAACCTGATATCCGCCGAACTTTCTGGATAGGTATTGACAGTCCAACGTTCGGCTATTAGCCCCTTCTACGACTTCAACTCTCAAGGCTTCACATGACAATCATTGTGATCTACCCTGTGCAAAGGACCAGGTACCAGAGGCTCCTATAGTACCTGTCCATTTCAAGCCTTTGGTTGCGCTCCTGGAAAAATTGCAACTGTCTGGCCTCAAACGCCCTATGCTAAGTCAGGTAGGATGCCAAATGGAAAACAAGCTCGCTGCATACGAAGGGTCCGGCGTCAAAAGGCTGAAGGACTACGTGGTTTTGGCTCAGAAGGCGGGCATAGTAGAGATAGGGGGACCCTCATGTGGGGGTGAATGGGTCGCATTGACCGCGGCTTGTAACGGTAAGAAGTCAGCACGCTCAGCTATAGGGACGTCAGCACCCGGTAGTAAAGTCACTTCTATGGGCCGGGCCCTCGGGGAAGAAAGGAATCAGGATACTCCGGATCGGCGGGAAATACCTCAATCCAGCGCTGTATCGAGAATCATGTCGACACCACCTGCGGATTATCGCCACCGCTATATGACAAGTGGCCCATCGACACACTCCTCCGTCTTCTCTGAGTCGAGCATCTCCAATGCACTTGAAGGAGACTCGAACCGCCCGATTTCAGCACCAGTCATGCCGAAGGAAAGCTCGGCGGACTTTGCTCTGATGGTAAATGTGGAGATGTTTGCCACTGCTCCGTCTTCGCCAGTTCAGGCTCAGACACTGCTGAGCACCAGACTCAGGGATGATCACATAGGTAAGCAGATTTCACTGTAACTGAAGGGTCTGGATGAACATTGACATTTCAGCGTTTGTCTATTAGCTCCTTCTACGACGACCTCTCCCAAGGCCCCACTCGACAATCATGCTGAGATACCATGTGCGAAAGATCAGGCACCGCAAGCTGTAGTACCTGCCCACTTCAAAGTCCTGATTGACATCCTGGCAAATCAGCATCTGGCTGGGATCAACCGTCCTTCACTGGGTTTGACAGAATACATGTTGAGAACCAAGGGTTTCGTGTATGAAGGAGCAGGTATAAGCACGCTCAAGGACTATCTGGATCTAGCGCAGAAGGCAGGTGTGGTAGAGATGGGTATCCTTCCTGGTGGTCGCGATTGCGTGACATTGACAGCCGCCTGGTGGCCTCGGGGTGAGAAGTATTCGTAGTACCATCATTACTAGCCTCCGTTTTTCCACGCTTTATGCCCACCTCCTACTCGTATTTCAAAGAAGAGCCTGAACTTAGCCGAGGCTATGTGGTCCACCGATTGACTGCCTGCGACATACATTCTCCATATGAAAGCCGAGTACTTCAGATTGTTACAATAGAAACAACCCTGCTTTACCGGTGGAACTAACGAAGCAGGTTTCTCTGTGAGGGAGACTCTTACGCCAGCTGGATTAGACACGTCTAAGGACCGCGGTGAGAAACCATCGGGACGTTTGTGAGTGCAGTGCAATACGCATGTCAGTTCATTTACATCGATGCACTCCGCTGGAGGTTGGGAGCAGGAATATGGGACATCGTTCTGAGGTCGCATGAACTTGAAGTTTAGCTAAATCCGAGCATGACGGAAGAGCCTGAATCGGGAACCATGCATATCCATCCGCGAACGACTGGAAGTTGAATTGGATGGAGCATCGCTCACCTGTCTGTAAACCTTTACGATAGAGAGAGGTGCTTTATCAGCAGGCACCGCACACATACCGCTATGGAGCAGGAGAATGCACCGCCGAAGTACGCGAGCGGGATGCCCGCATGTTTCTATGAAGGAGAAATGCTGGGCACTGAACGCTAATCCTGATTTGTTGAAATATCAGCACCGTGAAGGTCAGGAAGCCCATGGCACGCAGTAACTGACAGTAATCATCTCTCACGACACCCGAGGGCCGAGGAGTACCTACAGACGCGCTGCATATTCTGCATCATCTGGTTGGGTAGATCGAGAATGAGCTCGAGAGTAGTCAATCAGTGTCCTGGCAGCTCAATCAAAGATGATAAGCCCAACACATGCGTACCACTTGCTTCGGGCAGGCAGGACGTCGCAGACTGCATGATCAAGCTGTGCATGCATATGCCGGTTGGCCCTGTTTCATACAGTAATTGCGGTGGATAGACACTGGCAGTTGCGGGTTCGCGGACTCGGACTCGTCAACGATGAAGGGAGAGCGATGTGCGTTGCCCAATCTCGGGGCGCGAAGGAAAACGTTCCGTACCCAAGAAGCCTTCTGGCACGTGGTCGACGCGACAAGTTGCTGTGGTTCGAGCGGCGGACCCGCGCACCAACCTGACTGCTGTGGCCGAGACCAGCACAACGTCAGCATCAGACGCAGAACCTAGTGCCGGTCAAATTCACGAACCTGACAATTAACCAAGGCCTCAGTAGTCCGCAATGATATCTGTCAAATCTGTCTTACGGTGTCTTTCCACGCCATGTCAGGCAGCCACAAAATGAATTCCTCACGACCCTATTTGCCTTCTCTCCAGGCAACGCGTCTATTCACCGCTTCTCTGTCTGAAGGATCCGTGATCCTTCTCCATATTCTGAGAAGACGTGTAGGAGTACTATCTTACCGATTCCCTGCGATAACTGCAGCTGGACCGGGACTTACAAAAGCCCCCCACTAACAGAGGGTAAGGCTCGTGCTTCTCCCTCTTCATGGCTGCCGCAACTATTAAACTAGGAAAGCGGATTATAGGCTACCCAGAGGAGAGGGTGCCAGTCATATCCGTCCAGGAATGGGCGGACAAAACCTTCACCGATCCACTACACACCGTAGGTCGTTCCTCGCTGTTTTTGGCAAGTCCTCATTGCTTTCGCTAGCTCCTGCAATATCTGAGCAGCCTTTTCCCCATCATTGGATGGGCATCTCGCTATAGTGAGTCGCTGACTTTTAAGGGCCCAACGGCCCTAACCATTGTCTGCAGACCTCGGATGGGCGAGCGGTGATGTCGTCGCCGGTCTGACAGTCGGCCTGGTCCTTGTCCCTCAAAGCATGTCCTACGCGCAGGTAGTTAGACGACATACTCCGATGGGCTCAGGCTAATAACAATTAGATCGCAACGCTTCCACCTGAATACGGCCTCTATTCTTCCTTCGTCGGCGTGCTGATATATTGCGTGAGTTCCACATTGATGGAGACGATTATAAGTCTGACTCGTGGTTCTGCTTAGTTTTTCGCAACTTCGAAAGACGTGTCTATCGGACCTGTCGCCGTTATGTCGCTTACCGTCTCGCAAATAATCAGGTTTGTAAACGAACATCACCCCGACGAATGGAGTGGACCCCAGATTGCTACTACCGTTGCATTCATATGCGGATTTATTGTGCTTGGTCTTGGTCTACTGCGCCTGGGCTGGTTAGTGGAATTTATACCAGCACCTGCGGTCAGTGGCTTTATGACTGGCTCGGCCATAAACATCGTCTCCGGCCAAGTTCCTGGCCTGATGGGAATCACAGGCTTTGAGTGAGTGGTCGTGCCCCTTCCCTCCCATTCGCGTGATAACAGCCACTATTTTTGTAGTACTCGAGCGGCAACATACAAAGTAATAATAGATACCCTCAAGGGCCTCCCGAGGACCAAACTTGACGCTGCCTTCGGGTTGACTGCTTTGGTCTCGTTGTATATTATTCGCTTTGTCCTGGAGCGTCTGTCACATCGATATCCAAGAAGGGGTGAGTTATGACTTTCAGGCGTATATTTGGTCAAAACTGACCAGTTTCCAAATAAGCCCGCCTATTTTTTTTCATCTCGGTCATGCGAAACGGTCTGGTCATCATTATATTGACAATAGCATCCTGGCTCTACACACGGCACAGAAGAAGTGCGCATGGGACTTACCCAATCAAGATTTTGGGCACTGTCCCCCGAGGATTCAAGCACATTGGGCAGCCGATCATAGACAAGAAATTGATCAGCGTCCTTGCGCCTGAATTACCTGTGGCGACAATCATCCTTCTTCTCGAGCACATCGCCATATCAAAATGTGAGCTTGTGCATTTCTTGCCAGGATGTACAAGTATTTATGAGACTTCACATAGCTTTTGGCAGAGTGAATGGGTACAAGATCAACCCCAATCAGGAATTGATCGCTATCGGTGTAACTAACACCATTGGTACGGTCTTCGGAGCATATCCTGCGACAGGATCGTTCTCTCGCTCTGCCCTCCAGTCAAAGTCGGGTTCCCGGTCTCCCGCTGCAGGTCTTTTCAGTGCCATCGTGGTCATAGTGGCGTTGTATGGCCTAACACCTGCCTTCTACTGGATTCCCACTGCCGCCCTCTCGGCCGTCATCATTCACGCAGTCGCAGATCTGGTAGCGTCACCCAAGCAGGTGTACTCCTTCTGGCGGGTATCACCCTTGGAGTTCGTTATCTGGTTGGCAGCGGTGTTAACCACCGTATTCTCGACCATCGAGAACGGGATATACGCCTCCATTGCGGCTTCGCTCGTCCTCTTGCTCGTGCGCGTGGCGCGCCCTCGTGGGCACTTCCTCGGCAAGATAACGGTCCACGCTGACGATAAGTCAAGAGAGGTTTATGTCCCACTCAAGCCTGATAGCGGGGTGATGAACCCGCATATGAAGGTCCACCCACCTGCGCCCGGCGTTGTGCTTTACCGGTTCGAGGAGAGCTATCTGTATCCCAACTCTTCACTGGTGAATGACGCCATTGTCGACTTTGTCAAGCAGCGCACGCGGCGGGGGAAGGACATGTCCAGTATCAAGGCTAGTGATCGGCCGTGGAACGATCCTGGACCAGCCAATGGAGGTGCAGATGATTCGCAGGACGACAAGAAGCCTGTGGTGCGAGCAGTAGTCCTTGACTTCTCCGCGGTGTATGTGATTCATATCAGTTTCGAGGCGGGCCCCTCTAACCATACGTTGTTCTGTCAGCTCTCACATCGACACTACGGGTGTCCAATCCTTACTTGATACTCGAGTAGAGGTCGAGAGATGGGCAGACGGACCAGTAGAGGTGAGTCATAGAGTCCGCCGAACAAGTATTCGCTAACACCCTACTTTAGTTCCACTTCGCATGCATTCTGTCGCCCTGGATCCGTCGAGCTTTGATCGCCGCTGGTTTTGGCACTGGTACTCCGTCTGCGAAGCTGCCTCAAGAAATCGCACCCGTGGTACCCGACCATGACGGCTACCTGTCATCTGAGTACAAGACTCACAGAGACAGGAAAGTCGACCCAGAGGTCGGGACTGAGACGCCGCGCACTGTCAGTTCCGATATCACAGACGAAAGTCTAGGATATGCTCACGGCAAAGACGCCGGGCCTCTCGTGCCCTCTGCAACCCCCTTCTTCCACTTCGACCTGGCAGCAGCGGTTCGTGCAGCTGAAAGCGGCGTTAACCATGAGCCTACCTTGGGAGATACGGATTGATTTTGTGCGACGAAACCGTCCCGAATATTTATACGATCGCCAACGACATGTAGAATATAGATGATGTACTGTGATGTATTTTACGACTCATCCATGTAGCAGCTAGAGAACAGCAGAGGCTGTAATACAATAGCCATCGACGAAACCGCGACCATGGTCAGTCTAAGGTAGTCCAGACACGTATTGTATCTTCGTTATCCTCCAGCGCCTCCACGAGCTCCGATATCGAATTGGTCAGTGACTCGTCAGCTTCCTCGCCAGGTTCCGTAGGAACATAAACTAATTCGCTTTCCAGGAGCTCTCGATATTTGCCCGGTGCCGTGGCAGCGGACGCTACCTTCGATAGCACGTTCGGCGGACAAGTGAACTGCGATGGGGGCTCGTGAGTTGATGGCTATCCTGCGATCAAGTCAGGCACTAACCTCGACTTCGACTGTGCTGTCTGATGAATCTACGGTCTCGAAGTCCTCCGCACCGGCTTCCAGCGCAGTCTCGATAAGCTGTTCCACGCGCTCTTCGTGGTCTTTTCCCTTATCTAACGCCACTCGGACGCGGCCCTTTTTCGCGAACATGAAGCTCACTGGTGCAAAACGGCCACTGATTCGGGGTTTAGTATGTGCGAGGAACGGAGGAAAGGATTGGCGAGCATACTTGTGATCGTTTAGTATCTCACGTAACGCGTGCAGTGTCCGGTTCGCATTGTCTGTTAGACACTCTCTTCATACGATGGATAACTTTGCATGTCAGCAATGGACTTACTCACATTAGGATTCCAACGGAGCCGTGCGCCATTGCCTCGTACATTAGTTGACTGCTCCCTTTGTCCTTGCTGCCGGAAGCCTAGAGCCGGTAGGTAAAGAATCCATCTCAACGAGACAGGCCTACGCACTCTAGCCAGTGCCTTCTCTACGTTGTCTTTAGGGACGCCATTGGCCTTGGCTGCCTTGAGTACGGCGGCAAGACTAGCGTTCTTCTCGGGATCGGTGGACCCACCACCTATCACGAGATCAGTCTACTGACAGAGAAGTGGCTTTCAATGCATACTTCTCACTGCCACGACAATATCCTATCCTGATAAACATTAGCCAGGAGGGTAACAGGGCGGAAGTAATGAACATACGCGGCTGATCTTGCTATAGACAGCAGACTTCTTCAAGTCATTAGCGCCTTTCTTCTCTTTAATTTTAGACCACTATGAGATAGGATTAGTTTCTTGCAGCATGTAGTAGCGACAGCAAACAACTTTATTGTGGCCAGAGAACCGGACTGCCGAGCTGCAGAAGGTCCGTCGAGGTAGTACCAGCCGTAGATGTGAGAGGATCATGGCAGGCGACATATATTAGCTAGCCGAATGTTGCCCAGCAGACTCTCCTTAGTCGATCCACGATGCGCCTGTACGGGCAAGCACAACACTTGGAATGTTTTGAGGCGTTCCTCTGGGACGCCGTGGAATGATCGTCGCGGCCGAGAAAGGATACAGCGGCAGTAATTAGTGGCAAGGCACGTGACGCCTACGCGCTTTCGGTAGAGCTGTTGCGCTTTACGCTCTTCCGGTGTGACGATCATGACTGCAGCTCCCGCTGACATCCAGGGCGGCGTGGATAGAATGGGCAGGGACGCGCTAATGTCGGAGGGGCATTTTGACGCTCAGTCAGGCTTGGCTTATCTCTGGGGCCCATATAAGCCTGCTGCACCTCGAAATTTCTGTTTACGGAGTTCGAGGTGAGTCTACGGACGCACCACATCCGACCTAAAGTACTCAATTGTAGTCTCCTTTGTTAGCTTGGTTTGGTACTCACGTAGAGTAAAATGAAGCGATCTATGGACAAAACGCCGGACTCCGAAGAGAAACGGGCTGAGGCTCAGTGTACTGTGACCCAATGTGCGTTCGCGCCAACCCCGCTGAATACATTACCATGACCATGCGCTCACGAGATACACAGTATCCGAGGACGGTGGCTCCGTTGAAGATGACTCGAGTGTATTGGAAAGAAAGATAGTTCTGCTCAACCGAGCCTTGGATGACATAGGAATGGGGAAATACGGGGTAGGCCTCTAGTATGGGCTGGTACATGACATCCTGCAACTAATACATCTGGTACTCAGTGGTACATCTTCCTTGTGAGCAGACAGTATCTGTGATACATTGGCTCGTTTACGAGCCTTCCGAACAGTTATGTGGCTACGGCTACGCCCTCGATTTAATGTGGGCGCAGGCATTTGGCCTTATCGCAAGCTCTGCGCAGCAAGAGTTTGGTATCTCTGGTTAATCGTTAGTTGAATCAGAGAGTTATCAACTATTGATTATCGATTCACAGACACGCAGTTTGGCAACATCTTCACCGCTTTCAACACCGGGCTGACTGTAGGAGCGTTCACCTGGGGATTACTCGTGGACATCGTCAGTATAGCTTTGGTTGAATGGGACCACATGCTCACGGAGTATCTTTCTTCAGGTGGGCCGCAAGTGGGCGTTCAACTTCACTGTATTCATTGCAAGTATCTTCGGGCTTGTTCTCGGAACAGCACCGAGCTGGAATGCCCTATGTGTTCTTGGTGCTTTCACGGGCTTCGGCATTGGCGGAAATATCCCTATAGATGCATCCATTGTCTTGGAGTTCATCCCCCAGGTGGGCTCTTCAGGCCCTCAATGCGCACTTCTCGAGTACTGATTCTCGCCAGAATCGGCGCTATCTTCTGGCAGCCTTATCCGTGTTCCAGCCGCTGGGGATGGTCATATTTTCCCTCATTGCCTGGGGCCTTATCCCTACCTATAGCTGTAGCTCCGCTCTTCCGTCTTGCTCGCAGGTTGCAAGCGGCGCTGCGTGTTGTACGAAGTCCAGTAATATGGGATGGAGATACAGTGTGTGAGTGTCAATATTCTCAGGCTTCTCAACTCCACCTTACATAGACTATTATTGCCGCACATGCAGCTATACTTTAGGAGGGATCACGTTGCTGTGCTTCTTCCTGCGGTTCATTGTATTCAATTTCCAGGTATGCAGATGATACTACGTGTGCTCCCACACGGGACATGTCGCGTGTTTATGACACGATTGCCCATAGGAAAGCCCGAAATTCCTTCTTTCGAAGGGACGGGACGGAGAGGCCGTCGCCGTTGTTCATCGGATCGCCACTATCAACGGAACGTCCTCGACGTTAAGCCTTGATGATCTACGGGCCATAGATGGTAAGCCAGGATATCCTCGTCGCGACCGCATGGCTAAGCATGCTCCAGGAGTACACGGCAAAAGAGACGCTGGACCATCCGGCCGTCTGCATGTCACCAATCTGAGACACCTGAGGGGATTCCTCTCTAGCTGGCAGATGGCAAGGTTGACGATCTTCACTTGGTTAACATATATCTTCGACTATGCCGCCTTCGCTATCGGTAGTCTTATTCTTTATCTGTGTCCGTTCAGCTGACGAACTACTGCAGCTGGGAATTTCCTCCCGACCATCCTACGACGGAAAGGAGCGGTGTCTGGCCAATCTGTGTCAACCACCTATCGCAACTAGTAAGTACAGGGTCGCCGAGGCTATTCTTCCCGTATGGTATGTTCACTGTGTCCCTCAGCATCGTCATCTATGCGCCTGGTATCGTGGGCGTCATGGTTGGGGCAGCAGCAATCCAGATCCCGCACGTCGGGCGCAAATGGGTCATGACAGTGTCTGCAACGCTCATGGGAATCTCGTTATTCCTCTTCGTCGTCATAGTAAGTCGTGCATTTCTCTGATCGATGCTGCTGGGTCGAGCTCCATTGCCCTTGTATCTCACAGGACTCTCCTGCTGCGAATGTCGGATTCAACATGATGGAGTATTTCTTCCAGTCCATGTTAGTCTTCCTATATTATACTAGCAAAGATGGGGTTACTAAAGCACCTCCCAGGTTCAATGCCGTCCTATACGGTTGGACTCCGGAGGCGTTCCCCTCATACTTCCGGGGTTCTGCTTGCGGCATCGCTAGCACCTGGGGCCGCCTATCCTCCATTATCGCTCCCATAATAGCAACGCATCTGCTAGCGACGTCCGCCAACGGCGTACTATATCTTGCTGGTGGCGCTGCTCTTCTCTCAGCAGCTTCCACTGTGTTCCTCACGGAGACCTCCCGAAGGGACGCAATGTAATCTCGCAAACACGAGCAGGCATTCGTTTCGTAATCGGTTCCATACAATTAGGGAATCAATGGCGCCCTAGAATACGTAAATCTAAAGGATACCTTGGCTTTTCGCATCCTCATACACTGGTATAATCCCAACGATCGTAACGCATGACTGAAAGCAAATAAATAATACACGGTAGTCCTCTAAAGTCGGTCTCTTAAACATTAGACTTTTTAGGTTCATCAACAGTTTCTCGTGAAGACGTCTGAAGCAAGCCGATCTCTGCAGCGCGAACAGCTTCAGCGAGGTCGAAATGGAAGAAGGGTGTGTCTTCTGGCACGATCGGAGCAAGAGTCGCGTCTGATCTCGAGCTGTCTATCGAGCTACGTTGTCTCGACTCTATCGGCGGTGTGACTGGAGCAGCTTCCGGATCCCGAACCGTGGTCGGCGTCTCTCCGTATCCACCGTGATACGGTACGACAGGCGCGATTTCGCGCGGCAGACTCGATGCGGGCGCGCCGGTACCGAACCCGCCAGCGACCAACGCTCGCCGTATCCAGGGCGAAAGGATAGTGGCGAAGTGGAACTCGACTTGACGATCCGCCCATCTTTCAACTTCATTTCGAGTGTCAATGAGAGCCTGCACGCCCGTTGTATCTATATGTGACCTGAGGGGGGGGGGAACTAGTCAGATACAATACTTACAGTAGTTGAGCGAGACGAAACTCACACTCCGGAGAAGTCAAGTACGATGGCGTGCAATAAAGGTTTACTTGAGTCGTCCTCAGGCTCGGCGGTCTTGCCACGGCCAGGGCCAGGATCATTCCACGGTCGGTCGCTAAGTTTGACCGCACCCATGTTCTTTCCACGCCTCGTGTGCTCTTTCACATAGTCCACAATGGCCGAATTGATGAGGGATGAGTTGGGGTACAGATAACTCTCCTCGAATCGATAGACGATCACACCTGGCGCAGGTGGGTCCACCTTGAGATGAGGATTCATGACCCCACTTGGCGGCTGAAGCGGAACATAGACGTCCCGAGAGTCGCGGCTCTTTTCGCTAGCCTCCGAGCGCAGAGTAACCTTGCCGAGGAAATGGCCTCTAGGACGGGCGATACGCACTAACAGCAAGGCAAAGGAGGCCGCGATGGAGGTGTAGATCCCGTTTTCAATGGTGGAGAAGACGGTGACAAGGACAGCGGCCAGCCAGATAACGAATTCCACGGGGGAGACACGCCAATACGAGTAAACTTGTGCAGGAGATGCGACAAGGTCGGCGACAGCGTGAATGACTACCGCGGACAGACCAGCAGTGGGAATCCAGAAGAAAGCCGGAGTCAGCCCGTATAAGGCGACGATGACAACAACAGCAGTGATAAGACCTGCGGCAGGCGTCCTCACGCCTGACTTCGACTTCAGAGCGGAACGAGAAAAAGATCCGGTCGCTGGGTAGGCACCGAAAAGGGTACCAATGGTGTTGGTGACGCCTATCGCGATCAATTCCTGGTTAGGGTTAATCTTGTAGTTGTTAACACGTCCAAATGCTGTAGACATCATCAGCTATATCCACTTCCGAAAAACTTCTTCGACTTACACTTTGAGATAGCGATATGTTCGAGCAGCAGAATAATTGTGGCAACAGGTAGTTCCGCCCCAAGAGCGCCGACAAGTTCAGGATCTATATGCGGTTGTCCGAGATGCTGGAACCCTCGAGGAACGTTTTGCAAGATTTTGATGGGATATTTCCCCTTGACAAGCCTGTGGCGACAGTACAACCAGGAAGCGATAGTGAGGACTACGAGGACGAAGGCATTCCTGAATACCGAGATAAAGAAGAACAGCCGCGCTGTATGAAGATCTTAGTGTGCACGAACTAAAAATATAGCGATCATATTTACCTCTATGAGGGAACCGCTTGCCTAGGTAGTCACAGACTCCGCGGACCAAATAAAGGCAGGTAAGTCCAGTAAGTCCGAAAGCTGCATCCATCTTGGTTCTCGGCAGGCCTTTCAGGGTGTTAATGATGACTTGATATGTGGCGCCCCTCGTGCTACAATATATCAAATATAAGCAACGGAAGCAGGACACCAAGCGAGTTTTCTTACTTAAATCCGGATATTCCCATTAACCCTGGTACTTGGCCGGCTACGATGTTGATGGCAGAACCAGTCATGAAACCACTGACGGCGGGGGCTGGGATAAATTCCACGATCCAACCAAGACGCAGCAGTCCAATTGCGAGGACGATGAATCCGCAAATGAAAGCAACAGTGGTCGCAATTTGCGGGCCTTCCCATTGACCCGGGTGCGCCTTATCCACATGAGCGATGATCTGCGATACCGTGAGGGACATCACAGCGACTGGGCCGATGGATACATCTTTTGAGGTGGCGAAGAACTACAAGGGATCAGTGAGATTGAATGCCTTCCGGTTGTGCATGCTACTCACACAATATATTAGAACACCAACAAATGATGAATAGAGACCATATTCTGCTGGTAATGTTGCGATCTAAGAGATCGAGTTAGGATTGTCGGACATCTCCACATCGTAGGATATTCCCGGAAACTCTTACCTGGGCGTATGACATGCTTTGAGGGACTAAAACCATCCCCACCGTAAGACCAGCAATTACATCGCCAGTCAACCATCCGAGATCTGGAACGCGAAACCGTTACTACAAGATATCTCAGGAGATGCAGACTGGCGTACTATATCGCGTAATCCATCCAAGTATAGGAAAAAGGCTGGTAAGATAATTTATTAACTGTATAAAGCGGTGCATATGGGTTAGAGCTCCGAGCAATATAATCGCAGGGGGGGCGTACATCTTGCTTCGGGTCTTGCGAAAGTGAGCGGAACCAATCCTTCACAGAGACTACGGAGACCTTGTCTTCCGGATAGTGGATGACCTTCTTTCCAATCTTCTCGAGCTTTTGCAGAGGGGGCGTCATTGCTGAACAGCCAGAGACGTTAGAACCGGCGAAAGCTCGAGCTGGACTCGGCGGGATTTATAGAAACCTTTTGACAGGCCAGGAACGGTAAGGTATTGCGCGATGGAGACCACCAATGAGGCCTTAAGGGACCGGCTGGAGTATATATGCCAGCGAAGGACTGGTAGCGGTATAGTGGATGTGGCGGAGCGAGACTTCCAACCTACGGGAGGCGAAAGGAGACGCGAACCTAGCGAAGGTTAGCAAGGAAGTCAAGTCTGCGATCAACCATATGAGTGCATTCATTTTCGGGATTACGATGGGAGTAGTCATCAAAAGCAGGTACGCCCATAAGCACGCAATCCTTGCTGCAGTTGACGCGACGGTGGATATCCTTTAACCAAACTTAGTTACCGTATTTGGCAGTGGCTTACGAGCTTCGGCGTCCTGCAAAAATGAATCGCCAGACCTACGTTTGCACTCCGCGGCGCGCGGCCATACAGTATTCCTCCGGGCTTACCCCCTGATACTCGCTGTTACTGGACGCCTGGGTTGGGCCGCGAGGACAGGCATCCCGTCGCCGCCCTCATGTGGCAATGGACTATGGATTTGTGCCATGGCAGTCAAGTTGACAAGCGCCACTAACTAAGCCTTCGGGGGCAAGTCCAACGCGTCGGAGTTTGATTTCTCACCTGTCGCCGATGATGATCATGTTCCACAGCTTTCTTGCAACTGCATGTACCCTATAGAGTGATTATAGATCGTCTGTATCTCGAGACAGTCCGTGTAATAGTACTTCAAGTTACATTGCTGAGTGAATAAATATATGAAGGAATACAAACCAAGAGAATGAGGTATCCGACAATGAAGAGGTATCAGCCGGGGAAGTGAAGGAACGACATACGGCGAGGAAAATGAGCGAAAGAACACTGCACATCAATACATACTTGAGGAAGCTCGTGGCCCTGGACAGGACGCAGCGCTGACCGTGCATGGATGGATTCGGACGCGAGATTCCGAGTGCCGACCTTCATTTGCATCCGCAACCGCTGACGGCAGAATGCCATCGATGCGGAGGACGCGGAGTTGTCGTGCGAGCGAAGAAGATCGTTTCGTAGGCACGCGGCTTGAAGTAACGAGGTAGGATCGAGGACGAGAGCAGATTCAATACATCCCAACACGCTCGCATCCAGCGTTACGTGGTAGCCGTCGCGAAGATAGCCGCAAGATCCCGCTCATGCGCAGCGTGTAACTGCTTGGCTCGGGCTTTCAATCGTACTGCATAGAACATCAATGATGAGTACCAGAAGACGGAACAAGCAAATAATTAAAACTCACGATTACGGTCGAGACTGAGCAAGACCACCTTGACGGCGTCGTGCTTGACTTCCTCCGGTACATCCGCCGCCTTGAGGAAGGCAGAGCGATCAACCCAATGTTCGTCTTGCCAGATCGCGGCACGAAGGATGAGGTCATCCATGTTCCTCTCCCATGAGCCTTGACGGTCAAAGTCGACCTGCTCCGAGCGAACGCTCAAAGTCGTCATATAGTTACCCTTTGATGTCAGAATCTTCAGGGATGTCGAGTGCGAGCGCAAGTGGGAAATGATGTAAGATAGAGCACTAGAGGCAGCACCACTCAATTCCGGGGCGTCGGAGGCACCGGATAAGCCATCGAGCTCCATGATGACCGGTAAGGGCACCACAATTGTCCATTGCATGCTTTCCACAAGAGACTGGAAGACGGAGAGGGAAGACAGAAGAATGTTGGTGTCAACAACAAGAACCGAGTAGCCAGGGACCAGCTTGAGCGAGGGGCGGGCATCCACAGCAGCCTTCGGCTTCCGAGGCGCGCGAGCAGGGGCAGAACGCCGGGGCGGAGTGCGCTGGGCAGAAGACAGGAGACTTCGGAGATACCTCCGACGAGCCTTGAGGGCCTTGACTTCGTCAGAATCTTCCTCGTCTTCCTCGTCACTTTCTTCGTCGTCGCCAGAGATTTGGTCGTCGTCGACGTCCATCAAATCGTCGTCGCCCCACCGAGTACCCTGTCGCCGCCGCTCCTGCTCTTCGCGCTGCAGCCTCTCTTCCTCCTTCCAGTGCTGAACCTTGACGGATAACGAGCCTCCTATGATCCACTCCCGCGAAGACTCAGCACGGCCGAACCCGTCAACAGATTGTGCAATAGCAAGGCCTGCTCTGACAGCCCTTACCCATCGCTGCGACGACTCGGAGCCAGGCTTCTTGTTCCCATTGTCGTCATCGTCCTCCTCTTCAATAATCCCGTCGATGTCGGCATCTTGTGCGTCGCGTCTCTCGAGTACTTCGAGCTCGACGTGCTTCGCGTCACTCTCAGGAATCTTCAACCAAAATCCACGTTCGAAGACTTTCCGTCCAACCCACTCCATGCCGCGGATGCACCAGTCCTCCGGCAAGGGGCGACAGCTGCTAGTCAGCATAGCCCAGCGCGAACTCTCCTCGTGCGTCATGTTGGTTGGCACAGACCGGGAGTAGAACGTCGCCAGATCTTCCCATGGCAGAGCCCGCTCCAGAAGATTTCGGATAGTTTCATGCCTCAGGAGAGTAGCCAAGAAAGTCAAAATGATTGTGATGTACGGGTTCAGGGCAGGCTTCTGTAAGACAGATGTCTTGCGCGTGGGCTTCCTGAGTGCGTGCGAGAGCATCGAGAATGTCAGTTGCAGCGAGAGCCTGAAGGCGAGCGGTAATTCCGGTGATTCAGTTGATGCTGCCTCCGACAGAGCCGGTGAAGCCCCCACGGTCGAGGACTTCATCTCCTTATCACCGTCTGCGTCTTCTCCGTCTTCGTCGACGTCCATCTTCTTGCTATCGCCGTCATCTTCCTTCTTGGCGAGCTTCACTTTCGCTGCTGCCGAAGAAGTCGCCGCGGCACTGGCACCGATCCCGAGACCCAAGACGCCGGTCTTCCGCAGGACACCGCCGGGACGGCCATATTCGAGGATACCACCAATGTTGACAACCGCCATCATGATCCACTCCCTTTCTTCGGCGCCATCCAACTCCAGCCGCTCAAGGAAACGATCGAGCGACTTGCCGAAATCGTCGAGCTGGATATTCGTGAATAGCATGCCTTGTAAAAGAACGAACAGGTCGGGCACACGCGCATCGGGCAACGCACGTCGAGCCTGAGCGTCGACTGACCAGAGCGGGAGGATGGACTCGCGGGACGTTTGGAATGGATGTAATGTAGTCATCCTGCAATGAAAGCCGTACTTAGCACGAGTTTCTCGGCAGTCAAGGACCCACTTACCCCTTCACAAAATGGTACACCGCTCTGAGCTCTTCGCCCTCGACTTCGCGGCATAGAAGCCCCATGTGATGATGGAGCTTCCCCTCGACCGGCTTCTCAGCGAGCGCGGTGGCGTACCACTCCCGCGCAATACCTCGCCACCGCTCCTTCTCCGGCTCGACGTCCATCGCTCGAGCGGCCGCCAGTCCGATACTGGGGCTCTCGGAGTCGTCGATGCGAGCGGCAGGCTTGTCACTGATGGATGCTTTCGATTTGGAGGCAGGCGGAGGAACAGGTGCCTCGAGAGAGGCTTGAGATACGGCATTCACGGTGAGAGGTTGGGGAAGACCCTTCGCATAGGGCACCTTCATCGCCATATCCGTGACGACCATGCGATAACGTGCAAGGTCACCGAGTGCTTCTAGCCAGCTTAAGCGATGAGCGTCCAACGTCCTCTCCTCCAGTAAGCCGGTGTAGAACGTGTAGGCATAATAAATGAAGTCTTGCAGGTGTTCGAATGCGACGAGGGAATGCCACGACGAGCGGCGCAGACTCTCGAGGAGCTTGTGGAAGCCATGGGTCCAGAGCCGGATGATGATCTTGTACTTCTCCGGGATATTCCGCAGTGAAGACGGCACACTGGGCGCGAGGGAAATCTCGAGAAGATTATGCATCATTTCGGCCAACCTACCGCGCTAGTGAGATCATATCGGGACGACGGGAAGATAGTGACTCACAGCTTGTGATCCTGAACCACCTTCCTCCACTTCTCCTGCTCGGCCTCCTCATCCTTCTCCTTAGGCTCCTTGCCATTCCTAGCCTTCAGCACGACACCGCTACCCCTAGCCGGCGCATCTCGCGCAAGCCCGTCATCCGCGTTGAGGCCATCGTCCTCATGAAGGATACGGTCTTCCAGGGCTGCAATGGCACGATATAGTTTCTTGAGTTGCTGAGAAAATGCAGTGTTGTTGCTGCCACTTGATTCTTGTGAAGGCTTGCCTTGATCGAAGAGCGCCGAGCCGGTCGACGATCCGTCTGTAGTGCTAGATGACAGTGTGAAGCTCGAAGACGCTAACGAGTGGGCATATGAAGAGGTAGAAGATGCCGATACGTAATCGCCGGACGATTTAGGAGTGGGAGGCGCACGTCCATCTGGACCGACAGAAGGCCGCACGAGCACGGAGAACCGCACAGGGTCGTCCTTACGGTGATCAAACAGTTGGCGATGTACGTGAGGCTCGCGAGAGTGGGGAGATGATCGGGATACTTGAACGTTGTGCGAGCTGCTATTGGATTGAGAGTCGGAGATCGATTCAGGCTCGGCAGTGCGGCGCATAGGGATAGGGTCGATATGGGGATTGAAGAGTTTCTTGGATGGCCCCGTGTGCGAGGGATCCTGATGATGGGGAGATGGGCGTGGCGAGTGACTTATCTTCAGTCGGCGAGAAAAATCGAGGTCCTCCCGGTCGAGGGAGGGATTAGACACGACGACTCGAGGGGGGGAAGATTGAAATGACTTTCGAGGAGGCGAGGATTGCGCGGGATGGCCGCGTAGAGTGGTACATGAAGGTCTCTCAGCGGAGCGCTTTTCCACAGCCATTCGGCCCGTAGACTGGGAGGCAGTGGATTCGTGGATGACAGTAGGTGGCGAGGGACGTTCAGCTCGTTCTCTTGGCTTGGTCGCACTGTTTTACGACAGTTTATTAGCATGACTCAACAGTACGTCGAGTTCCTTCCGGGTGCTGCGCCGCCGTACAGCAAGATACGGAGGCGGTACACCCTACCGACGTTTCGTGAACATCGTCATGGTGCACTCCCTCAAGCATCGTCCTGGAGCACCCGAAAGGTCTCTATACTGAGAGTGTACTCACGCTGCTTTCGTCCTCTGCAAAGCAAAAATGCGCTGTGCGAGATCAGTCGGACAGCCTTCTCGCAGTTCACGCTCCTTGCCCTTCCTAGAGGGCCGCGTCGACGTTTCTTCAGACATTTTAAAGGCGTAACGGCGCAGACAAGACGCGCAACGTCAGCGGAGAGAGGGTAGAGGAGAGAGAGATGAATAGGCGCATGCGCAGCCCAGCAGTGTGCGGTTTGAAGGCTCTCCGCAGCAAGCGTTTCTAATCGCAGTCCGACTGCTGCGCCGATCGCGATCTCGAGATCCTCACGCTACCGCTTGCCCACGTGGCCTGACCGACGCCTCCGCACCCGCGCCCGTCGTTGTTCCCTGTTCCGCCGCATCCTTCCTCATCGCGTCCCACGGCGCCGACGCATGTCCTGTATTTTCTGCGCTTTATTCTCGATTTCATGCCCTGCTCTGGCTGCGCTGGAACCCCGCTGATGCCTGTAAATCTAGGCTCGCTGTCTATTCTCAGCTGCATAGGACATCACGACAGCCTGATCATGTCCCTCCGTGGACGTCAACGCGCAAACTTAACAGGCCTCGCGCTTCCATGTTCGGTGCATTCGACGGCCTTATCTGATAGTCTCGTAAAGTTGTTGCATGCTATTTTATCCCACCACGGAAACGTCACCATGAATTCTCCGAGGAAACATACCTTCGTCCGCCCTTGGGCTTGGCTTTCGCATCCTGTGTCTCCCATGGAAGATGTCTTGCATTGGACTCGACATAAGGAGTCTCCCGATCTCTTGCCAGAGGTCCGAATCATTGGACCAGCTGCGGCCCGGTTCGTACGTTGTAGGCACATGCTCGGTGGCCGACCGTAGCGCCCGGGGCACTATTTGCCATTAAGGGCAGGCGGTATTGGAGATTCAGCATATCCGCGCGTCTTAGGCCAGCCAGCCCTCACTTGCTGGAAACCAGATGAAGCTACGCATGTTCAGCAACGGTGAGATGCAATGTTAACTCTGGCACACATAGACTAAATACGGAATTCTCTCTGTACACGATCATTCGCTGGCAGTCAACCAATCACAGCCCTCCGATCACCACGCATGATGACCTCCACTAACAAGAATACTGCGGCGAGTTTGCCATAAGACCTTTATGATAGCAGGGATCAGGATAAAAGGCACTCACTCGCTGCCCGTGCAGAACGTACTGGCATCGCTCGCCAGCCAGGTAACAACGCCTCTCATCTCGTCGGGGCGCCCAATCCTTCCCAATGGGTTCATGCTGGACCACTTGGCTAGGAGCTCCGGTTGCGTGTCGAGATACGCCGCAGTCATCCTGGTACCATTATTCAGTGTCTGTTCTGTCAGAAATGGATAGCGATCGATAATAGCACGGAGCCAAATGTGGTGCGCAGCACCATCGGAACCGCCGTCCCGAGCTACGCCCCGGGCAAATTGCAGCCCGTAGGGCGCGACACAGCTTACACTGGTAAAGCGCTCGGCGGGGAAAGGTGAGAGGTGACGTACGACGTATAGATGTGTCCCGGTGATATTGTGTTAACTCTGATCCCCTTCACGCCGAGCTCGCAAGCCATACTGCGTGCCATCTGCAGGACAGCGGACTTGCTGGTATTGTACGACACCCATGCATGGTCCTACCGAGGTGTGAGTGTTCTGGTTCCGCTGGCGGCTCTTCCGAGTCTTACCCGGTTAGTGATGCTCCCGCTCATGGAAGCGATCATTACTATGCTGCCCGGTAACCCGAATCTGGACATCTGCCTGCCAGCAGCTTGCGCCGTGAACAATACGCCGTGCGTATTGATATCTAGGACCTAACTCGATCGGCAGCATCAGAACGTACGCAGCATGGAAAGCGTAGTCGCAGTCAAACAGTGACCCAGCGACGCGAACTACGCTACGGCGACGAACCTGTTTGAACTGCTCCGCCGGGTACTCCAAGCAATCTGTATGATTCTTCAAGATACCTGCCGCCGCGACACACACGTCTACGCGGCCCTCCTTGTCCCCAATCTTCTCGGCTTTCTCCCACATCCCCTTCTGGTCGGTCACATCGGCGCTCACGTACTCAAGCCGTCCGCCCTGCTTCCCGTTACCGAGGTCCATCTTCGCGATATAATCCTTTACCGCTTTCCATTCGTCTCCCGGCTCTTGCGGTAAGTCGAAACAATAGACAGCCCTCGCACCTGCCTCCAGCAAGGCCATAGCCGCCTCGAGACCTAGTCCTCGGTTACCGCCGGAAACGATACCTACTCTGTCATCTAGGGAGAACTCTCTGGTAAGCAGCGTTGGTTTGGGGGCGATGGAGGGATCTTTGGCGTGGGCGAGCGCCGCGACGACGCCTATCGGGTACGGTGGTTCCGGCGGTTTTAGAGTGGACATATTTGTATCGAGTGCTGTAATGCCTTGGTATGGTACGCACCCGCCTCTTTGTTGCCCCTTATATATCCGTACGTGCATTCCTACGTGATAGCGTGAAGCATCGTTCCGTATTCCGGTGAGTAAGGACCAGGTGACCCAACAATAGCCAAGGGGAAGCTCTGAACTTTCTGCTTACTGGACACTTTGCAGGTATGACAGGCCCATGAGAACTATGGCTGAACTCCAAAAAGTCGGGTGACCGCGCCCGGATTGAACTATCGCGCTGGAAGCCTCTGAAGCAGTACGTCAGGATAGACCAACTGGTCCCGATTGGCCAGTATGTACCTCTTCCTGCGCGTTCAGACTAGACCCAGGCTTACTATCTTACACCCTTAACAAAGGGGAAGACTCTACCAAGGATGTCCGTGGCTAGGATGGGTTAGTGGTGGACGTCCGGGATTACGACAAGGAAAGATGTGTCCTCTTTCTGTTGCGCTATTTCGTTAACTGGTTCTCGTATACACCCGTAATGATGCAGCCTGTTGGACATATTCGAATGCAACTGTCCTCCCTTCAGTAACTGCGGACTTACATTGCCTCGGAAGTCTGCATATAAGATAAGCGCACCAGCATAATATACATCGCATAAAGAAAGCAGCGAATCCCGTAGTCCTCATGCCTTAGCGCTGCACTTTAGGGATCTTTACTGTCCACTTCGCCATTTTTGCATTGAGGCGTCGGAAGGAACGTGCGAGCCAGGAAGCGGACGGCTCTTCGCCGTCCCACTGATCTGACAAGCGTACAATCCTCTCGTCCTCGTCTAGGTCCACTACAACCATAGACTTCACGACCTACGAGCGTAGCTCATGAGTGGCGCATTCGAGATGTAATAGACGAGACGAACCTTCTTGCCCAGTATCCGGAAGGTGTATTCTTGTTTCTGAGAGAAGACTACCCGGTTGGGAGACACCGTCGAAGAGATAACACGAGTAGACAGATTCTCGGACTTGAGCGCCAGTTTACTCTTCAATAACGGCGAGGGAAGTCAGATAGACCTCCAAGAGCAGCGGCTTACTTACCAGTCCGTACCACTGCAGAAGACATGTCAGACGTGACTGGCTCATTTGAATATCGTGTGCTAACCTGCGCTGCACATTCCTGTCTCCCTCGACAGTGGCACAGAGGATCCTAGTGGAAACGATTAATACACATTTTCCAATAACCACCGACAACCGCCCTCACTTCGAAAACAGCATCCTCTCTCCAGCTCCGGTCGAATATCGCTTTGGTAGGTCTACAGCAAAACAACTGCCAGACAACTGAGCATTAACTACATCCTGAGAATGTCTCTACACACCTCCTTGAGATCTTCCAGGACTTGTTTGCGCTTATCACTCAGTTCCATTACAACGCTCGACCGCCGTCTGCTGCTACTCCTCCTGCGAACAAAATGCCCGTCATGGTGCTCCGACTTTGCACCAGAATAGTGGGCGCCACCAGCTACAGACTCCACCAAAGAAGGCGTAGGTATGATGGGAGGGAGGTGGAAGGATGATCGGTGGTCCCCCTGGTGAGCATGATGGTGTACGTCGCTGCCAGTCATGTCAGTCTGAATGGAAGAAGGGGAATTCGAGAGTTCGCATTATGTCCCTCGGATGCTTGGTATTTAACGCAGCATTAGCGTGGATTTTGGAGAAGGCCCAAGACAACGTCGAGACTCGGGTGCGGGCTCATGTGAATGCGTTGAATGACAAGACCCGAAACGGAGCCGGACCAACGTCGGAAGATGCCGTACACCTGTTTACGCCCCATGTCTCGAGGACGGAAAGGCCAGGGGAGAGAACGCTGTATTGCGAGAAGCCGTACAATATTATTCCAGGTATGCATACTCGATCAACGAATGCCGTCTAGCGACTGCCAGATAGCGCGCACAATATAACCGATTAATACAATTAGGTGCCATTAGTCTGCCCTAGCCAGAGGCCGTACGTCTTGCCCGGTGTCGTTTGCCACATACGAATTGTTCCTAGAGGTCCGAGAGATTCAGAATGATGTTGCGAAGCGAGAGTTTAATTAAACTTACCGTCCTCTGTTATAATAATTGTGAGAAAAGAAACCCGACGCGATCAGGCTACTCTCCGACGAGAAGCACGATAATGATGCACTCACCGCTTCCGCTAGCGAACATTTCACCATCGGGACTGAACTCGACGCAGTGGACAGGACCATGATGGCCCTTGAGGACCTCCCGTTCTTCACCCTCAATACCGTAAACACGGACCCACTCATCAGTTGTACTCCCTGTCACGAATCGATCCTTAAGGAGCGGATGGATAGACGCGGACGAGGGAGCATAGGGCAAGTGAATAATGTGCGGACCAGTCCCGTCAGGGATGGCCGGTATGAATTGGACCATTTTCCCCGACGTCACGACAAGCCGATTCGTGTTCGGGGAGTACTCCATGGACGTGATGGGTTGCCCGAACTCCGATACCGTAGTTAGTTGTCGTGAGCGAAGGTCCCACCATCTTCGAGACGCGGGTTCAGTCTGTGAAGAACGACGAAGCAAGTTATGACTCACTTGATCTTCCCGTCCTCACCAGCAGTCACACCTGTATGTTCGCGAACCCAGACAACACTTTTAACCGTTCCATCATGACACGTTGAACCTCCCGAGTTAATCAACAAATCTGGTTCCGCGTCTGGTCGGCCAAGGTCGAATATGCGAACTTTCTTTTCTTGACCGCCAGTCAGTAGATGTGTTGAACCCGGCGATATCGCGACTGTCCGGACGATATGATTATGGGGAAATGAGTGGAGCGCTTCGCCAGTAAAAGTATCCCAGAATTTGCTGCCACACTTGATACGTCAGACACGGGCATCGCGGAGAAGTAGACAAAACAGCACAACTGACGCAGTGAAATCGGCACTTGCTGACGCCGCCCTCGAACCATCCAGCGAGAGCTTTGTACTCCACACAGCGCCCTTATGTCCCAGGAACGTGCCAATCCAGTCACCAGTCCACTCCCTCAGCATCGGGTTTCCATCTTTGCAGCTTGAAATCAACAAGTACGTGCCGTCATCAAGAATGGGTGAAAACGAAAGGTGTGTAACGGGACGCGTGTGGCCTGGCGCCACGAGCGGGACAGATTTTGGCGGGGCAGACATCAAACAAATGGAACAGAACTGGTCGTGGTCGTGATACAGGCGCGCCGCGCTCTGGCTGGTGAAAGAAAACGGTCGTGACGGGAAGAGGTTGAAGGTGGCGCTTCAAGTTGCTCCCGGCAACATCCTGAAGCCTTTGATGACCTCTCCTTAACAGCTTTGAATTACCGCTGCGTTCGTGCTGGCCTTCCTGAATGCACTTCAATCTACCTGCCCTCAACTCTCGAATGTCTCGTTGCGGGTGCGCACCGACAGCTATCTCAATTGGTATCTGCGCATCTGCTACGGATCCAGAGCTCCTGTCAACCTGTAGAGCATATTGAAATACTCGAACCGCTTGCATCTCTTAAACAGTGCGTATGGCACTCTCATCGGCATAGCCTTTCTTCTCGCTTGCCAGACAAGATCTTCAAAGTAGAAATCACACAATACATTCCTACAATAAGCAAGTATTACAGCAAGACGAACGATACAAGGTACAAGGAAATGGTCCGGGTAATATGACATACTTTAAGCGTGCCCTTGCCTCTTGCCTAGGCCAGACTTCTCGTAAACGGCATCGATTGTCTCCATCTGGGCTACACTGCTCTCCAGGGTCACCCAGTGGACTGGGTCTTTGCCTCGGATCTTGTCAATGAATGCTTCCAATTGCCACCTGGATGTGTCTGTTGAGCGCAGCCGCATTGCCGGAGAATACCTCCGCACTCACCTGTAGGTACTCCACCACGACTCACCACGGGTACCCCAGAGCGGGCCTCCTTTGTATGCTTTCAGGTAGGTAGTCTCCTTTGACACTTTGTCGTAGACCGAGATATAGTGATACAGATGCGGCATCATGAAGCTAGAAAAGCAATCGCAGTCAGCATCAAAGCAGTCGCCAGATGCACAGCATGATAGCGTACTTGTAGAAGTATATCACAGCCTTCTCGGTTTCGATCTCGATACTGGGCAACTCCCACAACCGCGGTATTACCCATCCGATGTTTGGCCTGGCCATGTCGGTCCACACTCGGGCGTCCACCACTCTACCCGTGTTGCCAACCTCGAACTTCAAAACGGCGTCCATAGCCTCGTCAACCCTCTTGTCTTCCTTCATTGGTCTCGCATTGGCGTATACAATCTCCTTCGGCGTGCCCGCATCCAGGAAATATCTCGTGGCCGAAACAACGTATGTCATATCCATGAAGCTGCCTCCGGCCAAGTCCCACTTCCACCTTATGTCGGACTTGGGCATGGTACCGACTGGCGTGGTCATGCGTGCTTCAGTACGTATGATCTCGCCGTACTTTCCACTCTGAAGCAGGGACTTCACCGTGTGAGCCGCAGGATGCCATTGCCAGTGGAAAGCTTCGACGAGGACGAGATTCTTCTCCTTGGCCAGTGCCACCAGCGCCTTGGCTTCGTCAGCGTTGGCAGTGAATGGCTTCTCAAGAAGGACGTGCTTCCCCGCTTGCAATGCCCTTGTCGCCCACGCTACAAACATTCAGGTCCGCACGCGACCAACTTCAGGATAGACCAGGCGACGCACCTGCATGCATTCCATTCGGTAATGATATGTAGACCGCATCGATGCCCGGTTCCACCAGAAGCTCCTCGTACGACCCATATGCTTTCGGAATTCCGTACTGCTTGGCATACTTTTGCGCTGCCTTCAGATCCCTGGACGCGACCGCGGATATAATCACATCCCCATGACTGTCTGCTGGTCGAATTATAGCAGCAGGGTTGATCATCGCGGTCGAGATAACGCCCAACCGGACGGCATTGTCATTCTTCTTGATCTTGTGGCCAGATTCATACAGGTATTCTTGCAAGAAAGTCGCCACCTGGATAAGCATCGCCATTTTGTAGAGTCTTTGAGGTTGTGAACGATAATGAGACGGTGTAAGTGATGAGAACTGTAGAGCGTACTCGACTGGTTATATGAGCTCGAGCATGACCTCATTTGAGACCTGTGAGGCTACACCGACGGCCAAAGTTACTGCAGTGGCGACGCTGACGACGTCAAGGTGAGGTCACTCACGTCCGCCGTAGCAGGTCTAAGCCGGCATTGGAACCCATCGAAATATAGAACGCGAGGCACTCCACTTTGCAAACAGTGCAAGCGCCAACAGGGGCCAACTTCAAGTGTTCGTTGATGCCTTCGGCATATCGATTTGCCAGGCAGACTTCCAGCGATCTCGCGCCACACGAGGAGGAATCTGCACGACCTAGCATCAATTTAAAGGATGATATGCACCTCTCTGCACAGAGGATACTGGTACTACTGTACTGCTTGGACCCACCGGGATGTCTTGGGGATGTCAATGCATCAGTTAGCGTGGCGTAGGAGACCAACAAGGTACCATTTGGGGGCTGGCACTGCTATCTCAAGATTCTCAAACATCAACGAGACAGATGGACCGATGTCGGTCTCACAACCGTACGGTGGAAGTGCTTTTAATATATTCGTGCGACTTCATAAAATCCTACAGTCGCAATTTTACGGTAGGGAACAGGCATGCTCATGTGGCGTTAGCCTCCTAGTCCGCCCTTCTTTTTTTTGGCTCATTGGGTGAATACCAGCTTCTAGCTGTTCATCTCAAAAAGTCAGAAAATGCATCTGGCTTGGCTTCCCTGAGTCGCCCACGCCCATCTGCCACTATATTCTATCAACACTCTTCTGGCGGCAACAAGGAAAAAAAAAACTCTACCTGAACTATAGCCGGACTAGCGTTGGGCGACGAAATGCAACTGATCCCCGGAATATCCGGCACCGTTTTAAATGGCACGACCCGAAAGGGTAGCGTTGTTGTGACGTCGTATGCGAATATTTCTTCTCCTGGCACCGTCGTCGCTTCGGTGACAAATTCATGCTGCGACAGTGAACCAGAAGTGCTGCGATCCGCCTGTGATGCAGAGTCCGTCCTTTCCTGCGTCCTGCCCATGTCTCTGGCAATATCGACGGGGTTGAAGTCCAGTACGCCGTGGCGGCAAATGATATGGTACCCGTACAAAGGGATATTAGCACCGAGAGGGTCCAGTATCGAGAGCTCCCGGAACCAGCGAGAACAAGAAGGGCCCCAAGCGAACCAATGGAATTCTGGAGGGGTGTTATCTTCTGTGTTCTGAATCGCCGAATTCATGAGACCTAGCATCGCAGGCACGAACATAACAGCTGTGTGTCTTATGGTTTCGAGATCCCAGTCCTCCGGATCGTCCTCCGCATTGTCGAGATCCCGTATGACAGTAGTTCTCCTCAGGCAAAGGATGTCGGCTGATAGCGAAGAAGGGCGAAATGCAGGCGGTGACCCCTCGTCACCTCGGAGAGACCTATCCAGAGATGTTTGTAGAACCGTCTCATCGATGTCCACTATTGCGCCTGATGTCGCGTGTTCTGGGAGATGAAAGATTGCACTCTGGATACGGCCTGACCAGCTTCCTTCTGCAGCGGAGTATATGACGAGAACATGGCCTTGACCGTGACGCCTTGTCATGACAGTCACGAGGAAGATTTCGGACAGGAACAAAAAGTCTACCACTCCATGCGTCTCGGGTGATGGCGGGGGTTCGAGCTACGTGAGAGTGATTGAACTGAGATTGATTGAACTGAGATTGACTCGAGTGCGACAGTTACTCACAACACAAAAGGATCCATCCTTCCAATTAATCATCAGTACCTTAGACAGCGCGCCAACTAACTTCGTCGCAATGAAATCTCCACAGATCTCCATTTTTATGAATGTGGTGCTGAGGATTGGAAGGCAGATCTCTGGCGTGGATGCTTCAGGATGAACGGCCCCGCTACGTAGGGACAGGGGCTTCAGGATTGTGCATCCCTCACTGGTAAATCTGCATAGAGACGGCAGCTAAGACGTAAACCACGACCGAGGGATTAAGGGACATACAATTCTCCGTGTTCCAGATAGCCCACAATAAGCAGGTCCTGTATCGGATCGAATTGGAACGCGTCATAGGCCATATCAAAGACATGCGTGAAATTCCGCTCATCCCGCCCTACGGCAGAGAACTGGAAAACCCGCATGCAATCAAACGACTTCGTGTAATGAGGGGGGCTGTTGTCGCCATGTCTTTCAGTAGATGCCACAAGTACGTCGTCATGCAGCTTGAATCGAAACTTGAATTGCCTTTCTTCTGTGTCATTGAAAGGTGAATAGTCCAACGAAGTACTTTTGCTGAACCTCGGATTAGGAGTTTTCCAAGTAGCGTGGTAATCTTGTAGGCACTGCGACCGTTCGACATAGCCCAATAGGGTTTTCGCAGGTAGGTCCTCGTAACCGCAGATCTCGAGCTCGACGAGATACCGTAAGAGAGCAGATGCATTAAATACATCGCGGAAATGCCTGCAGACCTACAAACGCCGTAAGCGTCATGGCGAACAGGATACGTTATCATGCTGTTTTGCCTACCCGTTGACACCGTAAAATATCGCAATACGAGAGGAGAGAGAAAATGGTAACCAGCACTTCGGGATGCAGGTGCTGTATATTCTTGCTGAGTGCAGGCATTACGGGGACAGAGGTCGACGGCCTATTCATGATAAGTACTGTCGGAGAACAGGGCCCCTGGATTTCGTTGCTTGTTCGGTGCGATCAAAAGACATGGATGCCCAAAAAGACAACTCCCCTGCCATATAGGGACTGCCATATTTTGTCCAGTCTACTGCAATCCACGCACAAACATCTGATACACACCCAGTTTCCCGCTGGCGCTTCCATGTAAGACCACCGAAACAACTACATGACCAACGTCGTTACATGTGCTACTTGATCAACCCTTAGGAAAATACAAATTCGCGCGACCGACGAGTGTCGACGAGTATCAAGCCGCATATGACGGACGTACCGATTTCTCGAATGTTACCAACCGCGTTCAGGCGTGGAAAGACTACGTCGAAAAGATGACCCCATTCTAGATTGCGGCGAGCTCCCAGATACTAACCTGAAGTCTACTGTACATGCCGTCGGACATACTGCTTACTGCTTTTTACACCTCGTTGACCCACTCGTTGAGAGCGTGAGTGTACTGGACAACACCCTCAGGGAACCACCTATCAAAGCATGAGGAATATGGCTTGTCGAGGATGTGCGTCTCACTTACAACTTGATCTCCTTCTCGGCGCTCTCGACAGAGTCGGAGCCGTGGCAGATGTTACGGCCGACAACCAGAGCGAAGTCACCACGGATAGTGCCTGTCATTAGACAACACGTTAGAGATGGTGGCGATGTGTTCTATAGAACGCGCATACCCGGGGCGGAAGCAAGGGGGTTGGTTGCGCCGAGCATGGCACGACCAGTCTTGACAGCGTCCAGACCTTCCCACACCATAGCAGCGACGGGGCCGGAGGACATGTACTTGATCAAGCCGGGGAAGAAAGGCTTGCCCTTGAGGTCGGCGTAGTCTGTAACACGTGTCGGAAATCAGCTCATCGATCAAGTACTCTTCTTGCCCGAGCGAAAGACTTACGCTGCTCAAGGAAAGCGGGTTCAGCGTGGACAAGCTTCAGGGCAACAAGCTTGAAGCCGCGCTGCTCGAATCGAGCAATGATGGTGCCAACGAGCCCACGCATCACACCATCGGGCTACCATCCTCTAAGTTAGCATGTAAGAACGCGTCGGCGGTAGCAAGAAGCATACCTTAACAGCGATGAAAGTACGCTCCTTGGTAGACATGACGAGTGGATCTGGGAGAGTTGAGTTGGTGTTTTGAGGTTGTGGTTGTGGAGAAGAAAGAGGGAAAAACAGGTAGAGGAGCACAACGAGGACGGCTGCAGCTCCTATAAATCTATCGACTCTGTATCTCATCTTCTCGGTGATAACCGGCCTCCCTCCCCGCCCAGACCCCGAAATGGCAAATCAGTCCAAAGGCAGCCAAACAGCCGCAAATACCATCCGAGAGCTTCCGCTGGACGCAGCCAACGACGTCAAGACAGTTTGCTCCCTCCATGTTGGGTCCCCTGGGCTACAGTTTTGCGCCCGCTGTGCGCCGGTCGCGCACCTTGTACAAATGGATTAAGCCCCTTGCCGACTGGTATGCCAACGTGGCCGGCTACCGCAAGATGGGCTTGAAGTATGATGATCTGCGTATGTATTTTTGATTCCAACTTGTGCACGAACGCTCAAGGGTGCCCTTCGTTCAGTCATCGAGGAGAATCCTGAAGTGCAGAAAGTACGTCTGGGCACGTCGCACTTCCTCGCCTATGCTTAAATGAAATCCATTAGGCCCTTTCCCGTCTGACGCCTCGAGAGGAGTATGACCGTGCATACCGCATGAAGGTGGCTTCATTACTCAGCGTGAACCACAAGCCCCTTCCGAAGGACAAGTGGCTACCGGCGTCCGAGGTGCGATACATACTTGTTTTGCTTGGTTATGTCCTCACTGACCTTCATCAGGACGTCCGATACTTGAAGCCATATGTCGAGGAGGCTGTCAAGGAGACGGAAGAAAGGCATATCTGGGACACCATGGAGGTCCGGAGGAAGTAGAGTACCGTCTTGCATTGCTCCTAGATCATCAGTTGCACTGTAATTCATGCTAATTTCAGCGGAGTTATCCAACACAGAGGCAAGCTCTACGGTGGAAATACATGTTCCATGCCATTGCCGTTGGACTACAAGATTACATGTTAACGGTCTACATTCTATTTCCTCTTCCTCCATTATCCTCATTCCAAGACGACAATAAATTAGATAGCTTTGACGAGAGGAGACACGACTTCGCCACCCTTCTTCTTGTAGAAGTCGACGACCTTTTTGCCAACGGCGGCGATGTCTGCGAATAGATATTAGCGCAGCAGTCATGTGGTTTCAGAAGAGACTTACTCGTCCCAGTGATGCCCAACTTCTCGTAGATCTTCTGGTATGGAGCGGATGCACCCCAAGCTGGGACGCCATACTGCTCGTGGCTGTATTTAGCCCAACCAGCGGTCTGCAATGCGATGAGGCCCTAAGTCGGACATCAAAGATATAATATCACATACCGAAAGAGCCTCGAGGGACAAGATAGGGGCCCCACTTCTTAGTACGCTCAGCTGGTATTCCTTTGGCTGCTGGTCGAACACAAGCCAGCACGGCAAGCTGACAACGCGGGTCTTGACACCGTCTTGCAAGAGCTTGCCGGCAGCCTCGACAGCGATCGAGACTTCGCTGCCAGTAGCAACAATAGTGAGGTCTTCCTTTTCGACCTCGTGCACAACGTAGCCGCCCTTCAAAGCCTTTTCGATCGTCGACCCCTCAAGGTTGGGAAGATTCTGCCTGGACAACGAAAGGACGGACGGAGTCGACTTCGCGTTAATGGCCCAGTAATACGCAGCGGACGTCTCATTGCCGTCGGCGGGACGCCAGAATGCAAGGTTAGGGATGGCGCGGAGGTGAATAGCGGTCTCAATAGGCTGATGGGTGGGACCATCCTCACCCAGGCCAATGGAGTCGTGTGTAGCTGTTAAGGAGAGTTGAGAGACGAACGAACAATCACCACTCCCTTTGTAGATACTCACCAACCCAGATGACCTGGTGTTTGCTCAACGCAGAGAGCCTGACTGCACCAGCAGCATAGGACACGAAGTTCTACCGGAAATGAATGAGCGAGAACATACTGTAAGGTATGATTGTACTCACGAGGAAGGTAGCGACGAAAGGAATGATACCACCGTACGCAGCCAAGCCATTACCGATCGCTCCCATACCGTGCTCACGAACACCGAATCGGATGTATGTGCCTTTGTAGTCGCCCAGACCAGTGGATGGAGGCTGAAAATCGACCATCGTCTTCGTCCTGGTCAAGTTACTACCAGTCAAATCGGCGGAACCGCCCATCAGCTCGGGCAGCACGGGAACTATCTTCGACAGAACGATCTCTGACAACTTCCGGGAGGCCTGAGCAGCGTCGGTGGGCTTATACAGCGGCAATGACTTCTCCCATCCCTCAGGAAGCTTGCCAGCGATCCGGCGGGTAAGCTCGGCGTGCTCCTTGGGGTACTTCTCACCGTATCGGGCAAGCAGAGTATTCCACTTCTCTTCTAAAACCGCACCACGTTTAGCGATGGTGTGGTAGATATCATATGTCTCCTTAGGCACGTAGAAAGCCTGATCAGCGGGGAGCCCAAATTTAGTCTTGAGAGCTTGGATGTCGTCCGGCTTAAGGGCTTATAAAGGATTCAGATTGGAAGAGCATTTTGATGCGGCAAGTGACAACCACTTACGGGAGCCATGGACACCGTGGGTCCCTTGCTGTTTCGAGCCATATCCGATGGTAGTACGCAGTCGGATGATAGTAGGCTTGTTCTTCTCTTTCCTTGCCTCGGCGATGGCGTTGTATATACCCTGGAGATCACTAGGAAATATTCAGACATAGTCCACATATGTACGATGATAAACCTACTGGTCGCCGTTTTCTACATGAAGGACTTGCCAGCCGTAGGCCTCGAACCGCAGACCAACGTTCTCCGTGAAGGCAACGGCGGTGTCACCGTCGATTGAGATATCTGGTTTGAGTGAGTTGCTGTACCAAGACTCAGGATGGAACTACTGACGATTGTCGTCGTAGACCTAGGTTGTAACAGTCTCGTTATCAAGCTGTCGAAAATGACAGTAAAGACACATACCACAATCAAATTGCCGAGTTGCAGATGGCCCGCCAAACTTGCCGCCTCGCTCGAGACACCCTCCATAAGACAACCATCACCAGTGAAAACTACGCCTAAATGAGTATCCCGATAACAACGCTGATTAACAAAAGCAACTCGCCATAAGTGTAGTTGTTAATGAGGTCGAACTCATCCTTGTTAAAGGTAGCGGACATGTGGGTCTGAGCGATGGCCAGACCAACTGCGGTCGAGAAGCCCTGTCCTAACGGACCTGTGGTGACTTCGATGCCTGACATTTGCCTGTGAATACACGTATACTAGCTCAATCCCAGAGCACACTCACCGTCGGTATGACTAGCCTCGGGGTGACCCGGCGTCCGCGACCCAAGTTGGCGGAACTGCTTCAGGTCATCCATGGTAAGATCGTAGCCCAAGAGGTGCAGAAGAATGTACTGCAGAGCACATCTACTCCGTGGTCAGAATGACGGCGACCCTCCCCCTATCGACTTTACTCACGCGTGACTGAAAATAGCGGGACATCAGTCCATATCACACCCATCCTATGACCAGCTACCACGCACCCGTTGGAAAGGACAAATCGATCCCGATTATACCACTTCGAATTCTTAGGGTTGGCGTTGAAGAATCTGGCGCGAACCGGGTTAACGTCCGGGCTGATCTCACTCAGAACCAAACCAACCGTGAAAACAGTACGTGTGCGACCGGCGCCATGCCCATAGGAGCCCCTAAAGTTCCAGTGAGTTCCCTCTGTCGATAGTATCGTTTCGGGTAGAATCCTGCGGACCTGGGTGACCAGAGTTGGCCTTGCCAACGACATCCGCCGCCAAAGCACGGATGGTGTTGATGCAAAGTTCGTCGGTGGGCTCGGGCGTGAACTTGGACATGATTGTGAATGAGAAACGTAAAATCTGGGAGCAAGACGCGTCCTTATATGCGTCTGCGTTACTAACTCGCGGACCTCCGGAGACGATACCCACTGAGGAGCCACGTGACATCATACAGATCCCGGTGATATGATGCCGGGAAGGTCCCCACGGGTCCGGCAGGGTCCGGTGTGCACCGCGATTCTCACCACCCGCGGTCCGAGCCTCCTCCGATCGTACCGGCGCAGCCATTTCCTCTTTCCTCGCTCTTCGTCTCATCCTGGTCTGTGCGTGTCCGTGTCAAGGGGCATCTTGTTGGCAGCGGAAGGCTTGACGCCGGGTATCTGTTTCTCAGATGCATACTCAGGCTTCTGACAAACAAATCGGTCCGCTTTGTCATTTTTCTTGATTTCAACTGTCAGCACGAAACAAGCCTGTGCTTGCTTATGCTCTAGTCTGCAGAGAATTCTTTCAAGCATTAGAGGCCTGTCACCAGAATGGATGGGCGAAATGGACAGGGGGCTGCAACGGTGTCAAGCACGAGTTGAACATGTGTCTTCGCAAAGAGGTGAGCGTTCCAAGTAGATGCCTTCAATTACCTTTCACCGAATTATCCCCAGCGTACCGACCGGGCATCAAAGAACCGTGAGGAAGCCAAGGCTCGCCGCCAGAAGACCGAACAAGCCTGGAAAGAGTTACATGAGGATGATTAGAGTGACCGTTGAAACTCCTCATCCTTTTCTGTACCCGGGGATCGTGTCCATGGAGTCAGTGGACCGGCTCACGGCATTGCTTGTGCTTGTCAGACGGTTGTACGACCCAATCTGACACCCCTATTCATCTATGCTGCAATACATCTCTGCATCTCTATTGGTGATGGGGGCTGTTCCATGAATGTCAAACTTTACAAGGTCAGTTAAGTCTTTCCTGCTTCTGACGAGTGACGACTACACGTTCTTCAATCTTATCACTATTTCCTTCTTGCCGTCGAAGACTTCGATGTAATCATCTCCCTGTGCCACTCCCCCATCGACCCCTTGGACGCGATAGCCCTTGCTGTATAGACTGATTGCGGCCAAATCCGCTGAGCCCTCCAGTTTCACATTGATCTCGTCGGCGTTCCTCGTCGCCGTTACGATACCAGCAATTTCTGCGCCCTTACCACTAGGTACTTGGCACTGCGCCCTTTGGCCGTCCCGAAGTTCGTACAATCGCACTTCTAAACGTTTATGAAGGTCGTAGTCCGGGCGACCAATGTTCTTCGGCCCAAGGCACAATATCGTGCCTGATCTCACCCACACCGGAATCTCTTCTATGGCCATTTCCTCCTTCACCCAGGCTGGACCTTGGATTGTCCGCTCCGGATGGAAAAAGGAAGTCCAAAGTCCGGCCGGAAGGTAGTACTCTAGCTCTTCGCCGAGCGGCACGAATACCGGTGCTACCAGAAGCGACGGGCCAAACATGTACTGTCTGTCAAGATAATGTGTCGTCCGATCTGAAAGGAATTCGATGAACATGGCTCGTTGGACTGGAGAACCGCTTTGATTAGCTTGTATGGCCTGGCGATATGTCAGTCACTGAGATCTGCTTCAGAAGACTGAGAATCCTGCGCACCAGATTGTACAGGTATGGCATAAGTCTGTGTTTTGTGTCCACAAATTTGGCCATGTCTTGTGCAGCTTCCTCTCCATATTCCCATGGAACTCGGTATGAATGCGACCCATGAAGTCGTGAATGAGACGAGAACAGACCAAACGCCACCCAGCGGCGGTAGACTTCCGGAGGCGGGCGTCCCTATCGTGACAAGTTTAGAGATGAAGATAGTCAGGAATGTAAGCGATTCCAACAGCACCTCGAATCCTCCGATGTCATGCGAAGAGAATGCAAACCCGGATAGTGTAAGGCTAAGCCCGCCTCGCAGAGTTTCAGTCATGGCCTCGAAAGTGGACTCGCAGTCTCCTCCCCAATGCTAACACAGATGTCATGCACCCTTGGAACTGCGAGGGAGCCGAACGCCACCTACCACGGGGAACCTTTATAATGCAATCAAAGTTGGAATTGGTACGGCGATTTTGTAGTGATTGCCATACCTCTGACCGCCAGCGTGCGCTGACCTTGCGAATACAACAGCCTCGCCCGCCCCAAACCGTCTCTTGAGCAAGTCGAACACGAGCTCGTTATACAAAGTAGCATAATAATTGTGCATCCTCATGGGATCTGATCCATCGTGGTAGACGACGCCTGCATGGGGGATCCGTTCCCCGAAGTCCGTCTGCAAAACGGTTGAAGGGGTCTGTGAAGCTTGCTAGCGCAGGTAAGCGGGACTGACCTTGAAGGTATCGACGCCGAGGTTAATGAGTGAATCCAGCTTGTCCAGATACCATTTTTGGGCGGTAGGATTTGTGAAGTCCACAATGGCGAGACCAGGCTGCCACAAGTCCCATCTGCAGTGGACCTCGCTTAACACAGCCAAGTCGGTACTCGAATGTACATGACTTACTGCCAGGGAGTGCCATCCTTCCGCTTGATGAAGTATCCGCCTTCCACCCCCTCTTGAAAAGTAGGAGAGAGCTGTGAAATGTACGGATTTACTACAGTTGCGTTACAGCCTCGTACTAGACGATAACCATTCAGTTGGCTCACTCCAGACGCAGATTTTGACACCGTATCTCTTCTTGATGTCCGACAGGTAAGCCTTGGGATCGGGGAAATTATCCGGGTCAAAGGTGAAAGAGCACCTGGAAGAGTCAATGGGTGTACTTCAGTCGTTTCTTCGAGGTCTTACCACTCGTATTGTTTCATCCAGAAACAGTCTAGGTGGAATACCCGCACAGGGCAGTTGCGATCTTGCATACCCTGCAGAAAGCCAGACACAGTCTCCGTGTCGTAGTTGGTCAAGAATGACGTAGACAGCCATAGGCCGAATGTCCAAGTTGGCAGCAGCCTTGAAGAGCGGGTTACCATCGCCTGTGCGGTGGTAAGATGATTCCACTTACGCAGGACGACCGGTCATGCGGGTATAGCGCTCGAGAATCTATGACGGAGTCAATTCCGACCGCCTCCATAGTAGTCGCGTACTGACTTCCAAGGGGGTTTCACCGTAGATCAAGAAGTATTCCAAACTCTCGCCAGCTACACTGACTCCGACTCTGCTCACTTTCTCGCTTCCTACCTCGACCTCCACTTCGCCAGGATGATTGATAAATACGCCGTACCCTCGATTAGTCATGTAGAAGGGTACACATTTGTACGCCTGCTCGCTGGACGTCCCTCCATCCCGATTCCAGATACTCACAGATTGTCCTAGCTTGACGTCAGTTGCAGCAGCTCAGATGACATTGTATACTGTATATACCATTCTTCACGAATGCTCCAAATTGTTCTCCCAGGCCATATATAAGCTCTCCAGGAGATGTATTCAGTTCAGAGTGGATATAGCGTACTGTCTGAGGCGGAGTTTCCGGGTGAGGGTTCGAGCTGAAGTCCTGAGCGAGGCAGGAGCTGTTGGCAGCTGTGCCAGCGGTCCATTTGTACGGCATATCATAGACAGCCTGGTGCTTGTACCCGGCCCAGGTCAGCTTCCTGTTGGGAGACTTGAAGGTTACTGTGTACGGATTTTCAGTGATCTCGGCGGTGAGTCCGCCCGTTGTCAGGGTGTACCCTGACTCCGACTTCTCAAGGTCAAAGTTCGGCATTGCTGGCGCATCCGGGAAGAGCGGTATCTCGGGGCATGGCTTGAACGTTTTGAAGTGTCCGATCCGCACGCCCACGACGCCCTCTGTGGGTGAGTGTATCCTGACGCTCAGCAAGGGTCCTAATCGGTGGGAGGGTTAATTAAGTCATCGCCGAAGATGATAAGTTCCACATGCCGCCAAGGGTATCCCCTCTGTGTCGGATGGGCTTGGTCGCGACTTGCAGGGCATACCCATCTTTCTCCGGTTTGACCTGTGTTACCTGGAGACCATAGTAGGCCTTCACGCCTTCTTTCAAGAGCCAGAACCCGTCGTTGAACTTCATCCTAGATAAAGAACAAGGAGAGCAGACGACATTCTGTCCTCTTCAGACCTTATATCGTATACAGCTTGTTTGGCAGGAACGTCGACCATCTGACAGAATTGCTGGGTGCGGACCGGTATACGGGCCGTCACCATCCATATGACCAGGAAGTCGAGCGCCAACCCCGATATACATTTGCGAGAGGACTGGCAGAGTTGGTTGCACGCTGCCAAGTAGTGGACAGGTCGAGAGCATTGCCTCCGTCGAAGTGCAAGCCGTGTCCCCCCGGCGAAACCTCCTTCCGAATTCGCCACGATCGAGGACGCGTCTGGTCACGTGCCCTGAATCCTCTTGCAGTGCCACTGCCAGTCCTGAGCGTTCCCGGTGAGTCAGATCACGATGAGACGCAGAGTACAAATGTAATCGACTTTGCTTTGGGAAGGGGACCACCCGCAGACCTGCACGACAAGGGGGTATCGAACTCACAAGCCAAGGATGACGAGCGTGAGCGAGCCCTCGCAGCCCCTGTGGATCGAGACACCCCTCCTATACTCCAGCCACATCTCCTCCATCATAGGATGCTCCGCGTACCTAAAGCTCGAAGTAAATCCCCTCCCGTCAAGTCGTCCAAGTGCCCCGCGGTAACCGTTTGCTCCCGCACAGAACCTCCAACCGTCGCACTCCTTCAAATACCGCGGCGTCACGCTCTTCATCCAGCACTGCAAGCACACGCACGGGCCGTCCGTGCACTGCATCATCGCGTCGGGCGGCAACGCCGGGCTCGCCGCCGCGTGCGCCGCGCGCCGGCTCGCGGTGCGATGCACCGTCTACCTCCCGGCGACCGCGAGCCCGCGCGTCGTCGCGTACCTGGAGAAGGAAGAGGCGCACGTCGTGATAGCAGGTGCGATCTACGCTGAGGCGCTGGCCGAGGCGCGGAAGGCCGCCGAGGAGGACGAGAAGGCGTACGTATACAGCCCCCCTTTTTATCTTTGCTCATGCGTGACCTCCCCGTCTGGACAGCGTGATGGTGCCCGCGTACGACGACCCGCTCCTCTGGGAAGGCCACTCGTCCATGGTCGCCGAGATCGCAGGCCAGCTGCCTGGAGGGAAGCCAGACGCCATCATCTGCAGCGTCGGCGGCGGCGGCCTCCTCGCCGGCATCATCGTGGGGTGCAAGAAGGCAGGATGGGACGACGGTGCGTACCTTTCTGCGCAGTGGGCCCCTCCATGCCTACCGGCTTCCTAGTGCCCCTCGTGACACTGGAAACCCACGGCACCAGCTGCTTCCGGCAGAGCATGGATATCAACGCGCGGAAGAGCGGCAGCTTCGGGACCGGGCAAGCGGTGCCGTCGACAGCGCATCCCGGCATCACGCTGGCGAACGTGCAGTCCACGCTGCATCTGTCGAAGGCGTCGTGCCTGGGCGCGTCGACGCCGTCCGCGGGAGCGGTCAAGCTCGCTTTGGAGAGGCAGGGGCCGGTGAGGAGCTTGAGCGTTCCGGACGGGATGAGCATGGACGCGTGTTGCAGGTTCGCAGGTCGGTGTCGGAGTGCAGATAGCCGTGTTCCCCGGAAGTGACTGATGCGTTTGGAAGAGGACCACAAGCTCCTCGTGGAGCTCGCCTGCTCGACCGCGCTCACGCCCGCGTACTCCCCCTCCCTCTTCTCCAAGATCTTCGACTCGCCCACCGCCCCCCGCCCGAAAACCGTGGTCTTCATAGTCTGCGGGGGGTTCAACATATCCTTGGACGAGATCGCGGAGTACAAGCGGACGGCGAAGGAGAAGGAGGAGAAGGCGTGGTATGGCTATGGCACGCGGAAGGAGGGGTGCTGGGATGTGGTGTGCGACGGGCAGCTGTGGGATGTTCCTAGGGAGTAGTGGGGTTGTCAATCGCGATCGTGGACGTGTGAGGAGTGATGTGGCCGTGTTGCAGTGCCAGAAAATGAGGATGTACAGATACAACGATGGGCTTCGGGCATATTAGACACGGAGCGTAGATAGTTATACACAACTGTTCGCCAGCGAAAGAAGAGTTAGCGTTTCAATCAGCCGACGTCGCTGATGAAGACGCACCAGAAACATGGACACGCATGCTCGTCCGTCGACCCTCCCCCTCAAACCATCTTCCCAGACGACCCAGGCTGCTCCCCGCCCTCCGCCCTCTCCCTCTCCATCTTCCGCGCCATCTTCTCCGCGCGTATCCGCGCCAGCTCCTCCCTCACCGAACCCTGGTCCGTCGGGATATTCTTCCATGCGCATCAACACCCTCCCGCACACACGTGCCGCCACAAACGAAGGGACTCACCGGGCTGCCCTTATCCTCCGGAAACATCTTCTCCTTGTACTACTCGCACTTGATCATCAGCCTGCGGTCGGAGGGGGAGAGTGGGCTTACGGGGAGGACGTGCCGGTTGTACCACTCTGGGTCGCCGTAGTAGAGGAGCGCGGCCACCGGAAAGAAGGTGTATACCGCAAACTTGAAGATCTCCAAGTTCGGGCCTCCCATGTCGTCTGCTGGGTGAGACGAGAGGAGGGCGAGGTGTTACGAAAGGTGAAGGACAAAGAAAGGGCGCGAGTTGATGGGATGGGGAGATGTGAGGATGTCATGGTGCTGCGATGCCGCCTCTCTTATGTTTTCGAAAAGTGCTTGCTCTTCCTACGACTACTACAGTACTTACCTGGTGCCTGGAAACGCATAGCTGGCTCATTTCACGTCTGTCTTCAGGACATCCAGAACGATCGGCTTTGCGCGGTATTGCGTGCGGGTGGAATGCGTGAAAGACGTGGGTATGAAGCACTGGGATCGTACAAGTGATACATGGAGTATGGTATACAAAGGTGAGGCCGAGGTTACAGGGTGTCGGGAAAGGGGGAACAGTAAAATCAAACAGACCATGGGAGATGTAGTGCGAAGAAGAGGGAAACACCCAGCACACCCACTACACAGTCTCGATCATCACCCAGCCCTCCTTCTTACTAGGGCTCCCGGGAAGCGCGGGGACCCCACTGCCCCGCCGGCCCTTCTTCGGCGTGGACGTCGCACACGGCCCCGCCAGCGGCTGAGGCTCCAGATCCAAAGCGAGCGGCCACATGCTGCCCAGCCCGTCGCGGATGTACACGTCCTCGAGCTGCGGGGGCGCCCTGCTGGGGCGCTGGAGGGCGGGCGCGGGGAGGGGCACGTCCTCGCCGAAGCCGAGCCCCAGACAGGAAGAGGCGGCGGAGCGGCGATTGTGGGTGGGGGAGTCGGAGTGGGGGCTGTAGCGCGAGGCGAGGCGGTAGGCGCGCGGGGGCGAGGTGGGCGGGCGGGTGGGGGAGATGAGGGAGCCGGAGAGGCGGCGCGGGACGACGAAGTAGGGGTCCGGCGGGGGCGCGGCGGGGACTGCGGGACGCGGGTGAGGGGGGCTGAGGGGAGGCGGGGAGGCGCGTACCTGGTGCTTTCTCTGCGTCGCCGGTGGCGGGGGTCTGCGGGCGCGAGCCGAGGAGCCAGTACGGCTTGAAAGCGGGACGGGCGGTGTTGACGTGGGGCGAGGCATTCTTCTTCCTGATGGAGGCGCAGGAGGGGACGCGGTGCGCGAGGCGGGCGTGGTAGAAGGCCTTGAAACGCTTGTAGCCGGCGAACCAGAACCAGACGACGAAGCAGAACCAGACGGTGATGCACGCTGGTTACGGGGAGGGGTTAGTGGAGCGGGTGGGGGGGGGGAGATGTACTGACCCATGGTGATGAGGTCGCCCTTGCACATCTTGACGACGGAGGGGTCGATGAGCGAGCGGCAGTCGTGGTTCTCGGGGTCGTCGTCTGCAAAGTGACCGAGTCCGACGTCGCGCGGGATCAGCCTGGATGCAGAGACCATGTTGGGTATGAAAAGAGTGTAAGAGGCGGGAGCCGCGCTGAGAGAGGTGCTCGAGGGCAGCGGGCCATGATATAGAACTGGACGGCGGCTGACACGAAAGCGAAGCTGGCTGGCGAGCAGAGCAGAAAGCGCCAGCCACAGGCAGCGTCGATCAGGTGTGACGTCAGATGAAAGCTATCTGAGTGAATCTGATCAGCCCTGCCACCAGCCGTGTCTTGCTTTGCGCCGATAAATGGAGCTCTGTTTCTTCTTGCACGCCATTGGCAGAGATGAAGCAACTGACCTGCAACGAGGCGTCCGCGCAGTCCCCACCGCGTCATACAGACTGGGCTGGCTGCTGCAGAGACAACTTGCATAGTCTTTATTTATAGCGGCTAAAGATACCAGCGTCATCGCCTGCTCCCAACTGTCATCGCGTCGCAGCCAACCTATATAAACCCCCTCCATCTCCTACCATTCCCCCTCCCTAATCCACTCTCCAGACACCCGCAACCAACCTGTATAAACCCCCTTGCTACAGTCTTTCACCCTCCCTCATCCACCATGGTCCTCTCAAAGGTACGCGTCCCCGCGATCGCTGTCCACCCCCAGCTCACCGTTCGTGCAGCACATCAACCCCGACAGGCTCATGCAGGGAGCCCAGGACAAGCACTTTAAGCACCACAACCTCACCGGCACAGACCCCAACTCCATCAACCATGCCTACGGCGCCCGCTACAGCACCGAGCCCATCCCAAAGTACAAGATCGCGTCAAAGGTTCGTCTACTGTCTCTGTCTCCGTACACCCACCTCATACTCTCTGCGCGCGTAGGGAACCGATGCCCAGTCGGCTTACCAGCTTATCCACGACGAGCTCGCCCTCGACGGGTCTCCCACCCTCAACTTGGCTTCCTTTGTCCACACCTGGATGCCCGAGCCCGCCGACAAGCTCATGCGCGAAAACATGTCCAAGAACTTGATTGATCAGGATGAATACCCCATGACTCGTACGTAAAGATTACCGACACCAATAGCCTAATTACTAACTTGTTCGCTTACCATAGAGGTCATCCATGAGCGATGTAAGCCCCCTCTGCCCTTCCTCCCTTCCAGTGCTTACCCTTCTACCCAGGCGTCTCGATCCTCGCTGATCTCTGGCACGCCCCCAGCTCTCACAACGCCATCGGCACGGCCACCACTGGCTCTTCCGAGGCCATCCAGCTCGGTGGACTCGCCATGAAGCGTCTCTGGCAGGAGCGCCGCAAGGCCGCCGGCAAGTCCATCCACGAGCCCGGACCCAACATCGTCATGGGCGCCAACGCCCAGGTCGCCCTCGAAAAGTTCGCGCGGTACTTTGAGGTCGAGTGCAGGCTCGTCCCCGTCAGCGTCGAGAGCAAGTACAGGCTGGACCCGAAGAAGGCCATGGAGTATATCGATGAGAACACCATCGGCGTGTACGTCATCCTCGGGAGCACGTATACCGGCCACTACGAGCCGGTCAAGGAGATGTCGGCCTTACTCGACGAGTACGAGGCAAAGACCGGGCACTTTGTCCCCATCCACGTGGACGCGGCCTCTGGAGGCTTCGTGGCTCCTTTTGCCACGCCCAAGCTGGAATGGGACTTTAAGATCCCTCGTGTCGTCTCGATCAACACCTCGTGAGTAGAATGTATGCTCTGTATATGCGCCTGTCTGACACCCGTGTAGTGGCCATAAGTTCGGCCTGTCGTACGTTGGTGTCGGCTGGGTCATCTGGAGGGACAAGGCGCACCTCCCGAAGGACCTCATCTTCGAGCTCCACTACCTCGGCTCGGTCGAGTACTCCTTCTCCCTGAACTTCTCGCGCCCCGCGCACCCCATCATCGGGCAGTACTTCAATTTTGTCCACCTCGGGTTCGAGGGCTACCGCAGCGTCGCGCTGGACGACCTCAAGAACGCGCGCATCCTCAGCCGCGCGCTCGAGCGGAGCGGGTACTACACCGTGCTGAGCGACATCCACAGGCAGATCGGCGCCGGCGGCGTCTCGGGTGCGGTGAGCAAGGTGCTGGACGAGGAGAATGTGGAGAACTATGAGCCTGGGCTGCCGGTCGTGTCGTTCCGGTTCACGGACGAGTTCAAGCAGAAGTACCCCGACATCCAGCAAAAGTGGATCCAGATTTTGCTGAGGAGCCGTGGATGGTGAGTGCTGGGTATAGCCCGACCGCTCTAGGCTCGTGTGCTGATTCTGGGTCCCCTAGGATTGTGCCCAACTACGAGCTCCCGCCGGATCTGGAGAGCATCGAGATCCTGCGTGTCGTGGTGAGGGAGAGCATGACCGCCGTCCTCGTCGAGCGGCTCGTCGCGGATATCGTCGAGATCACGGAGGACCTCATGAAGCAGGACTCCCCGGCGCACGCGCTGAGCGCGCTGAGCCTGCACGCGAAGCCGCAGCAGAACAACTCGAAGGCGCATACCGGCAAGCTTGAGGAGGGTTCTGGCAGCAAGCCGAGCGGGACGTATGCCAAGACTTGTTGAGCGGTGGATGTGCACAATGGGGGTCGTGTATGAGTGAAGATGGAGCAACGGGTTGGGGGGAATGCATGGATGAAGTCAAAAAAAGAGGTGTAGGATACATCAGTAGCAAAATGGCGCGGACATTGGGTGTATACTTGACCATGGTTGTACGTCTGGATGTGGAAACGAATGGCATGGAATCTCGCTCTACCTTGCATGCTCCGATTCGAAATCCCAATGCTGTCAGGCGGCGCATCCTTGCAACGACGTTGCGAGGCGACGTCAGGGTATCTGGTAGTATTGGCGCCTTACGGGCAGAACGTCGGCGGATAGTGGATGACTTCCCGTAAGCATTTAGAACGCGTTTTTAGCAGTTCTAAATCTCTAAACGCATCAAGCCGAGATGCCGTCTTGTCACGCTCTCGCTTAGACCAAGTTTTGATGAGGCTCGTCGAGCAAAAACCGTCTCTAAACTTTAAATCTAGCAGGGGGGGTCGACCCCCCTTTCCAAATCTCCAGACGACTCTAAACGCTCGCTTAGCCTCGGTTGAGGTCCGCGTATCAAACCTGCCATCAGCACCTGCTAAATTGAGCGATCCGCTCGCCATAAATGGAAAGCGACCTCATGGTCGTGACTTGCAGTCGTCGAGCGTTGGTCTGGCATTACGGATGGGAGGAACAGTTCTATTTTTCCATTGCACCGTGGCAGCGAGTGTGACCAGGTACGCTGATGGCGTTTAGAACTGCGAAATCTAGGATTTTGGCTTACGGGAAGTCATCCAGTATCACATCCAAGTCTTTCGTAGCTGCGGTGCGACCACGTCGTCAGGCGCTCTGTAGCACCAGTACTA